TGGATCTTGTCTTTGCTCCAGGACTTCGAACAGGACTCCCAGTCCCAGTCCGACTAGAAACGCTCACATCCCCAGAGTATTGTCACCATTGTGGTTACAAGTTGTATTTTTATTGAAAAGCTGATTTTCATGGGGCACAAATATTTGTCTGAGCATTCCAAAACTACCCTCAGTTTAAACCCGGCCACGAGCGATTTAAAGTCCCAAAATACTTACTCGTTCTTCTGCTGGCACTCCATGGAAATAAAATATAAAATGGGTCAAGTGGTGAGTTAAGTGCGCCCAGCAGTTAAATTAAATTATAGTCTAAACAAGGACTAATAAAAAAGAAAGCCAAAAGGGTACATTTCAGCTTAACTGTTGTGGTAAACAAACTTTAGTTGGTTTTGGGATTACCTTTGAGCACGAATCTCTTTACCAGATTACATGCACCGTAGTGAGGGACTTTCACACAAGTCGGAGGCACAAATGGTTCCTCCTTCTCGGCACACAATCTAAACTCAAATCAAAGTTTTTCGCAACAATAAGTCTATTGCTGGCGCTATTTTGCATGTACAGAGAGCCTTGAGTAACAGCAACTATGCGTGACTAAGGTAAGTAGCAATCTTTACATAGGATATTTATAGTTAACACCTTTTAAAACATACCGAAGATAGCAATGAAAAGATTGCATCATCAACAGAATTGTAAAACATTCCTAAGATAACTTGCACATTTTGGATCTTCCCTTTCACCAATCTGCTGATAAATGTAAAGTGAATATCAATATTTCAGTAAATCTGGCGATTTTAGAAAATCCGCTTATTGAAGCTCAACTGTTGTATTGTTAGCCTTCTGTCTCTCAAATTCCCATTCCAATTGGACTCTTGACGAACTGTTGTTTCGCATTCCGAAACTTTGCACTTCAATTTGTGAACATGCATGCAAATAACGAGCGCCAGTCTGGAGGTGTCCTTCCCCCCGGGATTACACTTGGAAAACTTTGTTTCTGGCGAACATGAAGTTGACATAAACTTTGACTACAGGTGTTGCCTGGCACACAACAAAAAAAGTACTCATGATTTAATCTCATTAAAAGTGTGCCTAACTTTACCAAAGCAATATGACTTCCTGTTCCTGAAATAAAGTTCTTTCAGTTTTGTTTGCAACGTTATATTTGTATTTAAATTAAACTTATTGGATATATGTAATAATATCAAGAAAAACTTTTTGCAGTGCAGTCCCAGTTGCCAACCATTCGGGCTGAAGCCAATTCGCATTGATTCGGCGGGCTCGCACATGGGCCTTGGGATGTTGATTAGATGCTTAGCTGGCGGGGTCCTTGATAAATGGCGGCAGTTTAAAGTCGACTGCGTCTGGCACTTGTATGATTTAAGAGTTCAAAGTTCAATTGCCAAGGACTGGGAGCGAACGTCCAGCGGAGCAACAAGTAAAAGCGCTTTTCCACCGGATGACAGTCCCAACACAGCCAGACGCATAATTAACATTGATTCCAGGAATCGAATTTGCGAAGGAAAATTCATCGGTTCGTGTCCTACACTAGATAAAACTTCTAAGTAACATGTTAAAAATTTAAGTGCTAAAAACATATTTCTATAATTTATTGTACATTTTTACAGGAAATAGATTTTGAATGCCTATACTCACCCACAAATAATATGAAATAACAAAAAAAAAGCTTTAAACAATTTCATCCACTTTTCTTGGCTTCTATTCAATTTTGTTTTTGAGTGTGATTACCAACAAACTTCTGAGTGCCGATTCGAAGGACTCGTTTGTGCAGAGAGATTCTGAAAAATGGACTACCTAGATGGCGATACCTTCATATTTCATCGGATCCCGCGCACACATGCAAGTGAAAAAGTTTGGGCCCAATCTGCTCCGGATTTTCCACGTTTCGTTCTTGATTTGCTGCTCTTTCGTGGGTTTTCCTCCTTTTCGGGCAGCTGTCTAATGTAGCCGAAGAAAAACAAAGAAGGCGGCTCTCTGTGCTTTATGGAGATTTAACTTGCCCTAATGAAGCAGTGTCAGAAAAAAGCCAACGAAAAAGAAAACGGGTCCCTGCGAGTCGCATATTTTAATAAAGTTTTGGCTTTATGAAACTTATGTTTGCATTTTGTTGCCCATAAATTTTGAGCGGGCCCTCATCCTCCCGCCTTGAAACCTGTTCGGTGACTTCGCCAAGTGACACCTGAGCCCAATGAAATTTTATGGCACGACCTTGGTTGGCGAAGGCACTTTTTCAGGTTTCGCAACTGAAAGTATGCAAAGCATTTTGCGAATTCTTTTCCCTTTTCCACGGACTTGTGGCTGGCTTTTTTTCGCAATGGCAAAGGGTAATTGGGAAAATGTGGCAGCCTAAGTGGGAATTAAAACAAACCGAATGTTTCACATAGCCCGGGCGAAATTAAATTTCAAAGCCGCTCTCGTCGTCCGACAGACTCCTGTGTGCTGACCATTTTGATGGTCATTCGCGGCATTCACTAATTGCCGGGAAATACTCATGCATGAATTGGCACCACAGAGGTGGCGGGGCAGCATGGGGCGTGGATATTAGAACGCATATTTCATGGGGCAGTCACCGAACCGATCGAAAATTACACAAACTGTGGGTAGCCTGAAATTGCGAAACGTAATTATGTTCCACGCAGATAGAATAATAACCATGTTAAAAGTCAATCTAAAGGGTTGGATGAGAAAACTTGATAAAAAACTTAGAAAAACTAGTAAAAGATGTTAAACCAGATGATGCGCCAAATTTTTTTTTTCATTTTATTTAGTTTTTGACAAACTAGTTGGTTTTCATAATATTTTTGCACGAGTGCTCTGAAAGCCACTTAAATGCGGTTCTGCTTTTGGTAAGTATCCTTTTTTTTACGGGTTTCTTTTTAATCTTTGATATGGTAAGTTTATGTAAAGCTACGAAAATCATGGTAAAACTTTGCAAAGTTTTTCCTCTTGGTATGCAAACAGATTTTAGTCGCTGGTTTAATGTTACTTTCTACGAAGCGGTCTTCGTATAATGTTCATTTTAGTTTGCCCTGCAAAGTCCGGTGGTTTTCAATTTATCCATCACATTTACAATGACAGCTTCATAGCCAAATGACACGCACTTAAAAACAGCAGGATACGCAACAAGATATCCTGGGGAAAATTAAATTTTCAGCGGCCGTGCAGCCTTGACAGCCGTGGTCATCAATCAAACCACTTGTCACATGCTGTCGGCAGGCTGGTATTTAGCCAAATATACATTTTGCCAGCATAATGTTGACAAACAAATTATCATTTTTTCAGCTGCGATAGGGAGCGGCGAGGTGCAGGTCGAGACGGGCTTAGCGTTGATTAAATAGGGTCATCAGCAGGGCAAAGTACTGGTAACGAGCGAGCCTTGCAGATAGTTAATGATGCCCAGCTGCTCAGGATATTGGGCATTGCAAACTGCGTACACGGTGGCCAGTCTTGCTCCCCCACCCAAAGTAAGTCCATCATAATCATTATGGATGTGTTCAATGGACTGCATGGAGAGAAAAGATAAAGCGAGTTAAATGATGTTTGTGGTCAGTTTAATACTTTTCCGCACAAAATTAAGATCGATTTCTGTCATTTAAATTCAAGCTTAAAGCAGATGAAATCTCTAAAATTTCAACTTAAAGTAAAACGAACAAAACCTGTATCAAAAATATGTTCGTTCGATCACAATGATTGTCAAAATATGTAATGCATAATTTTCAAAGGGATTGCATTACGTGCAACTAATGCAAGTTGGTTGAAGCTAAATGGAGTGATCGATTGGACATTGATGCATTCGAAGCAAATGAAGTTGCTGAAATCCATCTCCGCTAGCAAATCAAGACGTCAAAATGTGTTCCCGGGCAAAGCCACTGAGATTCATTGCTTACTTAAGGCATATTTGGCTGGATCAGCTACCAACACCTGCGGCTGACGGGTGTGAAAGAGCTAAGTCATTTGGCCAAAACCAACAAACAGAAGAAATGCACTGAAAAGTATTAATACTTTTCTAATTCTACTTTTTGGTTTTGAAAATTCCATTATTTATTCTTTTATTATTATTATCTTTGAGAAGAAATACTGATTTTACCAAAAAACACATTATCTTAGTTTTGTTTTATGCTGTAACTTGGCCAAAATTAACCATACAGCTAAAAGGCGCATTGTTTTAGAAAAGTGTAAACCACAGCTAACGATCCATGTCACTTTCGGGCGGATTTCAAAAAAATTATTTTTTCGTAATTTTTCAATTTTTTGTAAGGGGTACCATCATCATTTTTTGAGAAAATTGAGCCAAAAATTTTGTTTTTAGGTGTGTACACCAATCGATAGGAAATTTTCTCACGAATTCAACGATGTATGACATTTTATGTTCTGACGAATATTTTATTAAGAAAAACTAATATTTTTGTGTGCTGTATAATATTTTTCTGAGTGTTTTCGGGAATCCTGGGATGATTATGATCCAAATATATAAAATAAAATTTTGTGTGTGGACTTTTAAAATAACTTCTGTTCTCCACAATTCCGATGCGTGCACGTGCACGGAATCTTTGGAATCCAGATTGTTTACGAATGAACGTATGACAACAGAGAGCGAGTGAAAAGAAAACTAATGAGAAAAAGGCAAGGCGCAGGCGTGGAAACCAAAACTCGGCAACACTGGTGAATTTGGGCGGGTTATAATTTGATTTTCCGTAGATTTCAACGGTTTTTAAATGGAATGTTTCCCTAATTTAAAAGAGGAAACAAAATTGAGGATGAACCCCTTCCTTAGAGTGAAGGGTTATGTGGGCCCAGTCCCGGGGGTGACATAGCAACATATGCAACAAGCGGCTAGAGACCCCAAAAGGTTCAAAAGTCCTACCCCAGACCTCCGAAAAATCCACCCGTTTGGTGGCCCTTATAACCCTGCTGATATGGCGCGCACAGCCTCAGAAAATTCCGGCTGGCATTCAGTTTTCCGTTCAGTTCAACGGCAGACTCGCGCGCGTACGGTTCGAATAAAAAAGCGACGGGTCTCCGGATCGGGAACGACTTCTTCGGCTCGTAGCGCTGTCGGAAAAGTGTTGAAAAAATGCTGGAAAATCAGCTTAGAGCAGGCGAAAATGCCGCCGGCACTCGATCCGTATCGTAATTGAATTCGGGGCAGTGGATTGAAAATAAAATTGAATTTCGTAGCAAACAAACACGGGGCATCGAATAGCAAAGCGATAAACTAGTCGTTAAATTGAATATACAAATTGGTGTTTTGATTAAAACTAATAAACATAAACACTGAAACCGCAGAGCACGAGGAAAAGTGAAAAGAGGAATTTATTTTTAAATACAATTTCTTTGTTTTTCGCTGCTTGCAATTGGCTGACATTGCTCATACGCCTCGTTGCCTCAGCGAAAAAGGGGAATTTAGCATAGTTCCTGGTAAGCGGTCTCCCAACGCCTCAAGAATTTTGTGATTTTTTTTTTCCGTTTTGGTGGTCTTTTCATTGCTTTTCCATATTACACAAACATTGTTTTCGAGGGGGGTTTGATTGTGAACTTTGCTTATTGCCAAAACTGAAATTGTTTTGGGTTACGGCTGTATTAAAAGTTAATGCAAATTTGAGTTGGCAAAGTAATCATAAAACTGCTATTTGTACACCATTTTGAACTTTATCCAAAATGTAATTACTTCAATCGGTTAATCAAGCGATGAAGCCGAATTCGAAAGATCAAACTCAAGGGCGTCCCTCTTCATCCCGATTTTCCACTCAATTTGAGCATCGAGTTCCACGATTCCAGTCAAGCGAGAAATAGTTAACGGATAACCAAAAATCAGCACGCTCAATTGGGTTTGTCGATTAAAAGGACCTCCGATGATCTCAGACTCGGGAAATGCGTCGGGAAAACCAAATTCCTCTGGGTAACAATTAATTTGATTCCGTTCCCAATATGTTAACTGGCAAAGCCCCCAAAGGAAAATCATTTATTTTTTAGTATGTACCTTTGCATTTACATCCTGTGTGATAAAATAAAAACTGCTCGCATCGGATTATCCCTTGGGTGTTCTCAGATGCGCACATTACTGATGTTTATAATGCAAATAAACAAAGTGCTTAAAATGTATTTACTTTAGGACTTAACTTACTTTAACCTTGTGGGGATTTCAAACCATTTTATTAGTAGGAACATCCGTTTGTTGTGAATTAAATATGCTAAGTATCCTCCTTAACAAAAATGAAGTGGTTGAAAATAAAAAGTTGAAGCCGAATCATAATATGAATAAAAACGTTTAACCGAATTGGTAGCTTAACTGAAAGTGTTTTGGGTAATTACAAAGATTTTTTTAATCATTTTCGATCGAAAAAATAAATTAAATAGATATATATTCAATTGGTATTAATCGTGTGTAACAAAAACTATAAGTCGACAAGTCGAACAACAATTCGATTGCTTAAAATAATTCCAATTAAATGAATTAATTAATTAAACTGTTGTGAATTATGTTAGCATACAAATTCAAATGCTACAAATCAATGTAAGACGACAACAAATGTATTCCATTTGTAGAATAATAGCTTGATTGCTCCTTTAATTAGGATCCTAGTAATTGGTCATTGCCAACTGATTCACTTAATGTGTCCATTTCATCATTGGATTTAAATTTAGAAGACAGCCATCGAACTAAAGGCAATCCGTTTGCCAAATAGCCCGTTTAATTGGCCCTGTGAGCCCGGAGCCATCTGACTCAATCACTGGCTGCCAAAAGTTTTGCCGCTCCTAAATATTTAATGTCAACTATGATTAGTGAAGGCCGCAAGATGTTGTGGCCTGCCGGCTGTGGTCGAGGGTCTTTGGCCGAGTGGAGTGGTTGGCCGGATAAATGGCTGCTTGCCGGGCAAATGGACGCATCCGCACTCGGATTCGGATTCGGATTCGCATTCGCATTCCCATCTTCACAAAAGCCCAGTCAACGGTCAGCTGAGCAAACCGAAATCCTTTCAACGCGAATTGCTTTCAGCGGTGCGGAGGATCCCCCTCTCCCCCTTCCGCATTAGTCCTGTAAGCCGGAATGGGCCGATGGCCATTAGTTGGCCTACCAAAAAAAGGCGGTCTTTAAAGATCCAGGCAGGCGTGAACGAGCGGGGATCTTTAAGCGAATTCGAATGTGAATGCGAATGCGAATAAGTAATAAGCGAATGCCGTATCCTTCGTATGCTCAGTATGTCCAGTTCTGGTCGAGCTCCACAGTGCTGTCATGCATCAAAACATTTAATTAAATTGAAACCGATGCGGCATCCGCCCCACTGCTGACGTCTTTTCCCGGACGTTGTAGGATGTGGGGCCCAAAGGACACCGGCGGGGAGATGGAGGGCAGGGCTGCAGGTCCTGTGGCGCCGGAGACGTGTGTAACTTCGGCTTTCAGCTCTCAGCACTCAGCTTTCAGCTGGTCACCAGCTCACTATATCAGCTCTGTGTGAATTTAAATGAGGCAGTCCTAAACAAGTCGGTGAATCATGTACATATTTTAGCGGTACTCAGATGAGTTGGTCCTTCCTTTGTGCAGCTCCATTGAACTATGCACTGTCCTTGTCGGTGGACAAAGGAGAAAAGGACATACTTTCGCAGGGGTTTGCCTTTAAATAAATGGGTTAATTTGTAGGCATTGTTCGGGCACAAGAGCAGAAAATAACATGTGTAGTCGAAACATAAATGCATAAATTATAGGCTTTGCCAACTTTGTATATCTAATCTAAAATATTGTTCCCTAATTTTGGCAAAAGTTATTTGCAACTATTGTCAGATTGTTATTTATGATTTAATACAAACGAAGTAAGCGTACAATTTATGGCATACAATTTCATTTGATCATTTTATTATTCGCAATCATTGTCAGACAATATAATTCTGACTACAAGGACCGAAAATGTAATGCTTTTAAACCTAAAATATTTCACAAATTGAATCACCAACGTGCATTTAGTTAAATGGTCATAAAAAGCATAAATTGCAAAGTATTCAAATCAATTTTGAAATAAGTGAAAAGTGGAAAGCTTCTGTTCAGTAGACATTCAACGGGCGAAAAAAAAGACCAATCAAAAGTGAAATATACTCAAATTCCCCCTTGGCTTCGCCACTGGTCGTCATCTTTCCACACCAAACAGATCTGATGGAAAATCCAGCGAATGGGATGTGGGTGAAGTGGGTGGTGGTGGGGACCACTGGTCTTTGAGAATGGGAGCCAAGTGGGCAATATACATACTATAGCTCGCCTTTCTGCACTTGCTCCACCAAAGAGCCATCGCCTGTCTCCGCTTTGTTCCTCAATTTACACATAATTGCAATAAATTGACTAAGTGGGTGCTGGGGTGCAAAATTTATAGCTCCAGACATTTGGGCGGAACTGCAGTCGGTTATTTGGTTCGTTCTCCGCTCAGCTCTCGGATTGCTATGCAGGGCACTCCGATAGACTCCGGTTGATAAGATAAGACATCGGAATACCCCGGACTCCCCCACTCCGTTCACCTGTTTGCTTTGGTTTATGTCCACTGCTGGTAATTGGTAACTGGCGGCACAGGGGCGATTGGCCGTACAACGGGGCGTATGAGTGGCGTTTTTTGTGGCGTGAGTGGCGTAAGTCGCATGAGGGCTGAATGTATTCCTTGCAATCACTGCCATGGCTTTTGTGGCTTCTTTATGAGCCAGGGAAATGGCCTTAAATGGTACATAATGCTTAGGATGTAAGCACACGCACACACATGCTGGTCACCTTAAATTCCCTTAAACTCTGTACACACATCGAAATCCGTCCGAGCGGGCAGAAAAATTTAATTTCAACATACCTGAGCCGAGCTGATTCATTTGTAAATAATTCTAATGCCTGTTATCTGTTATTGGCCATCCAACTTTAAAGGCAAATAAACCCGAATCGCTTGAACAATTAAATTCGCAGAAACAACTTGTCCTGCCTCAACACCGCCATATATTATATATCTCCAAGTTCGCCCAAGTACGCATTTATCCGATGTTTATATAGTATTTTAGCGCTTTTATCACCCACGTTTATTTATATATATTAAGGGGGATTGTTTAATTTTCGTGGATGTTATTGTTTCGTCTGTTTTTCGGTAAGGTGCGAAAGATAAATCCAGCTCGCAAATGAATTTCTTGCTCCGAGCATTGTGCGGAGCTCATTAAACAATCATTTTGATGAATTTAGCCCGACTGCCGAGATTCGGAAACGTGGAGGAGCTGGTGGCGCATGTGGCCAATTTGCAGCACCATACATTTAATGCTCATTTTGTGCCTAATTGTTTTGCCGGTGCGGGTGTGTTAGTGTGTGCTTGTTTGTGCTTGTGGGTAAATTAAAAACGCTCGTTTAAGCCGGCAAAAGGCGTTGGTAATTACAATTCAAGTTCACTTCCACTACCCCGAAAAAATGTGCTTATTACGTTTCGGTTTGGCTGCCTATGTTGCTTGCTCTGCTCGTATTTTTGTTTTTTAATAAATTGTTTTAGAAATATACAGGCCGGGCGGCAGGAAGTGAAAGTACACTGAATGTGGACCGACATGTCAGGATGGGGGCGTGGCAAGGGAGGGAGGGAGGTAGGGGGAGGTGGCATGGCTGTAGGACAGCGCCCCAACTCGTATTGACATACATATGTAGTGGCACATACAAAAGCGTTTGCAGAGAAATAAAAAACACAATGGCTGTCTCTTTTGTCTACAAATCATAAATAATCCGATTTTGTAATTATAATATGTAATGCTTTTTGCTTCCTTTATAATTCATTTGTAATTTACTGAATGTTGGGTGATACAGTTAATTTCTAATTAACTTTAATGCTGGCTTCAGCTGAAATATATGTAAAGCAATTATTGGCTTCAAATTAAACTGTGTAGGAATAAGCGGGTTAGTTAATAAGAAGCGGTTTTGTGTAGTAATGTCTAGACAAGAGATTTGAAAGAGATTTTTCTCCCAGTATACACCCAAGGGACTGGGCTGTCCGTGTCCATATAGACCCGCACTGTTGCTGCAGCCACACACTCCCACTTGCCCGCCAACACATCAACCCACCGAACGACCAACTTACAAAGACCCACCGACTAAACTCGTCTTTATTTCTCGGCGCTGTGTGCCTGTGACTATGCCACCCTGTACTTGACTTGTCAAATACAAAAAGAGAAACTGCCGAGGGACCGGGAAAAAACTAGACCTTTTATTCTCGGTCGTAATGAACGCTGCATGTGCTTTCCACGCTCCTAAAAAATATGTGGAATGCTGTAAGCAGTTGTGGCGAGTCGAAGGTCCAAAGGGAATTGTTTAACTTTCACAGAAAAACCCTACATTTTCGCATAATCAATATTAAACAGGCAAGAGTTTTTTGCTTGAAATGATTTATTAAATAGAGTTAAATTTTAATATTTTGTAAACTCTTGTGGTTCAGTAACTCCATTGTATGAACAATCTGAAAAATGAAACTTTTTAAACAGTTAAACTCTTTGTTAAAGTTTGCCAAACTATACACTTAATTATTTGCATTTCCTACTCTTTTTCAAGTGTTTACCCTGACGTTTTAAAAACCCGACGGTGTCTGAAACACTTGGCTGAACTACTAAGCATCCAGCTCGCAGTGCTGCTGTTGCAGTGTCTATCTAGATTTGATTTGATAAACAAAGACCTAGGAAAAATAGGAAAAACAACAACAACAACAAAATCCACCGCGAGTCAGCGAGATAAACTCATTTTAAAGTTTACGCTCTGCGTGCTGGCACAACACGGCGTATACGCAACGCCACACGACTTTCCACTGCATCAGCGTTTTACATCGCTTTCGGTGGCTGGCCATGGCACGTGACAGCTTGGCCATTTTTCAAGTTCACCGAAATTCCGAGCACAAAAATGCGAATCTAATTTTTTGCGATTATTGCCGAAAACGCAATTTGAGCGGACATCAGTCAAAAAGGACCTTCCCGCACACAAACTCATTCGCCGAGGGGCGACCAACTTTTAGTTGGTTGAGCACTTTGCTATTCTGGCAAATATTTGCTTTCATCGTGCGTTTTTTTTCGGGGGCGTGAAACGATCTGCCAATTATGGTGAACATTCCGTTTGAAGATTGTTTGCCTTTCATTAAGACTGCATCGCCGACGCGTCATCACCCGGTGCACTTCAGTTGCCAATTTCTGGACCGAACCAGAACCACAACCAACTTATTAATTTGTCTGTGGCATGTGCTTTGTTTTGTCTATTTGTAGTCATTATTTGTAATCATTCCCCAGCAGACGAGCTGCCGGCAATTGATTTCTGTACGCCTCGCTGTTTGTTTAATAGCTTTCGATGGCGTCGCTTTTGGAGAGGGGGTTGCATCTTTGTCGGCCGGAGTATTGGTGCACTCTATTGACTTGGCAGATAAACTGTTATTCCAATACATAAAGTAGAACACGGGGAGAAAAAAAATATGATTTTCTATTAGAGAACAATAGGCAATGTAATACGCAATCTTATTTTTCATAATATTCTTGCATTAAGCAGGTAAAGAAAGAGAAGTTACCTCTATATATATAAAGGCCTACTTACTTGACCTACACCTTATTTTTTGGCTTATACCTTATACTCTAGTCGTTGAATTCTTTCCATTACTGCTGGGCAGTAACAAAGTCCGAAAGCAAACAAAGTAATAAAAGCGCCTTGAAGGAATATAAAGCAGCTACTCGGACTATCGTTTTTGTTGAACTTCAAGAGACGCGACTGGCCGTTGCAATTATCTCGAGCTGCCAAGGACAGATCCCAGTCATAATTGAAGGACAACCAGGTCGCTCCCGTGGAAGGACCTCCATTCACTATGGGCAAAAAGTAGGCAAAGAGAAGCTTTCCTGTCGTTCTGAAACAATTGTTCCCCGGCCATCAGACACTCGAAAGGCAGGTAAATCTAGCTCAAGGGACGCATTAAAGAAAATAGCCCTACTGCGTTCTTTTCAATTGGATTTGAGCTATTTTTATCCAAGTAATGACGCTACAGATAATAATATTTCTATTTAAACGGTGTAGCTTAAGGGCCATTCATCAAAATTTGTGACCATTATATTACAATTTATATTACAATTTATGGAAATAGGAAAATGAAATAATTTCTGTTATATTAAAAGCTGGTCCTTCAAATGCAAAGCAATAAGCCCGGTAGTTAGGTATTGATTATTCAGAAACATTGATAAATTAGTTTATGTCCCTATAATTTACACGCCCACTTATTAGGTTTTTGATTGGGCAGCTAATGTTCCTATTTTGATTGTTGCTCGTTCACGTTTAGAGTCAGAAATTAGGTGAGGCTTTACACGGAAAATCAACTTTTGTGTTCTACAAATTACGGACGTTTTACGCTCAAAAAGTTTCCAAGGCTTCCGAATCACTAATGGCCACCACTTTTCGGTCTCATCAAGAGCTGCCCAAGCACACTTAAGTAACTTTTATTTCGGGAGAACTCCTAAGTCAGATTATTCAAAGAACTAGAAACAAACCACAGAAAACTTGTGCAAAAGAGCAGGAGACAGGGCGACAATGAGTCACGTAGCGAAAAATAAAGAAGGCGAAATCATGGAGAAATCAAAATCGATATGAATACCTTCATAAGCACGTAGAGGGAATGTGAAAAGTTTTTACTGAAAATGAGCATCAAAAGCTTTGTTTCGAACAACAAACACGAGGGCAACAAAGATCACAAAATAAAATAAAACATGCCAGAAATTAAATTAGATGGTCTCGTTACTGTTTCCTCTGCATTTTTCAGGTTGAAAAGTTGGCAAATGGAAAGCAAATAGGAGAAACGAAAAGGGATACGCAACATTAACTCGGGAATCCCTTTTGCCAGGATAAAGACAAAGAGAAAGTACTCGGGGGCGTTGAAAAAGGACATCAGCCATGGAGAACCGCAGTGACTTCGAGGCGGATGATTACTCCGACATCAGCGGGAACAACTGGAGCAACTGGAGCACCCCCGCAGCCGTTCTCTACTTGGCCATGAGCAGTGTCCTGGCGACCACGAACCACACTCCCCTTCCCGACTTTGGCCAGGACCTCGGCCAGTCCACCAGCTCCTTCAATCACAGCCAAACGTGAGTTAAGCTCGGATCCGTCTAATGCCTAATTATGACTAAACTCAATTAATGCCCAAACTCACGAACAAACAGAGCAATCATGGCAGTCGTGGGAAATTAATTTGAGGGGCTTTTCAACTAGTAAATCCATTTTTAATTCCAAGAAGAAACTTTGCTTAGATTGAAATTTATTGATTACAATTCGGTGGCTTTTTTAATTTCTAATCAAGACCTCATTTTGTATTGCCACTTTTTTTCATTTTTATTATAATGTGAGTCTGCAGACTGTGTAGGCCATATTGTAATTAAAATTCATCATATCCAGATGCCCAAGGGGGTCCTAAGCACCCATAGAACCCTGTCTACTCCACTGCACTCGGAAAGTAGAATGGGATCGCAGATTTCGTGGCTTTTTGATGAGTCCTGATGAGTCCGCCTTCGCGTCTGTTTTATGCGCGATATGCCACTGATTGTGCCCACACTAACATGCATCTCTAATGACGCCTCCGTTCAGTCATTCCGGCATTCCGGCATTCAGTCATTCATTCAGGCATTTCCGTGCAGTCCGTTCGACGCTGGTGCTTCGCTTCCGTTTCAAATACATAAAACGTCGGAGGGCCCGCGAAAGGCAAACACATTTAATGCCGGGATACTTAGTATACATATCGTATATAGACAAAAAAAAACTGCGGGTGCTCAAACTGCCGGCATTTATGCTCTTCAATGGCATTCAACTCTATTCTTGCAGACATGTCCCAAATTTACTGCCGCAACAGCGGCAACAAATGGGTTACTACGTCAGTCGAACTCGGATAATTATTGGGATATGGCTGCGACTGACGCATCGAAAATACATTTTGCCCATGACTCTTCGCTTTTTTTGCGGCCCAAAACTGCTATATATCCTTCAGGCAGTGCTCAGCACTCAATCCTGTGACAACAGTCAGTAGTATCGTATCATTGGCTGCTGCTACTGCTTTTTCTACTGCTCTCTTTTTTTCCTGAGTTGTCTATTTGTTTGCGCAGGCACTACGTCCGATTTATGTGCAAATAAAAGGCAACCAAGATGGCTAAAATCGGGAGGACGAAGCACACACACCCTGGCATATTTTTCGACACAAAAGAATCCCAGCATCAAAGCAAAACATATTTGTACACATTTCACAGAAGTGGCACAATAACAATTTTATTTGCTGAAACTGTGCAGATTCCCATAACAACTAATAAAAGGCATAGGTTAAATGCTAGTTTATTTTCGGCTGAGATCATTTTTATTTACAAATAAAGAATATATTTTAAGAGTGGGTTGGAATTAATAGAGCATTAAAGAATGGTAAAGTTGTTAAATATATTTTCAAATCGATTGGATTCAATTCATAGAACAAAACCGAACAAAAGTGAGAAAACTGCCCCTGGCGACTTTTAAAAATTTTAAACAAGTACCTCAACAACAATAAAATGCTTTTAAAACTCGACTTAGAATTTCGGACTGTACTGTTAACTCTCTAAACTGATATCCCCTTTTTCCTGTCGATTGGCACTGTTTAAACCTCAACACCAATATCAACAAGAGTGTGAGTTCTGGGAGCCGAAGACATCAGAGTAGTAGCAACATCTTTTTTTTCGCTTTTTGCCATGACATTTTCTTTGGCCCGAGGCGTCCTGAATTTGTTTCTCTGACTCTTCTATCCTCACTTTTCCCATCCAGCCATTTCCATTTCCATTTCCCATTCCGTTTTTCACAGGCCTATCTGGCTCCCCACAAAACAAATCAATAATCCTCTTTGCATTAGGCCCTCGAACAAAAGAGATTTTATGTAAATCCCCGTAGTTCGTCAACCGAAAAAGAGTGAGTGTGAGTGCATAGTGAGAATTACTTATGTGGGCATCTTTTTAATTGCTGTGAAGAGCGAGTAAACAAAGCATTAATGACTACCTAGCCAATTTAGTGCCATCCCCAGCACACTGCGTGCATATTAAATGACATGGCTGTTGTCCTGCCCTCCAGTTTTCTAGTTTATGCGACCAATAAAGCCCGATCGGAGGACGGGGTCTAACCCTCCTGTCGCGTCACAAATCCGCTGGAGCGAATCCTCGGGTTCCCTCTATTTGAGCACTCTCCTAGATGCGAACCTAAATAAACAAGACGAGGCTCGGAAAATATTAAAAAGATGACGACAACCGCCGATGAGTGAGTGGAGTCCTCTGCCCTCCGGCTGAACCCGATGTTTTATGCGGCAGACGGCGCTGGAGAAGAACACGGATTTGTCAACGCACGCACAATTACACACGCTTAATAGCGACAACATCCTGGATACGCACATATAGATACACAGAGAGAAACGGGTATTTTTATGAGATTTAGGTTGTATTCTTTAGGGGTTTTTAATTAAAAGGAATTACTATTTAGAAATATTTTTTTTATTTATAATAGTGTTTTTTTTTTTAACTGAGAGGTTTTAAAGCTTATAAATAATCTTTTGCTAGGCACTTTCTTCCAGTGCACACAGGCTTGTAAGCTGGAAGCACCCATTCGCATGCTTACATAGACACATCACCCACTTGGCACTCGTTTATGGCGTAGCAGTGGGACGACGTGAAACATAACACACACTTAATCTCGATGTCACTAATTCCCCATTGTACCTCACATCCCCCTTATCCTCCTTATCCACCTTATCCACCTTCTGCCTTTCTCATTCACAGCCTATCCACAGACCTGCCCTCCACCGTCGACGTGGAGGATGCGGCCAAGGATGCGGCGGCCTCCATGGAGACGAGCCCGTTTGCATTTGTGGTCCCGTGGTGGCGACAGGTGTTGTGGAGCCTGCTCTTTGGCGGCATGGTCATTGTGGCGACCGGCGGTAACCTGATTGTTGTCTGGATTGTGATGACGACCAAGCGGATGCGGACGGTGACCAACTATTTCATAGGTGAGTAGGCTGATTTGCTTGTCATGTGTGCACACCTTGCGTATACGTAATAAAAATCACTCATACGGCATGTTGGGCATGCGAGCTTAGCTTGTAAATCAAATATTTGCTGGTTTAGTGAGCCCTAGATACCGTCTCTTCCCATGTCAAGTTAGTAACGTTTAGTGAAATTTAACCAGACTTTAACTTGTTCTTCGCCCAACTACTTTGTCGGTAATGAAAAATTAAAGACTATAGTTTCCGCCAAAAACTATTTTTCATTTTCCCGCGTTCCTCCAATTAGGATCCTGGTGTTTCCCCTTTAGTTTGTCCAGTTCGGGTCGACGAGCTCTGACAAGAGCCCGTGGGGCTTGTTTAAGTCTCTCCCTGGGAAAACTGGGGTGGATTACCTATTTATGGCTGCTGCTGCACCGAGCGGCACTTAAAGAGCAACTGAATTGGTCGCTGGCCTCCCTCTTCCGCATTTTACATGCACCCTGTTGCATGGCTCTGATATTAACTTTACTGCCCCTCAATCCCCCATCGCTGTCAATTTTGACTGAACGGAGGAGAAAGCCAGCCAGGATGGGATTAATTTTAATTTCCTTGGCCTTCGGGCATCAAATCAAGTTATGAAGTTTGCAGTCTAAAGACTGAACTTGACTCTCATTAATTGAATATGCTTTTAAACACGTTTCGGGATGCATCCAAGTCGCATTCCGACTTTCCTACTTATGCACTCTCTAATCTCAATTCTAAAAACTTTAACGCATGCTTAGAGACGCCGAAGTTTAGGCCAAGCTTATTAAAGTTTTAATAAAGTTTTCCCCATAACGACACTATCGACATTTTGCAGAGAAGTTTTCCTTCTCTCCTCCGGAATGTTTACTTAGATACCTGATTGCCAACTTTATGCATGCGCAATTATTTTAATATAATGCCCGAGCAACCTAAGACTGAAGGCAATAAAATGAACCTGGAATTGATTCCGTTTTGCGAGCTTACCACTAATCCAGCTCTTGTGTTCGACGGATCCCATCCAGATATAGCAAATAACATCGGAGCAGGCAGCAATCTTGGCCCGAACCCTCCTGTTCCACTTGCCTTTTGTCAGAGACTTGGTAATGATTATTATTATTACGTAAACTAAATGCCCGTTGAGCTCAGAGGGCTTTGGCGAAGGCATTTCGAATTTGCATTTATAAATACACATTGGCAATCATTATTAGTAACAAGTTCTGACGTTTTAATCATTTTCGGGCACGAAAATTTCAAATTCACATCACAGACAGCTGGAGCAGCTCCTCGTCCGCCCATCGAGGTGGTTGGGTTTTCGGGGGAAACCAGTCACCGGATGATAATCTTCTTTGGGTTCATTATCAATGCGTATTTGCATCTTTTGTTTGAGTTTCTCGGGTAGGGTATCGTTTGTAATGAGATTCTATCAACTTTGTAGCCATAAGAAAAAGGTTTTTCTAAATATATCTTCGTAGAACAAGCTATTCTTTTGAAAATTTTGTTTAAGACTCTTCAAACATTTGACATTTATTTAAAAATTATGTAATTTGAAAAGTTTTTCTTTCCTCATTTAAGTTTGTGATTTTTATTAAGTTCCATCCAGGTCATAAATAATATTCCTGTTATCTCGGGCAGAGTGTGTGCCCCCTGCAAAGGCGGTGGGCCTAAAAAGTTACATTTTGTTATTAATTAAAATGGGCCAGAATCGATATTCGGGTACGTGGCTGACAGGTCCGTGCCCCCGGGGTAATGGTTATGGGGCCATAGTCAACGGCCCCGGGAGCCAGGTCGATTGTTAGAATGCGACACGTCGCCTCGTGTCGTGTCGTAGGCGTCGCAGGACTCGCAGGACACTCAGGAGTCGCAGGAGCTCGCAGCAGCCGAGAATAACATGAGGACACGGGCTAATGTTCGGCAAAAGGACATTTGTTTTATTGTAGCTGCTGTGGGCTTCGAGATGCTTTTTATTCTTCGCCACTTCGTCGCCTTATCTCCAGTAGATAATGAAAAGTAAACAAAGACGGAGACCGAAGACTTCTCTTTCTCAGTGTTGGCATTTTCCTTTCGCGTGGCCCGTGTTATTGTCTATGGCTGCTGATTCATTGGCATGTAAATCGGTCCATGCAAATGAAATACAATAAAAGCATATCAAGTAATGGATTCCAGACGAGATGCTCTCGTTTCCTGTTGATTTTGGTACAAATATGCGGGTGAAAGTGCACTTTACCCGTCGCTAATTATAAATGTACAGAGCGCAAATAAAAGGTAAGTGGAAGTGACGGGAGTTGTGTTTTCTTTTCGGGCCCTCGAAGGTTGCGTAATTACGAAAATTCTTTGTTGTTTGTTCTGCATAATTTGCCGGCTGTTGCCACTCGAACAGATAAGAATGATTTCCCGTCTCTGCCTTTTCCGGTTGGCCAGTGAACCTCTCCATCGCGGATGCCATGGTGTCCAGCCTGAACGTCACCTTCAACTACTACTACATGCTGGACGGCGACTGGCCCTTCGGCGAGTTCTACTGCAAGTTGTCCCAGTTCATCGCCATGCTGAGCGTTTGCGCCTCCGTGTTCACCCTAATGGCCATCTCCATCGACAGGTGAGTGGATCCGGGGATTGTGGGGATTATGAATGCCCGAAGGAGCAGCCACATATGCATATGCATACGCCGATCCCGTCGACCTATCGCGACCCTTATCAATCACGGTCAGGAGCACGGGCCAAGTAACCCATTCGCTTTAATAGGATTTCATAGGGCCGCAGACATGGGAGCACAATTGGATTGCCTGTCACAAAGCTCAAAACGAGAACCCATCAAAATACGAGCTCCCCGAAATACATAAATAAATAATGTTCCACATACTTAGGCTGAAGCGTTTATTGATGATTCACCTATTTGAAATATTAGGAGGCTAAATCGAATTATTCTGTCTAGTAAACAAAATAGCCGATAAACAACTCGAAAGATTATAAATAATTTTTCCAATGCTTAGTGATAGTGAAGAATAATCCCTTTTATATCGAAGGCGTATTCATCAAATTATACTGTCTAGTAAACAAATCAGTGGGCATACAGATACAAATGCCGAACTGTTTATAAATAATTCTCCATTTACTCAGTCCCAAATATTTATTGAAGATTTATCGGTTCGAAATCGTAAGCATGCATATAAATTTAAATATACTGTCAAGTTAGGGCATGTACCAAAAATAAATTTTAAAAGTTCAAGCTGCTGAGCAAAACATTTAGCAACAGTGAATTGAAAACCGACGAATAAATAAAAAGCCTATAAAACATTGCTACAATGTTTGCATTTATTAATTTTCTTCCCCGTCCATAATAATAAAATCCAGAACCATCAGTAGAAATAAATGTATTGGAAATGTCGAGCATATAAATAAAAGACTTGCGTGCGACACATAAATAATGCTTCTTTCGAGCGATAAATTAAGTTAATGCTTAGTCAAAGAAACTCTTAGGTATACATTTAAAGTCTCAAATCACGGTAAATTAATCCAATTAAAGACCTCAGCGAATAGAACAAATAAATCACACAGGCTGCTCATACGCAACATAACATTATCCTCCTATTGGGTTACTGTTTAAACTCCCTTAATGACTCCAACTTTTAATGGCATGTCGTGATCCGATGAAATAGCACCACGCAGGCCAAAATTCAGCAGATTAAATTACTTTTTGGCTGAAGCGCACTTCTGCAAGGGCCGTTCTCTTAATTTCATTTCATGGCCCTTTTTTTCGGGGTGACCTCGTCCATTCCGATAATCAGCTTACTGTGTGGAGGTTCCCTCTCAGCAAAAACTTTGTTAGCGAGGGCCCTCCACTCGACCGAAATTGTTTTAAAATGGCACCTCTCATTGGTTTTACTTTCGCAGGTACGTGGCCATTATGAGGCCACTGCAGCCGCGGATGAGCAAGCGATGCAATTTGGCCATTGCAGCGGTCATCTGGCTGGCCTCCAGCCTCATCTCCTGCCCCATGATGATCGTCCACCAGACGGAGGAGGTGCCCGTGCAGGGGCAGGGCATCCGCACAGTCTGCTTTCCGGATTGGCCCGATGGCCCAACGGGTCATTCGAGGCTGGAATCACTGTGAGTATCCGTAATCCTTTCGCGAAAAAAATCAAGTGCTCAGCTGAACTCAGCCGAATTTACGTCAGTTGAAGCTGTCAGTGCTTGTTTCCACCATCACATTAGTTGGGGGAAAAAAATAGTTGCCGTCAATGCACAGTGAAAATTTTCCAGTTTTTTTAACCAATTTATTTAGGAGATTAAAATTTATTTTTTAAAAGTTGCTAGATTAATGCATATACTTTCTTTAAAAATGTATTTAAAGTTATAGTAAAACAGTTTCGTTTTCAAAATTGCTTTTTGTGAGTGGATACCCAAAAGGTTTTTCTTGTCAGCGAGCTGGAGGTGTAAATCAAAAAATCAGAGCGTCATTCGAGTTGGAAGTTGCACATGCAGGGACAATCGGAATCCGGATCTTTAGTGAGACTGAGGGATGTGGATTATCGGGGATGTGGTCGTAAAAGCGAACATTTGGAGACAAAACTGAACCAAGACATTCACATAAAAAACGAATGGCCAAATGGGTGGGCAGTCGGTAGGGGGTAGGGGGTTGGTTGCCTGTGGGCAAAATCGGGAAGAGGGGCAGATAAAACGTGTTGCTTTTTACAACCATTTTGTATGGCAATTTGGTAGCAGTGGGTGTCCTGCGTTCTGCTTTCTACGTCCCCCGTATTCCCTGTGTTATGCATTGTGTCCCACATGCAAGGCCATTAATTTTAGATTCATTCCAAATTGCTACTTGCTCAATAAAAAAATAAAACAAAAGCCAGCGGCAGCAACAATGTCCGATGGAGCGATAGGGGTTTTAAAAGCATTGCTCGACTAACTGAAAGGCTTGTAAACACGCTGTTTGATCTACTCTATTTGTGCGCCTTTGTCGTTTAGCTACAACATCCTCATCATCGTTTTAACGTACTTCCTGCCCATCGTCTCGATGACGGTCACCTACTCGCGTGTTGGCTTCGAGCTCTGGGGATCCAAAACGATTGGCGAGTGCACGCCGCGCCAAGTGGAGAATGTGCGCAGTAAACGGAGGGTAAGTCCTGCTGCCCGGCTTCCCGGCTTCCATTTCGACACTATAATTAGCACTTGGTTTCGGAAGTCCCCAGATAGAAATCTTAACAACTTTTCGGAAGCTTTTTTGATTTTGCTTTTAGATGTCCTGCCTCGACAAAATTTAATTGCTTTTAAAGAAGGACTTAGGAACATAACTTTTTAAGCATTTAAGTTGTTTTTGCTCTAAATTTTTCCATAGATTTTATTTATGCGGCTTTTAAGGGTTTTCGCATTTCGTTTGGTTCCAACGAAAATGTTATTGCCTTTTCTGGAACTCCTTTTCCATTTGGCCACCTGTGTTGATGCTAAACATTTTTATTAACTTTACCCATAGTTTCTAAAGTTGAGTTTAGTTCATGGAAAACGAGTTTCCGTAAACAACCTTTTATGTTTTCTATGATTTAAGTCCAGAGCTTTCAAGAAATCCATTTAGGAATTACTTATGTTTAAAAATTAATGTTGTCACAGATACATTTATCCACAAAATAGAGCAAGCATTTTAACAAATTCAAAACAATTTGTACGCGTGTTGTAACCATAAACTGTCGCCTTTCTCTTAGGTGGTGAAAATGATGATAGTAGTTGTCCTGATATTCGCCATCTGCTGGCTGCCGTATCACTGCTACTTCATCATCACATCCTGCTATCCCGTCATCACCGAGGCACCCTTCATCCAGGATCTCTACCTGGCCATTTACTGGCTGGCCATGAGCAACTCCATGTACAATCCCATTATATACTGCTGGATGAATTCGCGGTGAGTAGTTGAATCGCTCGCCACTTCGCTTAGTTAGTTAGTGGAAGGTTCACGTTCATGTGGTTGCTTTAACCCGAAACAAATTGGGTAATTTGCGGTTGAGTTAGCACCATTAGGACCATAAGTGCAGTGGCATTCCGGACTTCGACATCTCGGCAAGAGCCGCGTCGACAGATTAGTTGATTGGTTACCCGACTCCCCGGAAATTAATGTGCTCGTCATCATTACTGCAGGAACCACAGGCACAACGTGCTCCTGGTTGCTAGTCGTTGCTGTCTCGCACTTTGAATATAGTTTGCAAATACATGCCAACATGATTCCGGAAAACTGACACACAGCTGCGGTTGAAATAAAGGCACACTAGTTGACATTCATTTGAAGCCGGCATTCCATGTGTTTAAAACAGTACAAAAAATCATTTTATATAAAAATCAGGAGTAATAACTATAAATCGTAAAATGTGAGGTAATAAAAATAGCCTGAATTAGTTTAATCACAACATTAACAAGAAAGGAAGCTAGCTTCGGCAAGCCGAAGCTTATATACCCTTGCAGTTACTAAATATGCCGAACAAAATACATAAAAGCTAAAGAGCATCGAAGCTATGAGGATTTTTCTATTAATTTTCCATATTGTTCATATGACAGCTATATAATATAGTCGTCCGATTTTAATGAAATTTAATTTGTAACTCAAGACTCATTAGAAAACTCTATATTCCAAAAATCATTATTGTCTGATGAAAAACAACGAGGTTATAATTATATTTCCGTTATTTCTATATAGATTTTTCGATCTTTCCTATGGCAGCTCTATGATATAGTACTCCGATTTTTATGAAATTTTTTTCTCAACTTAAGAGTATTTAAAAAACTTTATGTTCCAAAAATCATGCTCGTGGCATTAAAAACAACGACATTATAATTTTTTTTCCATTATTTATATATATATTTTTTGATCTCTCCTATGGCAGCTATATGATAGAGTTATCCGATTTTGATAAAATTTAATCCGAAATTCAATAGCAGTTAGAAAACGCCATCTGGAAGGAGTCAAGTCGATCTGATCAAAAACAACGGTGTAAACATTTTTTATTTCATTCTCTTGTATGGGAGCTATCCGATATAGTCGCCCGATCCGGCTCGTTCCGACATATATACTGCGTGCAACAACTACACAACTTTTGGGAAAGTTTCAGCGAGATAGCTTTAAAACTGAGAGACTAGTTTACATAGAAACCGACAGGAGGACAGACAGACAGACGGACAGACGGACAGACGGACAGACGGACAGACGGACAGACGTACATACATATTTCGATTCAGATGGTGATGCTGATCAAGAATATATATACTTTATGGGGTCTGAGGTGTCTCCTTCACTGCGTTGCAAACTTCTGACTGAAATTATAATACCCTTTGCTCTGCAAGGGTATAAAAATGGAAAAATTCCACATAAAAACTTAATAGTAAAATAAAATTAATTTTTGAAATTATTATTAAAAATATTTGATAAACTAAAACCAAATCCCACTGCTTTAACCGCAACTGTTGGTGTATAAATATTTGTGTTTTCACACTTAGACAAAAGGCGTTGCTCATAAATATATAGTGTATATGGCCGTACAAATTGGCAGTCGGTGTTCGTGCGTCCGTGTCCGGAAAAACGTAGCGGATTGCAATTAATTTCGCTCAGTCAGCGGATATCTGACTGATGGGGGAACGCTAGCCGGGAACAGAAGAGCAGGATAATGGGGCCTCTACGTGGAACAAAGAAAAAACATCCTGGCCAGCACGTGAGGCCCGTTGCCCAGGACCATGGACAACTCCTGTCAATTGATGGCGCCCCATATGCAAATGATGACGACAACGACAACGACGACGAAGGTCTTCATTTATATTTACTACCCATAGGAAACGAGGAGATATTAAGTTCCCGCGTTGGCCCGTAAAAAACACTCCTGTTCGCTATAGATTACATGAGTAACCGGTGCCTAGGTTACTGTACAGAAAGGACTCGGGAAGGCAGTAAAAAAGCTGCTCATAAATAAAACAATTTGATGTGTTTCAGGGATTGTCCGCATGTAGTCCATAAATCCTCAATTAAAAAAGTAGCTTAGGGTTTGATGTATTGAGGTGCCTTTAGAGAGAGTTTGCTAAAATTACATGTTATTTGTTAAAAGTTTTTTGCTTTCAACTAAATAACCTATTGTTGAGAAGCTACAATCCTTGTTTCATTTTTCTCTGTGTACTTTCTTAGCTTTCGCTACGGTTTCAAGATGGTTTTCCGCTGGTGTTTGTTTGTGCGCGTGGGAACGGAGCCATTCAGCCGGAGGGAGAACCTCACATCCCGGTACTCCTGCTCCGGCTCGCCGGATCACAATCGCATCAAGCGCAATGGTAAGTTCGACCACTCGCAATGGACACAAAAAGGATTGCACGCTAATGAGTTACGCATTGATAGATACCCAGAAATCAATACTTTATACCTGCCCGAGCTCACCCAAATCGCATCGAATTTCGCACAGCGGTAAGTTTCGAACCCTAGACCTTCGATAAGTGGATGAGAACAAGGGTCACAATCTAATTATCTTCGATCTGCAAATCCAAATGCAATCCCCAGGAACACCTCGCAATGCGACGCTGAGAAACAGTCTGCCGGGTGAGTCGCAGTCATCCGGCGGAGGGCACAGGAAGAGGATGTCCTACCAGCAGGAGCTGCAGCAGCGGTGGTCGGGTCCGAATAGTGCAGCCTGTGCGTCCAACTCCAGCAGTACGACCAACACCACCCAGCTGCTCTCCTGACAGCCGGCCATCCAGGTGGCTCAGCCGGAGAGCCTGGAGATGCAGACCCAGATTGTCTGCTCGTCGCCGTACAACAACAACTACAGGCGAGCCAATCCTGGATTGTCCGACAGGGACTCGTCCGATGACAAAACCTGGCTCTAAGCTATTTAAAGGTCTCGAATTTATACTTTATACTTTACAAAGGTCCTTGGATACGTGTTCAGTGGAAGCCCGAAAATCACCTAGTCTAAATTTCAATTCGTTCTTAAAGAAACCAAAGCTAAGTTAGGATACCTTCTTTGCCCTCGACCGCCCCTCGAACATATCAGATATAGCTGGACTAAAAAAAGAGCCCACTAATTGGGTATTTCCCTTCAACGATAGCCAACTGTATATCTGCATTGCTTAAAGGAAACTCGATACTTCGTCGCATTTCAGTGGGAAAGGTTGTTCGGACAAGGAAAGACTAAATCTAGATAAAACACTTGTGAGCCAAGCAGTAGGTTTCCCATATATAGGCCTCATCATGCTACTGATCCATTTGAGTCACTGTAAATATTCGGATTGGTTCCTAAAAACTGTTTTTACTCTTCTTAACGCTTACGGCTGCTTGCTTAAGTTGTAACAAATAAACAAATGACTATGAATGTGAATGTACGTGTAAATATAAATGTCTGAATATAAACGTTATTGCGAATAAAGCGACTTGCTCCATCACCGAGTTGTTCTTAGTTGTATTGGGTTTCCGGGTGCACAAATAGGGACTGTCAACATCCTAGAATGAGAATGAGAACGCCAGCCTCGCTGTTTATTCAGCTTTTCCATCCATATTATATTCGGCGTGTGAATGAGACATGGGGAGCCGACAGGAGTGGCAAACACTCTCGAAAATCTAGCAAACCTCCATCCATTCAGCGAGGGTGTAAGACGAATTTAAATATGAATAATCCAACTGCCTAGGGCGTCTGAATAAAGGTCTGAATGCGAACGTACTCGTATTCGAATGCACATGTGCCTGTGTCTATGCGAGTTGTGCCCGCAAGCCATCTTCCCCGGGTGGCGTATCAATTTTTTATCAGTAACCATTTTAAAGAAAATTGCATTTGATTTTTTTGTCGTACTTTATGAGCTTGATGTAAGCACTTCCCCTAACCAGCAGAGCATGAGCACATCTCAAGTACAGGGGGCAAAGCCCTCAACTCACTTAATTCCACGCCGTTTTGTTCCTATAACTTATGAATAATTCGGCGATTTTGCATACCTATCAAGTGAAAGGTAGTCGCAAGAGTTGGAAGATTAAGTATGGAGAAGGTGTGTTCAGATTTAAAATCTGGTTGGATACGAATTTGATTGATGTTGTGTAGAAGCCTAATTTATTTATAAACTGAATATTGCAGAGCACAGGGTACATTCATTTCGAATACAACCAATCTTATTGTAGGGGGTGTTCCCTGCCTCCCTCAAAAGCGTGTGTTTAAATCATCTGAGAATTGTTTTCACAATATTTGCATTAGCGAAAGTCATACGACTTCCCATTTTGACCAGATATACTTAAATGCTCGCTTTCCGTTTTCATACAAGTTCTCGGAAAAGGTTTTAAGCACAGCCTTTTGAGATGGCAACAGGAACTCGCTAAAGGGTTCCTTGCACATGGGCTTAGTCTTGCAAAAGGGGGCAACAAGTGTTTCATTTAAAAATCGAACAGAAACATCTAAATATATAATAAGCCCTTGCTAATTAAAATGCTTATTCTTTTTCCGTGAAATACATATATTTTGGCATAAACAAAATCCATAAACGTTAAAAAGAGCATAACATACGGTACTGGTTTTTATTAGTCGACTAATGGCAGCTTAGAGCGGTTTACAAACATGGCATTGTTTTATAAGCTGTTTTCGTGGTTCCCCTCGAAATGGTACATTAAAGTCCTTAACTGGTCGCAAAATGGCAAGCATAACAGTTGAAGATTAGTTTTAAGCTCGGTAATGGCGTGTTGAAGCTTGCATTTGATGACCCCTAACTATTGACTTATCTTAATGGCACATGCTAACTCTGATCCCCTCCACAGAGCCCCTGCCCCAAGGCCACGCACAAAACAAAGTGAATGGAGACGCCACCATAATGCATCGGTTGATGGCCTTGTTGCCACAACTGCACATGTGCGTATGCGTAATATTTACAAAAGTTCGTGCGAAAGCCTTTTAAATGCAGGTCGTTAGCAGGGCCTCAATCAAATCCAGATGGGTTATATTGGTCAGGGCTCATTAACGAAGATCATCAGCTTCCGCGGGCGTGTTGCCAAATGGCTGAAACAACTTCCCGAAGAAGTCGTAGCCCACTTTTGAGGGCAAATCACAAGAAACGAGCGCACATAATGCTAATGTGCGTCTGCCGCATAAATATGCGAGCTGAGACAAAAGGCGGAAGCGGACACAATGGGCTCAACTTTAGGGCGAGGCACAGTAGAGTCGTTAAATGCCCACCTTTTATAAACATAAAACAATAGACGTACATACATACGTTCCGCCGACGGAAACGGTGTGCAAATCTGGTCTGTGTGTAGGTAGGGCATTCTGCTCGCCCCCCGAGACATGTCAAACACATAAAGAAGGCCAACGGGGATTCGGGGGCCCCAATAAGCGACTTGCACGGGCAAACCTGCGGATGCGGTGAGCCGACCACCAACCACCCATAATTGAATCTTTGGGTCGCGCTCTGGCGCACACACAAGGCCAAATCCGGGGATCCAACCAGGAAGGATAGTACAATCACACATGGAAAAAATGTTACAAATATGTTGGCCTACATTTGCACGTTGATTCTATCTTTGTCAAACGAATATAATATTTGTACTCCATGTTACATCTTAAATTATGATATAATAACATTAAACAATTTCATTTTTATCAGTCTGCAATGAAATCAATTATTTTATGCCTTTAGTAATTTAATTATCCTCCCTCTATTTTCTTCTCTGTACAACTACTGCCAGGCAAATTATTTTTAACTGGAAAAATAAGAAGCACTTTGGTTCGACGGTTTTGCGGCGACAGGTTAATTTTTCAAGTTTCTTGCAATCACAACGGCTTTGCTTTAGCTGGATTTATCTGGCCCTGATTAAAACGCATCCTGTTTTAGGTTGGCTTGTGGGAGGCTTTAGATAAAACCATTCGTATTGAACGTGAGTTTGCGGAATTGGACAACACAATGTATGGCTGATAAAACAAGGAAACCATTGGGTTGAATCCCCAGGAACATCATATCTTTAAAAAAGTTAAAGTTTGTATTTAAATTTTTAGTGCAAAAATGTAACAAAAAATGTCTTTTGATTTTTGGCATACAATACACAGGATTGTGGAATACTATAGACTACTGCGAAGACGTACGCACGAATGCATATTTAGCATCAATGCTGTATCCGGCTTATTACCTTTAGATAGTGGATCAGATGTTCGCCTATATTGGGTTTAATATAGAATATGCACTGCGATTGCCGCTGGATGCGGTCGTCGACATCCTGTTCATGCAGCTGCAGCAGATCATTTAGAGAGTCGTTGGCTATGCTCTGAAGTCGTGAGGCGTTCAGGAACTTCATGATGCGCTCATTTGTGTAGTTCAGTTGCTAGAAACGCGAGAAATAATTAATTTAATATTCCAATCTAATTCATGACTAATGACTTACCCCTTCAAGATCATCCCTCGTCTCAGTCTTCAAGCTCAAGTACAATTTCGAGACATCTTCGCGATCCGCCACAACATCCACCTTAGAAACAGGGGAAGCGAAGGCCAGGTCTTCGCTATCCGTCTGCATAATGGCCAATACTGACGAGGTTAGGAATAGCAATGCTGGACGCAACTGCGTGTTGACCAGCAGCGTGATCTCACAGAAGAACAGCATCTGATCGTGGCTCAACTCCTCGGGCAGATAACTCCAAATGCGATGTGAGCTTCCGTGCAGAGCGACGTTCCGCGTATAGCTGGGCTCCACCTGTTGCGGCATTGCATTAAAGCCCACCGTGTGGAGGACGCCTTGACCCGTCAGAGCCAACATTTCGGCAGCTCCACTGATGGGTTTCGTCAGAGCTCCAACAATACCTTTGGTTAGGCCAGCGATGACACCAACAGAGCTTCGCGCCTCCAGAGTGTGATGGGCCAATCCTCCAACAGCGCCAAGTAAACTAATGCCCAATCCAGTCAGACCTTGGGTCAGTCCATCGGCGAATCCTTGCGGTCGAGCTCTCCTTCGGGCCTCAGTTAATTCGATGTGCTCTGCGTCCAGCGTCAGCCTGTCCAGGTTACGGGCGACCGAACCAGCCAGTTTGGTCACGGAATTCACGGTTCCCGCGGTCACATTGCGCAGCAGAGAGGCAGAACCCTGAGTCACTCCCACTAGGAAGCCCCACGGTCCACTGAAGAGACCCTGAACGGGCATGGAGACAAAATCTCGAAGACCGGTGCTAAAGGAGCGAGCCAGCCCACTGGGACTTCCCAAAATCTCCAGGGAACCAACCACCCAGCCAGCTCCGAAAATGGCACCGCTGAGATAGTGAAGTCCCAGGGATTGTCCGAAGCGGAGCGGAACTGTAAGGATTTGCTGACGCTCATAGCGGGAGAAGGAAAGGGGAGAGTGATCTAATGCTATGTAGAGCCTCGAAGAAGTATGGACGGATAGCAAGAGACTCAGGGGCTCCACCGTAAAATTATCTAGACGTAGGGGTTCCGATATGTACAAGGACTGGGCCACAACCTGATCGGGCAGCAGAGTTGTTCCGGGAGCCAGACTAATTTGATCCTGTTTCACAGGCGGACTATACACACAGTGGGACGGTTCACACTCCACCAGTGCTTCCAGCAGCTGGTTCAGATATGCATCCTCAATGTAGACCCGAAAAGGGGGAATCTGGCATCGCACATTCTGCAGGTGCATTTCATCTTGGTAGAAAATGAACGTGAATAGAGAGACGGGAGTTCGTTCTGCCTGCTGTTCGTACACGCAGTCCAAATCATAAACTTGCGGCATAACACAATTGCGTTTGTACAGTTTTTCCGCACAAAGCAGCACCGGAAAGTCGTACTTTCCACTGGAGTACAGCTGGTTATCCACTTGAAGATTTGGCAGCTGCAAGTGCAGTTCCCGCTGATCGTCGTCGTCGTCGTAGATAAGCATTGAGTCGTCGGCGTATATATTACACACCTCCGTCTTTAAATAGTCATTTTCTCGACTGTCAGTCTGCAGGCTAAACACAAAACTCTTAATGAAGATTTTGATTTTTGTCAATTGTTTGGTCTCGCACTCTTCGCTAAAGTGGGAACAGGCCACCATATCAGGGAGGGGATCCTTAAAAACGGTCTCATCTTGTGACAATTTTTCATTTGATCCCATAAGTGCCTGCTCCTCTGAAGATATTAAAGCATTATCTGGCTTTTTCAATCGAGATCGTAGGTCCTTCACAGAGAATTCAAGCTGCTGAGCTATATAGTAGATGTTCAGACGAATAGCTCGATGCTTATCACACACTACCACTTTTACATCGCCGTGGTGGGGAACTTGCAGAAATTTTTGCCATGACTTGTCAGTTCGAATGGGTTTCGACCACGCGATCTTATTTTTAGCACAAGGCTTATCTAAAAAAATTTTAATTTGTTGAAAATATTTGTAAAAAATAGATTGTTAAAGCTCTCACCTTTATAAACCGCCAAGGATAGATTGCACATTGTGAATTCCACATCCGGAAAGTTGGCGTACATCTGCGGTGGGGTGTAATAGCATTTGCTGTGGGGCAGGACCAATTGGTTCCACTCGAAGTGCCTGCCAACGAACTCTGAATTAGTGCAGGTCACATTGCTATTTTCCGATGCACTTGTTTGAGCCACAATGAACTTGACATTCGTATTGTTGCTAATCACAATAGCAGGCGCTGTGTCCCGGAAAACGTTCAAGTAGTGAACATTTTCCTTCTCTATCAGAGTGATCATTAAAGGAATAGACTCGTGCCCTGCTTGTAAACTGAAGCAGCGTCTGGTGAAGGGTATGGCCAAAGGAATGGGTATGGAAATCTCCCTATTTCCACCTACGCTAAAGCAAACAAAATAAACGAACGCGGTATCACAGTTGTGCTTGGCCTTATGGGTGTTAAGATCGTAGAAAACATCCATTGCGGTACCAATACTAAAAAAATCATTAAATAAATACAATAATTCTTACAATCTTTAGAGAACGTACCAATTTGTTGTCGAATCTACAGTTAAAAGACTACGGGCCGCTTTGGAAATGGAATATGATTCCACTTCTTCCCTTGTCGAGGTCTCTTTGTGATCCATTGTCAGAGGTAAAGCATTTAGAACCACATCGGTAAAATTCGTCAGTACAAATTTTGACCGAAGTTTTAGCACACGATATCCATCGTCTTCCTTTTTATATTCCAGTATCAGACGCAGCACCTCATCCCTTTCTACTATAACTATATCCACAAAGGAATTACAGCGCAGTGTCATAGTTCTCCCGGTATTGGAAACGGATTTTTGTGAAAAATCTTCCAAGCAAATCGGTGTTGAAGCGATCCAGCCATTATCAGAGTGCAAATCAATTGTGAAAGCTCCACGGAGTTTGGGCGACATCTTCAAACTATTCGCTTTGAGCTCGAAACGTGCCTGCTCATGGATCATAAAAATAGTCACATTTAAGCCGGTTCCGTTGATGAACAACCCCCAGGGAATAACCTCCAGACCCAAAGTACAGGAGAATTCCCGCGTCGCTTTTGTGCGGTATTTAACATCAAAGCCAGTTTGAAAATCAAGGTGCCGGCTGACCCGTAATTCTTCTGGATCATATTGCGGCCATTTGCGCTTCGATGACTTTCCCAGCTTGTGCAGCGCATTTTCAATGGTCCAAATGTTGGAATCGTAATAAAAGAATTTGTGCCAATCCATTGTCCTCAGCATGAGCGTATATTTATCTTTCGAAGAACCACGCAAAACTCCCCTAAAACGTTTCACTGATGAGATAGGATCAATAAAAAATAGATTTATAAACTTACGAAAACGTGAATCCAACGGTATGCTCTGTGGCATGGGTGGTTGCAGTATTTAGAGCCCATCTGCCGCCCTTGGCGTCGATAGTAGAGCTCTCTCCGGTGGTATTTTCAGTCGCCTGAATCTCACAGCTAAGCATATTGCTTATCTCGAATATTGGCCAAATGCAGATCAGTATCTTCTGGGGCTGAAAGTCCTCTGCCGTCTTCTCCACCACTATATCCTCTCGTAAAATTCGAACCCAAATGCTGATAAACTGCTGAGCAGATTGCGTGGGCACTTTGACTAGCCAAGGCAAGTTATTATTGGCTTTCAGAGGAATATCGCCGGTGCGACCCCTTCCAAGTCCTGCGGTTAACTTTAGCCTACAGAAAAATGACAATTTTATAAAATGCTTAAACAATAAATTGAGCTGCTTACCGCATATTAATATCTACATTTCGCTTTACGTTTTGGTAGTAAGATGATCTTTCTTTGGACAACAAAAGATGTTCTGGCGGACTGTTTTCTTCGTAGTTTATGTTCTCCTCTCGAAACTCTGTGATTAGATTAAAAGGTACCATGCTAATCAACTCGATTTGTCCCTTGACCAGGATATAGATCTGAGTGGCGGAAAGTTTGCCTAACTTGAGGGTTATACAGTAATCTCCTACGCGCAAGTGATGCACTTTGAGATCATCCTCGAACTTCAGGGTTATATGAACCGAGTCACTCATTTCCACCAGACCAGTTTCGGGATTTGTGATGAAGAATGTTAGTTTTTGGTCATGAAAACAACTTCGAAAGTGGTAGAGCTGCATTTCTCCAGGAGCTACAGAGATTTTCTCTACTGTACCAGTTTGACCAAAGCTGATTGGTGCCTGTATCCGGTTAACTATAACGCATTTAGGCATTAAAGCGTGCCGTATCTCCTTCTGACGCAAAACTTCCTGCCAGTGGAGTTTAGAACTCAGCAATGTATGCACCACATAGGGGCCACAGTTGAGTCGGAGCTTATCCACCAGAAAATTTGCCTGCAACAGAGAGCGTGGACAGTCGGTTAGTCTCACATAGCTTGTGAATTTCGTTGGCTCCACAACATCCAGCATATTTAGAAATCCGTAATCTAAGCACTTTACTCGAGTGCGAAATTCAGTCTGCAGACTAAAATCTTTCCGAGAATATATGGTCGAGTGCATCTGTAGGTTTTCCACATGCACAGTTAGAAAGGTTTGGCTGATATTATTAATCGGCTTCAGGTTATATTTATTTAACTGTTGTGGGAGCTCTCCTGAGCTGTCTGGCTGGTTTAGAAAATTCAGTTCAATGTCCTGACAGCAAAGTAGCAACTGCAGTTTTGGAACTTTTTCAGCTCTGAAGACTGTATCAATCCGCATGCAACCCACTAGAACTTTGGGATGCAAAATGAAATCGTTATTTTCATCTGCCTTAAAGTCCGAGGGAACGTTCTCGATCTGAAATTGAATTATGAGTTTTATTTTCACTGGAACTTTCGTTGATTTACCGATAGATCTTCATCTTCACTCCCCTCAAAGCAAGTACCGTCCACAGAGATCAGCGACTGCAGAATAACCACTCTCCATATGGTGGCACAAATCGGACGATCTGGAGGCGTCAACTGCTTAGTGGAGGTCTCCGATAGCATAAAATCACAGTAATGTAAGAACGTCTCGTGGGTTTCACTAAAGTACTCCATGCGACACTTGATTTGAATCGGGCTGCTTATCTGTTTTTACAAAACCATAAGTTAGTTCAAGTTCAATCTCTTACTTAAGACCACTTACTGGCATTGGCACTGGATAGATGTGAATGCTTGTCATTTGGCGCGGTTGCGGATAACGCCAGCAGATGATGCCATAGTTTTTCTTGATGATCTGCACTTGGTAGGGCATTGGCAATACGGACTCGGAGTTCAGATAAACAAACTGAAAGGCTCCCGCTCTAAAATATGGAATGCATGGAACAATAAAATAGAGGAAATAACTGAATTAGAAAACGTACCTTAGGTCATCCTGGTAAAATTCCGCGGTTGACTTGGGGGGACGCTTTAAGCGCTCTACTGATTCGTTTGAGGGAGTGCACTTGATGAGGTTGCAGTGCGCTTCTGGAGTTCCTAACACAGGACGACGGTAAAGGAACTGCAGCCACTCGTGATCGGCGTGCAATCGGATTCGATTTATTCCATCCCGTGCTTTTTGCAGTTGCAGTATGCTGAGGACACCCGCATCGATGTGGAGATAATTCATCTTTAGAGTGGCACAAATCAGCAGCTCATCACACCATGGTTCACTGACTAAATCGACCGACATACGCATTAGCAAGGGATGGAGCAGCATTTTTCCGCCAGATTGCACATAGACCGATCCGAGAGTGGATCTCACAACGGCCTTCTGGGGACGAGCACTAAACTTGATGCGGGTACTAAGATCCAGGCACACAAAACTGCACTTGTAGGTTCTTTCCTCGTCGTAGAACTTGGCTGTAATGCGATCACAGGATATGTGCAACCGATCGGCATTGAAGCAGTTCATCTTCATCTGGTGGAGCTGAGATCCTTCGGGTATGGGACGTTGGCTGCGTACCGCAAAACATGGAGTCTCGTGAAGAACCGTGTAGATACGGATGACATCACTCGCCAGTTGCTTGATGGTGTCTTCACACATTCGCAGCAGGATGGGTTTCCGAAGCTCCACATCAACTTCTTTCTGATTAAGGCGATCATACTGGGTCTTTATTGTTAGCAGGGGAGGAGGAATCCCCGAGCTTCCAAGTTGTCCGGGCAATGTATCAAACACCGATTCATTAAATTGCTCCATGTCCTTATTGTCTTCAGCCTCGGGAGTAGCCACACGTACGTTAATATTAAATATCGAAGCTTGCGTTATGGCTGCCTTAAGGTTTTGGCTTGACATAAAACTGGGCTGGGATACAGTCAGCAAAAACAGCGGTTGCATCGCAGGTCTCTCCAGCTCCTCAAACTCCGGCACATCGTAAATCTTTAGCAAGAACACACCAGCCACAAAGGATACGCTTCGAGGATAAGTCAAGACACTTGGTTGCCGCCCAGTTCGATGCATATCCTCCGCAGCACTCGATCTTGGATGCCCTTTCACACGACTGCCCAAGAGAATTCCCGAGTCGCTTTGGCAAGACCCCAGAAAGGTGTCACTACTGCCTCTTGCGTCGACAAAGCTCGAGTTGGCTGTCGCGTAATTTTGCTTGCCGGCTAGCTGCTTCTTAGAAGGTTTTCTACTTAAATCCTTCTGACACTTTTTAGGATCAGAGGGAAAGTAAATGGAATTATCGACGCTGTTGAATTTTGATACGTCTCCCAACGTTTTGTGCGACCTTTCTTTTGGCAACTCAGCATTCTTTACACACACTTGGTTAATTATACAACTTAGTCGCTGTACTCGCACTATGATGCAGCTAATCAAGCTGATTTGATGAGTGTTTAAAGAAGCCACAAAATCGGTTACACAATTATACTCCACACTTTGTCCGCACACCAGGAACCGATCGTAGCTTATAGCCGGCGCATAAATCATAATGAAATCAAAGTCCTTAAATATTTCCATGTGGTCAAGTTCAATGGATTGGCTTTGATTGTTCCACTCAAATGCTGGGTTATCATGTTTGCTGGCTAAACTTTTTTCAATGCGGTATTTTTGTGTTTGCTTCCAATTACCGGTTGATAGAGATACCCTTCTAACACTGAGCTCATACTGACGATCCTCTACAAGGGCACCTGGTGTACTCAGCATATTCAGTTCTGCAGCTTTTTGGTATATATCCGAACGCACGAGCTGTCGGACTAGGGGATTTTCAAGACTAGGCGTCAGTTGAATACTCTCGATCTGCAAAATGTTTAAAATTGATTTATATACCTTCAATGAAATTTAAAAACTTACCCTGAGCAGTAAGACACTGCAGCTCTTTCTGCCTGTGGATAGTGGAAGATAGACATAGATTCCCTTGCTGTTTAAATGCACCATTGGCAGATCCTGAACCGTGGTAATCTGGCTTGACGGTGAAGCACAGTGCGAGTTTACTTGCTGTTCAGATTCAGAACTTCCTATAATTTCAAGCAGCTCACATAAGGGCACCATATACTCTGTTATTTGGTCCAAGTCAAGCACCATTTCAATGGGTTGTACCTCGATTAGCACCTCAGTAATAGTGTGCTGCTTATTATGAGGGTTTCTGGCACCGATCTTCGCGTACAGATCCTGAAGACTTACAGTTGTTATTACCACACTAATCAATGGCAAATTTGTACTGTCTCCCAACATTTTGATGTGAAAATCTTCAATCTTTTCCCACTCTTCGTGCTTCTCCTCGTAGTAATTAAGTCCAAAGTTTTCTACTTTGGTAGTTATCTTGGTAAAATCACTATGCTTATCAATATTTAGCAGTAAGTCTTCCAGAGTTATAACGATTTTACTGTGCTTGTAATCGTTCGAGTTTTCCATTTCAAAACTAATGCGTGGAATGGTCCATTGGCAAAATAACACAACCGAGCTCTTGGGAGCTATCGGAAATAAATAAAATGTTATAGATTAAAAAAAGTTTGGATTATTGTTCTTACCGCTTTTAATTTGTGGTGCTTCAAAGTTGGGATCTAGTTCCAAGAACTCTTTTATTACTGGATACGTTTGTGCACTACCGGTATATACTTCCAGTTTGGGCTTTAGTTTAGCTGCCTGCAATTGAGATGGAGGTTCATCTGGGCAAAGTGAGGAGAACATCTTGGAAATAATCAAGACGTGCTCGTGTAATAATTTAACCTGGAAATGAGTTAATTAATTTAAAATAAAAATCCATATAAGCAGGATTTCTTACCCGCTGGGCAAAACAATTAATAGCTGACATATCCACATGAACATTTACAGAGTACGTGTTTTGTTCGTTATTGGTTTTTTCGGATACTTTATAGGACAGGGCTAGGGTTATTGTCGTTCTAACAGGAGCAACGATAATTTCGGTGACATTGGATCGGCGATAGCACACATTGAAATCACTTAGGTCAAAGACCCAGTTGAATAGCTCCGCTTTGCTGTCCATAAAAATTACTGCCCTGATGTTTCCTCGCTGAATAGCGTCGCAGTTTCCAGACTTTATTTTCACGTCAGGCAGCCGGATTGAGGTATATTCCACATCCGTATCCGCAGGCGTTTTTCGCATCATTACTTCACACACATCAATCTTGGCCTGTGCGATCTCCACCAGCACCACCATATTGGTCAGCCGCTTCACCAGCTCCGTCATATCGAAATTCGATGGCGGAGGCTTACTTGGGACGGGTAAACTTAGAGGTTCAGCCTGTGTGTGCCTCTCATCACGTTCAGAGCTTAGATGCACTGTTTCCTCAGGAACGGAAATTTTACGACTATTGTTTCTGCTAATTCGACGCGGCTGAAGATCATTCAAAGTTATCGCAGAGGCAGAAATCGTCGAATAATTCGAAACTGACTGTGCGAGGGGTGGCTCTGATTGGTTAATAGACTTTGAGTCCATTTCAGTTTCTGTAAATAAAAGATGTATAATTCCGGTAATTTTATTATATATGATTAGGATACAAACCCTTTTCTTTTCCTTTTTGTTTTCCACTTTGTTCCGAAAAGTTTAGAAACTGCAGCAGATAAATATCCGTAGTGATGCGGAATGGTTCCAGCCAAAGGCATATCACTGTGCCAGGTATCTTCTCCTGTTTCGTATCGGCGTCCTCAAGAGGAAGCTGTAACTGCACCTCCAGCCACTTTGTGCTCGCATTCTTTGAAGTAGTTAGCACCACATTCCTTACATTCATCTTTGTGTGGACGGCATCAGTGTGGATACTTTGAAGAGAACCCACGGCGGCCAAGTGTGTATGATACTTGTGGTAACTGACGCCTAGCTTGGTACCCAAGCTTTGGAGCTTGATCACATCCGAATGAGCGTTGATTTGGGCCACACTGTGGGCCAGCTCACAGAGCTGTGCGCCATCGAAAGTCGAGACCAGCGGGATAAGGCGTTTGGCGAGTATCAGCTCCCGTTTTGAGAACTCCAAAGTAATGATCTCGGACTTTACTTCCGCTGTCTCCAGGGCAGCTTCATTTTGACGCCAGAGATGAGGCGCTAGCAGCCGGTTCCAGTTCACCTGCATTCGTGGAATGTTTACAAGTTTGGTTTGTCCATGACTCGGAGTAGTGTTGAGAATCATCAGCGTCAAGTTCTTAACATTAAGGTTACAGCAATTATAGCAGGCGTTGACTACCTCCCGAGGTTTATCCTGCAGATGCGTAATCAGCTGGACCAGACGAACCGGGCTTACTGGTCCACACATTGTGCCCTCGACTAGAGAGATCTTCAGCTGAAGGTATGGCAACAGAGATTGCTTAACTGTGGTCGTCAGCTGGTGTTGGTTATTTGCAGAGGCTTCCTCCGGCTGCTGGCGGGGATACAAATGAAGCACAATGTTCCGCAGCTCGATCTTGTAGTTGCAGACAGGCACGAGACCCATTAAATACTCCAGGTCCGGTATGGTCATATCAGCATTCTTGTTCTCCGGCTCGGGGACACTACGATCTTCGTCTTTCATCGATTCTGAATGATATCCCGGATAATCGTAAGGACGAATTAAATCGCTAATAACATTTTTAACCTGCGCAAAGGACTGCGAAAAGTGGAACGTAATTCCGGCGGACAAAAGGCGATACTGGATCCGAAGTCCCAGGTCTCTGAGCTGGCTCTCCGCCACTGGATGATTACTTGTCTTCGGCACACGGTACTCGATAATGTCGAAGGCAAGAACAGGGCTGCGGTAAAGCATGTACTCATCTGTGTTTCTGGCCACATAGTCATCGTAGTTGTAGCTGCACCAGGAACGATCGGCGTACATGTAGTTCTCGTCGAACAAACTCTTGTCGATGAAGGAGCGCTCATCCAGAAACTGCAGAAAAATATGTTAAATATTTATTACAAAGAAGTTCCAATTCAAACTCACCTCCTGAGTATTAACCAGATTGCGATCTACAGGATCTTCGCTCCGGTAAGCACCCAACGGTTCCATACACATGCTGGAAAGACCCGCCTTGACGTTGCCCCATTCACATTCCTTTAATTGAGTTCGCTCGTAGTACAGACCACCCAAGCTGATCCGCAGAATTGGTGTGTAGCGTATCCGCTTAATCCCTCCCATGCTTTGGTCGGTAAAGTACTCAGAGTTCTTGAGCTGGAAGTTCAGCTCCTCCGCATAGATGCCCATATCGAATGCGTGGCCATTAGGAGAGTCGCAAGAGGAGGAAGGCGCCTGTGCCTCAAAACTGGGCAACAGGCTCCAGGCCCACCAAAAAACGTTTTGGCCAGCGGGTTCGGCACTCTGCTCCTCGTTTCCCTCGGCTACTGCATCTTGGTCGTCCAGATTTCCAGAATCCTCCTCGGAGTCGGCGGGTTTTAGTTCAAGTAGCATTTTCACCAGCCTCATGACCATGGGAAATTGCAAGGACGACACATTGATGTCCAGCGACTTGGTGAAAACTGCAATACGCGTGGTGCTCGAAGTGCTTACCGTATTCGCGTTGTATTTGCGGAGTACCCGGCACTCTAGTGTGCAGCGGTAGAGCACCGGTTCCTGGCACACCTCAATCCTGCCAGCCGTGTTTCGCTTGTCCAGGCAGATGGTCAGATCCGACACCTGCAGCACCTTGCGCATGACCACAGACACCGGATGGATGTCGACCATGGTGGGCTTCCAGTCCTCGCCAGCGGAACTGAAGTTCAGGGTCTGCACATTCATGGAGACCACTATGTCGTCCTCCACATATTTTAAGATGATGTTGTGGCACTGCAGGCTTATATTGTTGATGATCTTGTTAACCACACTAGAAGAGCTGGCAGCTCCGGGACTCTTAGGTTGCTGATCGGACTGCTCGACGGACGCCCGCTTGGAACTCCTCCGCTGTTCCCGCTGAAAAGAAGCCCGGCGCTGCTTGCTTTCGCTGTCCGGCAACTTTGCCACGAACTCAATCGTGTTGATGACGATCTTAACTGGCTCTGACATAAGCTTCGTCCAAGGCACCTGGATGCTAAGTTCGTGGATGTGCCCGGAAACCAGCTCCACCGGCAGGTTGAGCTCCTCCTCGAGGACCTCCAAACGCAGGTCCAGGTTTTGAAAGGTGACTTCACCCTCCCAAAGCGACACCTGGGCATCCTCATCGCGGAAGTTCTTCACGTACTTGGCCACGTAGCTTAGCAAAATGGGAGTGATATAGGACTCCAGTTTGAACATGGTGTGGCCACTCCGCAGGCAAGAAGCCTTGATTCCAGCGCTCTCGACTGCTGACTCAAATGGAACTCTTCATTTACTGCGTTGCCGGTGATTTACTTGAATTTACATGCTGGGGATTTGGTTACTATTTTGGCCGAATATTTTTACAAAACAAACAGCCATGAAATTTTTGATTGTTTACGTTTTCAGCCCCGGCTCGCAAGTGTTGAAAGGCACGCAAAACATTCTTAATTTCAGTGTGCACAAGTGCCGGCAGCTGCGAAAGTGTAGATGGCCCACAAGCAGCTGTTTAGTTTGTTGACGTTTAACGTGCTGCAGTTGTTCCTTTTAATTTCATCAAAATGCCACAAATTACCGAAAATGGGCAGGATTTTGGTGCGCTACATATAAAGTTTTTGGATTGGGCAATGCTTAATATCAGTTTTCACCCACAGATGTGGTCAAATATTTCCTGCAGCTTTTGGAAGAGGATAAGGACCTGTCTTCCGGCATTGCTGCCATTAGGACTCTACTTATGATTCTGGAAAAGAAACAGTGTTAGTTTTCTTAAAAATCCTCCTGGAAAGTTATTTTCAAGCCTTTCAACACATCTTCCAGTTGGGACTATTCATATTCTGCACACAACCATGAGAGAAGCGGTGGCCGCCATGCGCAACACGGATTTGTCCATCGCTGCGATTGTTTCCGCCGGAGAGCTCTTTTGTCGCTTCATCACGCTCAGTCTGGACGACAAGCATATGGAGGAGTGCCGCCAGATTATGCTGAACCGCGGAAAGATCTTCCTTACCAAATTGCTCAATTCTCGGCAGGTAAGTTTAAATCCTTAACTTACAAAGAAGATGTACGAACACCCCAATCCAGGTAATTGCTCAACAAGCCCAGCGGTTTATCACCGATGGCTGCCGAATTTTAACACACTCCCGATCACGAGTGGTCCTTAAAGCCTTGATTACGGCCTCGCAGAACAAAAAGTCCTTTCACGTTTATGTGACGCAAGGAGGCACAGGAAACTCTGGGTGGGTGATTATAGCTCTACCCCTAAAATTACAATTATAAATGCTCCATGTCTTTAGCGAAGAGATGGTGAAGGATCTCCATGCCGCTGGAATTGACTGCACCCTCATTCTGGACTCTGCCACTGGCTATGTGATGGAATCGGTGGACTTTGTAATGGTGGGCGCAGAAGCTGTGGTGGAAAGTGGCGGCATAATCAACAGGATCGGCACCTACACCATGGGATTGTGCGCTCGTGAAATGAAAAAGCCATTCTACGTCCTCGCAGAAAGCTTTAAATTTAGCCGTTTGTATCCCCTTAATCAACGCGATCTGCCCAATGAGTACAAGGTAAGGTTCCGCAAAAAAGTTAATCTGAATATGTATTAAATATTTTTTACTGTTAGTACTCCCGCAAGCATTTAAATGATGTTAGTAAAGTGGATCCACTGGTCGATTATACGCCTCCTGTCTATATAACTCTGCTCTTCACCGATCTGGGAAGATTAACTCCCTCGGCCGTCAGCGATGAGTTAATCAAACTTTACATGTAAATGAACAATAAAGGACTTGCACTTAACTATGTTTGTTTTAATATGACTGCATAAAATGGATAAATAGGGTTTCGATATTGCTGAGTACTATATATACATAAAATAAAGCTAGTTACTCCCGTTTACGCCTAAAATTTAAATTGTGCCTTAGAACTGCATCTCCCGCGAATAGGTAATGTCGACTTCGTCCTCTGACCCCCAAGGATCGTACACGTCCTGGCTAAAGAGGGACAATTCGCTGTTATTGCCGTCGTCATTAGTGTACTCGCTGTTATACTCCTCATCCGTGTAGCTATCACTGCCGCTCTCGTCATCCGTTCCGTGATCATGGGCACCGAACTGATCGTCAAGACCATCATCCGCATCATCCAGATCGCTGGCATTCTGTGTAAAGTAAGATCTGATTTAGTATGGGGTGTCATCAGGTGGGAAAAAAAAACTAGTCTTGATAACCAAACTAATAGCTAGAAACACCCTCTATCTTGGCGAAAGGGAACTACTTAAGGAAAAATTAATTTTTAAGATCTTTTTTTTTTAAATCGTTAAAGAAACCTAGCGCTTTTAATATGCATCTAGGGGTTCTGAATGGACTAATTCCATTAAAACAACAATTTTGTTATAACGAAGTACACAAATGGCATAAGCGAACGCAAGTTCCATGGAATACTCTTCACCCAATTGCGGTTACAACACTCACAAATTGCCCGGATTGAATGTTGATCTCGATCTGCAGGCGGATATCCATGACGAGAAATGCAGTGGTGACCAAAACGGGTATGGTGAGACGGCTCTTCCAGGCGAGATCCGTGAGAAACATGAAGACCTTGCCAAACGTGGAGTCCATTGTGATTTGCTGTTAGTGCTCAACCGGGGGCTGGTGTTCCTCTGCTTCTGCTTCCGCTGACTGTTCGAGTGCGTCGTGATTCACTATGTATACGGTTTCCCCAACGTTGACGGCCTGGACAGGAAGCAGATGTCGATGAAGTCGACCGCTTTCTATGGGAGCGTCTAGTTCCAGGAACTGCTCAAATATGGAAATGGGAACTCCCTCGGAGGAGAGTAATCCCCGCATGCAATCCTGCCGCTTGTCGCGCAGGTTGTCCAACAATTTGTTACCCTTTTGCACCCGTGCCAGCTTCCGTTCTGAAATGAACACGATTTATTGGAAGGTTTCGGGTTTAAAGCACTCAATCCCACCTAGTAACTTCAGATAGTCGCTTGAATCTGGCAGAGGTTCATGTCCTTCACCAGTTTTCGCGTCCTTTTTCTCGCTGCTCTCTTTTACAGTGGGTGGGGGCGTGAAGTTGTCCTCAAAACGTTCACTCTTATCCGTGGACCCTGGGCTTCCTTGCTTAACTAATGTGGTATTTAAGTGCCAAGGATCGGCATTGCCAAGTGACATGTTTTAAAAACTGAACAAATCTAAATAAATCCCAACAACTCCTACGACAAATATTGTATTTTTTGCAGTGTGCCCACAGCACTCTAAATTGGAAATACCCAAACGCCTTGCATTTGAAAAAAACATCCGCGCAACATCCGCAAATAATAAAATTTCTGTCAGTTTTATTTGAAACAGTAAAAGTATGAGTGATTGCAATTGCGGATCTCCCATTATTGACATAGGTTTTTAATTTATCAGTAAGTGGTGATATGCAAAAACTACAAGAAGTTCTTCAGCCCTGTTCAGTCGTCTTTACTTCCATCCTAAGGTCACACTGCAACCAACGTCACCATGGATGTGTCGGCTCTTTCGGGACCAAATTTTAGTCCTGCGGAGTGGATAAACGCGAATTACAAGAAGTTTGTGGAAGAGAATGGACGCGATGACAGCGATGCCGCCTCTTCCTTTATCCGGAGCTACGTGGCCAAGCTACAGCTGTACATATTCAACGTAAGAGAAGCTCGTCATCTATCAGTTGTTGTTTTTCATACAAATAGAGTTAATCTCCAGGTAAACAATGCTGTCGAGGAATCCAGTCGACAGGTGGTGGCTAGCATGCCTAGGATCGCAAAGGAGTCAGCAGCACTCCAAGGGGATGTCCGTCGGTTGCAGGAGAAGATGAGTGCCATGCGTTTGGAGGTGGCTGCGGTGCAAAGTGAAACTGGAGAATGCATGGCCACGTTGGAGCGATTGAATACCAAAAGTCAGCGCCTCCAAGTGGCCAAGGAGTCGTTGCAGGAGTCAGATGGCTGGGGAAACCTCCTGGCCGAACTGGAAGATGGTTTCGAGCGCAATGATCTAAAGGTGTGTAATTTGATATAAGCAATTTAAAGTTACTAAACACGAACTTTCAGGGAGTCTGCGACAAGCTTATAGCTCTGCAAAAGTCCCTGAACGCACAGGAGCAATTGCCAGGACACGCTGAGCGTCAGACCCAAGTGGAGGACTTCAAGAACCGGTTGGAGGCATTGGCTTCGCCCAGTGTGGTTCAGTGTTTTGCCGAGGGTAACACTGAGCAGGCACAGCACTATGTGCAGATCTTCACCAACATTCAGCGATTGCCGCAATTGCAGCAATATTACCGTGCGGTCCAGAAGAACTTTTGGCAGCAACAATGGAAGCAAACTTTGGAGCTGCAGGGCACGGAAACCCAACCGCAGCAGCAGCAGTTTTTAACTTTGTATTACGACCAGTTACTGGAGCATTGCCAACGCCAGGTTAAATGGTGCTCCAATCTTTTCGGCGAGGACTCTTCTCAGCCTTTTCTTGTGATTGCCGAGCTATTACCAGCACTACAACCCACTCGAGATGCCCACATTCTACAGCTTTTAAAAACCTCCAATGAAAGGTTGGAGATGTTGGCCTCGTTTGCCCAGGTTAATCACAGTTTTGTGCTGCATTTGAACTCTTTGCTGGAGCAGTCACACATTACTTTGTCCGAGGAGCTGCACCGCCTTCTAGGCGAGGCCATTTTTGAGTATTTCCACAAGTTCATCCAACAATATCCACGCTTGGAAGAGACCCAACTTTCTACGCAGGTAAGGAAATTAGAACATTATTAAGTTTTGAATCTTATTATTTGGTTTTATTCGAATACAGGTGGATCGTCTCTCGTCCAACCAGGCCACTCCCAGCGATGGTGTGCGTCATCTTGAGGAAAGCACCCGTAAACTTTACGAATGGTTAAAGGAAGCCTGCGGACGTTGTTCCTCTATAACAAGTGATCTGGCCCTCTGCAAACTTATAACTCTTCTAAACGGCATCTTCAAGCGGCAGCTTGAGAACTTTGGACGCATTCAAAGACAGATTGGACTCAGTCTGGGATCCAGCAGCTATGCGGCGCAGAGTGAAAACTGGTCCCTGCTGCAGTACACCATGTCGCAGTTGCAGTGTCTGGCCGACTTTCAGGTCCAGCTACATCAATTTGAACAAGATTTGCATACACGCATGGTGACATTATCCAACAAGCTGGCCAAGCCGACTAACCGGGGTCCCATCACAATTTTCCAGACATGCGATCACGCAGCTCGCACCCAGCTGTTGAACAGCATAGCTGACTATCAGCAAAAGAAGTCGGAGGCCACCGACAGCCTTGGTATCTTTCCACAGATATATGCCACTTTGAAGAGTCATTTTACCGATACACATGACATAACACTCAATATATTACTGCAACCTATTGAGACGCACCTGGCACACATTCGCCCGCCTTTGCAAGATCACGCTGCGGCGGGCATCGATATGCCTTCGTTCAGCTTTGCTCCCCAAGAAAGCATCACGCAAATTGGTCAGTACCTACTCACCTTGCCACAGCACTTGGAACCGCTACTGTTATCGCCTTCGTCGTTGCTAAAGCAAGCTCTTGAGGTGTGCAACATTAAGTATACACAAGCCATTCCGTGTGCCGATGTCCTACTTTCCCTGGTCGTGGAACAGTGCTGCGTTTTGTACCAGGCCCAGATACTGCAAATCAAGTCGTTGCCAGCCTCCTCGGCCACTCAGCTCAGTGTGGACATTGAGTACCTCTCCAACGTCCTGGAGGAGCTTGGTCTGTCCATCAACCTGCAGTTGTCGCAAATACTGACACTACTTAAGGCCGCTCCAGATCAGTATCTAACCCTCAGCAGTGGATGCGAACCACGTCTGGTAACGGCCATTCGACAAATGCGCAATATTATATCCACACAGTAGATATTTGAGCACATATTCAAAATATATTTATATAAACTATTTATACTGCTTAAAATTAACTATTAAATATTACTATAATATAATTGCGAATTTCAAATTGTAACCCCTCGTTAGCTGATATATGTGTTCGAACTAGTATGGAAATACCTTGGGAATTCAAATATTTGAACAAGTGTTTTGAGTAGTGCAGTTTTGTACATATGTCGATCTCACTTTACCCAAAACTCAAGCTAACTCAGTTACAAAATGTATTTCCTTCATTTCGCTATCCGACGAGCGCATTACAATTGGTATACGGCAAATACCACATCCCGAATCCGGATTATTGCAACCGGAGTCTTCACTATCGGTGTAGTAGTTTTTACCTTTGTACAGTGCTATGGATTAGTAAGACAATTCCTTAAAGAAGTTCGGGCGACTGAGTCGGTTACAAATGGTTTCCCCAATCAGGAGAATCCTGCCGTGATGCGACGGAAGATTAAGGAGATGATGCTGCACTCCTGGCGAAGTTATGCCCGTGTCGTGTGGGGCACCAATGAGTTTCGCCCTATTTCGCGTCGTGTTCATATTGGAAGTGATTTTGGGTCCTATAAAGTAGGAGCAACGATAATAGAAAGTTTGGACACTTTGTATTTAATGGGTCTGAAGAAAGAGTTGAATCGTTCGCGTGACTGGCTCGAAAAATCATTCAGCTTGGATCGTGTTGACGAGCCGTTGTCTGTTTTTGAACTAACTTCCAGACTGCTCTGTCCTATGCTCACACTCTACTCCCTCACTGGCGATCTTTTGTACAAGGAGAAAGCTGTACATATTGCCAATAAGATTTTGCCTGCATTCGAAACCGCCACAGGAATACCAAGACGGCTTGTGGTTCCGAAGGAGGGCAGTACCCTAACCAAATACCTCGAGAGCATGTCTCGTATTTCGGAGTTTGGTGCTCTGCACTTGGAGTTCTTTTATCTCAGCGAAATCACCGGATTGTCTATTTACAAGGACCGAGCAGAGGGTATTCGGAAGAAATTAGCCACCATGAACAAACCAAATGGACTTTATCCCAACAGTTTTTGTACAAATTATGGTTTGTGGGAAAACTACAACTGCTCAATGAATCGATTCTATGATTGCCTGCTAAAGTCATGGGTGCAATCTGGGAAAACTGATCTAAAAACTCTTGATTTATTCAAAGATGCTCTGCCGGCTGTAGTGCAAAATTTGGTTGTCATAAAACCCGAGGGCCAAGCCTACGTAACGGAGATGAGAAAAGGTACTCTTTCGCATCGGATGAAACAAACAGATTGCTTTGCTGGAGCTCTTTTTGTGCTGGGAGCAGCAGAAACCTTGATGGAGCACTGGGAGAAATATGCGGAGATTGGCGTTGCCATCGTGGATACTTGCCATGATAAGTTTTGGAGCTCTCCTACTCAATTGGGTCCAGATCTTTTCGCTTTCACCGAACAAGCACAAAAGGATATTGTTGCCCTGCAGAGGGACTTCTATATGTTACGGCCAGAAATCGTCGAGAGCTACTTAGTTCTCTGGCGACTTACTCATAATACTAAATATCGCATTTGGGGCCGTGAGATCTTCCTGGCAATAGAGAAATATTGCCGAACACCATATGGATACTCTGGTATTATGGATGTTTATAACATTTCTGCAGGACAGGATGATGTGCAAAGGACATTCTTTTTAGGCGCAACCCTTAAGTATTTGTTTTTGTTGTTTTCCGATGATAATGTCATTCCGCTGGAAGATTGGGTTTTTAACAGTGCAGGACACTTCCTACCAATTAAAGGTGCAAATTCTATGTATCGGCAGTACAACACAAAGAATTGAGTAACTAAAGATATATATTAATTAGTTTAAACGAAATTATCATGTTTAACTCACTAAAAAAATATAAATAAAAACTGTTTGTTTATGTTTTCAACATCTATTTATAACTTGCGTTAAATGCAGACATGTATAAAAAACCTGTGTAAGTTAATACTTGCACTATGATTTACAAAAGTTATTCTCTAGTTAGCTGGGGAACACACATTGAGCACACCTAAAAGCACATACATAAGTTATAAATTCCAACTTTGGCCCGCTAAACCATCCCTAAATCCTTGGATCCAGCTCAGAGCTGGCTGTTGGCCAGGTGATTGTCGATGACCACCTGGATGATCCTCATGCAGTGGCGCTGCCTGGCCACCGTGTTGTCGATCAGTTGCTCGGTGAACTGGCTGGCCGCTATGTTCGTGTTGGGCGGTATGTCCTGTGTGCAGGATATGTACTTGTTGAAGATCTCCGTGTTCAGAGAGGTGGCCAGGTATCGTTCGCTTTCGTCCTGCTGCTGCAGCTTGTCGAGCACTTGGGCGGAGACCAGCAGCTGGGCCTTGGCCTTCTGATACGTTTGCAGCTCCTGCAGGCTGGCATATTCCGCACTGTCCAGTTTCACGGACCTCTCGCGATCCGAATCCTTAACTACTCCCTTTGTCATCTGGCGTATGTGGTACTTGCGCTCGGCCACGAAATTGCCCAGCAAGTATCCTGTACAGTACGAGAAAACAAGTGGCACTCATTAGCGAATGTCTTTAGATGTTCCACATCCTCTATCACCCACCTGTTATGAGCATGAAGAAGGCAATCGTTAGGACCAGGGACGCACAAGTGCGCTTTGAGACATATTCGCGAAATTCGCGAGAGCTGTTGGCCCGCACCGCCGTCTCGTAGCTAAGTACCTGGTGCATCCTGCCGATCCTTTAAGGGATTACTACTCGGGGTCAGATGATTAAGCCTAGTCACCTCTAGACAACCGAATACTGGTGATGGCTTGGAACATTTTGATTTCCTCTGTTGTACTTTTGGTGTGACTGGTGTTAATTACCTTTAAAACAAAACATCAAAATCAAAATAATATTTTTCTTTTCAAACCATAATAAGTGTAAGGAAGATTGATCAATCTTCTTTATTGTAAGTAAAACCCTCTGTAGAGAAGGTAATGTATTTTTAATAATTTGTTTGCTTTAATATTTCCGCGTTACTCCGCGAGTTCATTACTCCCAATGAAGGAACATCGCATGATGATGCCGAGGATATGGCGAAAGAGTGACTTAATCGCCCCACCTTGAAAGGTAATCGCGCAAACTGTTGTTATGGCCATCGGGCACGGAAAACAACGCAATCCTTTAAAACCGTTCCTCGAACATTCACTCACTTGCTGATGAGTTTATCGTGTATCCGCTTTTGTACTGCCAGAGTATCGTACACATGCATTAAATTAATTAATGACTGCACTTTTGGTTTTGCACTGCCTGTAGGAAACGAGTTTTGAGTGGGGATACTTGTACTGCGGTTCCAGGCGAACGGTGCGCGCTAAAGTTTTAATTGTGTTATTAATTGATTGTTTGTGTGGGGAACTAGCGCGTCGTTATCCTTGCGAATGGGGTCTGAATGCCTGGACGCCGAGTCGGGAACTGACTCATGCTTCGTTGGGGGTCGCCTTTAATAGCTCTCCGACGTGTGGTGAGTTTCCTGCCACGAGATGTTGCACATTTCCCCGTACAAGCGAGAGTTCTGCGGTCAAGTAGAAGCACGGAGAATGCAAACATAAACATTCCCAATAGATTTTTAATGAGCGGAAAAGTCCACCCACTCCGCTCGGGGGCTTCCTTAGAACTCATATTGGATTTCACACCGTTGTCTCACTTTAAGAGGAACTGCTGCACCATAGTTTCGAAACTGGACTTCCCTTTTGATTGCCATAATCGTATTTTCTTTGCCGTTTCACTATTTCCTGCTGTACTTCAAGGATATCACATGACCCCCGATTGCAGTTTCTATGTCGGAGGGTTTAACTGGGTTCTATTGCCTTTTTTTCAACACTCTTGCAAAGTTTCTGTTTCAGTTTTAATTCATTTAAGTTGATGTGACACATATTACAGACTAAAACTTTTAGTTGACGTACAAATTAATTAGATTAAAAAGAATTGTTCTTTCTTATTTAAATTTTCTGTACTTTAATCAACAAATATCAATTTAACAGTCAACGTTCTCGGTATTATAAATTAAAATTATTTATTAGTACGTTGCGATTTGCGCTTGATAAGATTTAACACTTTATATTTGCATGATAATGATTCCATTTAGGCTATATAAAACTATGACTACCTTAGGAGCTTTTTAGTATTCAGAAATGAAAGCATTCGTATTGTTGGCCGCACTTTTGGGGGTTTGCAGTGGGTTCACTGTACCCCACTCAATTATCCACCCGCGAGATTTGAAGGTCGAGCATCGCAGCATCGAGGGTCGCATTACCAACGGAAACCATGCGACTGAGGGGCAGGTTCCCTACATTGTGGGAGTGAGTTTAAATAGCAACGGAAACTGGTGGTGGTGCGGTGGCTCCATCATAGGAAACACTTGGGTTCTCACTGCCGCACACTGTGTCGCCGGGTATGTTAAATAATATAAAACATACTTCATTCATTTTAATTAACAAACTTAAATATTCATAGTGCTGATGAGGCTTCTCTGTACTACGGTGCCATTAACTACAACGAACCAGCCTTCCGTCACACTGTCAGCAGTGAGAACTTCATCAGGTATCCTGGTTACGTTGGACTCGACCACGACTTGGCTCTGATCAGGACTCCCCACGTGGACTTCTACAGCCTGGTCAACAAGATCGAGCTGCCCAGTCTGGATGATCGCTACAATTCCTACGAAAACAACTGGGCTCAGGCTTCCGGATGGGGTGCCATCTACGATGGCAGCAATGTGGTGGAGGAACTGCGAGTTGTGGATGTTCGAGTGATTTCTGTGTCGGATTGCCAGGCGTATTACGGAACTGAAACCGCCACTGATAATGTGATCTGCGTGGACACTCCGGATGGCAAGTCCACCTGCCAGGGAGATTCCGGTGGTCCTCTGGTCACCAAGGAAGGTGACAAGCTCATTGGAGTTACCTCCTTTGGATCCATTTATGGCTGCCAGTCAGGAGCTCCAGCTGGTTTCACCCGAGTGACTAACTACCTGGAATGGATCAAGGAGGAGACCGGCATTTACTATTAAATGTTCTCCAAAACTTCCTCTCACTGAATAAAGTTGAGGGTTTTTTAAGCAGATTATTAAAAGTTGTTTCGTTTCTCTTATGGAATGTGTCTTGAATACATTTTGGATGGCTAAAGAATCTAATACTTACTGGGCAAGGGATATTTTTAATTATATATACACATTTTAAACATTTTTTTTTTAATTCGAACTGGTACTTCTATCAAACCCTTGACCGAGATATCTGACATTATAAATTAAACATATTCACTGATAAAGTCTCCTGCAAGATTAGATTTTGCACTCAAAATTCTAACAAAACATTGATAATGAATTGTTAGAAGCTGAATAATATTGAGACCTCTATCAGAGCTTTTTACTCCAGGGAACTAAAAGGAATCTGAAAATATAAATTAAACGTATTCATTGATAAAAACCTCTAGCGTATCGGCACACGCGAGATTAGATTTCGCACTTAAAATTTACATTGATAATGATTTTCTATAGGCTATATAAAATTGGGACCACCATGGGAGCTTTTTAGTCTACGAAAATGAGGGGACTGATAATCTTGTCGCTTGCGCTCCTTGGGGTCTGTAGTGCCCTTACTGTGCCCCACTCTCTCGTGCATCCAAAGGATCTTCAGATCCATCATGGCAGCATCGAGGGTCGGATCACCAACGGAAATCAGGCAACTGAGGGTCAGGTGCCCTATATCGTTGGCGTTAGCCTGAACAGCAATGGAAATTGGTGGTGGTGCGGAGGATCCATTATCGGAAACACTTGGGTGCTCACCGCTGCCCACTGTACCGCTGGGTAGGTTTATAAAAAACTTAAAAGGGATTACCTCTGCTATAATATTTTATTATTTCTAGTGCCGATGAAGCTTCACTGTACTATGGAGCTATCAACTACAACCAGCCCGCTTTCCGTCACACCGTCGGGAAGGAGAACTTCATCAGATATCCCCACTACGTTGGACTCGACCACGACTTGGCTCTGATCAGGACTCCCCACGTGGACTTCTACAGCCTGGTCAACAAGATCGAGCTGCCCAGCCTGGATGATCGCTACAACTCCTACGAAGACAGTTGGGTTCAGGCCGCTGGTTGGGGAGCCATCTACGATGGCAGCAATGTGGTGGAGGACCTGCGAGTTGTGGACCTGAAGGTGATCTCCGTGGCGGAGTGCCTGGCATATTACGGAACTGAAACCGCCTCCGAGAACACCATCTGTGTGGAAACCCCGAACGGAAAGGCCACCTGCCAGGGAGACTCCGGTGGTCCTCTGGTCACAAAGGAGGGTGATAAGCTGATCGGAATCACTTCTTTTGTCTCCGATTACGGCTGCCAGGTTGGAGGTCCTGCTGGATTCACTCGTGTCACCAAGTACTTGGAGTGGATCAAGGAGGAGACTGGAATTTATTATTAAAGCTAAACTTTATTACTTTACAATGTGATTCTGTAAGGAATAAACTATAATACTTTCCACTTTTTGCTTTGAATAAAGTCCTTTACATATTCTCTTAAGCGGATGTTTATTTAAAATCGTACGAAAATGGGATGTTTTTTTAATATTAATAACACAATTTTTTATGGTCTTTTTCTGTGCTAAATGCTTTTCCAAAAGAGGTGTGCATTGATACTTCATATTGTTGCTTCTCATGAATTTAATTTAAGAGTCCACTTAGGGGAAGATTTTTACTTATATGAGACTTCTGTTAACAAGCAATTATTTTATAAGGAATACGAGTCGTATAAGTAATTTTGCAAACTATTTTCTGGTTTTCTCTCACTATTGTTTATTTGTCGAAAATTTTGTTGACAAACTTAACGATTCCTTTTATAATAGTTAAATTATAATATAATAATCAACAATTATATAATTATCATTCTATAAATCTGATAGCGATATTGGCAGGCGTCATTCCACTTTATATACCGGTCATAATTTTAGCAAGGAAGCAACTTGTTGTGGTCTTATCAGCCGGAGACTCTGGTCAAGAAGATAACATAATTAAAATTTACTGCCCTTCAGTTTTAAATAGAAGTAATGGCCTTTGTCGATGTGTGCGAGCCAAGATTAGATCAAGAGCCCTAGTCCATTTTGTATAAAAAGGCCGTCCAATTCTGGAAAAGCAACGAGTTGCAAGACTTGATCAAGATGAAACTGTTCGTATTCCTGGCCTTGGCCGTGGCCGCAGCTTCGGCTGTGCCCACTCCCCTGAAGCAGCTGACCCCGGTGCCCGTGAAGGACATCCAGGGACGCATCACCAACGGCTACCCGGCCTACGAGGGCAAGGTGCCCTACATCGTCGGCCTGCTCTTCAGCGGCAACGGAAACTGGTGGTGCGGAGGCTCCATCATCGGCAACACCTGGGTCCTCACCGCGGCCCACTGCACCAACGGCGCCAGCGGAGTGACCATCAACTACGGAGCCAGCATCCGCACCCAGCCCCAGTACACCCACTGGGTGGGCAGTGGCGACATCATCCAGCACATGCACTACAACAGCGGCAACCTGCACAACGACATCTCCCTCATCCGCACCCCGCACGTCGACTTCTGGAGCCTGGTCAACAAGGTGGAGCTGCCCAGCTACAACGACCGCTACCAGGACTACGCCAGCTGGTGGGCCGTGGCCTCCGGCTGGGGCGGCACCTACGACGGCAGCCCGCTCCCCGACTGGCTCCAGAGCGTGGACGTCCAGATCATGTCCCAGTCCGACTGCAGCCGCTACTGGTCCCTCCACGACAACATGATCTGCATCAACACCGACGGCGGCAAGTCCACCTGCGGAGGCGACTCCGGCGGTCCCCTGGTCACGCACGAGGGCACCCGCCTGGTCGGAGTGACCTCCTTCGGCTCCGCCGCCGGCTGCCAGTCCGGCGCTCCCGCCGTCTTCAGCCGCGTCACCGGATACCTCGACTGGATCCGCGACAACACCGGCATCTCCTACTAAGTAGGTGATGGCGTTTCCTCAATAAACGATTAAAGCATAAACCAAGTACTAGTTTTCTATTCAATCATTCCGGGTTTGGAACCTTCTTGGCAGAGACCCCTTTTATATGACGCCACTTTATGTTCATCAACTTTTATGATCAACTCGATTTTATTCTTGTGACAAAAATAAGATTCGAAATTGGCAATAGATCTGCCTTTAGAGTTTAATTTTGTATTACATATTTACCAAAAGTATTTAGCAACTAAAGCAAACAGATTCTAATTGCTTATAAGAATATCAATATGAAAATGTATGATTTTTTTTATTTGGGTGTTGTACTACATCAAAATATCTAAAAATTGATTAGTAATTACTTAACAGGAATAAATACAAATTTTTTGCATTCAAATTTGAGACTTCAATATAATATCATATTCTCTTACTCTTTTTGAAGTCTGATTTGAACTGGAGTGAGTATTTTAGTTAACAATGTTAAATTATATTTTGCGGAAAATATGCACAAATTGTTATCTATTCGGTAACCTCCAAGAACCTTACGCCAATGGATAGAATGAGTCCAGAATAGAATAGAATAGAATAAGTCTTATGGTTTTAGATCTGATAATTTTGGCACCTCTCCGTTTCCTTACAGAACTTAGAAGATTATAAATACTAAATAGAAGACCCTAAGCCACTGAGGATAAAATAGGAAACTCATACTTTGTTTTATGCTTTAGTCGTTTATTGAAGAAACCCCACCGAAGTGGGCTCGCCATCAACTGCTTAGTAGGAGATGCCGGTGTTGTCGCGGATCCAGTCGAGGTATCCGGTGACGCGGCTGAAGACGGCGGGAGCGCCGGACTGGCAGCCGGCGGCGGAGCCGAAGGAGGTCACTCCGACCAGGCGGGTGCCCTCGTGCGTGACCAGGGGACCGCCGGAGTCGCCTCCGCAGGTGGACTTGCCGCCGTCGGTGTTGATGCAGATCATGTTGTCGTGGAGGGACCAGTAGCGGCTGCAGTCGGACTGGGACATGATCTGGACGTCCACGCTCTGGAGCCAGTCGGGGAGCGGGCTGCCGTCGTAGGTGCCGCCCCAGCCGGAGGCCACGGCCCACCAGCTGGCGTAGTCCTGGTAGCGGTCGTTGTAGCTGGGCAGCTCCACCTTGTTGACCAGGCTCCAGAAGTCGACGTGCGGGGTGCGGATGAGGGAGATGTCGTTGTGCAGGTTGCCGCTGTTGTAGTGCATGTGCTGGATGATGTCGCCACTGCCCACCCAGTGGGTGTACTGGGGCTGGGTGCGGATGCTGGCTCCGTAGTTGATGGTCACTCCGCTGGCGCCGTTGGTGCAGTGGGCCGCGGTGAGGACCCAGGTGTTGCCGATGATGGAGCCTCCGCACCACCAGTTTCCGTTGCCGCTGAAGAGCAGGCCGACGATGTAGGGCACCTTGCCCTCGTAGGCCGGGTAGCCGTTGGTGATGCGTCCCTGGATGTCCTTCACGGGCACCGGGGTCAGCTGCTTCAGGGGAGTGGGCACAGCCGAAGCTGCGGCCACGGCCAAGGCCAGGAATACGAACAGTTTCATCTTGATCAAGTCTTGCAACTCGTTGCTGTTCCAGAATTGGACGGCCTTTTTATACAAAAGAAGCCACCAATCTTATCTCATTGGGCAGTAAACTCTTTCTTATTAAAGTTAATAAAAAAGAGTGCGCAAAAACAAACCACAAAACTTAAAGTAATCAGTTTTCATTGATTTTGAGTAGCAGTTGATAGTGCAGTAATAAATATTGCTTTAAATATTAGCGGCCACATACGATTCATTAGGAAGTACACTTCTAAAAACAATAAAAAGCAAAAATGTTAAGTACTTAATGGTATGAATCGTAGAATCAGTTGACAATACAATAAATTTAAATTTAAATACTGCTGACCACCTTCAATTCATAAAAGCATTATCTAAGTACATTTAACCTGTTGGGTTTAACCCCAAACCCCACTATCTGAAGTCATAAATCTTATCAGGGCTGAACCTCTTGATTTTTATGGGTTCAAATTATCATTATGTTGTTGGAATTTTATTACAGATCCCTGTACAAAATAGATTTTAGCCTACAATCTTGACATTTCCGTTGTGGAGACAGTGAAAGTGCAACCTGCTACAGAAAGCCAGCGAAAATGAGCTCTTTCCCTTTTTCTCGTAACGTTGAAAATTGTGCACATAACTCAGAAGGGCTCTTAAAAAGCTAAATAAGGCAGGAGTTCTGTTAAAGGCCAATGTATCATTGAGTGCAGCAGTACTGTGCACTGCAAAAAAAACCATATTCCCAGCTGAGTATTTATTGCTTTCAATTAGTTGCCAATAATTGCACGTTGATATTATTACTGAACCGGAATCTCACGTACTTTCAGTTATGGCCACTAATTAATTCGCCCTTAATGAGTTCCCATCTGCAGTTGTGACTTTAATTTCGAAATTCCTTGGCTCTCCATTACCTTTCCTTGGGGAAATGTGAGCGGAGTGCATTGGCCCCGCTGAAAAGCCCGTACAACTTGAACACGTACGATGCCATTCCGCCCGGATCCCCATTGAACCCCACCTTTCGAACACACATCTCAAAGGCCGCTCCTTGGAAATGGGTTTGTTCCTTTGCTTTTTGCCTCGCAAAGGAGCTGGCATTTAATTCCAAGTGCATTGACATACAAAAAGCCCTGCAAGCGCCCTGAAGTAGGCAACAGCATTCAGCATTCAGCATTCAAGGTTCAAGATGTTCGCTTGCCAAGGACGAGTTCGCATTTCGGTGGGTCCTTCGATGTCCCCGCTCGTATTAATCAATATTAATCAATCACCAAAGCCAGAATCTCTGACCCACTGGGGAAAAGGTGCTCGAACCCAATTCCTTTCTGTTAAACCCCACTGTAAAACACGAGCGTGGTGTGTTTTGTGGACTCTGTTGGCTTGTCAAGAGCTTAAAAGCTTGCCTTTTCCCTATTTTTAAGGGCTGTTATGACGATAGCGCCGGTTTTAAAATAGCTTTCGAGCAACAAATGATTGTAATATGAGCGAACAATTGTAGACTGCAATTCAAGGGCTCTAAAAAAAACAATCATAAATGTGTCAAGGCTTTTAAATGCCATTATAATTAAAGAACTGAATAAACAAAAAATACATTTCAGATATGAATCATAAATAGCAAAAATTAGCGATAGCTGTTTCCTTCTTTAAACCGTGTTTAATGATCAGATAATAACATAATAAAATAACCTCACAAACTAGTAACTAAACACTTTCTTTGACATTCTTTAATCGTTTTACCTAACTCTCATGTCAAAGTCTTTTTACCTTTCCATGACCGTTTTGCCCATTCATAACCATTCCACTTTCAGATTTTTTAAAGCCTATTGAACAGTATGGATTTTGAGGCATCAAAGCGGTAAAATCTCGTTGGTAGGGCTTCGAAAATCGAAAAAATTGCGCTGGCCGCCCATCACGTGCCCAGCAGACAGAAATGGACAATAAATTCCTGTGCTAAAATCGCTGAAATCGGTTGCTGCCTCCCGAATGCAGCCCCACAACTACCAAGTGTGGTCAAATGGGCCCATTGACTTGCGCTCCGCCAACACATTGACCGAGTTTTAGCCAGCCACTAATGTAATTAGTGGAATATAGCGACTTGTGGCCGACACTTCTTCGCAGTGCAACGCGGCTAATTGGAGACTAAACATCGTCGACGATGGAACACTAAAGGATACAGTGCGCGAAAGGATTACGGCAAGGAGTGCTCCCCGAGGAGCAGGGATATGCACCCAAAGTTTGTTCGCGGCGCGTGTGATGTGTGTTAACCGATTTACCGAATGATCCCGATTTTCGCGTTCGCATAGAATACAAAAACAAATCAACAAAATGAGTGCCAACACGGAATCGGATGCCGAAAAGGCATTGGGCTCTCGCCTGGACTACGATCTCATGATGGCCGAGGAGTATATCCTTAGTGATGTGGAAAAGAATTTCATATTGGCCTGCGAGCGTGGTGACCTTCCGGGTGTCAAAAAGTGAGCGTTAATGGTCTCGTCCTTTCGACTCGTTTCCGAGTAATTGCTTTCGTCCTTAAAGGATTCTCGATGAGTATCTGGGCACCGACAAATTCAACATTAACTGCACGGATCCCATGAATCGCTCGGCGCTAATTTCGGCCATCGAGAACGAGAACTTCGACCTGATGGTTATCCTGCTGGAGAACAACATCGAGGTGGGCGACGCCCTGCTGCATGCGATTTCCGAGGAGTATGTGGAGGCCGTGGAGGAGCTGCTCCAGTGGGAGGAGACCAACCACAAGGAGGGCCAGCCCTATGTAGGTTACATCCTGTCGATGGTCCAAGCCATTCTGCAGTCTCATTTCTGATCCTTTGGCAGAGCTGGGAGGCGGTGGACCGCTCCAAGTCCACCTTCACCGTGGACATCACGCCCCTTATCCTGGCCGCCCACCGCAATAACTACGAGATACTCAAAATTCTCCTGGATCGCGGTGCCACGCTGCCCATGCCGCACGACGTCAAGTGAGTGCTGATGAACTGTGAGCTTCCTCGTCCTTGACAGGACACGTTCCATTGTTTGCCCAACCTGCAGTCCGCATATGTAGCACCTCGCTTTGAACTTCTATTTTAACCTAACCAATGGGGTAATTGGGGAGATGAATTTATACAGGGTGTAAGGATATTTACTCGGAAGGAATGTATGTAATGTATGGGTTATATTTTTTTTCCGTGATGAAATATTTTTTTACAATGAGTATAATTTCCCTGTGACACAAAAGGGTCTGTATCCTTTTATGAACAATGAATGGGTTGTGCATAGCAGAATGTTTTCTGATATTTGTTTTTTTTTTTTTGTGGTTGCATTTTATCCTTGATCCTGTGTCCAGGTGCGGCTGCGACGAGTGCGTGACCTCCCAGACGACGGACTCCCTGCGCCACTCCCAATCGAGGATCAACGCGTACCGGGCGCTCTCGGCCAGCTCGCTGATTGCGCTCAGCTCCCGGGACCCTATACTGACCGCCTTCCAGCTGTCCTGGGAACTCAAGCGCCTGCAGGCGATGGAATCGGAGTTTCGTGCCGAATACACGGTACGGTAGCAAATGTAAGCACGGGGGCTAGTGCCAATGCGAATGCAAGCTTTGTTTGTGTTTGCCCCACAGGAGATGCGACAGGCGGTGCAGGACTTCGGCACCTCGCTTCTGGACCACGCACGCACATCCATGGAGCTCGAGGTGATGCTCAACTTCAACCACGAGCCCTCCCACGACATCTGGTGTCTCGGCCAACGGCAGACCCTGGAGCGATTGAAGCTAGCCATTCGATATAAGCAGAAAACGGTGGGTTCCCAAAACCATTACCTTACCAATTCTAATCTGATTTCAAAGTGACATCCCTCTTTACGTTTGGAATTATTTTTATGAAAAACTTTCATTTAAATTTTTAATATTGGAAAAGGTCAAATCTTTTGAACTGCATTTCCTGAGCTTATATATTTGCCAATTTTTATCAGATTTCATTTTCTGCTGTTAGTTTGTGGCACATCCGAATGTTCAACAGTTGCTGGCAGCCATTTGGTACGATGGACTGCCAGGTTTCCGGCGCAAACAGGCCTCGCAACAATTAATGGACGTCATAAAGCTCGGCTGCAGTTTTCCCATCTACAGTTTGAAGTACATTTTAGCCCCAGATTCCGAGGGAGCTAAATTCATGCGCAAGCCCTTTGTCAAGTTCATCACACACTCCTGCTCCTACATGTTCTTTTTGAGTGGGTAAAGCCGATTTCTTGCACTTCATAGATACAAATATTATCCTTTATCAGTGCTCTTGGGTGCCGCTTCCTTGAGAGTGGTGCAAATCACCTTCGAACTCCTCGCTTTTCCTTGGATGCTGACCATGCTGGAAGATTGGCGCAAACACGAAAGAGGTTCCCTTCCAGGTCCCATCGAACTGGCAATTATTACCTACATTATGGCTCTGATATTCGAAGAACTTAAAACGCTGTATTCGGATGGCTTGTTTGAGTATATCATGGATCTTTGGAACATAGTCGACTACATATCGAACATGTTCTACGTGACGTGGATTCTTTGTAGAGCCACCGCTTGGGTAATCGTTCATGTAAGTCTTTAGAAACTATAAATCATATTTACCTAATATAAGAATTTAATTATTCGTAGCGTGATCTCTGGTTCCGAGGCATAGATCCTTACTTTCCCCGTGAGCACTGGCATCCCTTCGATCCCATGCTTTTATCGGAAGGCGCTTTTGCTGCCGGAATGGTCTTCTCGTATCTGAAACTCGTTCACATCTTCTCAATCAATCCACATCTTGGTCCCTTGCAAGTTTCTCTGGGTCGCATGATTATCGACATTATAAAGTTCTTCTTTATTTACACATTGGTATTGTTCGCCTTTGGTTGTGGTCTAAATCAGTTATTGTGGTACTATGCCGAACTCGAGAAAAATAAATGCTATCATTTACATCCGGATGTGCCCGACTTTGATGACCAGGAAAAAGCTTGTACTATATGGCGAAGATTTTCCAAGTAAGTAGCACCTTTAAGTATCCATAATTAAGTATAGAAATATCTTATTTCGAAATTATTACTTATTCCATGAAAATGTTCCCTATTTCAGCCTATTTGAGACATCGCAATCACTTTTCTGGGCATCTTTTGGCCTCGTGGACTTGGTCTCTTTCGATCTGGCTGGAATCAAGAGCTTTACTCGATTTTGGTCCCTGCTGATGTTCGGCTCTTATTCGATGATCAACATTATTGTGCTCCTCAACATGCTTATTGCCATGATGTCTAACTCGTATCAAATCATCTCTGAGAGGGCCGATACTGAATGGAAGTTCGCTCGTTCGCAACTTTGGATGAGCTACTTCGAGGATGGCGGCACCATTCCACCGCCCTTCAATCTCTGTCCCAACATGAAAATGCTAAGGAAGACCCTGGGAAGGAAGAGACCATCACGAACCAAGAGTTTTATGGTAAGCGAATGTACTTTAACTCCAGACACAAAAGAACAGAAAAGAGGAACCCACTCAAACTTTAAATAAGAAGTTTTTTCTAAGTTTAACCACCTCACAAACTCAGTGAGAGGCGGGACAATCAATACAAATCTCTGGCTAAATCAGTTTCAATCAAGCCCATGCAGAGCTTGCTGTGCGTCAAAGTCCATGCTAATTCAACCTTTTCCGTGTCCTTCCACCCCCTTGTGTTCCTCCTTATCGATCCTTATTCGAACTGGCAGCGAAAGTCCATGGAACGGGCACAGAGCCTGCATGACAAAGTGATGAAGCTGCTGGTCAGGCGGTACATTACGGCGGAGCAGAGGCGGCGGGACGATTACGGCATTACCGAGGATGATATCATCGAGGTGCGCCAGGACATAAGCTCCTTGCGGTTCGAGCTACTGGAGATTTTCACCAACAACAGTTGGGAGGTACCCGACATTGAGAAGAAGTCGCAGGGTAAGGGAAACCTACCCCAATCTGAATGCCTCGCTTTAAGATTGTAGACTAAATATGAGTAAACCATTAAAATGTATAAGCTGTTGTCTATATTTGCCTTATATTACTAATAATTTTAATCCCCTAAATAGTACATATATAGCAATCCTTTATCTCTTTTTCCAAATTGTAGTTTATTAATTGAAATTATTTATATAATTGAAAGAGTTTTAAAATTATGTGGGAAATTAAAAATTATTTCCCAAGAAAATAATAAAAGAAAGGTAGTAAATATTGTTGCTTAAATAAGTAAGTAATTATAAAAATCATGTGCAGGAGTGGCCCGAACCACCAAGGGCAAAGTGATGGAACGTCGTATCCTGAAGGACTTCCAGATTGGCTTTGTGGAGAATCTGAAGCAGGAAATGAGCGAAACGGAGAGCGGAAAGGACATATTTTCATCTCTTGCCAAGGTCATTGGCAGAAAGAAGACCCAAAAGGGGTAATTCTGATTTATTTTCTATAATTCTCGCAAGGTAATGAAAAAACTTTTATAGAGACAAGGATTGGAATGCCATTGCGAGGAAGAATACCTTTGCTTCCGATCCAATTGGCTCGAAGCGATCCTCTATGCAACGTCATAGCCAACGCAGCTTGAGGAGGAAGATCATCGAGCAGGCCAACGAGGGTCTCCAGATGAACCAGAACCAGTTGATTGGTAAGATCACTTCTTAATGATACCATGATTTTATTCTTAAAACATTTATATAATATAATTTATTATGTGTTTAATAATCTACCTATAATCTCCTCCAGAATTCAATCCCAACTTGGGCGATGTGACCAGGGCAACAAGAGTGGCCTATGTCAAATTCATGCGAAAGAAGATGGCTGCCGATGAGGTTTCCTTGGGCGACGGAGAGGGTCCTCAAAATGGCGAAGCGGAAAAGAAACCATTGGATTCCTCTGGGGTAAAAAGCAAAAATATAAATTTTAATTTATTTCTTTCTAATTTATTTCCTTCAATGACAGTCCAAAAAATCCCTAACTGGTGGCGCAAGTGGAGGAGGAGCTTCTATGATGGCTGCAGCTGCTTTGCGAGCTTCCGTCAAGAATGTGGATGAAAAGTTCGGTGATGCAAAGGCTGGCACTGCCGGTAAGCCAGCGGATGACAAGAAACCAGGGGAAGCCAAGAAACCAGGTGATGACAAGCAGCCTCCCAAGGACTCGAAGCCACCTCCACCAGGAGGAGCCAAGCCAGGGGACCAGAAACCAGCTCCAGGAGCTGGTGCTCCGAAGCCCCAAGCCGCTAGCAATGGCACTAAGCCCACTGACCAACAAAAGAAGGATGCTCCTGCTCCTCCAAGTAAGCCGGCGGATACCAAGCCAACAGCTCCAAAGTCCGGAGAACCTGCAAAGCCAGAAGCAGCCGCCAAGAAAGAGGAGTCTTCTAAGAGCGACGCAACCAAACCCGCAGCCACAACTGGAGCTGCCAAGAGCGCAGCTCCCTCGGCTCCAACGGATGCCAAGCCGGATGCCAAATTAAAAACCGGAGCAGCTGGAGCTCCGGAGGGAACCAAGGCCACCAATGGAGCCTCCAAGCCCGATGACAAGAAGAACGCAACTGATGATAAGGATAAGGATAAGAAGCCAGGCGACGATAAGGATAAGAAACCGGGCGATGACAAGGATAAAAAGCCAGGCGATAGCAAGGATAAAAAACCAGGTGACGACAAAGACAAGAAACCTGGCGACGATAAGGACAAGAAACCGGGTGAGGACAAGGATAAGAAGCCGGGTGACGACAAGGACAAGAAACCAGCGGACGACAAGGACAAGAAGGCAGCGGATGACAAGGATAAGAAACCAGGAGCAGCTCCATTGAAACCAGCGATCAAAGTGGGACAAAGTAGTGCGGCAGCTGGAGGAGAACGAGGAAAATCCACGGTCACGGGTCGCATGATCTCCGGCTGGCTTTAAACCCTCGCCAAAATAGTTTTACCCGATTTAATAGCAGCTATCTATATCTAAGGTCCTTTGTTTGTGTGAACAATAAACGAATCTCAAATACAAGTATCCTGCAACATGTTGCCAAAGGCCACCTGTTGCAAGCAACACCTACTTTGCATCCCACAGCGATGGCAACATTCATCAGCCGCCCCGTTGGTCTGGTGTCAATTTATTCACTTGGTATCATTCCTCCCGTTTTTCTGGCCTATAAAAGAACGGAAACTTTGACCAGAAGCATCAGAAAACCAGTGACCGTTCTACGGAAAACATCAGACAGGAAAACTTATTTTGCCAGCCCAGTGTTTCGCTCTAAAAATCCTTTTAAATATGAAATCCATGCTGCTCAACGCAATTTTAGTGTTAGTGCTTCTCGCAGAATTCAGTTCAGCTGGTGAGTGGATTACAATTAAAACCCTTCTTCATGAAATCTCAACTATTACGAAGGATAGAATGCAGTGAAATTTGGATCTTACCAGAAAAATTTCAAGTGATTTTATTTGACTTGTTAAATTGTAAAGAGCTTTATAATCATCTTTAAAAATATTTTGCAGCACAAATAAACAAAAAAGGTAAACCTGTGCTCTTTCAATATTTTTTTCTTCTTGCTAAGATTGTTTTTCCCATATGGTTACTAATCTAAAATAAACTTTCTTTAATGAAGTTTTTTAAATTCTACTAGAAAAACTTTTTATTATGCATGTAATTTTAACCTCCTACATCGATTCTTTTAATTCAAACACACAAATGAAGTAGTCAAAATACGAGTGTATATAAAAGCTAACTGCCAAAATAATAAGAGCGAGATTATAGATCATGATACTTAAGTTATAAAGTAAATTATGTAGAAAGACTTTCTTACTATTTGAAAAAAGGGAAATTTTCCTCCTCTCACTTTTAAAAGATTAGAGGTAACAAGTTAATTAAGATGATAAGCTCGCTGTTGTTTTGTTGGCGGCTGGCTTTTAAAAATAGCCTATTCCTTGGTGACTTAAACACCAGCTCAGAACTAATCGCAAACAATAACCACTCCATTCAGAGCTGGACCACGACAAGAACCGGCGAGGTGCCAATATGGGACTCTATGCCTTTCCGCGCGTCGGTCGCGGAGATCCCAGTTTGGCCAACAGTCTGCGCGACGGATTAGAAGCTGGGGTCCTCGACGGCCTTTACGGCGATGCCTCCCAGGAGGATTATAATGGTAAGTCGTTGCGGCCGGATAACTAATTGGCCTAAACGCCCTGGGACTCGCCATTTCAGAGGCCGATTTCCAGAAGAGGGCCAGCGGTCTGGTGGCCTTCCCACGCGTCGGTCGCGGCGACGCGGAGCTGAGGAAGTGGGCCCACCTCCTGGCCCTCCAACAGGTGCTGGACAAGCGCACAGGACCCAGTGCCTCCTCGGGATTGTGGTTCGGTCCCCGCCTCGGCAAACGCAGCGTGGACGCCAAATCATTTGCGGATGCCAACAAGGGACAAAAAGAATTCAACTAGACGCACCACAAACGGACTTCCTTTGACACTCTAAATGTAGTAAACACTTTTGTATATCAAAGAGAACGCTTCTGATTGAATATTGTAACGGGTACACAGCAAATATGTTTTTCGGTCAAATATATATGGGTAATTAATGGCTGGTGAGAGCTTGTAATTAATGTCTTTGTGTGTTGTTCTTGACATTCTCAATATGTAAATATAATAAAACCACTAACATAACCTGCATAAGTCTTATGGTTTCAAATTAAGAAAGCTATTGGCTTGGAGTATTAAGAAAAGTTTATTCTAAATGAATTGCAAACACGTTTGGTACATTTATGCGGGTGTGAATGATATTTCAACGTCTTGACCAAGTTAAGATCAATCAATTGTGGGTCTAATCCTGTTGCTGCTTGAACTTTCGCAACTCGCTTTGTATGGCCTCGATTAGAGGAGCTGTTCCCGATGAACTAGCAGCTGGTTCTGGTGCCTCTATCCGGCGTGAGGGACCAGCACTCAGAGGTCGGTTCAGGGTCGAATGGGAGCTGTACATGCTGCCCCCTCCCCAGGCACTATAAGTGGGCGAAGGTGGTTGGGTGGAGTGTGCCGACTTGGAGGTTTTCTCCGGCTGCGCTGTGGCAGGACGCTCAGCTACGATTTTAGCACCTCCCGAAGGATGGAAGCTAAAGGATCCCAGGATTAACTCAAGAAGAACAAATATTGAATATAAAATCCCTACCTTGGCAATCCGGCTGATGAACCCCGGTGCTCGCGCTTCGTAGCCCTCCTGTTGTTCGTGAAATTCTGGGTGGGCAAGGGCATGGGTATGTCGTCCTGGCTGGAGTACATTTGCAGGGCTCCCTCCAGGAGTCCCTCGTAGTGGTTGCGTATGGCCGACGGATTGTGCAGCGGACTGGGATCATAGTCCGCATAGTCGAGGGCCTCTGGGGAAGATCGATTGGAGAAGTTGAGTACGATAAAAGTGGAGTGGCTTTACCAGGTTGAAGTGGAGGTGTCTACGTTGTTAGTTAGCTACGGTTTGGTTATCGGGTAATCAGGATTGGTGCAAGCAATAACAATAACAACTAAATCAACGACTACAGGTTGTCCTTAGTAACGCGACTTGGCCCCGAATCGCACGTCCTCGTCGTCATCGTTATTATTATTGTTAGGACTTTCGGGTTTGGGGGTTTCTTTTTCCGGCTCACCCTGAGTCTGCTTCTTCTTGTGCCGCTCCCAGACCACGGGACCCACAACACCCGGATCCGGATTATCGCTATGCGAGGCGGAACGGACATTCCTCACTGACGGCGGGGCCTTGGGACTGGGAAAGCTGGCGATGGTGGCTATGGTGTTGTCCTTGCTTCCCTGCGATTTGTGTGACCTCAGGGATCTTGTTGAATTGTGCGGCGCCACTGCATTCACGTTGTCGTAGTAGGTGACGAAGACGGGATCCAGCACCCGGTTGAGTGGTTCCGGCAGACTGCTCTTCGGAAAGGCTCGCACCGAGGCCATCGACAGGAAGGATCCCACACTGGCCGTATCGGATTTGTCGGATGGCTGCAGGTTCCGTATCATCTCGTTGTTGATTGCCTCCGCGGAAACCCCTCTTCCGGTTTTCTGGGTCAACAGCTTGTTCCGGTGGTAATTGTTGTGTGGATTGAAAGCCTCGTTGCGCTGAAAGTTCTCGTAACTCCGGCGAAGTGTTTCCGGAGAATCCTCTGCGGATGAGTGACCCGCCAGGGAACCCTGAACAGGACTCGTTTCCAAGGAACCCACTCGATTTTCGTTGAGATAACGCCTTCTTGATTTATGCCTCGATTTGTCGCTCTTTTTCTCGGACACCACGGATGTGTAAACTGTTTCCTCGTGACCCTCGGCTCGATCGTACTGATGGCGCCTCTTGTGAGCATCAAATAACCTTGCTGCCTTATCATCCAATATCCTTTGCACATCCGCACTCGGCGGATTTATGGGACAATAAACTGAAGAGTCGGAGGTGTTGTCCGTCGACGAGGATATGGAATCACGACGGGATCGGGTCTCCTGCGGAGGAGCTGGAAAACTAATGCGTGGCTCCCGTTCGTAGGAGAAGTTACGGACACCCACTTCCCGGGATTGGGAGTGCGCCGGACTTGGTTCTCCTTCGGTCCTTTCACTCGTCGTTGGACGTATAGATTGTCCCTCGGAAAGCAGCTCGTTGCGGGAGGAGTTTCTGCAATTTTCAGCGATTTTCATGAAATTTAATTAATTTATTTTTTTATGTACAAATTGCCACATAGAAATCGGACTAAAATTGGAAAAGTTATGGACTTAGAAATAGGGAAATTTGGCCAAGTGCAAGTGCATAAAAATGAACCTTAACTTGACTTGCGAGTTTTTTAAATGGGCTTATGGTGTTATGCGTTGATAATTGATATTATATGGAACATACCTGTTGACAGCACTGAGTTCTCTTTGCCGAGATCTTGTCCTTCCCAGGAGCAGAACAGCCACGAGAAGTAACATTAACAGCAGGATGGCCAAGGAACTAATCACCACTAAAGCCACATTATTTTTCACTGAGTTAAAGAATCCAGCCTGTCCACTTCGAGGAACAGGTGCTAATGCGGTGGCCGTGGGCTCCCTAATGTAGGCTATCGAAGGATTATATAAATGTTAGTAAGCCTTATTGGAGGTCGCGCATAACTTACGTTCTGATTTCATATAGACAGCCTGTCCAAAGGTCTTGACTGCCTCGGATTCACTGACCAATTCCATGTCTTTGGCTGCTGTCGTGGCCAAAACGGGCCGACCATTTACCAAAACAGTGTAGATAAGCTCCGTTTGGTTCGCTATGGGACGATCGTTGCTACTAAAAATATTTAATGTTTAATAATAGTAATCCTGAAGTTTCAAACTTTCTAAGTATTAAACTGTTTTTATTACAATTCTGACGGTGCATGAATAAATTCTTATACTGAAATTGATAGTTTTTGTTAGTGCACTTTGTGGGTTAATCAAACTCATAATACCTATAATAACAAGTTCGGCAGGCACTTACAATTTGAGGTTGACGTAGTTGTCCTCCTCCATGGTACCGAATCCATTGGTGTTCGTGCTCCACTTTTGCACATCCGCCTCGCTAATTTGCGTTAGGTTGTGTATGACAACTCTGACGTGCTCGTCCCTATAAAGTGGTTGAGGTTGTTGTTGTTGTTGTTCCTGTTTTTGTTGTTGCTCCTGCCGCTGTTGTTGTTGTTGTTGTTGCACCAGCGGTTGCTTAGTCAACAAGCCTTCGTGCACTTCCCTCAACTTTTCCGATTTCCCATTCTGCTGTATGAGCTCCCAGGGGATCAGAGTAACGTATGCGCCATAATCTATCGTTTCAGTGGTGGACGAGGGTGTGACCTCCATTGGAGGGGCCACTTCGGAGTGCTCCCCCTCCTCCTCCTCCTGCTCCGAGTTACTAGCCCATTCGGTATCCTCGCCCAGTCTCCTCACATTCTTTATGTAGTGCTGGTCTTCATCCTGCATGTCCAGTATCTCCACATCGTCTTCCGGCGATCCTGTCGTGGTTTCTGGTTTCGTTGGGGGTGTCAAAGATTTCCGCCGTTCTCGAGGTATTGGAACGTTTACCCCTTCGATTTGCTGGGCTCCATTTATGCCCAAGTGACGCGTTTGCTGCCTATTTATAACATAATAATTATACATTGTATACATCCCTTCATCCCTTTATTGTTTAAAATGGAATTACCTGGTGAAAGCTAGCCGATATAAACGTGCCAGTTTATCCTCTAAAGCGGGACTATCCTTTGCCGAGTAAAAACCCGACATGACTGTAAGCAGCCAATAACGACGATCTGTGGCGGAGTAGTTCAAAGGTGGCATTCCTGGACTTCCCATTCCCCAAGAGCCACCGCCATCATCCGGCTTACAGTCCAGGCAAATGGGTATGTCAATTTCCTAGATATCAATCTCTATTAAAAGTTGCTTCCTAGTTTAACCGCCCTCTTCAACTCACATTATTCCCATCCACATAGACAGTGGCCACCACCGTTTCGGTCTTGACAATCACATCCTTGCCCTTGGTTATACCTGTATGCACTTTCTTCAGAAAATCCGGTGGGCCATCGCCCGAACCCGTCCAAAAGAAGTCTTCCAAGTGAATTTCGTCCTTAACTTCTGGATAGTCATCATCGGAAGCGTCTGGAAATGTCATGATTTTATTTTATGCCTTGAACAGTTTCTTGAACTTTCACCCCGTTTCCATAGAAAGTAAACAATGCTTGCTGGAGAAAATAAAAAGTTTCTTATCGGATAATAAAGTTGCAAATTAATATGGTTACTTATCAAATATATACTCTGTTCTTAAGTTACTAAATCATTCTGTCCCTTCCCTTTATTTGTTATCTATGTAACTTATTGGTTTTTGATTTTGTTACCCTTATTTTGGTAACAGGTTCTCAAGTTTGTTTGATCAATTGCGCTAATGGCAACATATTTCCCGCAATGAATGCAGTTGTACCCCGCCAATTATGCTTCAACTCATTTTATGTGCATTGAATGTGGTTAACACAAAGTCCCTCCTCTTCTGAGACAACAATAACATAACCTTATCGATTAGCACTTTCGTTACCGAAAACCCAAAGACAGGAACCAAACAATTTGCTTGCGTGTCGCTTGAGCAATTAACTATACACCTGCCTTGATTTGGCAGGTCGAATCACCTGGGTCAGTCCTCTTTGCCAGTCGGTTTTGCAATTAACTCATATTGATTGTCCCAAATTTTTGCTTGGGTCAGTGATGAATTTTTGATGTTTTGTGGTAATGCTCTCGGCCAGAAACTCGTAATAATGCGTAAAGCAAGGGAAGCGTTAAAGGTCAAAATACTTGCACCGTACGAATTCTAGTATGGGGACCCCAAAACCCCTAGATAATATATAACACATTTTACTGGCTGGATGCTCAACTTACCGTGACTTAATTGTATAAGCGGCTGACCAAGCTGCGACTTTTGCGTAGCTCTACAGATTTGTTGAATGGCCAAAAATAAAGAAACAAGCAGAATCGTACGATTTGCTTTCATTTTCACTGGATTATTTATGAGCGTTTTGGTCACTTTCGGGTGTTTTCACTTCGTTCCGCATTTCCCCTGCCGCGGGTCCAAGAATTGGTTAACTGAGGGAAAATGTTGTCTGCCGCCGAACTACTTTATGGGAAAAGCTGATTCAGAATCGCGTCACTGGCACCGTCGAACGTCAACCGGGAACTAAACGCTCCATTGTAATCCAAACATCGTTCTCGGAGGTTTCACTTGGTGGTGCGGATGGGTGACATTGTTATAACCCGCTCTCTGTTTGGGCCGCTTTGTGCCTGGTCAGTTACCCGGGGCAACGCCAATTTCAGCGGCAACAGGCGCATATCGGAAAAGCGCGCCAACCCAAAACCCGCTTTCCGTAAACAAAGAAAAGCTTTCGCGAAATGCCGATAAGTCCGACTTTGTCCCATAACTTTTGGGACAACATAAGTTACTAAGAGATACAAAGATACACAGATACTATGTAAAAGCTGTTAACCATGGTTTAGGTTTAGATTTACTAAAAGCTCTGATTAAATGAAAGCAAAAGCTGACTGCTAACAAATTCAAAAACTAAAATAATCTTAAAACATTTTTAAAATAAACTCCTTTACTAATTTTTAATTCCTTACATATTAATAAACTAACAATCCCCTACTTATCAATAAGCCAACAAAACTCTAAGGGTAATCAATTATTCATTACATCAATCAAAAGCTTCTACCAATCTTTTTTAAGACAAAGAATTCTGCAAAAAATCATAAAACGACCTTCATGACATTACATGAATACATATTAGCTTTCGGGTTATTAAGAAGGCTAAAGCTTGATTAATTAGTAATAATTAACAATTAGTTTAAACAAGTTTTTTATATGTCTAAGACACAAAAAACTTTACAGCCCAGATGGATAATTAATTATCAAGCTAACGAGGCACAAGATTTGATAGCAATATATAATTAAATAGCCCTAATTTTACAACAAATAGAATTTGTTTTTCTTCGTGCTGCCAAGGTATTATTGCGTAATTAATATTAATTATTAAGTAGTTAAAAGATTTTCATATACATTTGATTTATTAAATAATTTCTGCGAAGAGCATATATTTAACCACTTCACAAATGATTTGTTAGTAATAATTATTGTGAGATTGAGGTATCTTCCCACCCACATTTTTAAAAACTTGTTTGAGGTAGCCGCAAAATAACCCATTCAATGCGAGACAAGGTAAACTTTTCTTTGTAGGCTTACAAAAAACCCCCGAAGATTTCGTAAAGATAGTCTTCTACATCGATAAGTCATTAATCATAGGAAACAAGCTTTTTGGTCTGAATGTTTCCGGGAACCAGTCTAATTTTTGGTGCTTTATTATGATTATCCGAAGTCACTAAAATTAGAGTTTGATTATACCTATGCTAAGTATCAAACCTGTCAAATGTAGCCATGTTTTGAGCTGTAGGCGCTTATTAACTTTTAAGCTTCACCTGACTTGATAATTTTTAAATCTTTGTCTGTATTTGCCGAAGCGTTGCGAAGAACCCACCAAATGTATTTGTCAATGCCTTTAGAATTTGAAAACTTGTTTCGGGCGTCAAGTCCATCATTACTATAGAATGCGCTAATTTTGTCGGACGTAAAGTCTTTTTAAAGGTCAAAACTATTACGCAACAGAAAACTCGTATATCCAGAGTGCGGTCGAATATAATGATATTGAAAAAACTAAACTTGATCTTGACCAAAGGCAAATGGAAAGTCTTAAAACGCGAGCACAACCAGTTTCAGCAATGGAATACTAAACTTTTTTATTTTTTATTTACAATTTTAATCTAGAAAATGTTTATCCTGCAGCGGACTTCAGGGCTCCGGCGCTCAGTTTGCGGTTCTTGATTTGGTAGCGGGCCTTGTAACCATCCTTATCGGCGGTGTACATAGTCACAGTATCGGTATCAGTCTTTTCATCGTATGTGGAGTAGGTACCCATGACCACCACCTGCTCGTCGGCTGTTCCCGGGTTCATGATGACGGCCATTTCCTCACGCTTGCTGCCATTGGGCTCATCGATGCTGTAATTCGAAAGTAGGTTAACTCCAATCCTTGTCAGTAATGAAGATTTCTTACTTGAAGCGGTATCCCTCCTTTGTGGGCGCCCCATTGTAGAACTCCGTCATGACGGCGGGGAAAAAGAAGCTTTCCAGAAGCCCCGCTGAACAGTTGGCGGCCATAACGGCCACCAGGGCAGTGAAGAGCAGCTAAAAAAGTAATTACAACATAATTATTTAAACTTATTAAAATAAAATTGACTGACTATTAATTGGGTCTCTTTTTTATTATGTGCGATGTGCGTGGCAAAAAAATAAAATAAGGACTTTTTTGCAACACAAAATACAATATTTTTGGTAACTTTGTAATTTCTTATTATTATCCAATACTCTTTAATTTTTTTTTCCAAGTCCAAGTTAGGAATTTTTATCAGCTCGTAAAATCCACAAACTATTTGTAATTTACATGCGAATTAAAATTGCTTGTGTCAATAGAGCAATTTTGCCAGCTGCCCGTGCTATTAGCACAGCTGCATCAGTAGCTTATGTGCATTGATAGCCTCTATTTGGATTGGTCACACACTTCACATGCCCGAGTAATTGAAGCCCCTTGGTTGTTACCAAGTCGTAGGTCTCGGCCACCGTTGAGGGTTCGATACCGGGTTCCGCCCGGAGCAACTGCTTACCAATTTCGCTGAGGCCATGTTGATGCGCGCTGAAGTTGCTGAGCGATACTAAGGCATCCGAAGCGCGCCCCCTAATATATAAAAGTTAGGATCTGCATAGATCTTTGGATCTCGACGCGACGTCGAGCACACACACAGCAGTCAAGTCATATTTTTTTACTTAGTCGCTACCACTATTGAGTAGAACCGGTCGCGTCTTGAATCGCCACTTGAATGCTGAAAGAAACGCCAACGCCTTTCGGTCATTATGTTTTATTTTGGAAGATTGATTCGGTAGAACCTACGGCGCAGGAATCGTCACATCTGGTCAGCACACACAAATCGTTCTCCCAGTTTTGCAAAACACCACAAACCTTGCCATTTTTCGATACGTTATCAAAATGCGGTTATCCTTGGACTTGGAGCCAGAAAAAACCAGTGATTTATAAATTTAAATTTGCATATTTCTGAGATGGCAAATTAGACAAAAATTATTTGGAATGCTCTCAAACTAGTTTGTTTTGGTTTATCGTCTCGAAGTGATTTCACTTTCTATAGGATGCCCTCGCAGGTGAAGCCCAAACTCACCAGCTTATTCTCAGCAATTGTTTTTTCTTCGAGTGAATCAGGTTTTCTTTTGTAAAACGCTTTTCATTGTGTTTTACATGATTGTAAAATGAGTAATTACTTGCAATTAACCACCTAGGAATGTTGGGCTTCTTAGTCATTACTCAAATAAATCCTTTCTGGATGCGGCGTTAAGTTAATTTATGTATTTTGGGCGGTAATTAAATGAAACTTAAACTCAGTCATCAGCTTTGTATCCATTAATCTTATTGCCGACATTCAGTTCAACGGTCTAGAACGAGCCAACATCTTCAAAAAAAAATACGTGTTATAATAAATGAAGTTTTCTAAAGCAGACAAATGTTTAACAACAATTAAAGAATAAGTAAGTATTTTATGCAACTATAAACTATAGGACCGTCAAATTACGGGAGTTCCAAAAAACAAAATTATTTTGTACTTTTTAAAGATTTTTATACCCTTGCAAAGGGTATAATGATTTCATTCAGAAGTTTAAAACGCAGAGAAGGAAACTCCTCAGACCCCGAAAAGTATATATTTCTGATCAGCTTTACGATCTGATTTGACCTAGACGTGTACGTCTGTACAACCCCTTTCCAAAAAATGGGTTGGCTGAAAATTAACCAAAAATTCACTAATTCTAAGTCGATAACTTTTCTAATTTTAATCAGATTTTAAAGTGAAATACCTCTGAAAGTTTGTATTTTAATCTTACTAACTGCTTAATTATTATATATATTTTGACATATCATTTTCGATTTTTAAAAAATTTAAAAAACTTATTCACAATTTAAAATAAAATGGGTTAAAGTTTCTTAAATCCTTTGGATCAAACTTGATTTTTCGCTTTTTATTACTTAAATACATAAAGCTGTTGATTCACACGATTAATATTTTTTTCTTTTAAAATGTCTCCTTCCGCAAGCTTATAGTTGGCTTCGTCACTATGTGGACTGCCATCCGCACAGATTTTACTTTACACTTATTCTACACCTTCTACACATGACATCGATAGGAGGCGCCACTGAGCAAGCAGTTCGTTAAACTGGAATTGAAAATTGGTCTATATAACAAATGCCTTTATGAATTAATATTACCGAGAATTATTAATGAAGTCATTATTTTATTAAAAATACCCATACATTTTGTGACTTCAAACCTGCTGTGAAGCCCCCTAAATGGCACGGTATAACAAATTAAATGACCCTTGAGACCAACTAATTGAACTGTGAAAAATATACAATGGACAGTTAATATTTAAGGTAACTCTGCACAAAGACCGTTGTCATAAAAAAGTTTTTGCACAGTCTGACGGACAGTTTGTTGTCTGTTTCCAGAGACATCAACATGGAGGCATCTTATGCCCTCCTGATTGGATTATTAGCCGTTACAACTCCCTTAAGTTATGTAAAGGCAGCAGCAGCTGGAACTGGATTGGATCTAGGACTAATATCCTTGCCGGCAAACGGCCAGGCCTGTCAATGCTCCTTGACGATGTCCTGCAGTTGTTGCCAGAGTGTAACTGTGAATCTGATGAACGAAACTAGTACTCGTATGTGTTGCAGACATTATTTGATACCTCCTACTTAATGATATCATTTTTAGTTTGCCTCACAGTGAAAATCGGCTTAAGCAGTGGATCAATTGATTTGGGAGCCACAATGGATGGAAATTCAGTGGCCGCCATTGCCATTAGCACCTCCAAGCCACCCCAGTTTTGCATTCCGGTGATATCGATGGCTTCCCTGGACATTTGCCTCAAAGTAAACATCAAGATGGCAGGACTCGCAGCCAAGGCCTGTCCCACCTTCTATACCGACTTCTCCAGCAGTCAAGTGGTAACCTACGATTTCCCCTGCATTCAAGTTGGCTTGGATGGCGTTAGCCTGGTTTAAAAATCGAAACACCACTTCCATTCATAAATTAAACAATGCTTATTTTAAAATTTTTTTATTTATTATGCTCTTCGTTAGGTTTATAAAATGTTCAGCAGCTAGCCAGGAAAATTGCTATGTACAAATGTTACTGGTCAAATGCATGGTGTAACATAACCACAGGATCAAGTGCGATCCAGGACATAATTTGACAGCTAAGCTTATCGAGTAAGGCTATTAAACAAAAACAAAAGTTATCGGTAAACCCATCAAGCCCAAACCACAAGGGGAAAAATGTACAATAAACTTACAACTGAAGATCACAAAGGACTCCTAACCATACAGGTTGGTCTTACGAATTCTACCAATTACATTATGTTGGGTCTTCCTATAATTGAGGTAAGCAGCAGATAATTTAGGCTTCGCATCGGGATTTTTTCAGGGCATTTCGAGAACTGCTGCTAGTTCACCCGCAAATTTAGATCAGTTCGCTCGTAAATCGCTCGTACACCTTATTTATCGGTTATATCAACTAAAACTATGCTTGGAGCAGGCCGCTCTGATTGCCCAAACAGCTCTTCTGGTCCGACAAACTGGCCACGCCCATGCCAAAGGTGGGTCCTTCCGCCTTCCCAAAGGACGAGGACGAGGCTGTGGCGGAGGCTTGCACATCGCTCACGATCGCCTTGCACATGACCATCCTGACTCCGGCGAGGAAGTCCGAGAGGTAACATCATGTGGGCCGTGACGGTGCCGGTGGCTTCCGCTCCATGGATTGGGATTGGGATTGGGACTGAAGTACTGCAGGAGGTGGCGGTGGCGGGGCACTGCGCATCCTGGGCACCGGCTTCTGATCTTTAGTGGCCAGCGAGTCCCGCGGCAACTTCGGCTGCGTCGTTATGACCTTTGGTATGGTGCCCAGATGCTTGGCCCGCGGGTCCGCACCTCCCTCGAATCTCACCGATTCGACGGACGAGGACATCCGACTGTTGCCCTCCTCGTCCACTTCGTTGCCGTTGTCCGCCTCCACCTCCTCGTCCTCATCCTCGTTCTCCTGGTCCTCGATCAGGGCGCGGAACTCTTGGATGGATTCGTTAAGCACCCACAGTTGTGACAGCAACGAGAGATCTAATTGACGCAGTCCGTGCTGAAATAAAAAATTAATAAGAATAAGTTATATATATCAATTAACTATTAAAGTAAAAACATAGAACTAGCATAGCTAAATAAAATAAATAGTGCACTCTTTAGGAATTTGAAAGTTACTGCTTTATATTTATTGCGCATTGAGTTATCTTAGTGAAGCAGTTACTTTTTATTTTATAGATTTAGATTGCCTTATCCGTTATATATATCGTCTGACGGCCATGAATAATCCCAAATATTCATGTCCTCTTAAAGCCTTGGCCTGTATTTTCGCTAGCATGACGCTTGTGGTCAAAATGAAAGTTCCCCTGTCGCTGTCGAGTAGGAAGGAAAAATCTCATTTGTCAATTAATATCGCGGCATAATATCGCGCGAAAAGAAAAGCAAAAAAAAAAAATAACTTTCTGCAACCGCCGCAGCATCGTGGTATTAACCAAATCCGCTCAAGTCTGCGTTTCGCTCCGACCAACTCCCACCTGGCTGCTAATGCATTCAGATTGAAGGCAGCGGCGAATTAAAATAAAATAAAACGAAATAGGCAAAGATGAAAGAATTGCATGCCATAAATTAGCTAAGAGATATTTAACTAATATGAAAGTTTGAGTTTTATTCGAAACCTTGTGAATGTTTAATAAATTAACTCACTACCCTTAGCTCGAAGCGTGTTCAATATTTATGCGTTTCTAAGCCATAAATTAGCAGAAAAAGCTTTCCCTTTGCGGTTGTGGACTTTGGTCCGTAAAAACCACAAAACTCAATTTTCTTTACTTCCGACTAGAATACGGTTAGAAATTTTCCATTTAAGGTTTCTTTTTCAATACCCAATAGGTGTGCATCTGCGATTTTTCCGCTTTTCCTCAACTTTCCCAACAATCAGGAAGTATCTACGCGTTCTCAAGCAAAAAACTGCCTATCTGCGTTTTTCCCCCTCTTTGCCATTTTCTGTGGGCCATGTTAAGTGTGTGCCAGTTTTGCCAGATTAATGCCGGTTGAACAAAACCTTTTTCGCATTTCGCATTTGGCGGGGGCGTCGCCTTGGGTCGACTGTGAATTAGTTGCAAATTAACATACTTGCAGGGTTATCCGTGGGAAGTTGATCCACATAGAATTGTGCTAATACCATTAGATGGCTTGACCAGAAGGTACAAATCAAACGGCCCGCAAATGTAGGTCAACTTATAAATTAAAGCCCACTTTGAACAGATGATTGCAGCTTAAGGAAATGGTAAATCTGTAATTACATATTTCCTTATAATTAAATTCCAAATGGGAGGTATATATTTTCATTCATAAAAAAATGATGAATCAGAAGCGCAAATGTAAAATTTTCAGCGCTTGTCATAAATCAAATCGATATGGTTGAAAATTTAATTAGCCCTAAGCTCTTTGCGCTAAAATTGCTTAGGGCTGTTCGAAGTGCTTAAATTACGTGCCCCGTGGTAATAGGACGCTTTGACACAAGCAGAAGCCCTAAAAGTATTTCTTAAATGCAACAGCGCCAAATGGCAATGAACGCTGCAAATGCCAGACAAGGCTGCCACTGCCCTCTTCGCCTGTATGAATATACATCTATATATACATATATATGTATATATTTGGATCTGCTCAAGATGCAAGATAAATAGTGGCGCGTTCTATCTTTAGCGGGGAAGCCATTCAGTTCACATCAAACATTTCTGCACTGATGCGTGAACTCCGCAGCTGAACGGCGGCACCTTTGCTAAAAATGCGGAAGATCAGGAAACGGGAAGGAGCGAAAGCAAGCGGGAATTTCAGCAATTATCTGGGGATAAAGCGGATCCCAGATGTTCTGCCATTCAGCACAATCGATTTGGCTTTATCCAGATATTTGCATTTTAAAATTAGCATAGGGAAATAAAAGTCAATTTTTATAGCCCTACTCCAGTTTATTGAAGACTTGTCGTGTTATGGAAATTGATTTTAAATGGTTTATCTAATGAAGCTGATTTTGTTTTACCTTATATATATATATATTTAAATTATAATAAAAATTGATTGTAATCAATAAAATATATATAATATAAAAAACCAAATCAATTGCATTGCAATACTTGAAGAAAATGCTTTGAATATCAAACAAATTGTGCAAATAAAAACGAGCAAATGAGGTTTTTCTCCGCCTTTTTACATACCCCACGGATTTAATTAACTCGAGAGGCAGGCAAATGAAGCAATAGGCGGATTGCAGAACGTACTCTTTACGTATATATCTTTTTTAGACCCTCGGCAAGAGGTTGGCGTGTCATGTTCGCGGTCTGATAAACTGAAGCTCGGTTCGCATGTGCCAAATAAAGTGGAACAGGTGAGAAGCGATTAGCCGCAAATGGGGGTCTCTCTTGGCCAAGACTGGCTGACTGCTGGCTAATCGGCAGCCGACGATCTTAAAGGCTGGAGAAAGAATGCCGGGCGTCGTTCAAGGCCATTTTATGTAAGCCGTAAAAATCCATTTCATGCATTGATGCATTTCTTCTCACAAACTGTCCGCTGGCTCTTAAGTTACTTTGGCCAACTGATGTTGCCTGCCTCTTTTTTCTCTCGTTCATAAATTTAATTTGCTGCCATAACCAAGGTATCCATCTGGCAACACAACAACAAACAGCGGGCAACATAAATTAGCTGAAGCGGACCCGCTTTGTTGCTTTGTTGGTTACTTGCCAGCTTGCCAACTTACCAACTTACCAACTTACCAACTTGCTGGATTGCTGGATTGCTTGGCTTAATGGCTGCGCATGCGCTGATTAGTCTTACTCCTGTTTTCTCCCATTGTGGCTCGCTGCTTTTTATTTCTCCCCGATGCGTTGCATTGCATTAACCAGGTTTATTACTTCATTTCATCGTTGTACACATTAGAGATGGTGCTGCTGATGGCGATGGGAATGGCGGCCCTAACAATTGCGCCTAATTCGACTTGACAATCATCTATTAATATGGAGGGTATAAGGTTTGTTTCTGCCTTTATGAGTGCTGCACTCAAGATGGGTAGAAAACTAAGTATGTCAAGAAATAATGTAATTCAATATAAGGTGCAACTATAAATTACTTTTATGAACTACATTTTTTTTTGGATTAAAAGTAATTTCTGCATATAATTTGCACACGGACAATCGCTTTTATGGGTGGCACGTAAGAAATCATTGTGCCCAACTGAAAGCTGATCTAATAACCCAATAATAACCAACTACCGCCGCACTGACCTTCAGCAAATATTTACTTTCAATTCGTGTCTCGAACTGAGTGAGTAAAAGCGGCTTTATATCAAACACAGTGCACATAAATAGACGTGAGTGAACAATGCATATCAATATCCCGGGTTCACCAAGAAGGCTAACCACTCAATCTCCGCTCAGTTCGGCATTCGAAAGCAAAAGCGGCCAACTAACATAATTGCAAAACACATTCACACACCGGACCCATACTTACTGGCTTACACACCCACCGAACTGAGCGATCAGAGCTCGAATCGTTAATCAACCGACCGAAACATTTGCGAAAACCAAGGAAAGATAGTTCAGATAGGTCAAAAATCGGATACCCTAACAAATGGAGCCAGTAATTAGTTTGAAAAATAAACGAACAAACGCTTCCCTATTGATACAAATCTATTTTGCCAAGAAATTTGTGTTTTCCTTTGAGCGGTGCGGTATCTAAACAACCGCGTCTTATCTTCCCTTGATGGCATTTCGACCAGTTTTCGGCTCAGCTCGGCCACAAAGTGACTAAGCCCCGGTAGAGTTAGATAAACAAAGGCCCGCGCTTTTGTGGCAACGAATAAATTTAAATGCCTCGCAGAAATAACACAGCATAATAAGCGGTTGAGCAAATACAATGACCAATTAAAGTGTCATTGGGACTGGGCCGGCGATGGAAACTCTAATGCAGCAAAAAGTAAAAGCCAATAGAACCACACACACACACGATGTGCGTATAATTATAATAATATTACTCAGGAAATGTGCTCGCTAATATTTCCATTCATTTGGGCCCAAGATTCGGAGACTGAAGTCAAGCCATATTGCACAACGGCAGACATGCAAATTGCGCAAAATGCTTTAAATGGTGCACAATTTAGTGTTTATTTCCAATTGTTCACCACCGCCAGAGATCGACGTCTAAATCGGAGCAGCACGAAAAAGTCAGCGTTTTTATTCAGAAGACTTTGCTTTTGATCTGATCCGAGACAATACAGAAAATGGCCGCTCCTAACTCAAGGCTTATTGGAGCATTTACACCTACGCCTAACCGAGTATTAAACAGGTTCTTACGGCCATAATACTATAGGCCATAAGTATCGAATAAATGCTGTTGCCAGCCAGCCAGTCAGCCAGCCAGCTAGCAAAATTAAATGTGAAAGGTTTGGCCAACTTAGACTTTGCCCCAGCCGCAGAAGTTTGGTATTAGGCGGCTGAACTATAGTTTACTAACGCGGGTCAATAAAGTTCAGTTCCAAATGCAGCTTATACCCTTAAGAAGTGTGTTACATTTCAGCGCCAGAGTGACAACATTCGAATAAAAATAACTCTGTTCGTCAGAGAACTGGTTTTGGTTGCTAAACGAGGCGATTAAATTGTTTTGGTCCCAATGCAAATTTTTGAAATATTTTATATCGAAAGTGAGCCATTGAAAGAATGGCATATAAACTTCAGGTTGAAATGTCAGTATCATGAAATAAGATATTTGCATATTAATTTTGATTTTTATAGACAACATTATCAAAGTTTGCAATCTTGATGGCATTTGGATAATCTGCTTAATAAGTTTTTAAATAAGAACTCTTAAAGATTGTCTATATCTAGGTTATAAATTGGGTGATAATATTCTAAAAGAAATCATATCTCGAAGCGTAACTCTACTTATCTCAGCTGATATTGGTTCGGTTTTCATCTGGGATTTAAAAAGCAATAATATATGATTGAGATCTCACCATTTCCTTCCGCAGCGTCGCAATTTGTGCATCCAGAGTGCTGCCTGCTTCGACTGCTTGGGGGTTTCCTTTGGCGGATAAACTGGGGGATTTCGCCTCGGATTTCGCTACTATTGCTGGCATTGTTGTATTTCCGTTCGGCGAGGAGGGCACTGACTTATCGATGGCATTCTCATTGCTATCCTGGATCTCTCCGGTAAAAGTGTCATTTGGTTTTTGGCTGATCTCGCTGTTGCTGTTGTTATTTCCCTCCACATCGCTGAGGAGTCCGGAATCGGAGCACAGTAGCTTATTAAAGCCAATCAGCGATTTTGGCAGCGGTGGCAACTCGCAAACCGAACTTCCACTGCAAAGAAAAGATTAAAGTAAAAGCCAAGAATTAGTCATATGAAATAGTTAACTTGAGGCGTAATACATACAATTTATTTCCAACCCAACTATACCTTTGCTTGCCACCCAAATAGCCATAACCTTGCCAATAACCAATCACATGACCATCTAGACCATCATCACTCTCCTTATCACAGTCGTCTGTATCCTCATCGTTTCGATGGACCATTTCGCTTAGGACCAGGGGTAAAACGGTAGCCTCACCGAAGTCACTCTCGTCCTCGTAATCACTGCAGGTCGTGGGTGTTTCACCACGTCCGCTTCTCAGCTCCTCGTCGTCCTTTTCATCCAAAGTGAAGAACCCGTCCTGGAAACGCTGATACCACTTGGCCACATACTGGGCACTGGGACAAAAGGGCCCGAAAGCATTGCGGCACTCCTCGAAAATCTGGGCGGGATGGAGGCGACGCCGGAACCCAAAGAGGATGCACTGCTGCAGCTCCACGGCCGAGGGAGCCGGGATCGGTGAGAGAAACAGCTCGTCCAGGTCCTCGGACATTTTCGGTGACTTTGTGAGGTGCCGCTTGAAACTTCTTATGACATTAGCTGCAATGTTTCCATTCGGGATAAGATAGAAGGATCTTTTAGATATCAAATTGGGGCGATAAGCTGGTGGATTTCTAAGGCAGCATTATCTCGGCTTCAACGAATCGCCAAAGTTTCAACAGAGAACAGAACACAGGAACAGAATACGGCATACAGAACAGTGGATGAGGAGATGGGTTCTTTCGGCATGGGATATTATCAAATGATGGTTAGGCACAGCAAGTGTTATGGCTTATTTGAATAGTTTTCTATAAAATTATTTGTGACATAAGCTGCAAAGATTTGTACAGATAGGGCAGAGTCCAAGAACTTTTCATTCATTAATGGTAGAAAGATAAACAACACATAAGAGCAGAAACAGCAAAAAGAACAGCAACATTTGGGTATAAATGTGAGTAAATCATAGTATTGTTATATGATGGCTAAGCAAATAAGACGTATGACCTTCTCCTCCCAATATCTATATAGCTGGCTAAGAAATATGTATAAAAGGTGTTCAAAAAGAAACAAAGATATTATAGGTTAACGATTAAACACCAAAGATCAGAATTCTCATTGTAAATTCAGAGTTGCACTCCACAGAATGGCATTTCAATCTCAATCTGTAATATTAGCACAGGCATTATTCACATGTATAGAGATACATGAGAACTTGAACAGGTATGCGAAAAGATAAAGTTATGTACATAATGCAAGCACAACTCCGATCGTAAAAGAAACCAGACACGAAGGCCATCAACTTATGGCTTTTAGAATGCTAGCGAACGAGTTCAAAAATTTGTTAAACCGTCTGTTCAGTCAGTTGCATCAAAGGCCATAATAAAGTCACAAAAAACGTGGTCAATGCAAGCGGCAATTTGGTTTGTGACTTCATTTATTCGTAATTGAGATTACCAAATGAAGATTTAACTTTGTAGTAAAGAAGTAATCGTCATGAAAATGGCCCATTTTTCACTGTAAAGTGATATTTGGCATAGGCATAATCTTAAAATACTCTGCACGTAGTCGCTTGAACGTATTGAGATAATCAATGTCTTATTTTTTTGGCTTTTGGTCAGATATTACAAAACGGCTATAAAGATCTTGAGATATTCAGAGATATTGTGTAATCTACTTGTTTGTCATAAAATTTGTACCTGCCTTTTACAAAAGTCGTTCGGCCAAGTAAAACCCAGCTGATTCTATAATAATACCGCCAATATTCATTCTTAGCCATAATCAACACCTTTCATCTATTTCCGACCCACACGTCAAACTATTTTAAAAATTTTAATTAAGTCCGTCAGCACTTGCTTGAAGCTCTGTGTTCCCACCTTAATGGGGCACAATTATAGTGCACATTTAAATAATAATCAGTTCCTTCTACTTGTACTAAGACAAAGAATCCGACAATGATGATAACAATAAATATTATTAGACTTTCTAGTGAACCGATATTACGTCATTAGATTTTCACAAACACATTGGGAAAAGCGATTTTCTGCGCAGGGCAAGGCTGGAGGTCAAAACGAAAATGATTTATACAAACGTAAGTGATGGCTTTATCTGAAATGTCTCACATGTCGGTTAATGAAAACACATGTATATCATTCGAATCCGCAAGTTGTTACTTTTCAAATAGCCGATGTTGTGAAGTAATAACACATTGGAAAAACACTGCGGCAACATTTTTTTAGACAATACACAAATCAACACGAAAACTTTTATATTTTTTTGTTGTATTTATTTTGCGAAGCAGAGGCAGCGGAGAAGATATTATTTATACTATTCGCAGCATGTCTAATTTGGTTTGCTAATCTGTCATTTTTATCTGAAGAATTCACACAGCTGCGTAAACATTGTCATTAAAAGGGTCTGCGGTTCAGCGCGTACTCACAAATTACGATTTGTACAAACAGTATGGGAAAAATGAACATAAAATCAGTATTTCCTAGTTCCGTTTGAGGTGGAATATTGTTTGTTTCGCTGCGAAATTCGCGTGCAACTAAAAATTAAATGCTGCCACTTTCGGCCACGTTGGAGCACCCAAATCCCATGGAGAGCGCCGCAAGGAACCCCAAAACAGCAAAACAGAGATACGAAAGCCACGCGATCGGCGAGCACGGAAAACGCACGAGAGTGAGTGAGAATTGGGAATCGAGACAAAAATAAAAATATATAAGAAATGAGCAAATTGATTTAATAAAAAAATAAAATGACAAACAGGGTGTATCCGGCGGACTCGCGAATAAAGAAAGTTAATCAGGTAAAATCGTCAGTTATAAGTTTTCGTTATGGCTGCGTTCATCGAACCTACGACCTTCATACACAGATTTTTTGAGTCAATAAAACAATATTTATTTTAGGCGAGTTCAACGACTTTTATATCTATTTATCCGGAGATACATTTAAGAGTTTTTTTTATAATTAAATGAACGACTTGAGAAATGAAGATTGATACACACAAATTTGAAAGAGTTTCTGCAAGATATTCTTGCCTAACCTTCAGTTGTTTTGTTTTAACAATCCCTTCTTGTTATTTTTTCTGAAAATAGTTTTCTAGAAGTTGCTCGTAAAATCGTCATGGATGATCCCCAGCTTGGTGCCACCCTGTAGTGCCCCTGTCACCAGCCGATCCGCAGATATTTTTAGATATAACAAAATAACACGCTCGCGCCGCTGTAGTACATCATGTACGATATAATCGAGGAGCTTCCTCATCGAGACCTTAGGCCGATCCGCATAGCCGGCAATAACAGAGAATAGCTGAGATTCTGGCGCAAAAGAATTGTTCCCATTCCCATTCAGAAATATCCGAGCATGATGGCGAGTGATGCAGCCGTCAAATTTGTCTTACTTCGGACCCCAAACAGCGCCATTTCGTTTTAGCCTTGCTCGGGGCGAGCGACCAAAGCGAATTGGGAGCGTGCGGAATGTGGTGGTCTATATATAAACCGGGCAGAATCAGATCCACGCAGTGCCGACGACATCCACGATGACCCACAGAAGAAGAAGTGCATCGAATGGGGAAATCATGCAGACAATTGCGCAGGTGGCAAATCGGAGCACGCACATTGCAGGATGTCTCACCAGAACAATGCAATGTACGAGTATATATCTATAGAGATACCTACATATATTAGCGCCATGGCGATTTCTCAACAGGCTGGCTCTACCTACGTGATCATAATACCAATAGTTGACCCAAAAATTTCACCAAGCCCGGCGTCAGTCAACATTTATGAGCTTTCCTTGGCCAAACGGCTTGGCAAAACAAATGGCACTCAAGTCTCTCAAGAAGGTGATAAAAGGTGGATTTAAATGGCTGCGTTGAAATCTCTGGGTCAGTTCTTTGGGACTCTTTCTCAGGCCATTTAATGAGGGCACGGTAAAGACTAATAACGCCGCCTCGCGTTGGGAATCAACGCCACCGCCACGCACAGACAATCGGTTCCAGTTTCTCACAGCGACTTTCTCACGCATTCTAATAAGTCATCGTTTTCCATTGTCTGCCGAAGAGTCCGGTGCAAATTAAGTGAGAAGTGTTGCGGAGTTGGACGGTCTTGGACGGTCTTGGGGGAGTTATTATCGCCAGTTACTCACGTATTGTCGCCTTCTACGTGAGCCACTCCCAAAAAACGTAAAAAATAAAACAGAAATAAAAATAAAAGCCAGATACAAAATCGCTCATATCGAACTGTTTTCGCTTTCGTTTCAACTACCCAACGCAGAGCCCATAAATTTCTATTTTCTAGCTTTTATTTTGCCTCTGCCCGAAGAGTTTCTAAACAAATAACCAATAGTATGCAAATGAGACGCCGACTAGAGCGGTTTAGTTACCCAAATAAATTGTGTTGTGCGGCATACGATTAGTCGCGCGTTTCTCTTTCGAATCCAACAAAAAGCGAAATTTTGATTTCGGTTTCCTGATTAGTAGAACGAAGCCGGCCAATAGCCACCACCTTACAAATAGCTCTCCGAATGGCTTAATATATGCAGATTGTTTGTGGGTATATTCAGGCCCCATATACCATACTATAGTATAGCATGATATCGGCATATGGCCACTGCTGAGACTTTGTTCGCCGGAGACTCAAAAGCGAAAGCACCGCAACATCAGCGGGACCTTTTTGAGAATACTAAAAATATGCAAGACACGCTATTGATCCCATTAAAAAACGCCACTTACAATGCAAAAGGAGGGCTTTGATGATTAATTGTCTTATAAATCTGTCTGGGTGTACCAATTTAGACCGGTTGATCAGCTATAAGAAATTAAATAAATATTAAAATGTGTAGCAAAATGGCATTAGTCAGTTTGAACCCTCTAATTGTTTGTATAGCTATGATCGGACTTCAAAAATTATGCACCGAAGAGATAAAAAAAGCTAATACAAAACATAAGTGCTATTAAAATTTCCTTATGTGAAAGTAAAATGTTCAGTGTGCAGCTTGGCAACAACAAGCGAATAAATCCGTCCACTTGACCAGCGAACGGAACAGGAAACTTGGGCAATACTCGCGCACCTGAGATACAAATCTACAAATCTGCGCCAGCTTGGCTCAACTGCTATTTTTGGCCAGACATCTGCGTGAAGTTGTTGGCATTAAAAATTAAAATAAAAAAAATGGAAGCACAAGTGCCGAGTGGGAACAAATTAAACGGGAATTGAGGTTTCAGTGGCGAAAACATATGGAGTTAATTCGCTAGAAAAGGGATTTTATACTACTGAAAACAATTCCGTGAAACGAAATAAATCTAGCTTTGTGTAAGCTATACACCCACACTATATACCCAGTGCATTCTGGTTATTAAATCATTACTAAATCTGGTTATTAAACAGAGAAATAAAATTAATAAAGGTCCATCAATCTTAAGCCAACTTTCCTTAAGCCTGGATTATATCATTAAGGCCAAATTTCTTTATAAACTGTAACCGAGCATAAAAACAAATGTGTGTTCAAAGTTTTCGGTTTATGTAAGCCAAGTCAGGCAGCCGGCCCACACTCGTAGGCGAAGTGGAGTAGAGTCCAAAAACTTCATCCACTTTTGGCTTCCAGGTCCAGGCTGCTTTTCCGCATGTTTTGTTTTCCGTTAAAATCAAGTTTATAGTGTCTTCGAGTATTTTGGCCACTTTTTGGCGAAGTTTGTCTTCAACTGGCGAGTGGTTTGGTCTGTATTCCTCCTCACCTTGTAAACTAGTAACACTCATTTGGGCATTCATTTCTGGTACACGTAGAAAACAGTTCACTAATCATGCACTTAATTGACTTGATCTTTCCCAGAAGTTTCTTTTTTGGAAAGGTTTTTGGAGGGAACGCGCCTAAGATCCATTGACCTGATACTTTTCTTTCGAAGAACAGAGGGGTAGTTGAACTCCGAGTATCTGTCGCATCATCTTAGCCGCTAGCCAAGTGAAACAGAAGCATATTACGCAGAAAACTTGTACGCCTGAAAGTCAGTCGGTTTGGGCCAGGCCAAGAGCTTTGCCGAGTCACCTGTCGTACTTTAACGGTTCTCACACTCGTAACAGCTTCAAAAACCTGACTTGTATATCTTTGGCAAACACAGAAATTACAACTCTGCCACCTGAAACTACTGAGTGGCTGTCAGCCATCAAGACCCCGAACCGGCCATGATTTTAATCGTAGTTGAAGGTGTTTCTGCGCCTAGTTTTGGGTGATTCCAAGTCAATGGTGTTGCTGTTGAAGTTGGCCAACAAATGCCTTATATTCAATGTAATTCAGATGCAGAAAACCCATTCGTTTATAGCCCAAATCCCTTTGTTCAGCAAATAAATGTTTACAAGAGTTGTGTAGACTGTTGACTTATTTACCAGTAATTTTATAAATGTTTATGCTTATACTCGTACACTTTTCGGTGAAAGCTTTTATGTTTGACCAGCTAATCACCTAATACCCCTTGTTCAATATAAATGAATTTTTGGCCGGGAAAAATCTCTCCCAAATCGAACGAAGTTACCAGGTAGTAAAAAGTATCTGACAGTGAAAACTACTGTTTCTATTATAAACTTCAAAGGGGGCTTGCATTTACATTAAATTTCTAAGATATGTAAATCGCCATCTGCATTTTGTGATTGCCTTTCGTTCGCTTTGCAATTCCCAGAAAATTATGTTGGAAAATGATTGGTGCCACCGAGCAATGCGAGGCAATAATCAGGTTACATTCGTTGTTATTCAAGCCATTACCACATGCAAACATTCCATTTCGCTTTTAATAATGGCTCACAAGTGACAATTAGCTCAGTTTTCAAAGAAATTCATATTTCTTTGGTAGGTTCTTTAAACTCCGACAAAGACTGAATGAAATTTGTTCGGCCAATAACACAGAAATAAACTCACGGAAATGGCTTTATAAAAGTTTTACGACTTTTATTCATACCTGTAAAGCAAGTGCCAACATGCTATATATAGAAGAACGAGGAAACGGTAAACCATTCTTGATAACGGCAACCATTATGCAAATTGAAATCGAAGGAGCAATAACTGGGGCCTCATGTTGGGATTGGTGCAACAACGTTGCTTTCGCCGTGTGATTGAATTTATTATATATACCCCTTGCGTCGAAATTGCAACAGTTAGCCACAACCAATGGAAATAGATATATATTTATATATATGAATGGAACTACACTTATCTGTGAATCACCTCATATGCATAAGACCCAATCTACACGTTCAGGCATTTGAAAGATGCAATTTGCCAGTTGCATCTCGCTTTAGGAAATGACTTCTCGGCAATATTCGTTTAAGTATGCATGATTGAGTGAGTAATTGATAAAGTGAAATACTTGATTATCGACACAAAACGCTTGCATGAGAAAATGGAGTTGGACTGAGTTATTTTTATTATTGTATCGTATAAGGTTTTCTCCGCATCTTATCCATATTACAATGTACAAAACAATTTCCTTTATATTAATTTTTAGGAAATAACGTTTGTATGTTTTTCGTATGTGTTTGATTACATCCAACTTTCTAACGAGAAACCCACATGATTAGAAAATATTAGCGCGTGATTTATTGGCGATTTGAAGCCAACTTCTTTCGAACATTCTGATGGCCTGCCAATGAAAGCTAGACTTCGTGTGAATAAACAAATATTGGAATATACATATATGCACGATATATGAAGTATCTTGGTCGTGTGTGCGATGGCGCAAATGCCAAGCACTCTGAGTCACGATAATCACTTTTCGCGGCGACAAACACGTACCGCAAACGGAATACATATAAGTATTTATATGTTAATATAAACACAGGCCCATTGTATATTGTATGTACCCGCTAAAATCCGAGTCGTAAAAGAGCGCCTCAAAACGGGTTTTTGGCCACTTCGATTCTCCGCTGTTCGAAATACTAACGAGAAAACCTAAATTGTTAATATCGCAAGCCTTTGCGGCTACTTGCGGCAATCGGGCCCAAAAGCTCGCGCATGCAATGTGCAACGTACTTACTACGTTCGTACGTACGTACGCCGTACAATGTGCAACATGCAACAAACCACATTCGAAATGATGTCAGCATAGATAAATTAATGTAAGCCAAGCCCGCTGCTGTGAGATCTCACTCTGAAAGTGCCCGACGAGAGCTGCGAACAATAGAGACCCCCGGTGCACGTGAAGATGAAGAGGTGCTCGGGATTCCATGATTCCATGATTCCGTGATTCCGTGGGATGTGCATGGTCGATCAAAACCGTGTCAATGGAGCCCAGCGAAACTCGGTGAAATAATTGCGGTAGCCCGATAACGAGATCGAGATCGGGCCAGCCAAGCACTCACTATCAGTTATGGTGTGCCAAAGTCATATTCGGTTCAAAACTGTTACGACCTCAAACGCGATCTCTCACAAGCGAGACCTTTGAATTTTATAGGTTTTCCATTGGGGGGCTACATGTCTTTTCTTCGCTAAATGCTAATACTAATATTCATTAGCGCTTAAAAAGCAGCAGTAACAATAAATATTTAACTGCGTCTTTCATAAATTTTATCTCATCTTCATTAAATTAAGCAAAAATTATCTTCATTTAAATATATGTATACTTTTTGTAAAACCCCATTTCGGAACTCACCGTTTTCCGTTGCGAGATCTCTTCTCGGTCTCCGCTTCCTTGACGCTATCCCAGCTGTCGCCAACTCCAGAGGACATGTCGTCCAGTCGCTCCTCATCCTCCATGCCAGAATCCTCAAGGCTGATGTGGCAACTGGTTAGGGTTACTGCGGTGCCATTATCGCCCACCTCGATCCAATCGGAGGTGCGGATGCGTTGGGATCTCTCGGTTCCGTAGGGCGAGGAATCCGTGGAGCAGCCCGAGGGGCAGCGCTTCCTCGAGGAAGAGCTCTCCTTGCCATTGTTATCCTTCAAGGACTTGTTAACAGCAAAGGTAAGTGTATCCTCCTCATCGACATCGCCATCTGCATCCTCCACATTATCCGCATCCACATCTTCGGTGTCAGCATCATCGATGGAGTTATACCGCCTACGTGATATAACATTTTTGGGTGTGGATGCGGTTGGAGGCGACAGGGATTTGGTGGGCAGTTGCTCCATGGAACAGGACTTGTTCCTCATGGCAGCCAGTTCCGAGATGAGCATCTCGTGGAAGGCCTGCTTCTTCTGCGGGGTATTGCCCACACTAATCGAACTCTTAATGGTGCTGGTCTGGCCTCCATTAATGTTGATCCGCATGCAATTTCCGGTGGACTGAATCAGGACATCCGACTCCTGTTTCAAGGCCTCATGCTTGGTTATAATGGTGGTGTCGGCGGCGGCCTGTTTCTGGCTCTGATTAATGATGATCTCCGAAAATAAACGCTCGGCTGCGTTCTTCAGGTTGTTCTTGATCTCCACAGTTCTTCCACCCAGAAATCCTCCTCCATTATGCGGGGTTGGTCCCGATTCCTTCTGGCAGCCATCTAGAGTGGTCTTTGACCTTCTAAAGAGTCCAGTGGATGGGTTGGTGGTTGCTACTGGTATATCTTCCACATCCAGAGTGGCCACCGGTAGTTGGACTATTTTCCGGGGTCTGGGAAGAGGCTGACTGGCCGGCTGGAGACCTGCCCGCTCGAAGTCCACCTTTCCCAGGCTCAAACGAGTGTCCTTGCGGGGCGTGGTCTGCGGGGATCCCCCGATCACGCTTATCGAGTTGTGACGATTGACCGTCACCACTGAAGTGACGGCCTCCCGGGGCTTGGCCGTTGGCACATCGGGGGCTTTGCGTAGCTTGAGGGGCTTGACCGGCGGAGTTGGCACCGCCGTGGTGGGTGTCTGGGTCTGGGCCTGTTTCTTGGGCGGACTGACCGTGGGCGACTTGTAGACCAGAGTGCGACCCACCGCGCTCAGCTGGCTGACGAAGGTGGGCTTCTTCTGGATGATCGGCGGCGGGCCTCCGTTGGCCACATGGGCCGCTGCCTTTGGCCTGGGCGGAACCGGTGGTCCGGGCCGCTTCACCACCACGGCTGCTGATCCGGCGGTTGTGGCCATTGGTGGTAGCTGTGCTGCACGTTCTCACGTTCAAAGCCGAACCGCACTCGAAACCAGTATTTTTAGGTCACTTCTCGAACGGCAAACAAGAGACTGCGCTTATTTATTATTATTACTTAGCATAAGCGCGCAAATGGGAAACTAGTTTTGCTCTTCTCACATGGCGATCTCCTCAGCGCCGCCGCATCTCCTCCAGCCTTTTGATGCAGCTGCCGTCGATCTCTGATCTATTTTGAATATAGGCCACCACGTCGCTGCAACGGAGCTAGTTGGATTTAGCCAAGTAACACTTTATTGGTCGGTTATTCGATATGGAATATGGCCGCTTGGCACTGCTCTTCGCGAAACTCGTTTTCGTCGCTTTATTTGCACGCTCGATCTTTTGGGTTCTGTGGATTTTAAAGTGAAAGGGTTCCGTTTATTTTGGTTTTGAGTCTCTACTTCGGCCAATGGAAACTTTGGGGCCCACAATACCGAGTCACTTCAGTTGTTCAGTATTTTAAGAAGAATTTAAAGGCCTGCACCTCAATAACGATCTTATAACTTAATCACAATGGAATATAACTCAAATCTAGGAGTTCTTTGGTTTTAAAGCGAAAGGGGTTCCTTCTCTTCGAATAGCCAACAAAATAGTGCATCAAACTAATTTAATTATCTAAAGCAAGGTCCTCAGGTGAGTTTGTCATTAAAATGGGTAAGAATGTCAAAAATCACCATAAAACTGATAAACTGGCATATGAATAAGCTACAGAAAACGATAAACAAAAGGCTTCCGAAGTATTCGTTTTGTAAAATAAAAGTTATTGGCACTTAAACTATACAAAAACACACACACGAACACAATTTAAAAGTGGGCTTTAAAAAGAATGGCGATGGCAATTAACGGTTTTTTGTTTGTACAAAGAAGTTTCACTTTAGCACTGATTTCGGCACTTGCTGGATCTCCAGTTTACGATCTTTTAACAGCCTTTATTTGTTTAAATTTTACGTATGTAATTTATGCACTGCACCCACACCTACACATAAATAAATCACCGATTTTTAAGGCAGGGCTGTATGACTTTACGCTTTATGGTTTTTTGGATCAGTTCCCTTGGAAATACCCAGTAAATGAAGTCTTTTCGGGGGATTCTATTAACTTGTTCTGCCGAGATGTTATGAATCATCTACGTTTGTCAAATAGTAAATAAATATTGCACTTTTGCGCTTCAAATAGCTGAAACCACACACACTCAGGCACACAAACATACACACGCAGACAAAGACAAAGCCGTTCCGATTTTGAACCGATACGATACTATATGCGATATGCCGCTGAACGTTGCGCTTTGTACGAGAGTCAGAAATAAACTGAAACGGAGAAAAACGAATCGAAAGAGCGGCAGCTAAGCGCACCTTGCTCAATATTGTTGTTGCTACACGGCCGTCTGTGTGTGTGCTTTTCAGTGTGTGCGTGAGAGTGCCGCAGTGTGGGTGCTTTGGATAAACGAGTGACGCGGCAAAACTCGAAAAGTCTGCACTCTAAAGATTCACTGGTAATAAATGCAGACTTGGAGTTGCACTCAAGATACTTTAAACTTAAATAAAAAAATATTAATATCTTTTTATCAAATATTCCAAATTAGATACTGTCTTATTTGCATCTTAAGGCTTTTATTTTTGTCGTAAAGATCGAATATTATCAAAGGAAACCAAAATACATCAGCAACCAATAAGAACAACTTTTGCTGAGTTAAATAAAAAACATTAAAAACATTTAGTTTCTTTTTGGAAAAACGTATGCAAACAACTTATCGTAAGTTTTGTTTAAAGAACTTTCCTAAAAAATCGCTAGAGTTTCAAAAAGTTTTAAACAGAACGGGTTTAACATTAAGTTGAATTTAACTTTTAAGCCCAAACCCCAAAACCAACTTTATACACTTCTGGTTTCTCTCTTTCAACTGGCTCTCCATGTTTTCGGAAGAGAAACTTGGCACATGGCCAGAAGTGCATTGATTGCCTTCTTGAAACGGGTGTATTTCATCGGGTGAATGCTGATGATGAGCTCCCCCGTTTGCCGGCGTCTGGCTGCTGTTCGTATATTTTTTTGTTTTTTGGGGGGTCGTCTGGCGTTGCAACAGCTGTTGTTGCCGCATCGCGACAAAACACCCGCCACCCCAACTCCCCAAAATAAAACTTTATTGATTGCATGTGCAAGTACTCGCTTATGTAGTATAGGGTGAATCCATTTTCTAAAATCAGAATTCATCTCGGAATTTCGTTAATTATTTTTTTTTAATATTACTCATTCGCAAAAAATTACGTATACGCCACGTTCACAATGACAAATTTTTTTACCGCAGCATAAATTATATTTCTTTGGGACCTAAGTTTTAAGGTGAAAGTAAAACGCCAACAAAGACATTTACTATGTTGAATAAAAGGCTTATAAGGGATTTAAGATTCACGAAAACACAGTACTTAAAGAGTCTCCAAAAATAATTCTAGCTGAACAAATTTAACACTTTGTTTGAGAGTCGGATTATTCTATTAAAATGCATAAGAGGGAAACTTGGTTTTAGATCGTTAAAAAAAAAAACTCTAATAAATTTGGCAACACTACGTATGAGTAATAAATTTTCAAATATCTGTGAATAACAACTAAAAACTTTTCTTATTTTTTTGCATACTAATGTCCACCCCTTAGAACAGATTTGCACAGATTTTGCAGTATTACTACTACATTTTACGTTAAAGTAAAAGCTCTTTTACCCCTTTAACGTGACTAGTCTCTTAGAATGTCTGTATGTTATTCGTGGAACCGCAGACCAATGCATATATTTGTCGCAGACCTTCATCGTTTTTTGGGGGTGATGCTATTTAGAAATGGCATTCATTATTAAGTGAGTAGACAGTGAGCCCCAAACTATGTACTTTTCGAAAGAAGCCGGATAACAAGTCAACAGGAGTCAAACCATTTTAACCAATACTTGCTGCATTCGTGTATTCCGTTCTTCAGCCCTTCCTGCAATAATAATGCCTCAGATTTACAAATGTCTGCAGAGTTCTTGCCAATATCAGATTACAACCATTTTTCTTTGCTTTCTATTTTGAAGTTACACGCACCTAGGGAAGCCCCAAATATGAAGGTTAAGCTTTTATTTAACAGTAGACCTCTCTGGTGGAAGGAATGCTTAGGCGTACTCTAATCCCGAAGCACTTAAAAACCGTGCCCCTTTCCATAACAATCCATTTAGCTAGCAAAATTAAAGGAACAGTTTATGTCCTGTTTGCACTTTACTTTTTAATTTACACAAAATATATTTTTTAAAGTTAATTATAATAAGTTGGTTAGGTTAAGTTCGTAGACTTTAAAATAACTTAGTTCTGATTCCGCGTACCGACCCGTTCGCACCCTTGCAGGTTGGCCAGTAGTCAATTTTATACATATCAGTGTGGTGACTTTGGCCATACGGACAGATTTAATTACAATCGAGCATATCTAAATCAAAGCTTCTGTACAGTCAAAATTCACCTAACAAGGGCATAACAATAGAAAATTGACTTTCAAAATAATCAACTTGTTAAACAAATATCTATACATATTCACACACTCAGCGTTAAAAATACATAACATATTTTGCGTAAGATTAAGCAGTTCGCGCCAGCAGCAATTGTTAACAACTTTTACAATGGGAATAAAATATGTGTTGTGGGGGGACAGACAGAAATAAGTAAATACGGATTATGAAAATAAATAAGCGATGGCGCCTGTTACTAACAATACAAAATGTCACAATTACAAAAATAAAATAATATTTTACTTTTTTCTTCTATTTCTTTTAAGTTCTACCTAAGGACTAATCCGCGATTGCCGTGTAGGGTAGACTGCTGTGTTTTGGCTTCGTCTTGTTTATAAAGACCTTAATGGCGCCTTTGAAATCGGCGCTTACCAATACATAACCACATCCTTTTTTGTGCTGCTCGACCAGTGGATCCGGCTGATTGAAAGCCAACTGCAACCAGAACGTAATCATTAGAAATAATCTTTTGAAACGCAGAGAACTCGATTCGATCGGATTATCACCCACCTTTTCATTCGAGATTTCATCCGGTTCGGGCTTAATAATAGCCTCTGGGTGTGGCGCGAATATGGCACAAGTGACCGTTGTATTGTGTGCTTTAATGCCTTCCCAAAAATCGCTGCGATCTCGTCGAACCTGCAGGTACAAAAACAAGCAGTATTATTTATTTATTTTACAAAGCGTTTTGTGTCACTCACCGAGCTGAGTTTCGAGTAGTCGTGGTTTGTTTTCCATATATAGATGCATTGATTTTCCGATCCAGCGATTATATACTTTCCATCGTTGCTGAACGATCCCTTAATTTGGGAGGACACATTTAAATAGCCCTTGTACTTGCATGACAAATTCAAGTCTCTCAAGTCGTAAAGGCGTACTCGGCTGTCGTTGGAGGTTACTAAAATCTTGTCCTCTCCAGGCATCGGTTCAATACCACTGATCTTGCGTCCTATACGATTTTTACCTCTAGTGGAGCGCACATGAATTTGCGTGTGGTATTTCAGCTGATCCGTGTTATAAAATATACAACGACCATCGTAGGTTCCCACAACAGCAAACTGACCGTTTTGGCAGAAGTTGGCAGCCGTTATAAGCTTTGCCTGGCCATCTACCTCATTCCACAAAGCCACCTTTTTGTCAGGTATATTCCACAACCTCAGTTTGCCATCGAGGCTGCCACTCAAAAAGTAGCGATCATCACGTGGATGGAACGCAATAGCGGTGACAAAATCGATGTGCTGAAAACAGCAAAGGCACTCCTTTCTGGAAATGTGCCAGAGCCGCACAGTCTTGTCCATGCTACTTGACAGAATGAAGTAATTCTTTGACCAGCTGACGTCCAAAAGATCGGAGGTGTGTCCATTGTAGGTGCAGAAGGGTTTTGGCATGAAGGGACCCGTGCATTTTTCAGCCGCTGTGGCCATGGCCATGGCTTCTTCGGCTGAGTGCTGCGAGACAAGCGACTCTTGCGAGGGCGTTGGCGAGGATTTTTGGTCAGCATTGTATTTGTTGCGCATGTCCTAAAACAAGATGAATGAGCATTAAAAAATTTTATAAGCAATGAGATAATCTTGTTACCTGGAAAAATGGATAGGCATCTTTTAGGACCCAAATCCTTAGCACCTTGTCTTGACCAGCCGTGGCCAAAAGTCGTCCGCAAGAGCTGAACTTCATGCACCACACAGCACTCGTGTCTTCGCCACTCAAGTCCTGGACGTGCTGCAGTTTGGTGAACTCGTAGGGACCCTTGTTGGAAGATGAAGCCTTGATTTTAATGTTTTGCTCGGGATTCATGGCATCGACAATATCAGCCACATCTTCTTTGTGCCGCGCATGCGACACCTCGGATGCAATTGACTTGGCCTTGTCCACCGTTTTCCGCATAGTCGTGCCAAGGAAGCGCTTGATCCGAGCCGTCTTTCTTTTCAGCCGGCTGCCATCCTCCGCTTCGAGCTCCTCTTCGTCGGGCTGCTGACCCTCGCTACTAGGTGGTATACCAATCACACTCTCCTCGTCGGACTCTTTCTGGATCACCTCCAGATGAGAGGTCAGCTTTAGGATGTGTAGCGACAGCGGATTCCATCCCTCAGGCACTGGTGGTGAACGCATTTCAGAGAGCGGCATATTCTCTCCCGTGTCTAAATTCTTAACAGGAACTTGTTCTAGGATCTCAAAGTCGGTCAGCTGCTTGCCAGAGCTGGTGCGCGTGCGAACATAAATGTTCATCTGCTTGAGTACATCCTCATCGCCCGCGGACTTACGGCGCTCCTTGTCGTTAACGCCGCGATAGAAACCGGGATAACTGTAAAAAATGAAATAATATTCAATAAGAAACGTGTTTTTCTGTGATTGCAAAATGCTCACCGTGTGGAGCTCCCCAAGCTGTTGGATCCTGTCCCCGCCAGTTTGGGTCTGTTTGCATTCTCCATGAGCATTTTCTCAATTCGCTCGATTTCATCCTGGGACGGACCCTGGGCCTTGTTGCTGGCCTCATCGCGTGGTTTAACCACATAACCTCCTTGAGTTGCCTTATATATGTTAAGACCCTGATTTGGATCAATGGAACTGCAAAAGACAACTGATTGTGAGCATCTTTTTAGAAAACGAAGTTTGCCCACTTACCTGACTCTTCCTGGTGCCGAGTTGCTTTTTCCCGAGTTCGATGGACTTGGCTTGGAGTGAACCGACGTTGAACTGCTGCCCAGTGATTGGGGGGGTTTTGGACCAGCAATTGTAACTGAAGCGAGCATGGTAAGCTTATGAATAGTACTTGTCGTCGGTATGGACGAAGATGCCGCCGTAGTTGACGCCGAAGCCGAGACTATCGTATTGGTAGAGGAACAGGTCAATGTGTTGCTGGAGGCTGAAGTAGTTGCATCATTTAGGGAGCTCCCAAACTCGCGTAACTTTTGCTGTAAACCCTGTACACTCTTCACAGATCGGGTATCACTATCGGTATCTTCGTTGTCTCCTGGAGGCAAACTATACTGATCCGAGGAACTAATGGAGCAATTCCGGGACTTCTTTTTTCTTCGTGGTGGCGCCACAGGACCAGACGAGGTAATGGAATCAGTAGTTTTGGACTGGGCAAGCTTTGTGCTTGCTATCACATCCGGTTCCTGCAGAATTATGGCGCCAGAAGACGAGCATTGCAACGAAGCTGCGGTACTAGTAAGCCCTTCCGGGTTTGCTGTCGCATCCTGACCGGTGTGCTGATGCTTGGGCGAAACCCTGGGAGTGCTCATTCCAGAAGAGGTGTTTCCTGTGCTTGGCGGAGTGCTGGAGCTAGTGGAAGAAGCAGGCTGCGCCGATGGTTGTGGCTGTGACTGTTGCTTCTGCTGTTGCGCATTCAGCGAGGCTAGTGACTCGCGATCTATGCTGATGGCTGAAAGCCGATCGAATGAGAATGTCAGTGGTTGCTATGCTTGCTTGCAAATACACACTTCTACTCACCAGATGGATCAATGCTGCCCGCCAAGATTCGGCCCACGCGACCCAGTGATGTCATGCTCTGTATGCTCATCGCATCGGTCTCAATGACCTTAAACGGATGCGTCGGACGGTTTGTGAAAATGCCATCCGTAGAGCTGTTCTGTAATTTGAATTATAATCATAAATAAACCTGGAAGAACAGTGGCAACGAAAAGCTGAGCAAACAGGCTAGATTACAAAAACATGTATACCTGAGAGTCAGGTGTGAGTGTATTTCCTGGATTATCATCTTCATCATTTTGCATGTGCTGACGTAGTTCGTGAAAGCGCTGTCTACCATACTATATGCGATATTTATGTCATTTTTAACGTATGCATATTTAAAATTGGTCGAGATTCGAGTTTAAGTTGTTTCCATTTTTTAAGTTGGGTATTGTTTTTAATTCGTTGATTTTACGAAATGAGGCGGAGAAAATATGAAAGTAAAGAACACAAATATGGACACAAAATTAAGGGGGTGATTTGATAATTATTAATTAGATAGTGCGTTTTGGCATGCTAAACTTCGGGGAAAAAAAATCTAATTCTTTTAATTTTTGCTGAATTAAAATATAAATGCAAAATGGGAAATTAGTGATCGATATAGAAAGACATCGCAATCATAATCGCGAAAAAAGTTAAAACTTAGAATTAAAGACTACTTGATTCCATCTATCTTTATACCCTTAAGTAATGCGGTTTCGCCTAATAATGACTGGGTAAACTCTATAAACCATATCATATCGGCTCTTAATCAATTTCTTCGATGGTGATATAATATATTTTTAAAAGTCGCCAATGAAGCAATTAAAAATTTTATGGCCATTATCTGTGATGGTAACAATGGTTAGTTGCCTAAAAATGGCAGGTAATTGACAATATGTATGTAGAAAGGAAATAACTACCATTAAGGACACGTACACGCAAAGGCTAATTAAATTGTACAAGTAAATTGCCCAATAATGGAACCAGTCCTTACTAAAAAAAACTGGTGTTGACATTTGACATTCAACTAACACCTTAAATGGGTATGTATACTCTACAAAACACAACTGAAAGAGGGATTTCACATATGAGAATGCTTTCCCAAGGCCATAGATGATGGATCGTTGCCCTAGTCGATGACATCATAACTGGGGCTAGCAAAACGGAAAGTAAAAGTAGTGAACTCCGGCCCTATCCACTTACTGATCCGGGCACGAGTTTGGGCTCAACGAACACCCCTGCATCCTGCTGCTTCAACCGGGCACTCAGACTGTTGGTCGGACTTCGGGTGGCAGGCGTTCCAGCGCCAATGGGCGTAGCATCGCTGTCGGAGGAGGCGGCCGCATTTACTCGCACGGCGGGATCGGGAAATATGAACTCCTGGGCCACCTCAGCGGGCGGTTTCCGACTATAAAACGTAAACATTTAAATATATGTATTGAGGTAATCCGCACAAACACCCACCTTAGAGTCGAATGTCGATTGGGCGTAGTGTCTTCTGCATCGAAAAACTCCTCTGAACTGTCCGAATCCGTTTCCAGCATACTCATTTCGTGTATTGTGCGTTTTTGATGGCTATCGCTATTACCTAACCACCCAACCGTATGCAAATTGTCCACGAAATTACGCTTTTTCTTTCTTTCTTTTTGTTATTGATTCCCTTTTGTTGCTGCGGCGCCCCTCTGTTGGTTTTGTTGTTTTCTACTTGTATGACGTCACTCGCTGCCACACTAGCGAAGAAGGCACTGCATTTAACATTGTGGTGTCGCCTGGTGCTTGGTAAACATAATTAAACGGTTAATTTAAGTCCAAATCAATTGTTAATTGAGTTTTACGCTTGATACGCGTAAATACTAGAGGTGTCAAATGGGCAATTTTGTTTTCGATTGCATCCAGTATGATTCATGACCAATCGATTAAAGTAGAGAAGAGCAAACGCCGTGATTGTTCGTTACCGCAAGTCGCGAATTATAGATATTCAAAATTTTTTAGCTCTCTTAAAATTAAAAAAAAGGGCCTATAGTTATTTTGGTAATTGTTTACAAGTGCGGTGCACGGTAAATACGGCTTAAAAAAATAAAGTAAAATATGGAAACGATGTGTTTTTTTCTAAAACTTCGAAATCCGTTGGCGGAGAGTGAAAATTTTGCACCGTTTTTTTGTTATTAACAATTAAAGATTCGATTTGTAGTACAAATTCGGATCTGAGTGACCGTATTTGCAATAATCGGCCACCAGACGACTGCAATAATCGGCACATCACATGTAAATACGGTCACATAGATCCGAATTTGTACTACAAATCGAATCTTTAATTGTTAATAACAAAAAAACGGTGCAAAATTTTCACTCTCCGCCAACGGATTTCGAAGTTTTAGAAAAAAACACATCGTTTCCATATTTTACTTTATTTTTTTAAGCCGTATTTACCGTGCACCGCACTTGTAAACAATTACCGTTATTTTAAATATACAAGAAAAACTGTGTTCTATATTTAATTCTTAAAAATATATGAAACAATATAAACCTTGTCGACTTGGTACAAATGCCCTTATCAAGGGTTTGTGACTATGATAAGCTATCATGCGATAGTTTTTGATAAGATATCGATATAACGACATTTTGATTTCGTGTGCCATCGCAAATGCACCGTTTTGTTGTTATTGTCTTTTCCGCACGGCACTCGAACAACGTAAACAAATGTATAAATGCATGTGATTTTGGCGAGCTTGTAACTTTTCGTAAAGAGACGCGCGGGGTGACGACACTCACATTAAGCGTGAATTCCGCGGGGCCAAGTGTATATATTTAACTTTTTGAGGAGCCCAAGCAAAATAAAAGTGAATCCGAGCAATTACGGCGAAGTAAAACGGGTGCCAATGATTGCTACTACGCAATAGAAAAGTAATTTATCAAACGTTTTGTTTCGCCACAAAACAAAAGCCAATATAAACGAAACCGAAAGTTGTGGTTATTCGCCATCATAAAGTTGATAAGAGCACGTTAACCTATTCCGACTGCAAGCAAAAACGGTAAAAATAACTGCATAACAATGCAAACTAATTTCACAAGAACCAAACTATAAAACAAAGATAATGAACAAACAATAATGCTATATATACTCCACTGCGTTGAAAACAATTTAATTTCGAACACAAAATTTCAATTTCTATCATCAATCTCACTCATCAAAAAAAGGTTAAGTCGTCTCAGCTGATGCTTATCAGTTTTATATACATTCAGATGTGCATACATATGTATATATGTACACATGTTAAAAAAGATTATTATTATTTTCGTTGGTATTTCACATTAAAAATAAAATTTTTAAATGTGGTGTTCCATATCTCTGTATACATCCATATATTATAATCAAATTGCTAACTTCCGATTTCCGCATAGAGTTTTAAACATGCGGCATAACTAACCTAGTGTAAGATTATCATTCACACGTCACTTAAGGGGGGAAATACAATTAGAAATTTTTTTTTTTCGAAAATTTTTTTTTGGATTAATGTACTCTAAATATGTCTGGGAATAAGCCTTTAAAAGCATAAAGCCGTCCGGTACTTATTTTCAAAGTTATACGTAATTTAGTGAGGGTGTGTCATATGGCGGACATGCACAAAAGTAAACTTTAAACGCTTCTCCTGAAAAGTAGTGTTTTCAAAGTCGCCGTGCAATGTACAGGTCAGAGATTTTATTTTAATCGAATGCGGTTTTTTGCATAATGTTTGAAATTAAATTCTCCACACCATGAATATAACGGTTTTTCATATTTGTTTGTTATAACATGTTTTTTTTTACAAACAAAGTCGAAAAAAAAAACGGTTTTTTTGAACATTTTTTTTTAACTTCAAATTTTTTAATGGAAAAATAATTTTTTTCAAATATGGAATAATTCATGGTGTGCGCTGTACCTTTAAGTTTAAAGCCCAGTTGCTGTTTTTTGTTTAAATAGTGATCCTGGACCTGGAGACTGCACGGCGCAAAGTCCTTCCCTAAAAACACGACTCCACATTATTGATCATCAATGGGCTTAATTACAATATTTTTCAAAAACCTTGACTGATTTTTATTGCTCAATAATTACCTAATAACATGCAAAAAGAATCGCTAAGATTCATTTAACACCCTACTTGCAATCCACTCCCAAAGATAGCCCTCATTTCAGGCCTTCTAATTGTATTTCCCCCCTTAATAGCGGCCATATTTGATACATTTTCAACAGTACTCAATCTAATCTGAAATCTGTTCGCTGAGAACTATAATAATATGCGTGTATTGCCTTTATCAGCGCTACATATACAAAAACAAACGGACTAGACTTTGTTAAACAAAAAAACAATGATAACTTGTTTTGCAAACTGGTTTTGTGGCTTGAACCTTGTTTATTAATTTTAATGGAGAATCGAAGGGTTTTGACTTTTTATGCTGGTAACTCAGAAGTATGTATGTACACAATAAATATTTTGCAAGTACATATATATCAACTTTTTAATAAAGGAAAACAAAGAATATGATCAGAAAAAGTGGTTTACAATGGTGACAAATATATGTATATAAGGTCATGTATAAAAATTGATAAATTCTCGGGAAAGTACACATGTTTATTTTCTTGATCTTAACATCGCCCCCCGCAACGTTATTAATGCAGCATGATCTCTTTTATATATTGTTTATATCTTTGTCAGACGCCAACCTTATCTCTGGAGGGACTCAGTTTCTCACTTAAATGCAGTGTTTCGCACGTTTTGATTGATAATCAAAGCTTGTTCACTCCGCCATGTCCATGTTTTTAGTGCAGCGTGCAAAATAATCTCGGCCATTTTGGTGATCCATTAAAAAATGCTATGGCGACATCTATGATTCACTTGTAATGTGGAAGGCAGCAACTTATAGATGTAGCTTATTCTAGTAGTGGGTTTACAAACCCACTATTTTAGTTTTCAATATAATTCTCCTATAAGAACGGTTGCAGAAGACGAATCTCTCCCCATAACGAGCTCAGTTACCGGCGCGATAAGACACGACTTGAGGAGCTCGGATCATAGGTTTCCGCATTAGCAACCGTCATGTGTGTTATAGTTACTGTATTGTGTTAACAGTTGAAAGTATACAAGTACCCACACGCCACAAATCAACTTTAAATCGCAGAAGAATCTATTGTCCCCCGACTTGTATAACAACAAAAATTGTGATACCCTATGTATGTACATTAATACTTATGCGTCTTGTTAGACATAAATAAAATGTTATGCGCCAATTTGCGATTTACACATACAGGATTGCCGGAAACAGTGCTTTTTCACAATTGAGTTTTGCTCTTTTCAAAACCTAGGCTCGCTTTTGATTGAAGGCTTGTCTGGAAATACAATAATTAAGCCCAACAGCTAAATACACATTCCTCATTTATTGTGCCGAAATTGGAGTATTTATTCAAGTGATTACCTGATCTACACAAAAAACTTGAGTGGCTTCCTAGTAACGAATTTTAACTTCTATAAATAAAGCCGCAAAAACCGGCTTTAAGCTCAAACAACAGAATTTTCTTTGTGATCAAAGCTTTTACAATTTTGAAAAGATTTTTATAAATAAAGTAATTTACGATTACACAGTTTAACTTGTGTTAACTGTGCATAGATGATTTCATTATTTACACAGCTTCTTAGATTTAGGCTATTTAGATATTCAGACAGAAGGAAGGCGACATCCCGTATTCATCTAATTACACGACGTCTAAATCTAATCTAATAATTTGCTTTGTGATAGTTCAATGACAATGACTGTGAAAGATAAGAGTCGGCCATAGTTATAGTATTTGCTTCGCTCACAGGCTCGCATCGCTACGGGCGTTCTATCTTCAGGTACACTCACAATTTTCACGGGAAATTTTGGAGACGCTGGCACCAACATATTCTGCCGATTCCCCAATACACATGTGTAGTATTGCCGTTTAACAAAGCCGCTGAAATCGTACCATTCCAGCGCCATCGTAATCTTATCGCGACAAAGTGAACAGTTTAAGCTGCATCGTGCACATCAAATCGGAAATCAAATGGAAACAAAGTATCTTGACGTGGGCGTTCTAGACCAGCGTCTTCTGAATTTTCGTTTAGTCAGTTTGTGCACAGTAAAGGAGACGGTTATCGAGTTTGGAAATTCGCTCTGCTTTTGTTTTGTTTGGTAGGACTGATAAAAGTGTAATTTACGATCTGTATAGTAGAAATTGATCTCACCTTTGCTGGTGATTTACTACTATCTGTAAAATAATGGGTTGCTAACAGTGAATTTTAATTGTGATAATAGATGTTCTAATGTGCTCGTCAAAATGGTATCGAATAACTATATAACTGTTTCTTTACGAAGTAAATAATCGTTTATTAATATGGTGGTGTTGATATGTATGTTTTTGCTAGTTTTATTAGCGAAACAACTTCAATATTAATTATAGGATATTGTGTTGATTATGGTGTGACAGGACAAGCGTAGTCATCCTGACGAATAGTCTATCAGCCAATGGTCTTAATTTGATTGACTGCTGCTCCTTCTAAAGACACATAGTCACACTTAAGCCGCTGTGCTTAAATTTTACAGAGTCTTGCTTATCGAACTTGACAACAGGCCAAGTTGGGAGAGTTTCTGCTGCCCTTATATTGATTTTGGCTGACATTGTCCTATCTTAAGGATTTTCCCATCACCGCATGTCTGATATTGAGAATCCATCTGGGTATTCATTGGGTTTGTTGCCAGGTGGTGGATTTAGGAGAACACTTATGCTTAGCTTTATATTTGTGTCAAAATTTACGTGTATATTGCATATCAAAAGAAAGTAAAATTATATTTCGACTTATAGCTGGCTCAACTCGTCGTACACTGCATAATTCCCATTGAAAGTCACAGGACATGACCAGGCTGTTGTGACTGAAGAATCTTAGTTCCAGCACAAAACCTCAAATAAATACCCAAAGCAAGTCGGTTAAAAATGACCACTAACGGTAGCTTCTTCGATGAACACTTCGCCATGATATACTCAAACATTATGGATCAGTACATGCCAGAGTACTTTAAAAGCTTTCAGTATACGCCATGGGTTTTCTCTTTGTTGGGATCGGTGGTCATCGGTCTAAGTGGCATATTTCCGCTAATCATCATTCCCACGGAGGAAAAGATGGCGAAAGAAGGATACAAAGATCGTAAGTTGTCCACTACTTTTTGTTGCATTTGTCAGTTGTTAACGTACCCCATTTTTTTCACCTAAGCTGCGGAATCAAAACTCCTGCGAGTTCTCCTGAGTTTTGCAGTCGGTGGATTGCTGGGTGATGTTTTCCTCCATTTATTACCAGAAGCGTGGGAAGGTGATCAGCAAGGTATGTTGTAGAGCACCATTAATGTTTCTTTTCGCCCAATGAAACCTTTTCTCTATAGATCCATCTAGCCACCCATCACTGCGCTCGGGCCTTTGGGTTCTTTCCGGAATACTCATCTTTACAATCGTGGAGAAAATCTTCTCCGGATATGCCAGTGCGGACGAAGAGAACCCCCAACCCAAGTGCGTTGAGATTGCCAACTGCCTGTTGCGCAGACATGGAGGACAATTGCCCGAAGGAGAGACCGCTGAGAGTTGCGGAGGCGCCTGCGATATTGAAGATGTGGATAAGGTGTGCTTCCTTCGCGAAAGAGAACTTAAGTCAAAGGAGAAGAAGGAACAGCCTAAAAAAGTGGCTGGATATCTCAACCTTTTGGCCAACTCAATTGATAATTTTACACATGGTCTAGCCGTAGCTGGTTCCTTTTTGGTTTCCTTCAGGCATGGAGTGCTGGCTACATTTGCCATTCTGTGTATGTACACAAACTTTAGTGTTCACTGTTCATCTGTAAAAAAATCTTAAAAACCCCTTTTTACAGTACATGAAATTCCTCACGAAGTGGGAGACTTCGCCATCCTGCTTCGATCCGGATTCAGTCGCTGGGACGCCGCGCGTGCGCAGCTTCTGACGGCAGGTGCTGGCCTTCTGGGTGCTTTAGTGGCCATCGGAGGTTCCGGCGTAACGTCGGCCATGGGTATGCTTAAAGGGCTTTTCGAGTGACGAGCAACTAAACTTATCTTTACATTTACAGAGGCACGTACTTCGTGGATCATGCCGTTCACTGCTGGCGGTTTTCTGCACATTGCTCTGGTCACAGTATTACCTGATCTCTTGAAGGAAGAGGAGCGAAAGGAGTCAATTAAGCAGCTGCTCGCGCTGATCTTCGGCATTGCGTTAATGGCCGTGATGACCATGCTATTCGAACATTAGGAACTATAGATGACAGCAGTATAAGATGAAAATTCAATCCCAAACAGTTTTAGATCGCTATTTTAAAATTGTCATTGGCAGTTCCAAAATTACATGAATTTGTTGTACTTTATGGGATTCATTATCCTGCCTGCGTTATGTAATTATAGCCAATATGAATGATATTTAAACTATTGTTAATGATTACGTATTATTGTATCATACTTATGAAACGAAAATTCAATAGACATTTAAGGGAGAGTCTCTGGCTCTCCGATATCAAAAGTACTGTCTTTTTTTTTAACTTTACTTTTTGGATGCCATAACTTTGTCACCAGGCAAATTGAAAGAAGAATTTGGACAAATGCACTTCCTATAAAAAACAAGTTGTTTTATTCTGTTTTTCTTTGCAAATCCATGTCTTGCAAGCTTATCTAGTGCCTTTATTTCTTAGACTTGATCTTCTTAAGGTAGAATTCCAACTCCTTGCCCTCCAAAATGTAGCCGTCCGAGCGACCGCACTGTCCGGGGCGGGAAGAAATGCAAGCTGTAAGAGAAGACGATATAAAATTAGACATGGGAATAAAAAATTCTCATAACAAGCATGTTAAGTATTGAAATCAGAGTAACTATGACAAGCGAAATCACGCCCAACAGGCTTGCATCTCTCTTAAAACAAGATCGATACAATAAAGTTGCTGGATCGCTAGGGGTTTTACATCACTTTAACAAGCTTATGTAGTTGATCATGTTTAAAATACACACCCAAGATGCGGCCGGAGGTGAACTGATCCTCGAGGGCCTGCTCGACCTTGCCGTACTTCTGGCGCTCCAGGTACTTCTTCATGACCTTTTCGCTGCGCTTCTTGGTCAGCACGTCGTTCTCGTCTTCCTTCTGAGCGTGCTTGGGGTTACGCTTGCGTCCGAGGGGCAGAACGTAGTGAGCCTCATACCACTGGCGGAAAGGCGTGGCATCGATCACCACGATGCTGTTCTTCACCAGGGTCTTGGTGCGCACCAGCTCATTGTTGGAGGCGTTGTAGACCACATCGGCGATACGGGTCTTGCGCGCAACACCCTCGGAGGCCCAGGCAAAGTTGCCGTTCTCCAGACGCAGAGCGCGCAGCTTGGTGTTTCCACCACGGGTTCGCACCTTGTGGACACGGCTGGAGCCAAGCTGAAAGAGAAGAGTTATGGGTTAATCTGAGTTTTCTTTAAGCTATATGGTGTAGAAGTGTATACAATCAGTAGTCCGAACATAAAGCTTTTCAATCATCAAAAAGTGTGCTCGAGAGCGCAATTGCAGTTGACACGCGTTAACATCATTTAACTTTTATAAGTAACACTTTGGGAACGGTTTTCTCATACTTTATGTTGGTTAAAAAAAAAAAAAGTAAAACATTTCGCTTTCAAAGTAAAACGATTTCAGTGAGAACCATTATTCCAATCAAAGTATGAGATTCCGGACCCTAGTATCAGGGTCAGGTTTATCCATGGATTATATCCTTACCTTGGTGTTGGCGGCGGGGCGTCCCAACTCGAACTTGCGCTTCTTGCGGAGCGACTTGCGCTTGCCTCCGGTGGCCCGGCGCTTGTGTGCACTATCGCGGCTAATACCTGGTATTAACACAAAACAACAAATTAGTACAGATCACATTATTATGAACCGAAAACACCAAGAACATGGGCACTTCGTAGAGGCACTAAAAACAGCCAATGCCGCACACGCACCAAGTCAATTTCACTCATATTTCGATTTGTGCACATATTTCCAATCGCTGTTTATTCGATGCCGTTGCAAATGCTATTTCTGCGAATTTTTATGGTGTTTGCAGACCAATTTCAGCCCATTTTCTTGATATTTTGTCGCATTTTACGAGAGCTGACTTACCCATGTTCGAGTAAAAAGCGAGAAAGAAAGGAAAAGACACGCACAGCACCTCGTGTCAAAAAAGTAGGGTTATTTTTTTGACGTTTGCCGCGGACTGGCAACTCCCCGCTGTTAACTATGCGCCTAACAGTACAATAAGTGCTGTTACAAGATATTTATTTAAATTTTTTTATTTAAAGCTTATAAGGTACTTACTTTTATGAGCGCAGAAGCTCTTATTTTTTTCATGTTATTAATAGGTATGACGGAATAGTAAAAAATGTTTAGAACTGAAATATTAATAACAATGTGTGACCTTGCTGTTAGTATTAGTATTTTCTAGTATTTCTCCCACGCAAAATTTTAATTTCGGACTATCCGAGTACGGTCATATTCTATACACTGTACTTTTGCACTAAAAATATATGCAATTTGATAAATAAACGCGATATTTGCAAACAAATTGGCCAGGAGCTGCCTAAACCTCAGCCCCCCGGAGTTGCTGATGCAAGTATGGTTGGGAAAAACTTCAAGGCTCTAGCGCACTTTCACCGCCTGACCGAATACATTGTACAGTGCAAGCACTGCGACAAAACACTGTCCTCCAAACACACCTCCTCGAATCTGACGCGCCACTTGATCCGGAACCACAAGCTATTAGCCCGCACCATATTCGCCGGTGAGGAGGGAAAGATGCTAGCTGAGCTTAAGGACGAGCTTGAGGCCTCCGTTTCCGAGGATCTAAGCATGGAACTCGCCGAGGGTGAGGGCGAAACGAAGTCGGCCGTACGCGGAATCATGGGCGTAAAAAGAGAGCAGGAGCAGATCGAGCGCCACCACCAGGAGACGGAAATGCGTAATAAAGTTATTGGGAAAAACAATAAGTTGTGGGCCCACTTCATTCGCATCTCGGAGTTCATGGCCAAATGCATGCATTGCGGCAAAACCTTGTCCTCGAAGCACTCGTCCTCCAATCTAATGCGACACATAGTCAGGCGCCACAATAACCTGGCCAAGACCCTGAATCACTCGCACCAGCACCTGATGACTCTCAAAAAGGAGGTCTACGGCAGTGCGGAGCGACGGCAGGCCGCCGATCCCCTGGAGAAAGTAAACTTTGACGATGTGGACAGCATAATCGAGAAGGTGACGGAACACCTGGACGAAGAGGTTTGTCTCCGGGCTTCTTAGCGACTCACTCTCTACATAGTTTCGATCTCTGGTTTAAGGTTACTTCGATTTCGCTGCAGGAACCCTTCTACGAGTACGTGGTGGAAAACTCAGACTCCGTGGTGGTTGACAGATGCGAGGAACCAGAGCCAGCCGAGATGCAGAACATGATCCCGCCGGACACCGCGTCGCTGGCGGACACCACCACCCAGATGGATGAGAAGCTTAAGGCAGAGACGATATATTACAACGAGATGGCCGAATTGGCCAGGGCCAAACGCCGTTTAATCGATCTGCAGACCAAGAAGCTGCTTTTGGACATGAACGTGGTGGATAACTAGCCAACCGAGGATTCTTAGGGCTTGTATTTGTAGAAGGACTAGGCGGGCAATATGATAATTTAAACTTAGGTACGATTATACTTTTAACGACATTACGGTTTGTGCATTTACTGTGCGGGGGATTTCGGATTCCCTTAGGGGAGTACAAAGTTAAGGTATGGCCCCCAATGGAAAAGGAAGAAGTCTGCCAAAAACGTGGAAAAGTGTATATCATAAATATACGTTTACATATATTTGATTTTTTTAAAATTTTTATCTGACATTAAGGGCATAATTTAAAGATAAAAGCTTTGCGCCCTTAGGAAGACGTCAAATCCAACTGAAGCATTGTGAAAATTGGTCATGAAAAAGAGCCTTCATAATTTTGGCTCTGTTGTCCAAGCACTGCAATCCCTTGTTTTTGACTTCTTATAAAAATAAATAAAAAATATACTGTCATTTAAAAAGAAAAGATTATGATTAATGAGTATGTTTTAATAAATAAATGTATTTCTTATATAAATAAATGTTAAGTACATATATTTAAAAACAGAAGGCATTTTAATTTATATAACACATGTTTCTACAGGAGAGAGACTTGAGGTCTATGTTATTCTTTTTGTTCACTTTAAGAAGGGGGTACTGTAACCATAAAAACAAGAAATATTTAAATTCTAAAGAAATAAAGAGATATCTTGAATTGTACTTATATGTACCAAATACTGCCAATAAACAGATTTTGGAGAAATCCTTAAATTTGTTTTATAAAAATATCTTTGACTTAGTAGTTTAATTTTTAATTCAACCGCCCAATTTTCTGCTTATCTTGTGGTTCGCTTCGGCGCTAAACGAATATCTAGATAACCACCAAAGAATTTCACATTTGTTGTATGTCTTTTTTAGGCAATTTCTGAGATTTGTTTATATTGTGCTCATCAAAACAAAGACGTAAAACGTGAACGAAATGTCTGGTTATAGGCCAAAGGAAGAGCGTGCTTCCTGCTCCTGGAATAAAGTAAAAGAAGAGCGTTACGATGACACGAATGGCAATAATGGTAAGCCAACTTTTTCTGATGAATCTAGCATTAACTCACATATCATTTTGTGTGTTTCTAGAGAATAACAGCTTCCTTTTTCGTATGAAATACGAAGCATGTGTTGATAATTCCCATTTTTCGCCTGAAACCCCAGATAGGTTTGAGCCAAGGACAAAGATGAGCAACATGAGTAGCAGTCAAAATAACGAAGCTAACCTTCCTCGCTTTAAGCAGGAGGGCACATGGGATACCCGGGATGCTGAGGTTAGGGCAAAATGTGTGGTTGACACCAAACAGGAAAACTACAAAGAAATCAATGCCAAGGCATCCCGGCCTAAAAATCTGAAGCGAAAACGATTTCCGAATAAGAACGGCAAAACGGCTAAAAAGGTCAAAAAAGCAGCAAAAATTGCTAAGGCGTCCAAACAGGCAATTAAATCAAAAAAGTCCGATACGGTTGACAAGTCTACGAAGTCAAATCAAGATATTAACGACAACCTGGTTATGGCCTTGGTTGATGATCTCCACTATGACGGTCGTCGACTATTCGAAAAATGGGACGAAATCGAGAGCAGGCTGGCAGATATGGTGACTGATAGAATCCTCGCCGTTCCAGAGGGTCCCATTCCGTCCTTCGACTCGTCCGATGTGATCCGAGGCCACCGGGTAATCAAATGCGACGACGGGTTCTCAAAAATCTTCTTGTCGGAGTGTGTGGCTAGTATTGGCCACAATTGGGATGGCCTACGTATCAGGCTAGTCCACGTCAGTGAGATTCCTTTAAGGCCCCGAGCTCGCATCTATTTGCCGAAAGGGCAAACGGATCACAAAAGGATCTTGTCTTGTCTGAGAGCTCAAAATGTAGAAGTGGATATGGCGGACTGGGTTGTTCTCAGGGCAGAGGAGACATTGTCGACAAGCCAGCCTTTCTTGCTCCTCATTAACCATCACTGTCTTCCGCAACTGGAAGCCGTCGATTACAAGGTGCGTTACGGCATACGAATGGCCAAGGTTAAGATATTTTTGGCTGAGGGTGACGAAGACAGATAGTCCTGATGACAGAAAAGATTTTCCACCGTTCCAGAAATTTCAATCATTGCCAAACCTTAAACTAGACATTTACTTGACATTTAAAAATACTCCCAGAGCTGATATAATTACAAAAACTAATTTAAATCGTCGATGCACTTTCGTTGCAAGATTTAAAGTGCCAGAGGCTCTAAGGCCAGGACGCGGTTAAAAAGACCATTTATTTGTTTAGAATTACCATTCTCTTTGTGTTATTTGCATTACACAACTCATGTTCAAAATTATCTGTTTATTAAAATAAATAAGTTGTTCATACAAAACCAAAATATTCTTATCTATCTGCTGAATTGAATGGTCTGATCAGAATTCAAAAGATTGGTGCAAAGCCAAGCTTATTTGTTATCAATGTTCACAACCAACTAGCCAATACATTTCCGGTGCAATTTTACGTATTTTTCTCGGTGTGCTATGGTCACACTATTTCCTCAGGAGGCTTCGCATTTTTGTTTCGCACGAAATAGAAAAGAAAATTTCTGAATAAAAGCCGCTTACAAAACCTGATGTCCAGCTTTTCGCCAAACCAACTGCGTCAGTGCGCTCGCTTCACGGGCACACCATGCACGCCGGACAAGGAGCAGCAACTGCGGGAGCAGATCCACAGCGAACTGGCCAAGATCAAATACTGCGCGAATCCCACCTACCAGTGCAGTCTGATGAGGATCGAGGGTCACGACTACTGCATCCGGCACATCTTACGCGATCCACGTGCCAATTACCGACAGTGCTCTCATGTGTATTCGAACGGGCGGAAGTGCATCAACGCGGTGCCCAAGTACGACAATAAGAAAGAACAGATCCTGACTACCTTGTGCTTCGAACACAACCGTCAGACACAGCTACAGAAGACCCACCTTAATGTGGGTCGCATCCGCAGTCGCGTGGAGACCAACGAGACCCTGCTTAACAGCCTCTCATCCCATATCAATGTGGAGGACATTAAGCCAGAGCCACCAAAAACAGAACGCGATGATGATGAAATAGATGTGGTGTCGCCGCACGTAACTCCTTTTGGTAGGTCATGCTAGTAAGTTTATCCAGAGCTGTGAATTAATTTTTGTCCATTTAGTCACCCAAGATCACCGTAATACTATTGGACACGTCGTGGACAGCTCTCGCAAGCGACGCCGTATTTTGGATTATGCTTCTGATAGTTCCAGTAACGATGAGGATCCGCCTTGTCTCAGGAATACCGCTGCGGATATAGAGTTCTTTGAGTCAGACTATGAAAGCATTGATTCAGAAGATGATGATCCCCTTAAGTAAGTCTTGTAGAGATCCTTATCAATTTGCTCCCATTTTTTAACCAAACCCTATTTCGAAGATGAATATTAATTCAACATCTTTTCATGTTCTTGTTTTTCTAATCCAATTTTTTTGTAGACATGCTGGCGTCTACACACGTGCAGAGGCTGTTAAAATTGCCGAGAATAAGCTAATCAAACTGCAAGGCCTTTATCGCGAGCAGATCAGTAATCTGCAACATGTTCTGAAGCAGCGACGTCGCAAATATTTGCATGACATTCGCCGAGAGCGAGAGCTGTATTGTAAGCTTCAAAATAGTTTGAAATTATTATTTAAATTTTAACTAGTACCTAACTTTCAGGCAGCATCCACGATCAGTTAAAGGACACGCCCCACGAGCGAAAGCTTTACGAACAGCTAAAGGCACTGAACACTTACCATCGTCGCCAGGGCGTGGAAGCAGTGCTGTACAAGAAACTGAAGGAAAAGCGCGCAAGGGATACATTATACGCATCGAAGTCGTCCAGCAACCCAAAGTGCGTGTTCACCGAGGGCGGAGTCAAGTGCGGAGAGCGTACACTGCCGTGCTGCAAGCACTGCCGCAAGCATATTCTGGAGGATAAGCGCCAGGTGCTGTTCCGGGCCTGTGGCGTGGAACGGAGTGGGGTGGTCTGCCAGGAACCGGTGGCCAGCATTCTTGAAGACTCCAGTTGCGTACTGCATCTGGCCGTAGCGCCGGCTAAGCGCCAGTATATACAAAAGGTGCGTTAATCAAAACACTAAACCTAACCCACTCCATAACCACCACACGTTACTACTTAAATATTCCAACCGCCTTCTCATTCATTGCCATAAGTTGTGTTGCACATAACTGCCGAAACTACAGTAATCGAACTGTCGAACAGTTTGTAACAAACAATACTGCGTAACTAGTATTTAGACTTGATTTGTAGTAAAGCTAAGTATTTCTACCGAGAACAAACACGAAACACATGTACATAAGTGCTAGTATTGTTTATTAAGACTTTTGTGATCGACCCTGAATAAATAGCCGACCTCTCATCCTCCAGTTTTATGAACTTCCAAGCACTCCGGCGCAAGAAAGTATTTTCGCTGCCGGCCGTGGTGTCAGTAATTGTATCGGAGAAGATCCACGAAATGATTTGCGTTCGGAAAGCGATGGTCTTTTGGATTTAACAAATGGTGTATGCGAGTTTGACCTCGATACAGCTGATGATTTGGCAAACTTCCTTGACGATGAGTGCGCCATGTTTCTAGACATCGACAGTGACCTGGGCCTTTCCATTGACGATTGCAGTGTAGACTTAGGCCTCGAGCAAGATGGCGAAGAAGTGTCCAACGATTCCGTGGACGCTCCTGAAACTCAAGCTCCAGACCGTCTCATCTCAGATCTAGACGAATTATCTATGCAAGACAGTAGCGAACTTAACTTTGAAATGAACGATGCCGATGGCAATGTTAGCGAAGTGTTGAAAATGCTCGAGGGCATCGAGGCAATGCCCTGGTTTGATGCCCTGATGAACTAGATCGATATTATAGTAAATGTATTAACTCACAATCCTAACCATTATCCAAACACTAGCTGAATGTGGAACTGTTTCTCATGGCTGATAAACACTTTATTCCACAGAAATGCGAATCGGAAACCGAAGAAGAAGAAACTCAGTCGACAAGCGTGAGTACCATTATAAAAAAGGAAAAAGAGGACCCTTCCGATAATTTGTATAAGAGCCAAGTTCTTAACGTCACCACAGCCCATGGCGAAGACAGCAAAGACGATGTCAAAAAACTGATAGGGTCCACATAAAAGTTAACCTAAACTAATTAAGCCTTTGTAGCGTAAATGTTTACTGTTGCAATTATAAATCAATATACATTAAAGGAAAAACGTAGATATAAATGTCAGAAAATGTCAATTGGTTTTTGTAAGCATCTATTGTAACTTTTGTTTCTTCGGGAAAAAGATCCCTTAATAAATAGTCACTACAGTAGATTATCAAAGAAACGACTGGGTCTACGTATTTATTTATTTACATTTATTGGCTTTTCATAATTTATACAACTTAATATTTTTATTGTTTATGCTTGAATATATATTTAACAATTCACATTTCTTAAAGAAAACGCATAGCTTTTGCACTTTCCTAAAAATAGAAAATATGCACTCTGTTTGCTTAAAAGTAATGACTGTAATTATTTGATCTTAAAGCACAGTTAAATGTATCAGTTATCAGTTTCTCCATTCAGTATCTACTCAAATATGTACAGATTGCATAGGCTATGATCATACATTAATGGCAACCGCTCTCGTTGTTAAAATGCACTATTAAAAATATAAATTGGCAGCTAAATATATTAACAAAGTCTGTTATATGTTGAAACCCGATTGCTTAACTATTTTCCTACAGTTCCGTTGTTGTCTCTACCTCCGATCGATCCAAATCGTTGAGGTATGAGAAGCCTATTTGGCCATAGTCCCTCTTGCCAAAGGAAACGTTTTCGTTTGTGCTGCTCAAGTGGTTGTGATCGGAATTGGATCTGTGAAGTATAGTCTTATAAACGTACAGGCTTTATTTGATAATTTAAGAGATAAATACCTTTGAAACAGAGGGTTCGTGATGGGTACTTCACTACCAAAAAGTCGATTGTTGAGCTGGCCATTTCGACCCAAAGTGGCGTTCATCAGCTCGCCATTGCCATTGAGCAATCCCACGTCGCAGAATGTGTTGCCCCGCCTTCCCATCGTACTGTAGGCATTATTTTTGGCATTGGCCATATTGTTCGGACCAGTCGGGTCTATATTGTAGGCGCCGTTCTGATAATGGTTGGTGTTCTGGTGCTTGATGCGGCCCAAAGTCAGGGTTCCCGAGAGGGCACCATTCGGCGGAGATCCCAGTGGATTGGCATTGTTGCGGGTGTTCATCTCCAGTGTGCGGTTGAAGGTGTTCTGCCGGTTATTTATGGCCAGATTATTGTTCATGTTGGCATTGTTGAGATTCTTGTGGCGGCGAAGAGTGGCAATGGTGGCCGTCGTGGCATCCGAATGGGATGGACTTGACTGACCACCTCCGTTCGTGTTCTCCTTGTGCGTTATGTAGCTAACGTTGTCCAGCGAGAAGGCGTGGTTCTTGGCACTGAAGTCCAGCTGCAGATCGTCGTCCACATCCGGTGGCACTGCCATTGCGAGCATCTGAGTTTCGTACTCCTTCATGTTGGCTATGGTTTCACTGGCACTCGAGGCCTGCTGGTTGACGATCACAGGATCGTATCGCGTTGGATTCGTCGAGGAATACTGGCGCATGCGTTGCTTAAAGTTTTTATATCTATAAAAAAAAGTGTTTATAAATATTATATATCAGTTAATTAAAGTAAGCTAAGAATAACTTTACATACTTTGACCAAGAAATACATATGTAAATGATTCCGATTGTGCCCAGAATAAGAATAACGAGTGATATGGCAATAAGAGTAAAGGGGAAGACTTCATTATCAATAGTAGCAGCGGCTTTGACCTGGAAATTAAAGGAAAAATATATATATTCAATAGATTTCCAAGAAATATTTATAAATATTATCTAACCTTGTGAACCTGTTCTTTTCTTTCAAGTGGAAAAGATATACTTTCGGCAGTGGCTCTTGGTAAGGCGATATTCAACTCAGATCGCGCCGCTGGTTCCAGTAAAGTGGTCTCCACAATGCTATCCTTGCGGCTCACCAACTGTTCCGTCTTCGGATCGATAAGATAAAACCAAATATCTGTGGCGGCTGGGTTCTCGATCACCGATCCGTTTTTGGCCAGATACTTTTGACTGCTCATGCGCTCAATGCCACTGACTAGTCCGGTTTTCTTGTCCAGCAGCTCTTCCAATTCGGTGTAGTAGTTACGGAGATCGCTGGGTGCTGCATTCGGGAAGGATAATGCCATCCGATTTATGTCGGCCAATTTGTTGACAACTATGCGTGCTCTCGTGCGATGGGATCCCTGTTCCTGGGCATCGCTGTCACGAGCCTCCACCAAAAATGTGAGGGGGAAATCGTTCTCGTTTTTGAAATGCTTTGCAGTTCGAAGAACTCCCGTGTCTTCTGACAGCATGAAAAAGCTGGTCGGCTGTAAAAATACCAATATTGTTAGGAAATTAAAAGGTTTTTAAATAATCTACAGATTTACTTACCATATTGACCCGATTTTCGTCGTCGTCGTAGAGTGTGTATCTTACGGTACCGAATTTACCCGAATCACGATCTGTGGCACGCACCTGCAAAATGGTTGTGTCAACATCCATTTCTTCGGTCACCACCGTGTAGAACGTGTCTTGTTGGCCGCGCAGTCTATTAAACTCGAACTCTGGGGCATTATCGTTCTCATCTTGAACTATTATTTCCACGGTGGCTATATCTTTCAGAGGGTTCACAAAATAACGATGGGAAGTTAGACGCAACTGCAGGGTGTACGAGGTCTTGTTCTCAAAATCCAGAGGTCGGATGAGCAATAAATTACAGCCGTGATCGGCGGAACTCAAATTGAATATTCCCTCTTCGTTGCCGTGCACAAATTCACACTTGAAAGCCGGTGGTCCATCTGTTGATATCTTTGAATTAACTATCTGAATGAGTTTCAGGGTGCTATTTGTTTCCATTGATTCTGGCACACTGGTGGTGTAGCTATCATCACTGAAGGCGAGGCCAATACTTTCACTACTCATCACCATTCCGCTTTCCAATTTATTGTCCAATTTTACTTCGTTGTTACCGCTGGACAAAAGATGATGTACATCGACGCGCAGGGGAGCCACCGAACTTAGTTGGGGTTCTCCCAAGTCATATGCCCTTATGTCCACCTGGTACTCGGTATCCTCTTCCTTCCGGAGCTCATCCCTTATGCGAACTGCTCCAGTATCCGGATCCACTTGGAAGTACTTCGGAGCCTTTCCACGTCCCACGATCTCATAGCGAACCACATTGCCCGGCGAAGTACCATCTCCATCAATTGCTGGCAGAGTGGCTATGATAGTTCCAATACTCTGATCATCGTTTACGGTCACGGGATCGGGAACGGTTATAAATCTCGGGGGTAGATCATTGCGGTCCTCCACATCCACCACCAGTTGAACTGTATCTCCCGGCCCATCGCCATCATTCTCTATGGTGCCAATGGTCAGCTGGTGTTGCTTCTGGCTCTCATAATCCAATCCCTTAATCGTTCTTATTTCCCCTGTTTTCTCTGAAACTCTAAAGAGTTCCGCATTGCCCTTGCGAAGAACGTAGGTTATTTCCGGAATGGAATCCGGATCAAAAGCTTGCACGGTGGCCACCAGGAAGTTCTCCTCATTTTCCGGAATGTGCACATCAATGCGTGAATCGGTGAACTTCGGCACCTCATCAGGGAGATCGAGAACCATCACAGTAACACTGGCAGTTCCCAGTCGTGCATCCGGAGCACCATCCTTAGCGGTTACCACAAATTTGTACTCGTTCAACTGCTCGTAGTCCAATTGCTTAGCTGTTAGGATCTCCCCGGAAGTGGCGTTAATTGTGAAGGGAATATCCGTGGGAATGGAGTAGGTGATCTCAGCGTTGATACCCTCATCGGCATCCGTGGCATGAACGACTCCCACGGAAGCCTGGGCCTTGCCCTCATCCACTTGGAAGATGTACGGCAAGGTAGAGGCATCGAATTCCGGATTCTTATCATTGATATCCGTCACCTTGATGTTCACTGTAGCACTGCTCGAAAGACCACCAGTATCCTCTGCTTTCAGGATCAGTTGGTAGCGGGTTAAGCTCTCACGGTCCAGTTTTCGTATGACTATGATCACTCCACTCTCCTGACCAACAGCGAATTGCCGGAGATCGTTACCGGATACTATGGAATAAACCACCGCATCGTTCTCCGGATCCTCGGCATGGACGACCGTAACTGTGGAATTAATTTCCGCACCCTCGCTAACCTGAACCTCGTAGATGGGTTTCTGGAAGCGCGGGGGTTTCGTATTTGGTCCCGGGGTCACACTCACCTCCACGATGGCCTGCGAGGATAACCCTCCGATGTCGGTGGCCTGGACCGTAATGCTATATTGTTCGCCGGCGAGCAGACGACCTTGGGTCCTGATCTCTCCGGTCGTCTCGTTAATGGTGAACTTCTGAATGCCGTTGTTGGACACATGGTAGATGGAGTAGGTCACCACGGCATTGGGACCCTCATCGTTGTCGGTGGCCATGACCTGGGTGACCAGGCGACTTTCGCTCTGATCCCCGGCCGTAATGGAGATCGGTGGCACCATCGCCAGCTTGGGGGCATTGTCGTTGACATCTCGCAAATGGACCGTGAGACTCAGGGGGGCACTCGCCGCATTCGTTCGCGGTTCCCGGGCGACCACTTGAAACTTGAAACGTCCTGGCGACGGAGGATCGCGATCGAGGTTGTCCTCGTTGACAATCAAAATGCCATCGGCAGTCACATTGAACGACGGTGTGGTCAGCTCGTATATGTAATCGGGCTTCGGATCGGTGTCACTCAGGTCGGCATCTGTGGTTTTGAACGATATAGGGTTACCGTTCGAGTCCAGCACTCTGGTTCCGATGGGAGAGTTCTCGTCCACGTAGCCCTCGGTTTGCGAGGAGGATATCACGGGGGATTGGCGTCGACTGGCTTAACGGAAATCGCCAACTTGGCGGTTGTGAATCGCTGGGGTCCAGCGGAAACCTCTTCTGCCTTCACTATGATGTCATACTTCTTCGCCGTCGATGTATCAATGGCTTTCGTTTGCTTTAGCACCCCGGTGTTCTCATCAATCTGGAAGTAATCAGCGTAATTTCCGGGCATTCCACTGGCAAAACTATAGCGAATGGGGGAGTTAATGGTGTCCAGATCCACGGCCTGAATCCTTTCGGGGAGAACAGTGAGCACCCCCAGCAAGGATCCAGCTGGAACGGATGCGGAGTACTCCGGATTTATGCAGGCTCCATCGAGGGAGACACAACCGCTGTAAATAAACGATGGGTCCAAGTCGTTCGAGTCGGCTATGTTGACCGTCAAAGTGGTCGTTGATGAAAGACGATCTGCGGTATTGCGGGCTCGATCCTGAAATTGAAAATAATAATATATTTTTAGCATATGACCGTGGTTGCATTAACGATTTCGCTTTACACCCAAGTGAAAGGTTTGTAACCCTATAAATGCCGTCGGCCGAGAAGCCGGTAAAAGTTAACTTAAGCATATAATTGAGGCCTTTTCAGCTCAAACTTTTATGGTTGTAATTAACCCTTTGTAATAATCTTACCGAAGCCACAATAGTAAGATAATAGGTTTGAATCTTTTCAAAGTCCAGCGTCTTGGCTACAGTAACCTTAAAAAAAAACGAGAAGAGAAGAGAATATTTACCATGTATTTACCTTAATTAGGCTTTCCAAACTTACTTGACCCTGGTGGGGAAACGATATGGCAAAGGTGCCATAACCATCTGCACTGTATTTCTCGATGTCGGTGGAATTGGCACTCCCCTCGGCTATGAAATACTCAACCAGCCCATTGACACCTGCGTCCTTATCGAGGGCCTGAATGTTCCGAAAAATAGTGGTTCCCACCGGTGTGCTCTGTAAAAGTTATTATAAGCCATTGAAATGTCAGTTAATTCGATGTGGGAAGCAGCGGGGGGTTTTTCCGAGTGGCTTTCGTTCCGAAGAACCGAAAGTGTTTCCTGCCCAGTTAATAAATTGTTTCTAGTTCAGCAAGAAGATTCCATAAAATATATTTTCCCCTGCCTCGTTTGTGCTAAATTTCTAAAATTTCCCATGGAACCCAGCTGGGAGGCAACGGAAACCCCGAGATCATTATTTCATTCGCATTGTTTTTAAGCCAAGTCAAGTGGCTGCAGTCGAGATCCGAAGATCCAAAAAGCCTGCTGGGCTGTTATATAACGGTTACAGCCTCTTAAACTCATGTTAAGGAGCAAGTTTGCTACTTGGCGTTTCTGCAGCGAGTTTCTGCAGTTTCTGTACACTCGAGTTGGTAATTTAGCATCCACTTTACCCAGAATTGCAGCTGAGCATTGTACATTGTTCATCTGCTGAACTTTGCGATTTGTTACTTGTTTTTTTTTTGGTTAAATGGCATGCAAGCTTAGGTCATCTTTTTTCGCTTTTCATAATTTTTAGTTTCTACTGCGCGGCCTAACAATTCCCATGGTTTGTGTCTATTGATTGTGGAGATTCCACACTGTTTAGGTAGCCCTATGGAGGTATAATTTATCTGGGCTCTTGTAATTATTTGATAGCGAGCGGATGAAATGCGATTCTGTTGTCTTGGTCTTGTCTTCTCCGCCTGGACATCGCCTCCCTTGGGAGTGTTCGCCTAAGCCGGCAAGTGCATACCAATTATATTCCAGTTTGACTGGCAGAACGCCATATAAAGGGACCTGGATCGCGAATTTACAATGCACTATATACACTTTTCTGCGAAAGAAACGATGACGCAGGTAGCCTGCCCTTTTGTTTATTCTGCACCAGGCTTCCTCCTAAACTTAAAGGCTTCGTCGCATTGTTAAATAAATTTCGTATAGGCAAGCGTCCCGATTGCAAATTCCAATGAACCATTTATATTCAGCTTTATTGTATTGCCCTGCAATTTTATTTACTATCTGAGGAGTGCGCGATCAAGGTCCTAGATGCTCGAAAGATACAAAGAGATACGAACAAAAGGGGAACATTTTAATTGGAAAACTTTTCTTCTTTTAGCGGAGTAATCAGTGGTTGAGGAAAGTGTTCTTGATCAGTCAATTTCCTGAAACTCAATTGGCGAGCAGTTATAATGAGAGAAATTGCTTTCCTTACGACTGTTATGCGTTCTAATGCAAACCATATCATTTCTGAACGTTTTGAGTGATTATTCTACAGGTTTAATGTCTTAATAAGTATGTGGATCATTATGTGAGATTTCTCCCATGATGTAAAAACCCAGGTGCAATTTAAACACGTCTCTCTGCAGTGTTTCACTGACTCTTCGCCAAGTAATGGACTTTGACGGGGTTCTTTATATACGACTTTGTCTGTGGCACGTTTCCGCTTTGTTTTATGCTTTTTGCTGACGCTGCTTTCTAATATGTCAACAGTTCTGTAATTGAACGTTATTAGTCTAAATACGTGATTAAGAACCGGCAGGCAATACTCTTGCTCTTGCTCTTGCACTTGCCGCCGATCTCATGATCCTCGGACTCTGCGAATCCGATCCGCTCGACATGCTATTGTGTTGCTCGAGCGCTGGAAACATGTTCACTACCACTTCATTAGTGTTCAGTATGTAGTTGCTGCTGTCGCTTCGAGAAGACTATACTATGCACATTCACCTGACTTTTGCACAGGAAATAAATTCTAGTTCTTAATCACTCTTCAAGCCTTTAAAACTTAGGCTGCACATGAAATAACATTTATAAAAATTTGAAAAAAAACAAGTTGCTTGTTCTCCCTGCATAATAACGTTTAACTAATCATAGTAGAATATAAAAATTTGGTGATTTTGGTGACCCTCAACCCAATTGTTTTCAGTGCATCTGCGGGTTGCTCCAGCGTGATAGTCCGTTTTGCACCCGGGAGGAACTACAGCGAGAAATGCGGGCAAAACTTCGGGGCGACGAAAAGCTGATCGTGCGGACGCTGAAAAATGTCTATTTACTTACCTCGGGAACGGTAACCTCGTAGGGCGTGTTCATGAAACGCGGCGCATTGTCATTTATGTCCGACACCCGAACAATAATGGGAATGGTGCGCTTCTTGTTCGTCGATCGGATGGTGCAGGAGACCTGAAACGATTCAGCAGGACGACATATTTTCATAAATATTTCGCCCTTGCAAAGCGGCGCAGAAAACACGGCACCTGGAAGACAATGTGACTGAGGTTCTCCTCATCTCGATCCAGAGGCTGCAGCAGTTGGAGCCGCTTGCCGTTCAATTGAAATATCGGCTGGCCTTTCGGGAAGACCAAATTCAGAGCGATCTCCGTCTCCGGATCACCGAAAATTGGAAGCTCTGGCGGCGTGGTTGGCTGTCCGATGACTGCAGAAAACGCATAAATAATATAGTAAAAGTTGAAGTCTAATAAATAAAGCTAGGTTATTGGTACAACAGGCTCCGAGCCGGCAAACATATCGGGAGGGAAACGAAACGAGAAAACTGCAGACAGCAGCCTTTCTCTTTGCATTTGGGGTCAAGTTGCAGCGATCACTTGCGATGTGTGTGTACACACACATACCAGTACATACGGGTATGTGCACACACATCGCAGATGCATCTCGAGTGCACATGAAAGTCTTTAAATTTCGCGTGCTCTTGTTATTTCGCAGTAGGCGCCTCCAAAAGTGAGATCAGATATTACACAACGGTGCATAATGTTTGTTTTTTATGTTTAAATGCATGCCTAATACGCTCTATAACTTTTTATGATCGTTACAATAAATTTTATTTAAATTAAATGAATCGTTTAAGTGATAAATTTAGTTTTCTTGTTGGCCTTTGTCGTTAAAAAACAGGAATTACAATTTTCAGCACGTACTATCTTGTATGTTTTAAGCCCTGACACACATGTCGTATGAGTAATTTGTTGTGGGAAGGTTCGGCACTTGAAATGACCTAAAACCTAATTGAGCTTTAAGACTACTTAATTGCAAATCCGAAATCCACCAATTAGGGTATCGAGAGTGTGCTAGCCTCACCTTTCAGAGGTGCACCCTAGAGAACAAGTAAATTGTACAATGTATCCACAATGTATATTTAATTTCTCTTGTCCGACGTGCTTTTTATTCTTTGATGTGATGGTCTGCCTATGTGAACACGTTTAAAATTATAATTATGGTGTGTTGCACCTTTCGTGCCTAAAGTCTATGATCTTGAAGTCGAGCTTGCTCTTGAAGCGTTTTGTCTAAAAAGCGCACGACCATTAATGATTTTGCATTCACGTAATAGATTTGACGTTGGGGCAGTTTTAGAAGTCATATTTCCTGTTTGAAGCCATTTTGCTACATATATACTACTTTGTTAGTCAGTGGCCTAGGATAAATGGTTTTATGCATTTAATATAATCCGTTTAAAAATGACTTACATGAATCTCGGCTTTCTTCGATGTCCAGAATAATGTTCGTTTGCCCGGTTTCCACTTCGCACATTTGCGACTTGCCCAAAACCGCCGAACAGAGCAGGATTAAAAGGCCAAAAAAGCCCAATCCTTGTTGCGGAGTGAGGTTTCTCGCAGCCATTTTACTAAAAATAAAAGTAAACAAATGTTTCTCGTAAAATATATATTTGCCAGAGCGTCTGATTTAAATAATATTCGAACCTACGCGGTCAGACCCACACAGCGAACATGGAAACCCGAACCTCGAATCTCAAAATGCCTTCTGCATACGCTGCTTTTGCGCTTTTGTATGCAAAGACGGCTTCCCATGCCTTAAATGGTGTGATATCAATATGCAATAAACAATTTAACAAACTTGGCGTTGTCTTAGCCGCAGCGCGTTCTCTTCTCGGCGATGCCAAATATAAACCAACGTATATGGGCATGTGGAAATCTAAGATGCCAAGATCTGCGGAGGATAGCAATACCTATTTGTAAGCTACCTGAAATAAAATACTAACTTGGTGTTGAAAGCGTTGGCTAAATTGATAATTTTCATAGTTCCGTTTTGAGCCCATCAAAACTACTTGGCTCGGTGAAATATTGACAGAGAAAAGTTTATAACGGTGGGATCGTAAATTGGCTAATAAAGTGGGGAGCCCGGCCAGCCAGCCACTCTGCAACGGGCTCCGCGATCAGGTGCACATTTTGCCCACCTCATCTCATCGGGTGCCTAAATGGCCAACTTGACTGCCCGATCAACTTTTGCGGCTGTGGCTGTGGCTTTGGCTTTGGCTGTGGCTAAGATACAGTTAGCAGTGTTCTTTGGAGCCACTTCATGCGGCTTCTATCCCTAGGTTTCTGCTCTCTCTCCGCAGCTCGGCGCACATCCGCTGGCTTTTCGATTCTTTCAAGACTCGTTGGCACCAGGAGTCGATTCTTGCGCATCCGTAATGAAACAGATCGAAACTAATCTTCGGTTTTCTCGCTTTTTCTTTGGTCTCGTTCATTAGATAAGCATTGGAATAATATGGGCTTAGTTGAGTTGGTTAAGGAAAAATCATTGGATAACGAAATAAAGTGCACGCTCTAATTAACTACGATTCTCTTATGGGAAACATGCTAATTTGAAACTAATTTTTATGCTGGCAGTAAACCTCTAAAGAAATCATCATTAAACTAGATAAATAGTTAGATAAAAAAGGAATATAAATGATTTATTTAATTTTTTTTTTTTTTAATTTAGCAATGAAATTTCCAAAGAGTTGCCCCTTACCTAACCTGTGCTCTACTTCATAAATGATTATAAAAAGCAATTTAACAAACTCATAGCGAAGAAAAGTTAATTATTAAGCGAACAACTTTGACATTTAAAAGTATTTTTTAAGTTTTAGTTAACGTTATTATCTTTTGATTTTCCAAAAATAACATTGCCTACTTTAAAGGGCTTGTATTTATAAAAGTATAAAAGCAAAATCTGCATCTACCAAAAATCGATTACATATACTCGTAATATGACTTGTTTGACTTGCCTAACCTAACTTAATTTTTTTTACAACACCATCCAAAACTTAATAAACCAATCAAAGTATCCATAAAGATTTAACGATTTATTTATTTTGCCAAAGTGTGCTGCAATCTGGAATCGAATCAAACTTGTCTCTAAACGCAACTGTTGCTGAAATTATCTCCGAAATCATAAAGGCAGCGATCGTTCATTGCGTAACTGCGAGATATCACATCGTATTGATATGGCTTAAATGTTTTTCCTCGCCGTTCCTGTTTCTATTTGCGAAAATCGCGAAAAGCGCTGCAAGTCCTCCGCTTTCACTAAAGACCCGCCATGCCCCTCGTATAAACAAAAGTCTCGATGAGGTGAAGCCACAGCCACGGAGCGGAGCTCGGTGGCCACAGAAAGTCAGTTGCTGATTATGTTCAACCGGAAACTTATAGAAAAAGCCGAATGTGCCAAACTGGTTTGCTTTGCAAAATAAACGAAAGCCGAGGTATCGCTTTGCTTTGAATGCCTCAATGCCTGAATGCCTGTATGCCGTTGCCTGAAATGCTGAGCAGCCAGTAGTGCTGGGTGCAGATTCGATATACGGGAAACCTGTTGCTTATTGATGCTGTTTTTGCCAACATTTTCTAGTTTTGAATGTGGTACAATACGTACCGAACTTAAATCTGAAATCTGTTGGAATGCGAACGATGGTTGCCACACAAATCTTAAATAAACAAGAAAGGAACGCCAGTTTCGGGGACCGAATCTCGGGATACCCTGGCCCACCAATCCACCAATCAAACTCCATCGTTCTGTCAGCTCCAACTTTGATTGTTATGCTAATTCTGTGAGTGTTTTATTGTATTTTAATTTTATTGGACAGGAGGACGCGCTCGCGACCATACAAAGTGTACGCTTTTATGCATATCGCTTTTCTTAGAGCCGTGAGATGTTTCATAATGCCTGCTGACAATAAAATATTGCCGTATATCAGCATTGAAATCTTTTCAATCTAAAACACCGAAAAGGTAGTTATATCGAAATGACAAATTAATTCCTTTCAGGTATTATTATTTATATGACTGCTATAAAAATGGATTACCTAAGGGGAGAGTATTCCCAGCTTTGATCCCTATTCTTCTTTTAATTTTTGCGAAATGCCTATTGTAGAGTTTAATGACTTTAAGTGATTTTAAAATCTAATCGTTCTAATGAACTCAGCAAGAATCTTATGGCCAATTTACTCGGAATCATTTTTGTTGATGCTTAATTTTCATGATTTGCCTCTTTTTGAGAACGCCTATGCTGTCAAAATTTAAACCAACAACTGCTGAGTAACCGAAAAAATCTAAAATACGCTGGAATTAAGTGGTCTTCAGTTTAAAAGTCAAGGTTCGGACTTTAAGATAAAAGTGTAATATATAATACGTAACATTTATAAATTATATATTAAATACGCAAAATATTTTAATTAGTGTTCTATACTTAGATATCCAGCTTCAAGCTTTTTGGTGACAAAAAAATTAATCGAGCTGACTGGCCGCTTAAAATAACTGTTAGGTGATTATGTTTAAGCAAATGAAGTTTGAATGGAGCTTGAAGCACAGAACATTGTGTTCTTTGCTGTTCTTCTTTCCTGTATACATGTATACTGTATAATTTGAGTATAAATCACAAAAACGGTATTAGCAGTACTTACCGATTATTCTAAAGATTTAATATTGCAATAGCTCAAAATATTGGTGCTAGGTATCCAACGTGAAAAATGTCACGCGCCGTTAACGAATAAATTCTTTATACATTTCGGACATATAACATTCCAAGGTGTATTTTCTTGCCACCCGTACGCTGTATATGAAATAAGGTTAAATTGGATTAAATTCACTCGCGACTTAGATATTTAATCATTTTCTTATGTTTATTTTAAGTGCTGGTATTATAAAACTGATTTTGAGCCAATACATAAAAATTGATGATCACAAGACAGGTTTCGGAGCGACGTTTTATCGTTATTTCCACACTAGATTGATTTTTGATTGTTTATTTTTTCTCTTTTCGAGGTTGTCCTCTTGGATTAATTATTAATCTTAATATTCCGCGAAATGTAACCAACTAAGCGGCGCGTGGGAGCCTGGTATCATGTAGTAAAAGTAGCATGGCAAGTTGATGGCTATCTATGTAACATATGCCCGTACAAGACTGTATAAGTTTTCTTACACAAATCTCGACATACGTGACCTCATTTGCCGATCTGACAGAAAACGTTTTTTGGTTTTGGTTGTGTCTTTGCAAATGCCGCAAAAATCCCGGTCGATAAATTAAATTCGTTGAGTGTGTCTTATACCAGCCCATAAACACATTGCCATTTAATACAGCGATCACGTTCACATTCCACATTAGTGTTCTATCCTTTTTTTTTTGGGGAAATGATGATGGGTAAGTTGATGTGAAATTTTTGTTTGTTTTTACACCATTGTGATTTGGGTAAACAAATAAATTGGCAAGAGAAAGTCTTGCTTTCGGGGTTTCGTACATATAGTTATGTGTAGGTACAATCTTTTTTAACGTTGGATGCTTCGTAGATGAGGGCTTTGTTTGCCGTTCGAGGTTTCTTTGTTGTTTAAACGGGGATTATTTCGTTTTGATTCACAGGTATGTAAGCTACGTATACGGAGTATGCCCTTTTCGGGTCTTATAACATCAAATTGCTTTGGATCTACACATCACACGTCGCCATAAACGGACCATTCTGAACTTTACACATTTTCTCGAGAGATAACTCTTAAAAAATTAGCTCTTAGGCATATTCATACCAGCTTGAAAACCGGTATCGCGGGAGCCACCTAAAATACGAACATGTACATGGTACACTGCGCGAAAGTACGTGATATCGGTTCGATGGTCGGCTCGGAACTGTTTCGGTTTACCTGTTTCGCGTTTCGGCCACAAGCAACAAGTGGGCGCTGCCATGGTAAAAAGTAAATAGGATAGTCTCGTCGCGTCTGCTAGTCCCGTAACGTAGGTTGCAATGAGTGTGAGGGAATGGTTGATCTCCAAAAAGTAACGGACTGGACCCGAACGATTTTGCTCCCGACGAGACTACTTCATACCAATTCTACCATGGTTAAGGGAACGATTTGGCAGCCGTCGACTGTTGCAGCTACAAGCAACAAGTGGGCGCTGCCAGCCAAAGTGGAACGAAGTGGAATCGGACAGCCAACTCTGGTCCCTCGCTGGCATTCGCTTTTGCGGTAAGACTGGTTTCTGGGACTAGTTTACCAGCTGATATCACACACCGCCACATAGCCAGATATACCCATTTTTCGAGTGCGAAAGGCTTCGCCCGTGGAGAGTACAGGTACTGCGATCCGCGATCCGCGATCTGCAGGTGCATGTAGGTATGTTTCTTGAAAACTCGGCTAACAGAGTCTGTTAAGTCAAAGGTAAATAAAAGACCACCATGTTTCATTTCCATAGGAGTAGGCTGTGGAACCAGTTTTTCGGTGCTTTTTTCCCTCTCTTTTGTTTTTAGCTGCAGTTTCTGTGTGTGTTCGTTGGTCTGTTCGTTCGTTCGTTTGTTCGTTCGTTCGGGGGCTGTGTAAAAGTTTTTATTAAAATGTTTTAGGTGATGTTGCTGCGATTTTGTGCAGCAATCTGCGGCCGGACTTTTCCAGCCCGCTCACTTCGCCAAACCAAACCCAAGCCCAAACCCAAAGCCACAGCGAACCAAACCGATCCGGTGCATGAATGAAGTTCACTAAAGGGGCAGACAGCATTTTTGTACCTGTCAGGCAGCCAAAGAGTCGCATATGCATATTCCATTGTGCCTGGACAATGAGACAGTCGCTTTGCTATCCACCAAATTACCATCATTTCGAGGTGTTTGCAGTCGCGCACCAAACAAATATTATCATTTTCAACCGGATGCAGCAAGAACAATAAAAGTATAGTACGTCAAAGTCATTTCTGAAATGAAAATATAGTACTATCGATAATCAAAGCTTCCAATTTACAAAATTGATTACAATATTTTCTGATAGTAGTTTGACGTCCTCCAACTAGCAAAATTGATAACAACATTTTGTGATTGTAGGTTGTCGTCTGGTTTTTCCAAATGTCAAACGATCAGCTTAAATGCCTATTTAAAAGATGTAAACATTATTGCTCATGTTTACAAGCCAAAGTTGGAGCTTTAAACTTTCAAATCAGCTTCACACATATCAAGCCACCAAATCGTGGACCCATTGTTAATTTTATTTTAATCTGTGGCCCATTAAAACAACCTCAAAAAATTAAGACAAGTGCTAACTGGCTATTAACACAGTGTCTTTTAGGTGCTAAAACTCATGGGATGCTAGCTTCATTTTCATAACTAACTTGAAGAGAAAGTGCAAGGGTTTTCAGCAAGATGTACATCATTAGCTTGTTTTATTGTTTCTTAACAACCGAGCTGGGTTTTCAACTTCGTCTTGCTGAATCCCCCAGAGCCCGGAATTAATTAAAGCTAAGCCCACGGTTTCTTTTAACACTGAGCTTTTTGTTCTTTCGTTATTATGAAAGGTAGTTTCTTGCAAAATTTATTGAGGGTTACGATTACCATAATGTGTGTTAGCTGGTTTTGTCTTCCGGCTTTGTCAACAATTTTACAATTCGAATGTCCCATTTCCTCGAAAATTGGAGTCGTCTTGTCGGTCAGTTTACTTATTTCAAGTTCATAAAACTGAATAAAATCGATCTACATATGAATGCTCTCACCAAAAGTTTTTCATTCTGTACATTTTTATATCGTGGGAATTACTTAAAAGTGAAGCGGAAAATTAAATTTATGTATACACGAATGTAATAATAATTAATCATTTAAGCAGACATTTAGTTACTAAGAATAGTAGTTCACTAACCCGTTCGTTAGGTATCCGGTGCTTATTTGTCTAGACACTAGACTATAGCCAAAACAGATTAATTTACGAGTTAATTAAGCACAAAAATAAATATACCTTTTACTCTTAGAACACCGGATGCGAAAAGGTTAAACGAAATGTGTCAGCCAAAATTGTAAGGTTTCGCTTCATCCATCCTCATAAGCCCGAATTGCTGTTTAAGCCATTTTTAAATCAGTTTACCTTCTTAGGAATTCTGGAGTGCATACGCCAGACAAAGAAAAAAAACATACGACAAATCGTGGCAATAAAGTTAGGTTTTGCAAAATAGGCAAAATGTTTGGAGTTTGTTTAGTTACGGCGTGATTTAAGTTTTTAACAAAAAAAAAAGGAGTTTACACTCCATTAAAGTTTAAGAAGCTTAAAAGTCATTGGACGAATAAAAATAAAATGTGCAACCTGCTGGCTTACAAAAATATTACGTTATCAGCACAAAATGCGAATGAACTAATAAAAGCACATAATAAACTGGCTTTGCCTCGGCTTCAAATTACCAGAGCGCAGCTCTACTTTTGCAAGACAAACTATAAACGTTATGATTGCGATTATAAATTTAAATTTCTTCTTTTTTTTTTCGCCATAAGCCAAGTCGCGATGACTGCATTGTTCTGGCCTCTCACATGTTCGTTCTGCTTTCCAGAGGCTGTTAAATCATTCTTCGGCCGCTTTAATTGCTCCACAAAGTACAACTGCATTCCTGGCACAGCAACTAAAAGTAGCAACAATTCGATTTGGGACCATTGCGCACCAAATAACCAAAAGATGCCTTGCTGGCGGACTGAACAATCACTTTGCCCAGATCAGTTTCGGTCCGGCCAAGAAAATATATATATATATATATATATACCATATAGATGGCCGGGGCGAGTGTGTGTGCACAGTTGCGGTCAGAAGAAAAGTACGGAGCGGATGGTAGATTTATAAGGTGGAAATTCAATCCGGTCTCGGCGAGAACAGGGAATGGAATACATCTCCTGGATGCTCACGTTATGTGGCTTCCCACTTATGTGTTTACACAGATAAAAAATCGGTATCATTTGATTATTGATTTATTTCGATTTTGTGGGATCACATAAATCATTAAATGATCGATATATGGTTTGTTTAAAAAAACAATAAATATTTGTTGTTAATTTACAATGTGAAGTGAAAAATCTAAGTATAGCTTTTGAGATCCTATCAGGATGATTAGAAAAACCGCCTTTTTTCTTTCTGTGTACATACCCATGTACTAACTTTCTGACCGCAGCTGTACCCGTCCCGCAGCCAGGCCATTAACATTGCTTAATTGAATTAGATTCCGAATGCAGATTATGAGTAGCATCGCATGCTCACTCCGGGACAAGCCGAGTATGGCAGTTGGTAGGGTATAGAACGAATTACGCCGCCACTTCCCGACTCCTACGATCCCATGCAAATGAGTCAGTCCCTCAGTCAGTCCACTCATATAAAAATCGCGTTTTGAAATCCTCATTTATGGCGCACGGCATAAAACTCGGATTCGAAAATATCAAACCCTTGTAATACGCCAACTTAGTGCGGTTCACTGAACCTCGAGTCTAATTAGCTAAGTTTTCGTACAAAAGCGGTTTCTGTAATCTAATTCGATGGCGTCAGCGGCACTTTGCGGACCACGAAACATTTCTGCAGCCGAAAACGACCAGAGACTTGTACATTGGCCATTCGATTCGATTCGAAACGATTGCAATGCATTGCATTGCACTGCATTGCGCCGGTGCAGTATTGGTATTAAAGGCCAACAATTGTGGCATGTCCTAGTGACAGCCTCGCCACAAAATGCACAAAATGCCGGTGCAATAACAGCCACAAGCGACTGCGAGCGTCGTGCCAAAAACGTTGGAGCTGCTGCTTCATTAGTTATGCATTAAGCATACGATATGTTGTACAACCCGGCCACAATGGCCAAAAGGGTACATGGCCTTTATAATGGGCTTTGGGTTGATCGAGGTGTTGCCATTAAGGTACAAGTCCTCCAGACGTGTCTTTCATATTTCCCAGCTATTAGTGAAGCAACATGTAATATCTGAAGACTCTCCAATAATGAAGCATGAAGTGTTGTCCCAAAAAGTTTCAAATGTTAATGTCTATTTAATAGACCACTTAACTCCTACTCTTTATTAAATCGATGTCATCATTATTATTGACTCAATTAAATGCATTGCATATAAACGATTTTTTTTTTAAGTAAGGAACAAAGTAACTTTCACCCATGCTTATGTTTAGTAAATATCATTTTATTTCAATCAATTTTTTTTTACATTATTTTAAAATCAATGTTTTATTTATGCTACGGTTTCTACAAGCAACTCCAGAAAACTCCCCAAAACACAGATCCAGTAATGGAAGTGAAGCACCACTTAAATTTATAATATTGATTTGTAACTCTTTTAATGGCTCGACTTTTAAGTGTAACTAAGTTTCGGTGGCGCAATCGAAGGCACCTTTCCTGTTTTCCAGCATTGGGCTGCTGCAGTCAATCTTTTTGTGGGATGTCCAGCTCCCTGTTAACTGCGTGCAATTCGTGGGGGTTCGTATGTCGCTTAAAAATTTTAATTGCCTTTGCGTGTTTAGAAAACTTACACGTACGTATGTTCTGCGTAGTTTAGCAGCTGACCAAATGCCAGGCAGCTTTCTAGTCGCTGCAGGGGATATGTCTGCAGCGGTGTATTGAAGTCTATTTTCACACTTCCAGCACACGATCGTCAATGATGATTATCGAGGTGGATTAAAATTGAAAGGAATTAAACAAGAAAGTTAGCATTTATTAATATTAACGATTCGTGCACTTCAAAGGAGGCTTCCTTCACAGATTGAAAAAAATTAAATTTACAAAATTTTGAACTTTTATTGAGCCTTTCAAAATGTACAAAACCATTTTATAAACACTGGTTCCAAAAAATATATCTGAGCCCTACATGCAGCAGAAGTGGTATTTATCCTGTTTTTACTTTCCTAAAAAAAAAGTAAGTTGGTTAAATACATAAAATATATAAATAAATAAGAAGTAATTTACCAAAGTGGCCTCTCGAATTGTTGGCGCTGATTTTGGTCCAGACGGCACCAAATTCTAGTTGCCCTTTTTAGCAGTTCATTGGCTGGTAAATAAGAGTTCTTTCTCCGAAAATTGCGTAGAAAGTGTATATATGCACAAGCGGTGCCCAAAGTATTTGAGTTGCGCTTCCGCTTTTGATTTTGGGAATTCCTCACTTTTGACTGGGTATATTTAAGCGAGGTTCTTAAAGATTTCCTTTCACGACTATATGGGGAGCTCCTTTGACTTTGTTCTTTGCGGCTACATCTATCGGGGGTTTCCCTTTTTGACTGATCTTCGCTTTCTTGTGTCGAGGTACTTAAACATTCCTTCTGACGAATATTTGGGGAGCGCCTTTCACGGTGTTTCGGGAGTTTCCTTTTAAAGAGGGTATCCACACCCGACTGATCTTCACTACATGGCGAAGAGCTGGATGTGCTGGGCGTTTGACATTGACTTTTACTTTTCTCTTCATCGGAGGATTCCCTTTTCGACTTTTTAGTAAATGCTTCAGATGGTCTTTTTATAACGATCACAGGTTCCTTCTAATATATTTAAACAATTATTGAAGAAACTATTATTTTATTATTCTTGGTTTGTTTTACCATGTTTTTAAAGCGTTCCTTTTCTTCGGGAGAAAGCTGGTTCCATTGCTTGGCGGCAAAGCGCACCATGTCCTGAGGGGAAATGCCGTAGAATCGTTTCTTGTACTCAGTCAAAAAGTTGAGGTAGCCATTAGGTGAAATGCGCGCTATTTTTTGATACTTGTAAATTGGTGGGCAATGTGCATCTCCCCGCTTTTTCGCCGACATTGTGTGGATTTGTTAAGACCTACAATTTTACTTCTCTAGTCCCAGAATTTACGTCTTTCTCTACCAGAATTATCCAAACACGCACACTGGCAATTTTGACTAAGAAGACTTTCTCCTAGGTGACTTAGTGATGTTGTAAAAAAGTTTTACCAATTTTATAATAATTTACATCTAAGCAGTCGTACTTTTTTGAATCCTAAATATTCTGCGGAGCTCAAAATTGGTAGAAAAAATTTTAAGTAAAATACAAATTATTTTTAACCATTTATTATGGCTTCCTACTGTGCAGTTTGTACCGCCGGTTTCATCCACCTTATCCTTGGAATTTCCCTGTGCTTTTATCAAGCTGCTGATACCTGTTCACCGGCTCCGAATTTGGGAGGTTGGATTTTCTTGGGAGCTCTGATGCTAATGACCACCGACATTAAAATGTATCCCGAGCGTTATAAGCACTTGCCCTGTGCAATACAGTTTCTTGTGGAGACCATAGGATCCTTGGCAATCTTCGAGATCTGCACTTTCGTGGTTTGGTGCACGCTAGAGCGTCTGATTCACCACTTGGTTAGGTTGCTTTTTTTATCGATCGGAATGAGCGATGAGCTGTACCTTGCTCTAGAGTATTGGCTTCTCTTAATACCTACCACGGCTATTGCTGGCTGTCTGTTATTCATTATCAAGATGGCCATTATACCCCGTTTTGATATAAAGTCGGTCTGTGCAAAACAGCAAGTAAAGGTTCATCTGGACAAGGGTGTTTACAGAGACTTGGTTCGTCAAAACAAACAAAATGTTAAGGTGAAATTTCGTTTTAATACAAAGTAAACCCTTTTATTGTCTTGAAAATTGTAGTAAAATTTTACAATAAAATGTAAATATTTAAATCACGGAATAATTTTCTTATAACGGTTTTTTGCGCTTCATAGCACTGGGTTTTGATAAACACGTTAAAGTGACCAGTTGTCTTCTACAAAAATCGATAATGCTAACATCGATAGCTTCGACTGAACATCGAATTGTCCCATCTCTAGCTGCTCTATTTGTTGATATGAACAGCTGAATAATAATCATATTTGGTTAAAAACAATTATGCGATTTAACGCAGCCGCCTTATAGCGCCCGTGCCACGCCCTCTGCGATGCGAACAGGCGACCAAGCCAAGGTGTCGCCACGAATCCTGCAATCGAGAAACCAAGTCGAAGGTTCGGAATAAGTAGTACAAATAAGTCAGTAAATTCCGGGGAAAATACATTAAAATATGTCTACGGAGGAGCATGTGTGGCGAGCACACATCGTGCGACGATTACGCGAACGCAACCGTAAGGAGTGCGACAACTTTAAGGAGATCATCGAGCAAAGTAAGAATTTGGGTCGTCATCGGGGGCAGCGGAACACCAGTCGCACCCCAATGCGCACCAGTTAACCTCCGAATCATCTCTATATTTCATGGTCAAATACTTTAATTGCCCGCATCTTGCAGACAACCGACTGATTGACCATGTGGCGCAACTCAAGGCGGACAACCTTAAGCTGTCCGTGGAAAACGAGCAGCTCCGCAGCGCGGTGTCAACAGGTGGCACCGGTTCCAACGTGGCCATCGCCACCCTCGAAAAGAAGCTGCTCAGTCAGCAGGAAGAACTCACCGACTTGCACAAACGCAAGGGTGAGAACTCCCAGATGATCGTAGACTTGAACCAGAAGGTGGAGCAGCAAAGGATCACGATTTCTGAGAAGGAGCACAGGTAGCTATCAGGATGTGAATGTTTAGAGGTTCGCATGCGCTAAGAAAGTGGAAGAAGACATTTAATCTTATCTATCCAACATTTCCTGTAATTTTAAATATGAATGCAGAAAAGTTTTATAATCAGGTATTTAATCTTAAGACGCTGTTTTTACTGATAGCAAGATTTCAGCATCTCGGAAAATAATTTGTGTAAATTGTAATACTGCGTACCTAATCTTAGCGACTGTGAATAATGTAACATCCTGTATATCGACCTATTTTCCATGCAGTCATTAATTAATCTGTTTTTTAGCCTCGCCGAACAGCAAACGAATAACAATCGATTGCGGGCTGAAGTGCAGTTACTCCACTCAAGTTTGGAGGAACTTAAAAAACTAAACAATACCATGCTGGATGAGCACACAGCGCTTCAATTAGCATTTAGCTCACTCGAGGACAAACTGAGAGGAGTACAAGTAAGTGGTCAAGGTTGCTCACATATGTGTTTATACGGATTATTTTTAAGATCAGTACGGCATTGAATTAGTTGAATTTTTAAAAACGCTTGATTATATTTGTTTATTGTTCATTAAAATTCTGCGTAACTTACAAATTGGGAAGTGTTTTTGTAAGTTGTAAAAAGACAGTTTAAAATCATAAACCATAACCATACCTAACAGAGTTTGGGAATATTCGACAAAGTGTTGATCCCACCATTGTGTTTTGAATCATTTTATGCAAGTTGTTCTTGCTCATTAAGTAGCACACATAAATTAATCTTAGACTTTGTTTTTTCAATGATGTGTATAATATATTTTTATTGGTACTTAGTTGAGGCTTCCGAATCCAATTGAAAAAGTGTTTTTGTACGGTATTTGGTTCGTGCATGCCGATAAATATACTGCAGATGGCTCGAACCGTTCGTTATGCCTCGTATACGCATGGGAAAAGCTTGCTATCTTTTCGATTTCGATCCAGTAGCATATTAGCGTTCAACGCGGAAAACAGCTTACAACGGCGCTAAATATTTGCTTATATTCAAAATATGAAGAAGCGTCTACTAAAAAGCTTTTCGTTCTCTGTTGATTCACAGGACGAAAATCGGCGTTTACTGGAGCGGCTAATGCAATATAAGTCAAAGGATGCCGACAAGTTGAATGAGGAAAACGAGAGCATAATAAGGTAGGTTTTTTGAAAATAAATTCATTTTAACCCTATTATCATGCAAAACATAACGATTAATATTACTTATCTCTTCGAACATTAATATACATGTATATAAATGCATTCTAGTAACAAGATAGGTATGGAGATACATATAAAATAGTTAATCGCGAAGCTTATCTAATGCTTATAAAAGAGTTTGATAAAAAATCCCATGTAAACTGTTAACATATACATACAGATTAAACGATGTTTTTATGGATAAGGCAGCTTTTTGATAACATTACATATGAAACAAGCCGAAAAGGATTTTTATTAATATTCGGATAAAGTTTTATCTATTTCTTACCATGTTATGGTAAGAGATAGTAACAAAAATGCTCCCATGTAAGTGTTTTTGAAACGTGCAGAATAGGAATTAAATAAGATGTTTACCATGTATCCTCCAAGAGTTATGAGTTTAATTAAATATGAACGCAAGGTTATAAGTTTTGTTTAGTTCCAGGGCATGTATATTTAGTTATTATCTTAATACCCGATTAGAGATTACAGTGCCCATCCACCTGACCGCTGATCACCTAGTTGTGTTAATAAAACCACTTTATTGCCCACCCACCAAACGTCATGCAAGCAAGTTAACTGAAATATGCGGAGCACGGGAACTACCAATACGTAAAGGTTAACGGAAAACTACACAAACTGCATGTAACCAATATTTACATATATTTTTTATACTAACACTTTAACATACGCCAAGGAGTAGAACGGACCATTTAGACGAAATATAATCGATTGTGTCATTCATTCTGATTTGCTCCTTTTATTTTTGGTTTAATATAAATGTATAACCGTTTTTGAACATATCTAGAAAAAGACTGCCGTCAATTTTCAGGAAACGTTCGGCCAAACTGAAACGTGACTTGGAAGACGCGGTCCGTGAGCCCGGCACGTCCACGAATACCGCATCTTCGCCCGGTGCAGCGTCCTTGCAGCGCAACTCCAGTCCCGCCCAGTTCGTTGGGGGTCTCATCGGGGACGAGGACTTCGACGAGGCGACGATAAATGGCGCCATGGAAGCCATAGGTCTCGATGATAATGAATATATTAGCGCTCGTTTTACAGCAGGCGAGGTCTGTGAGAACTCCCGAACGTCTATCGACACTCTAAAGGCCACGGGCTACTTGGGTCAGGCCAATCCGACCAAGATCCTTATGAAATTCGAGGCGCACGAAAACGAGTCGCACGCGGTGCGCTGGAGTCCCGTGGAGCGCATGGTGGCCACCGGTGGCGCCGATCGCAAAGTCAAACTTTGGGATATTGGCAAAAGTAAGTGGACTTTTATTGAGCACACAAAAACATGTACCTTGTACATGTACGTTGTTTATGATGAATTCAATGAATGAATTAATCGCTTTATTTCTGCTAATTTGAATATGTATTTTCAGATTCCACTGAGCCACGAGCTGTTTTGAGTGGGAGCAGTGCAGGGATTAATTCCGTAGACTTTGATTCAACAGGTGCCTATATATTGGGCACCTCAAATGATTACGGTGCCAGAGTATGGACGGTGATAGACAATCGGCTAAGAGTAAGTGAAATTTGCCCTATTATTAAATAAATAAGCTGTTTTGAAAACGAATATTTTCAAAAAGCATCAGTGTACTATGTTTTGTTTTATCTAAACAATACCAAAACATCGTATATTAAATTGATATACGATATACAAAGGTTTTTTTTTTCAATTCGACGAGTCTACACTCTATTTACTTTTGTTAAATGCGTATTAGGTTTTTGCAAGGGTCATCGAACCGGTTGCATTTCTATTTACTTCTTGAACTTAATTCTTTGAAAACATTTTTAGTTAAATAACTATACCTATTTACTAATTCACTTAAAAACAGATGTAAACATAGGAAGGTAATAATTTAGAAGAATTAATAGGTTCTTGCTAAACGATCATACTTGTGGTAATTAGTCTACACCAGAGTGGGCATAACAATACTTTCCTTTTCTATCGTTGCTCCAAGAAGATTAAAATACGGACTTCTTTGATGCCTTGATTTATAAAGAATTTTCAGCCCTCGTGATATTCTCTTTCGCCTTTGTTTACTCATCTTGGTACGTACATATGTGCACACACATTCATACCAATGTCAATGTTTATAAATAAATTTTGCATGTTTGCCGCTTTCTAACTCGGAAAAAAGGCGAAAAGTAAACAAGTAAACATTACAGAGACGCTGATGGCAAACAAAAGTGTTTACTGATATAGTAAATAAAGCACTTTAACTATGATATACGCGTATGCTGGTTCTGTCCACCTAAGAATACTACCTAAGAATAATTCAAGATGTGATTTCATGCCTTGACAAGGCATTCCAGAAAGGGTAATGGTGGAACCAACTGGGGTCAGTCTGTTTTAGGAGATACGTAAATATACATATGTATTTAAATGGAATGGTTATTCGAAATGGGATTACTCTCCTCTTTCTTGTTTCTTGCTTTTATTAGCAATTAGCAACATAAAGCCAATTACAGAGGCTTGTTGTTCTCTAATAATAAAAAATTATTTACTTGGTTAGATTATACTATGCATCCATGTTTCTAAACATTTATAGACCCGTTTATGGTTCTTGAGTGTTATCGAAAATCAATTTCCATTGACGGTCATAAATAAAAGTTGTCTATGAAAGCTAAAAGGGGGAAAACTAGCCAATACACTGGCGGCGGTTGGCCTGAATTGCAGCAGAACAATCTTTCTTACCCCAAGGTTCATCTCTCGCCTGGTCAGGCGAGATCCGCAACTTCATCCATTTATGCTGCACATCGTCAACATGCGAATAAACATACAAGTGCAGTTCTTCCTGCTTTTCTCCGCCAGCTCCATCCGTGTGATACACCGACTCTTTTCTTCTAACTGGTATTTCTGGATTGACATTTAAACGGTTCTTTTGCGCACAACTGGAAACTGTAACTGAAGAATAGCGCCGCTGAGCTGCAGCATTAAAATGAGCACACTGACTTGTACGGCCTCTGGCCACAATGCGATCAAACAGTCAACTGATTGCCAAGTTATCATCATTAATATCTGCGATTCTTCTTACTATTCGTGCTCAAACTTTTCACACACCCCAAACCTGAGAGCTTTTTGTGGGAGCATTTTCATTCGTCGAAAACTCAGCTTCAGGCGAAAAATTCCAGGCAATATGAGAAAAATTTGAAATTTAGTTATGTTTGATCAACAACGTTTTTTTTTCCTTTTAATATGTTCATATAAACTACATAGTATTACCTGTTTGTAATTTCTAATTATAATTGAATCGTTCCTTTTATGATAGTCTTAGGTGTTAGCGTTATTTATGCTCCTGTCATATTAGGCCTCTGCAATATGTCATCCATTAAAAATGTTTCCTTTAATTTATGACTCTCGAAAAGAGGACATTTCCACCTTGGCTACCAGGCAGGCTTCCCGATAAAACGCAGAGTGGCTTGCAGAATTTTAAATCCACCGGTTTGTGGACAACACGTTTTTTAAAGCCAAATAAAAACCGCGCGCTCGGTTCAAATTAGACGGTTTAAGAGAACATTTCAATCCGTGTTATTAGTTAGAAACCGGCCTCTTGAACAGGCCATGAAGCGTAGGCTCTTTCTTCGGCTCAAAGACGCTCTTCTCTCCAATTCTCCGCTCTGAAATTCTCCACTCGGGGGGTGCTCCAGTCAAACATGTTTGAGTTATCGCCGCCGAAAGAAGGAGGCAGTGGTCGGCGTTTCAAGCCACACTGCGCGTACATTGACCGTTCGACTTGACCGGTTGCCGGTTGAAAATCGGAGCCTCTTTAATTAAGAGAAAAAATCTTTTTTCATACCCATAAGCCCAGCCCCACGGAACGGCTTTTGCTTTGAAATTAGTAAAAGACGTTTATTTTTTATTTAATAGGTTAAACGGCAGCCCTCAATTCGCCACTCTTGCATTGCCAATCTGTTCATTCGATTTATAGTCGACTTCGTTACTTCTGCATTTAAAAGGCTTGTGGTGAATTTATGTAACTGCTGACAGCTTTATTCAAATCACATAAATCAACAATTTGCTGGATCCCCAGGAAGCGTTTTTATCTTATCTGGTTTCTTGTTCTCTACAATTAGGCATCTTGGTTGGAAGATAAATAATCTTGAATTTACAGTTCTCTTAGCGAGAATCCGAGTTTTAAATGTCAATGACTTTAATTCATATGGCCCTGCGTTGAGGAATACTGTGAGATGACAGTAGGAACTCCGAAATATGTCCCACCATGCGACCTATGCCAATAAATTCTATGTGGCAGTTATGCGTGGTGCTTTAGATCCTTGTTTATAACGCCGTAATTAAATGTCTCGAGTCTCTTTAATGTCTGCGGACACTTTTTAATTACACGCCGTTCTAGCGAAAGGTACTTAGCCCGAGTAATTAGCCGGTTTCTAATGGAGGGTTCGTATGCAATGCCTGAAAAGGTGTTGGCGGTCGTACTTCTGGCCAAGTGGTCTTTGTTATTATTATTGTTTCTCTTCTCTTTGTTACGCTACCTACTAAGATTCTGTGTCGAGATCTTTGTACAATGATGTTGCCCTGTAACGCAACTCTGTGCTAACTGTTTGTTTGGAATTCTTGACTATTGAAGCACACGCTGACGGGTCACAGTGGCAAAGTGATGGCCGCCAAATATGTCCAAGAGCCCATTAAAGTGGTGACCGGAAGCCATGATCGCACTCTGAAGATCTGGGATTTGCGCAGCATCGCCTGCATAGAGACGAAATTCGCCGGATCGAGTTGCAACGATCTCGTCACCACCGACAGCCTGGGATCAACGATTATCAGCGGGCATTACGATAAGAAGATCCGGTTCTGGGACATTCGTACCGAGAAGCAGGCAGATGATGTCTTGATGCCAGCCAAAATCACCTCCTTGGATTTGTCAAAAGGCGAGTGATTAAGTTTCACACTTTACCGGCTTCTTACTTAATCTCTTCCACAGATTGTAATTACCTCATATGCTCTGTAAGAGACGATACTATTAAATTATTAGATTTACGCAAAAATCAAGTTATATCCACGTTTACGTAAGTAGTTTTTTTCTAGTCTAAAGCCGGATAATACGAATTATGTTGTTTTTACGAACAGAAACGAACACTTTAAAATCAGCTGTGATTTTGCTCGAGCTTCTTTCAACTCGAGCGGCCTAAAGATTGCATGTGGATCGGCGGATGGCGCTATATATATTTGGAATGTGAATGGTTTCCTAGAAGCCACTCTCAAGGGACACAGGTAATAAAACCATAATTGTTTGTTTTATTGCAAGCTCTGCTCAGAGATCATAAAAGATAAATACCTCGAAAACAAATCCCCGAGCAAGTAATTGCTTGCACTTATGTTCATGGTCCAGCCTTTGGATCCCTAAATCTGTAACAACTTTGCTCTTATTTCGCAGCACTGCGGTAAATGCGGTCAGCTGGAGTCCCAACAATAATTCGCTGGCTTCCGTTGGCAAGAACAAACGATGCATCATATATTCGGATTCATAACCCTAATTGTTGCCATAAACGTCAGTCAGTTCCATTTTACTGAAACGCTTGTAGTCAGAGCTGTAATCAATAACGGCCATGCGGAGTCTGCTGTAAATAGTAAATTCGGTTGGCGAATGGTCAAGGTAAATCCAGTGCCGACTGTTTTATTAATTTTATTTGATTATTTTATTTATACCTAAAACAACAACGGATATAGTATACAAATTGTATCAATTCATATATAAATCTAAGTACATGTTTTCCTATTGTAAAAAATAAAACATATATATACGGGGTTGCATATACGACCAATCTTAAAGGAAATTGGTATTTATATAAAAGATCTCTTTATCTCTTTTCATTCACGATTATTTAAGAGTGGCTTCTAAAAATAGGTTTTTAACAAAAAGAATTGCCACAGTCAAAATTCTTTGCTAAGTGACCGCTTGACTTCACGACAAATAACAGACTCGCTGAATAGAAATTAAATTGGGGCAATCTCATAATTCTTCGGAGCGGCCTTCAGTCTTTATATGAAAACCAGTTACCTTATGTGACATCTCAATATATGCTTTTTCTTTCACCAGCACCTGTATTTAGCTAGAAAAGAATGCACGCCGATTTCAGACAATAATGCTCAGCCAACAAAACTTCTTATGCATCCTTCGTCGAACGTGATGCATTTTAATTTCTGCATATGTGATCAATTCTTAGCACGAACGTTGTGCCATTGGCGAACACATCCAATTATTTCGTGTGCTATGCTGACGGAGCACAATCGACACTGGGAATCTCTAATTGAGCGAGGAAAATAACCACGGCACCATCATTACAAATCTAACGTACATTCATTTTTATCGCCTTGCATGCGTGCTTTAATTAAGAATCTTTTCAGATTATGCCTCGAAAACAACTACAACTTAGCGTTAAGTACCGCCATACGATCTAAAATCTTGTGGCGCTCTTAAGTACTCGTATTTGTACTTGAGGTAGTGTCGTTGAAGGCGCATTGCTAAGTAAATTAATTGAGAGGAATCCAGTCATCCAGAGTAGGACCGAGTGACGGGCAGACGATTGGACAGGGACAGGAGTCACTTTCCCGTATGCGAGAGCGTTCCTCCAGCAGATAAAGATACAAATCTGCACGAAGCCTGTTTCCTGTTGTGCTGAGGGTGCATTTATTTGCATGATTCACACAAGCGTCGAGGCTAACGATACTTATACAGCTGCTGGATGGTCGTACAGGTGTACGCCATCACCATCGCCATCGCCATGCTCTATGCTCGAAGTTCCAAACTCCAAGCCCCAAACTCCATACTCCATGCTCCATACTCCATGCGCCATAATGAAGATGGGACGTCGAGGCGCTGGGAAAACTTACGAAAACAAGCACGACATTTGGACCTTTCTGCCGCCTCTCTGCCCACATCGAAAAGTGAATCGGTGCCTTCCCTTCCTCGTTTTTGTGCTTAGGATTTGGATTCTGGCGAGTGTGTCGTGCATTTTGGGCGACTCTAAGTGAGCATGTTCCTGGAAGCCCTCGAGTCGCTTTTACAGTTGGATGCATTTTAAGTTTTATTGAAGTATAAATAATAATTCGCAGGTGTCTGCATTCCGACTCCAATTCGCACAGTTTGTTATGCGTGGGTAAAAGGCTAGGCAGTCAGACTTTTGTTCATCCATTCCCATATAGTATATACGAATATGTTTATATGGTGCTCCAAATGCAAGCAGTAAAAATGTTAATATATTATTGCTTTATTTCCCCCATAGAAAGTTCATTTCCATATATGTTTATTCCACGAGCATTTTGTTCCGTAACAAGAAACTCGTAGCCCAACCGCCAAAAGAGAACACAACGATTGAAATTCATTAAAAATCTTAATCTTTAATAATAATAAGATGAGTTTCGTTCCATAAAATTAAAGGGTCCAATGCAAACATTAAACTGTCATTGATATGTAATAAATTAAAGTGCTTAACTAAACTAAGTCGCATTCGATACAGATGATGAAGTATTAATTCGAGAAGGTAAATGTAATATGTATTAGTTTTTACAAATGTCAACCATTTTACTTCCGAAGTCACAAAAGAAGTTCAAGGCAGGTGTCGAACTTCCTTTACAAGTAGGGAGTCTGTCTGTTACAAGAATACACAAACCTTACACAAGTGTTTTCAAAACGCCATGGCTGCAATGCAAACAATCTGAATTCCACCGAACGAGACACATATAATTTCATTTTCTCTAAAATCGTGCACTGACTAGATAAGGCAAATAGCGGACGTTGTATCAGGACGACGGGTATTCGTAGCAGTTAATTAGCATAACTTTGCGTAAATATTGATTGCACCTTTTGAAGCTTAGACGTTAGTGTTGTAATGTAAAAGAATATGCGATTCTGTTTAGTACGAATGCTGATACGGCTGAAGTTTCTGGCGACGTTGGTAGCAATAGGTCCAAATCGCGATCACCGCCAACTGAGTTAGCAGGAAAATAGTGGCAGCTGTAATAAGTCCTATTTGAGAGGAAAGAGACACAACAAAATTACTTGTTAGTTATGCTCGTATGTTAGGTCATTAATCAAGTCTCTGTGCAACTGGCAAATTGGCTGTTTAAAGGTTTTTTATGGCCATGAAAGCGCACTTACCAATTGCGTTAACGCAGAATCCATGCCCCTCTTCGTTGGCAGTGAATGTGGTTTCATTTCCGTCATAATAATCTCCGCTTTCTTGCTTATCTTGCTTGAATCCGAATTTGTCCGTTATCTGAATGGATTGGACCAGCAGCATGTCGCTAGGAGTGGATTTCTTTGAAGTGTCTATATCGCGACGTGGTCTTGGATGATCATCTGTTTACGAAGAGTTAATATTCACGTGCAAAGAGAAAAGTTTTAATAAAGTAGGGCAAAAATACGAGATAAAATTACTGCTTAAATATAAAGTATGGAGACTCACCTGTGGTGTTGAGTGATCTGCGCTTTCGGCCATAGGATAGCAAGGACCTGAATTCACCGCTGGTGTCTTCCTGTTCGCACTGGACTGGCTCACAACTTGGCATGCAAGGTGTAACCAAGGCACGGAACTGGACCACTTCGCTGGAGGGGAACTTGAAGGCATCGAAGTTGGAGAGCAGAACCTTGCCGGAAACCGATCCCTTGTAAATTGGCCCCATTATAAAGTGGTCAGTCGGGCAGCCATTTGAATCAATTAAGGTAATTTCCGAGTTATCCACGCCATCCATGGCAACCAACTCCCGAATGAATATCTCGTAGGGGCTCTGCTCGTCGACGATTTCGAACTTCAGGGCGAGCGGATCGCCAACCTCGGCCGAACGCATCATATCGGAGCCATCCCGAGAGGTAATCCGCATGATAACATTGGGCGACTCCACAATTACCTCCTCCGAAAGTGCCGGCACGATATCCCCGCGCACATCCAGGTCGACGCCGTTGGTAACCGACTTGTTGGTCAGATCGTACTGACAGGCCAAGGCCAAACCCAAATCGGAGGATGTCACAATCATGTCATGGTGCTGGATAATTATGTCGTTCACATAGCGGCCAGCGGTGCTCTGTCGCACGTTGCACTCCAGATCGTGATAGTTCATCCGCAGCTCGAAGTCCAGGGCACTCTTCACGTCCACCGAGCAGGACTTGGGCGATCCCTTGGCGTAGACCTTTCCGTTGAACAGCTTCGAGGTGCGGATACGTGCCAACATGTCGCCACCGCCGCACTCGATGGTCACATTGTAGCAGGAAGTCAGTTCGTAGGTCGAGGCCTCGGGCACCTCCAGGAATGGTTCCTGCACATCGGCCAGAGTGGCACGACTGTGGTGGGATAATCTGCACACCATATCGCCAGTATCGTTGTAGTCGTACGAGTGGCACCTAAGCAGATGAAAATCATAGAGAAAATAGTAGGGTTAACACAATTTCACTTACATTAACATTTTATTAAGTTTTCAACATTTTCACCATTGCTTTCACTGTGCGAAGTGAGAACTTACACTTTCTAGTTTAGTGATACTAGAAATGAATATTCTACTGCATTCAGTTTTAATGATGTTTTTGATTTGATGTATTTATGTTGATTCCCCTTTTATGATAACATAAACAGGGGCTCTATAAAACCTTCAAACTTAACTATAGAACTACCTTCTCAAGTCTTGCCTGATCTTTATTATAGTTTCTATTCATAGTAGCACATGTTACCAACCTGTAAGGCGAATTAAGGCACAGTTCCCGGCACTCGTCAATACTGCTGACTTCTTGGTAAACAGAGTCCACCGTCTTCAAAATGCGACCAGGTAGACGTTTGAATTCGCAGAGCTTATTGGGTTCGTCGACACAGTGGTTTTCAAGGTAATCGGACCCTTCGTTCGTCTGGAAAGCATTGGAGCCGGCTAACGTTAACCGATCCAGCTCGCTCAGCTCGCAGGCTCCGGAGACACGATCATAGTTCGCAGATCTATATAGATCACATAAAAAGACAATAAAAAGGCACCAGTTAAGCAAGCGATAATTGGGCACATCGGATGGTATCCGTTCAGCACAAAAGGGCTGAACCCCAAGCCAAATAAACAATTTCTTGCTGTTTGGACTGTGGAAAGTAGATAGAGTGGATTTCGCACCGTACCCCTAAATGTTCTTACCTGCATGTGAATTCGGTCTCGCTTAGGCAAAGTTCAAAGCACTCGCGTCTTGACGCCACCGACACGGTACGCTTAACTTCCGTCTTGAGCTTGTAATTTTGAACACGATCGACATACCAGGCTCGCGAACAGGGCTTTACGGAGAGGCATGATTTTTGGGCATAGATTGTGAACACGGGGAACTGCGACTTTGTTAGGGCACCTGCGCAATGGCAATAGCAATAGCGATTGTGATTAAAATAAGAGCTGGTTTGTTTAGAGCGGTAAGTAGCTTACCCGGTAATTGATCAGCATGTGCTGAAAACAGCACGCAAAGCCCGGTCTCATAGTTTACTGACTGGCAAGTTTTGTTCTTCCTACAGGTGTCTAGGCAATCAGTGAGCATTAAAGTGCCCGGCTGGGAATCCATCAGCTTCTCGGGAGCCGAGAACACGTATCTAACGAAGGACTTATTAGATAATTACCCGGCCATCGTAAGCCATCATTACTTACCCGGTCACAATTTCGAAGCCCACCAGCTCGGGATCGCAATCCACTGGGGCATTTTCGTAGTAGATACTGTCCTCCTCGGAACCCAGAGGACTGGATGAATCCGAAGAGGCTGGCAAATCGAAGGCCGAGTTGCGGGTCTCAACCGTTTCAATTGGCCTCTCAGTATTATTGATCTCGGTTGGTTTGGCTTTTGAGCCGGGAAGTTCTGTCTTATCCTCGATTTCTTCGGAGGCAATTATTTTACTGGCATTCGGAGGTGCCGCCGTAACGGACTCCGCAGCTTGTCTTCGGATTCGCAGATGTTCCTTGGCCGTTGCCACGCTATATAGCATTAAAGCTAGGATAAGGTGTCTTAAAAGGTTTATCTTGGCCATCTTGTAAGTATCACTGGGGCCTGCAAATGAATTTTAAATCTGTATGAGATACTCTTCAACCTAATCCATTTCCTATTTCCATAAAATCGTAATCAAAATGTCAAGAAAATAGATTTAAAGCCCTAATTCTTAACGACCAAATAAAAAACTGCACTAACCTATAAAAATCTTTATCTCCTCCTTCCAAATAAATATAAAATTTAATTTAATTGCCAGGCAATCCTCTTTACGATCTTTGCTTATTAATAATAATACAGATAAAGCGCGGTAAATTGACTACGCAGGTACTGTCTCAATCTTTTCAAATTAATTTGTTTGCCATAAGGCGTAACGCGAATTATAAAGTCCCCTAGGGAGAAGCATTATCACGGCCAGTAACTCCGTTGAGGAAGGGAAACGGAGCTCACGTCGATGACCCCGTGCACTATTCACCAGTATTCGCTTGGATTTTTCTGGTTCGCTGAGTTAAACTCTTGCGCAACTGCCAAGTTAATGGGCATCGCTTATGATTGACGGTTGCGCTGGAAAGACCATCAAGGGGTCATGAGCTCTAATTTTTCGCCAAGTACCGAATACCATGTAGAACTGGCCCGGCGTAGGCTGGTCCTATTTTAGCCATGGCGCAAAAGGGAATGCACAATTTGGAAAATTATTAATACAAATACCGGACTCGGGACAATTCAATTATTGAAAAGAATATTATTAGGAGGGCAGTGCATTTGATTTTAAGCAGCGTAATTGCTATTGGCCAAATCCACTTGAAGCATGACTTATTAACATTATAACTGTATTACTGAATTATATATACCATACTATACATCCGCAGGCCGTCGGACTTGATAGCTTTACAGTTATTCCATGTGAGTTCTCATGAATATCCATGTGTGCAGAAAAAGTTTTGAGTAAATAGATACGGATAGTTAGAAGTATAAGAAACGCATGACTGCCGACCCACCAGACACACTAATCCTCTGTGGCGACGACGTCGGTTCCACCCAAAACCGAAGATCTGTTGGCATTGTGAATTCCTATTCTACTAAAAGTTGGTGTATGATATACACACACAAACCGTTAATAATATGAATCATAAACCCTGCACCGGTCAAAACTAGCCGTAACTTAATTAGAGATAAAATGCTTGAAAGACTTTTGAATGTTTTCCTTTCCACATTTGATTCTGGCTTAAAAAGTATGGAAAAACGTCGGGGTCTGGTGCACATGATCATAGCAGCCAGCACCAACAGCAGAACCAGCAACAAAACCAGCAGTGCCATGTAAAGAATGGCCACTCAGGAAGCTGCATTATAACGAGTCCATGACCATGTTATTGTACAAAAATCTTGTAGAAAGCGGCAGAAGAATTGGGTCAATGATTATCGTCAAAAAGTTGTTTTGCCGTGCATAGACATATGTATGGGTTGCTGCGCCCGCAGCGATCAGGTCGAACCCAAACCCAAACTGAAACCCACAAGCCAACCGGTATTATGGACACCCGAAGGAAATAGCACCGCCTAACTGTGTCGCTGATCACAATCGATTAGTGCGAACAGTCATTTATTGCCTAAATTACTGTTAAATGATGGTCGATCTTCGGGCCGAGAATTTCGGGTCCCGCTAAACGTTTTCATGCCGGAGATGTTTTGGTTGTGGGGAATCCAAGCGGATAATAATGCATCTCTCACCTTGTACCACTATCTGATTTCCTCAAATCTAATGAGCGATGATTACATATAGTATGTGTGTTGCCCAAAAAACTTTTAAGTGCTGGTTCCGCTCATGGGGCAAGATCCCAATTAATTGTGGGATATAATCAAACTTAAGAACAAATTGAATTTTAATCTCACCTTTCCGTTTAAATTATTATACTTATTTTTGATATTTAGGTCTTTTGGTACATTTTGGTGTACTTTTGTTAGATATTTCAGTTGTACTTAAAATGGGACAGGTTACTCAGATGGTAACAAAGTAATGTGTTCGTAGATACAAAGAGTAGGTATAATTATGACAATACTTCTCTTGTTCGACTCTTCAATAATAATTGGAGCAGTTTTATTCAATAACGATCCCCGAGCATGTGCACAAAGTCGATTTTTCAATCAAATAAACACATCACAAAACGCTTTTCAGATCACTGTTTGGGCCAATCAGCACTTGTTAACTGTTTAGCACTTTCGAATTTTTCTTTTATTTTACTGATGCGGTAAACTGGGCTTTATCCCTCCTTTAATGGTTCTTTTATTGTTTCCGAAAGAGTCTACACCTATTCTGACCGACTTCGAATCCATTCACATTCAGCCTATTTCCAGATGCATGATGTAATTAAAAGGTCTACCAGTCTGTCGAAAAGTCAATAGAAATCTGAGTTCCAGAGGAACCGCCAAAAAAAAAAACTTTCACCATTCTGAATGTGTTAATGACTTCATTTCTTCGGTCGCAAAAATACTGCCATATTTAACGGTAGATATCACACTGTTAAATTAATTTTCCATTTGGCGAAATTTTGAATATGGCCAATTACAGATTCGTGGGATAATCAAGAGACTAACGAACGTACGAACCACTGAGTTAATGGGTAGCATTTAAATTCCTATGGTTTTGCAATTTCAGCCTATTAGGCGTGCATATTTGCTGAAATATTTACTCCATTATGGCCGAGAAGACCATACCCAGTCACGTCATCCGTCACGTCGGTCTGCAAGCCATTCCAAAACGGACGTCCTAATGTTCGCTAATGTTTTGACGGAAGCTGCAGACATTGGCATCGTGGAGCATGCTATATAACATGGGGCCTTTTGCATTTTACACACAAGACACTGTCTTCTTGTTTCGTGCGTTTTTGCACCAGCAGAAGCCTCTGTTCTTCGGTCTTTCAGTTCACTTATTCAGAATGATTGTCTCCGTTTTTTCAATGCTGGCATAGTCATCCGTCAGCTTGATCACTGCCGTTTAAATAAACCGGTTAACATTTTTTCAGATTTTTCTTAGTTATTCTTTAGTCGGTGCAGGAGATGCATCTCTGTATAGCGGTTCGGCTCGAGGTAAAAACTAATCTAAACTATGAAATAATATCTATTTCAGGCACTTCTTGTAAATATGGCTTTAATCCCCCTGGTATTTCGTGAATATTACTTTTCCAAACAATTACCTAATTAACAAGTTATCTTTATAGTCTATCCCGAAGTCGGAATTTCAGCTTAGTCACACTGAAACAAAACACTTTCGCAGCCCAAAACAATTCGATCGCACTGAGGACAAAGGAAACGCCGAACTTGACCATACGATGGTCGCCGCAGAACTGAAGTCTTCAATGCCGCCGAGTGACTTGTTATAAAAATTAGATAAAGAAGTTCTGTGGGAGCTGGCTGGTTTGTTGTCTTCCGAGAGACGGAGAAGAAAGACCAGGCCGGGCCAACCTGCAAGAGAGCGGGACGCAGCAGTTCGGAATTCTTACAAAAGAAAGTCTCGGGGCCATGGCAATGGAAGTGCTGGATGGTGGATGGTGGACGGTGGATGCTTCGAGCCGAGAGAACAGCCAACAAAAAGAAATTGTTTGCATGGTAAATAGCCAGGCCAGACTCGATACGAAGTCGTATCACCTGTACGAGATCTCTACACGGCGAACTCAAACGTGTTCGGATTGCAACTGGGGAGTAATTGCGGTCAACGATCGAGAACAATGTGCACCTGTTTTCTCTCTTTCGGCTCTCTTTGCATGTTAACAACATACCATATACTCGTATATTCAGTCGAGTTTCCACTAATAATTTTCTTATGGCCCTGTTAACGCCGTGGGCCTGCGAGACCTACGCGTAAAAGCTGGGCGTAATAATGGGTTTTGGCTTATAACTGTCGCTTGCGTTTTTACTATTTTTCACTTTCACTAATAAGGTAGATACACCGCACCACGTGAAATCGTTTGTCACCCATTTTCTCTCATTCTAGCTGCAGACGGCTAATCGGCTTAAATTAAATCTACCGAAACATTTTGTGTGGGTTTAGGTTTCTGTGTTTACTTTTACTCAATTCGGAGATCCCATCCTACGGCGGAGATCAATGGTATCTGCCGATCTCGAATAGCCCACTTTATTGGCAAAGACAGTCGCAGATAGACGCTGAGCTAACATCCAGCGCTTTCAAAGTGGATATGTAAAACTAGAATGGCCCATCAAACGGTGTTTGATTTCCAAATTTATGGGTCAAGCCAATGCAAATCAGTTTTCGAGTCCGTTCTTCAAGAAGCGGGTCGTGCTTTGATAACAAATTGGGCAAACAATGAATGTGGGGAGACCCAATTTGGCCATTAATTCTTTTCAGATGATATAGACGCAAATGTGTCAAAATAAAAAAACCAAGTCGATCGAAGAAAGCCCTAAATAATTTTACCGGTTTTTGAATGAATCATAGCAGATTCCAGACTATCTCCTCGAACCGTTTACCTTTTATTATAAGCATTTTCTCTGGTAATAACCAAAGTGGGTATTGACTATTCGACTATTTGGAGGATAATCCAACTGAATGGTAATGATTAACTGTCTCTAGTTTGATCAAATAAATGAACTAAAGATTTCACTTATATCATTTCTCTCTTGGCATTTGATTCACCTATTACGAACTTTTATAACTCTGGTTCTTAATAACTTACAGCACGAACGTTTAGTTCCATTCTGTCGGCGCAACTTAAATCTTCTCGGGTAGACAGTAATGAGATAAGCGTAACTTCTTCCTAATTACAAAATAATGGGCACTTATTGAAATGCTTTTTCTCATTATTTGTTCACGTTCTTTTGTACTTAAAAGTCTGTTCTAAAAGCCGCACATTCCTACTGTATTACGATCCTTTCACCGTCTAACTGCAAATGATGTACAAGTTCATGTGGATAATAAACGTCTTATTTTTTTCCTTTTGTCTATGTCTGGAGAATCGACCAGATCCACGTATCGTCGGCGGATTTCCAGCTGATATTGCCAACATCCCCTACATAGTATCCATACAATTGTTTGGTATCCACCACTGTGGTGGCTCAATAATTAACAACCATACAATCCTAACGGCTGCCCATTGCCTCGCGGGAGTTTCGCCTCGTCTGCTGAAAGTCAAGGTGGGTGGAATTTCTCGATATCGCAAAGATGGGGAAATATTCTCGGTTGCCGATCTACACACCCATGAAAAGTACAATGCCAAGACCATGGACTATGATATTGGAGTACTACGTCTAACCAAAAACCTGACTTTGTCCAATAAGGTTCGAATTACTTCGGATTTGTAATGGTCATTTTGATCTAAACAGCTTTCTTTTTTAGGTACGAGTTATTCCCATAAACCCTAATAGAGTAGCCGATGGTACTTATGCCACTATTGCCGGATGGGGGTTCAAGTCCATGAATGGTCCCCCATCGGATAGTCTAAGATATGCCCGAGTTCCAATTGTAAATCAGACTGCCTGCAGAAAGTTTTTGGGTAAAGGTGTGACAGATAGGATGCTCTGTGCAGGATATCTTCGTGGAGGTACGGATTCCTGTCAAATGGACTCGGGAGGACCTTTGTCAGTAAGAGAACAACTGGTAGGCATTGTTTCCTGGGGAGTTGGCTGCGCCTTGGCCGATAAACCGGGAGTTTATTCGAGACTTGATGCATTGTACCCATGGTTAAACAAGCTCCTAAACAAACTAAACTAGTAAAAAAAACTTGAGTTTTACACACAACGCACATCCGCAGTCAAAATACCTTCAAGAATATGCTTTCACCTTTATAGTGAGTTAATTTAATAGGGATCGTTAAAACATCAAAATGAATACTATGGGAGTCTTAACATGGCAGCTACAGTCGATTAGAAATCGCGGAAAAACAGGTGACTCTAAGTCCATAACTTTTTTCATTTTGATCCGATTTAGACGGGCATATCCCTAATCGCTTGTAATTAAAATCCACAAACAACTGCATCGTTAGTTAAATTTTTATTTTTTGGCCTACTTTTTTCAGTTTTTATGATGTTATCAAATTTCAGGACTTCTAAGTCCATGACTTTTTTAATGTTGATCCGATTAAGAAGGCATACCTCTAAAATTTTGTAATTTAATTCCACAAACTTAAAAAAATGTAATTCTTTTTGTGCAATAAGTGTTTTTACTTATATTTTTAAAATGCAACTAACTTCTATAATGGAAAACAATAAATTAAAAAAAAAAACAGTAAGACCATGCTTGAAGAACTGTAGTCATACAAGCGATTGGGTATGTTATTTGGCTTTAACAGCAGCCACACTGGTCAAAACAAAATATCAAAATAAAAACAATGGACCTGCAATTCGATAGTGAGACCTATTGGAACCGATCCTCCCGAGCAGCCTTTAGTTTTGATGATGAGGACGAGGTGGATCTCGGTCCAGAGTTGGCCACCAATGGAATACTCGCCGACGACGCCATTTCGGAGGCTAGTTTTAACAACAGTGTAACGCTTAATCTTTCGATAAAGTCTATTTTAAGCGAGGAAGCTCTAAAATTGGTGCTTCAGGAGCAGGCCTTGGATGATAGAGTCCTGCCAAAAGGTGTTTCACCGGAGGAGGAGTTGAAGATACTTCGCCGGCAACTCCAGAGCACTCTATACAGTCCAAATCTGGACGCAACAGCACAGAAGTTGCTGCAGGGCAAGACGGCTCCTTTGGAGATGTTTAAGTCCCTGCAGGAGAAGCAGCAACTGCTGGACACACTTATCTCCCAGGGTGGCGGTCATGCCGTCATCACTGTCCTGCTGTTTCTTAAAAGAACGCTGAACACTATTCAGTTTCATGGGATTTTAAGGGAACGTCCCAAGGCATTGGAAGAGTATCTGAGTTATCTGAAGGACAGTGGCGACCTTGCCGGCCATATAGACTTGCTGCAGCGGTTCGGACGTCACCAGGAAGCGGCTCTTAGGCAGTTTCAAGCGGCCTTGTCGTCAAGAGATGTCGCTACCAGAAAAAAACATCTCCAACTCTTGGTAGATGCATACGCCACTGCGGGAGTGGGCGTAATACCGCTCTACGAACAGGTTTTTCATTCTGCTCTTAAGATGCTGCAGCTATTGGAGAAGGAGAATGGTTTGGGCAAAAATCTCAGGGATATGACTACGCCAATTGAAGTACTTTATGCCTGCTGTCAGGCGAACAACAATTGGAAGGAGCAGGATATGCTTAAGCCCATGTCACCTCAGCGATTTGCCGCCGATCAGCAAATCTCACCGGCCCAATATGAGTGGACTGCTCTTAATGAAAGGGCACATGCTCAAGCTTACGCAGATCTGGAGTGCATCTTCGAGCGAGTTCCCAGCTGGCATCCGCTGAAAACGAAGCAGTTTCACATCAGCTTTGATCTCACTCTGGCCGTCCTCCGACTTTATGAACTGCAGGCGCCATCGACCGTTCTCCAGCTATTCCTGTCCAAGATGGGAAACAGTGTGGAGAAACTAGCTCTGGCTCAACGTGTAAAGTGCATCAAGGCGGTGATCGATGCCATGGCTGGGCTGAAGCAGCAGCAGGAACTGCAACAGCTGAAGGACACCCTGCCCGAGCGTTCCGAGGAGCAGTTCTACTGCGAGAACGCCCTGAAAGCGCTTACAAGCAAGCGCTGGACCACCGACAACATCAAACTCAAGCTTTAGAATCCTCTTTCTTTTATTTGTATAAACGTATTTTATTGTTAATCATATATATGTGTATATAATTTTATTAATTCTACTCTGGTTTTATTAAATAATTGCAAATCACAAGCTGAATATCGAATAAAAAAACAAAAAATTTGTATGTTATATATGTATATCCTTGCAGCCTCCTTTTGATCTGTTCGATGAGCAGTTTTGGATTACTTTCGGTTTCAGATTTTTTTAATTTAGTTTATTGAGTAAACAAATAAAAGCAGGCGTAGCCAATGGCAAACAAAGCGTTACAAAAATTGGATTCTTTAAACAATTTGTTTGTCTTAAATATTTCGTTTAAATAACAGCGCTGTAAAAAGCATTTGATGTATAAATAACCGCAAACAACAATTATGGTATATATATAATTACGCGTAAACATGTAAGGGAAGAAGGGGATAAGGGGTGTGTGTGTGTTTAAAGGGCAGTCCCCGGTTCTTGGACCGAATCTACAACGAAACATTTTAAACAAGACATATAACTAAGACGGACCCTCAACTTATGCGTGTCGAACGAAAGTTGAAAGGATTCAGGACCTGAAACGGAACCGGAAACGGGATGCCAGGGCCCAACCACTGCTAATTGGCAGACTCGCAGTCCGAGTAGCTGCGCAGGCGCTGACACAGGATCGTCTTGAACTTGACCGTAAAGCTATCGAATATGACGTCGGTGTCCTGCAGCTGCTGATGCTGCTGGTGTTCCTGTCCCGCCGACGGAGCCGCCTGATTGCTGTCCGCCGCGGCTATGAGCTGCTTGAACTTCTGATTAAGATTCTGCTCCAACGTCGAGTTATTGTTGTTGAAGTAGAAGACGTAGGCAAGTTCAAGCAAATAGTAGTCTAGATCGGCCATAAAGAAACGTTCGCACTCTAGCATGTCGAACTTGCGCTCCAAGAAGTGCAGACACAGGTGATAGATCAGATGCTTAAGATCGGATCTTCTCAGCGGCACATAGCCTGTGTCCTTGCTAAAATACTCAAACAACTTGAGGGTGCGCTGGGCGGAATCGCAGCTCTGCAGGCACAGCCGAAAGGCTTCCACGAATCGAAAGTTGAGCATGCAGATACGTATGCGGTACTCGTTGCGGTTTGGACGGGCGCACTCGCCAATCTTGTCGGGGTTGTACAAACCGTGAAAGGCGTACAGACAGTAGTGAATATAGTGGCGCAGTTGTTGCAACGATGTGTCGTCGATTCCCTCGCTGCTCTGCGTAAAGGTGCTACCATCGTCATCATCTCTGCCCAGCAATTGCTCCCTATTCACCGCAACTCCAGAAGCAGCAACTTGATCTGGCAAAGGAACATAGCTCTGCTCCTCGGGAGTGTAGTCCATGTCCAGTGAACTGTGAGCGTCACCCAGTACTGGTGCATTGTACGAAAAGCTGGCATCGTTCTGGCTTAGGTTCTCCAGGCTGCTTAGCATATCATCCGAGTCCTGGCCCGTTGCCGCGTGCTCTGTGCTGCTCTTGTAGTTCGGAGTGCCCACGGAGTAGTGCTGATCGAAGCTGATGTTCGCCGGCTGCAGAAAGTGCGGTTGATATGGTGGCATGACCTTCAGATATCGAACTGGATCATGGTCCAGTCGGATGCGTGGCCGTGGCAAATTGATCTCTACAGGAGCTTCCACACACTGGCTCTCGCATCGCATCAGTCGCTTGGTTGTCGGCAGGCACACCACCCTCTGTCGCGTCCTATCGAGGGCGGGTCCCAAGTCCCGGCCGCACTGACCGTTCGAGTTGCCGCCAAAGGCTCGCACAATGTGATCGGTGGTCATGACCAGTGTGAAGTCTGCACCGCAGTCCACGTACATGGGACGCTCGATGCTGTCGATGGGCGAGGGTTTAAGTACCGCGCGTCGGTCCTTGTCCTCCGTGCCCAGTTGGTGTTCCAGGTTTTTGCCCCACGTGTACAATGTGCAGCTGGACGAGATCAGACAGAAGTGGAAAAGACCACTGGAAATCTGCAAAAGCGAATTAAAAGTTTATTTATCAATAACCCACTCGTAATTTGTAAGCACGTTAAATTAAATTACCTGCAGAATTTTGCCGGCCACCTCGCTGGTGTCCACCAGATGAGGCGTTAAGTGCTCCGTGGGATCCGGTTCGGCGGCAGGAACGGGTGCTGCTGCAGGAACCGATGTCGCTGGCGGCGGGGTTGCCTTAAGTAGTTTTGGTTCTCGCGCACACGCGGGGGCAATTATTTCCGTAGCATCTGATGGCGCAGCCTCGTTTTGCGGTTCCTGGCTATCTTTGGTCTCGCTGGAGCCCTTCGGAGTTGCACCCGACACCACCGCTGCGTAGGATGTGGTGGGCTCCACCATGGTGCTCGTTGTCGGGATGGGTGCCGGCAGCAGAGTAGCCTCAAGTTGCTTGCTCAGAAGCTCGCGCTGCTGGTTTTCCTCCATTTTCTGCTTGGCGTTGGCGCGCCGTTTGATTTGATTGGCCAATCGCAAAGCCTGCGGAGAGCTGCCCCAAGTATACAGACGATCCTCCTCGTCTACAGCTAACTGTAAATTAATGAGATATTTAACTTAAGTACAATTTTGATTGCCCAAACTTACATTGGTAAAAAATTTGGTGTGTATCAGTCTTAGGCTGCAGTCGCCCACATTCAGGCGCACTGGCAGGTTCGTCTTGGTTTCGCCTCCTTGTTCGCTATTGCCGATGCCCAGCTGGCCAAAGTGATTCGAGCCGAATACGTAAAGCTCGTTCCTGCAGTGGGTAGCCTCCATGTAGCTGTTGGAAACCCCGCACATCACCAAAGTGTGCGCATGGCCCAGTGATATTTGTAAAATTTTCTGAAACGGATGTTGGTTAGTTAAGAACTACAGGATTGGAAACTGAACCAACACACTTACCTTATACTTGAAAAAACTGACTAGTTGTGGAGTAGCTATATTCTCGCAGCTGCCTTGTCCCAGCTGGCCATAGACGCCCCATCTGAAGTCGGTTAATTTATGAGTTTTTTGGCTCAAAATAAAATTATTATGTTCTCCTGGTTTTCACCTACCCCCACATATAGAGCTTTCCATCCGCCACCGCTGCATTATGATATTGACCCGCCTCGAGCATGGTTATATTCATGCCATCCAACGCCGTTACCAGCATAGGTTGCAAAGCCATCTGCATGTGTCGGCCAATACCCAACTGGCAGAGATTGTTGTTTCCCACTGAGTAGAGCTAGAAATATCAGGAACCATTAATATAATACCAAAAATATTAATTGAGGAACCTACGCCGTTATTAGTTAGAATAAGTGTATGCTGGCGCCCACACTTGATGGCGTGCACTTGCAAATTGAGCTGAGAGAGGAGATCAAGGCTTTTTACAGCATGCGCTGGTTCAGGAGGCTCTGCAATAATGATACAAGTTATTTTCATAATTTATGCAGAGACGCTTAGTACAACCTGTTGACTTTTGAGCACTGTAGTAACTGGGAATTCCACTGGAGCCCCAAAAGTAGGCGGTACCATCCACAACGCAGGCGCAGTAGGCACAACCAGCTGAGATCGGTTTAAAACGTGATGATTCAATGGCAAACTATAAGAAAAACAAAATCATTGTATCCTTAAATTAATTATTCATGTACTTAAAAGCCTAACCTGATTGTCTTCATAGTTGATTCGGAAATTTGATAAAGCATTTACAACAGAATCATGCTTCACTCGCTGCGATTCCATATGTATGAGCACTGCCAAATATGTTTCAATCATACTTTTGCAAAACTCAAACAATTGTGGGTTATTATCGTTAGAGATCGCGCAGTCGCTATTGTGGGATACAATGGGCCTTAGAGCGGGAGAAAAGGGATTCAGTTGTTTGGACAAACGCTGAAAAATGTTTATATTTAAAATACATGTTTTTGGGAGTCTTTTATAAAAGAGACTCACCTGCAATACACAAGGTCTTATATGATCAAGCTTCTCCTGTATAAAAGCAAAGTAATCCATCGACACGTGAGGCAAGTAAGTTATTGTCTCCATAAATATATTCTCGCTCAGATTGTAGAGGCAAACGTTTAGTTCGTTGTACCACCCAAACTCCTGGGCAACCACGCTTATCAAGGCATTAAACGTATCAAGACAGACACCACGTATTTTTGCCAATATAATGGCCGACGAGAAGAGTCCACTTTGGCAGAGAACAATGCTTGTCATGTTGGTGTGGTACTTGCTGTTGGTCACTAGGAAGTTCCTATAAATATATAAAACAAGGTAAAGAAAGTTCTACCATTTTAAAGTCATTTCTATCTCTACTTACCACAGCGGTATGTAATTCTTGTCATTTACTGCCTTCTCAGCCATCGTGATTAGAAGCAAATTGGCCAAATGGAACTGGGATGAAGGCGACATTTGAAGGGCGCTAATTGACTCGTCCACACCGTAGTGGTAATCACTGCAGAATTCTCCGCTTATTACGTCCCCTTGCTCCTGTTTCTCAGGCAAGATCACACGCACATCCTCCGAGTGACGATAGGTAATGTCTCCCAAAATGCCCTTAAGTAGTGGATGGCCCATATACCGTGATCGCAGCAGATATGTTGACTTCAACGCCATAGCACTTAGCTGCATCAACGCGTAGGTGTGTCCATACATGGCCAGTTTTAAAGCTGTGCGGATCGGTTTCACTCGGGCGACGTTGTACGTAAGCAGAGCCTGGGTGATCTTTTTCCGCCTCAGCAAATAGTCTCCAGCGAACTCAATGCACTGTTCGAATGAGAGGTCGAAGGTGTTGCAAAAGTCGCGGCACTGATTAAACTCGTTCTGAAGTGCGGCATCCAGAAACAGTTCAAACGGCTCCTTCCTGCAAGTTACACTTAAGTTATAAGCAATTCGGTATATAATACACGGAAAGCTTACCTTAACTGTATAGTATATACATTTTTATTGGTGATCACATAGCATGGATCGTAGTTTATCTTTGGGAACTCGGATTGCATTATCTCCATTTGCCGCAGTGAAAACTCACTGCTCACATCCGCTGTCTCATAAAATTGTATATAATCCATCGGCGTGTGGATATCCTTCAGCTCAAAGGCCTTGGCCTTCTCTTCTTTGGTGAGGGTCTCTGGTTGGCCGGCGGGATTTCGATACTGTGCCATCTGATATAAATGCAGCACAGTTTCATGCTCAAAGCGGAAGAGACCGATCTGGGCCATATTATTAAAGCGCTGCTGAAAGAGATAAAAGGTTTTAAAAAATGGATGTTATATAAATATCTTTGGAAATTACATCTTCGTCGGAGGTATGTAAGGAGGCCATTGCACTGCTGATCACGCTGACGGCATTGATGGCATTACTGGGCATCTCACTTTGATCCAGGCTTGAGGTTGCAGTAGTTGTCGCACTGGTGGTGTCGCTCTTCTGCGCACTGACATCTGCCTGTTCCAGCTTCTCAACATCGGCGTCTCGATTCTCCTTGTCCGTGTTAGCGACCACCGGATCCTCCAGCGACGAAGCTGCTGTGGAAATAGCCGAGTCACTGCGACAGTGAAGGTCTACGTAGTGTATGCCGTAGAGTATGTTGGAGCTTATGAGTATTTCCTGGGTGTGCTTCGGGATCTTATAGACGAACAGCGGCTTCAAACTGATGTCGATGCTGTGCACAGTCAAACTGTGACTATTGCTGTGCAGGGCACTCAACAGAAAGGTGCTGCGCAGATTCTGAATGGTGTAAAATGATCCGGTGGTGGTGCCCAAAGGCTCTGGCGTCACCGAGGGCGAGTCCATGATTGCAAAGGAGCCCATCGTAGAATCCGGCATAACTGGAACACATATAAAAAACTACAATGAATAAGGCTTCACCAACGTTAGACTTAAGCTGCTTCTACTTGGTCTGTCAAGTGTGAGAGTTGTGCAAACTCACCACGCAAGCGACGCTTCAAAAGATGCAACAGTTCTCTCAAAACTGCACACCAATAAAACAAATATAAAATACACAAAAAAACGGCATATACAAATTAACATAGATAAACACAATGTAGGCAAGAAAATATGTTTAAATAGGGAATTAAAAAAATATTGTCTTTTGTTTTGTCAGCTTACGCACATTCATCGAACTTTTGCCGTTGATCGGAAAGCCGCATCTTGAGGGCCTGCAGCTTCTTGGATCCTAGACTCTTGAGCGAGGCCAGGCGGGCTCTGGTGGCGGGCAGAATGCCATCCATGCTGCCCGCTGGCAGTTGCTGTTGCTGGAAGCGGACGCCTCCTTGCTGCTCGCTCGCTTGCCGGGCCACTGCCTCGCTGTAAGAAGGTGGCGCCGGCGGCGGTGGCTCGTCTCCTGTTATAGCCTCTGTGGACGCTGGGACGATGGACGACTCTACAGCTCCTGACGCCGCTTGGCCGCTGCACACTGTATCCTCGTTGGACGGCGGTGCAAAGACATCCTCTTCCAATTGGCTGCTGTCCGAGGCAGGATCTGAGCTATTGCTTTGCCGTGCACCCATTGCTGCACTCTGCTGTTTTCCCTGCACAGACATTACGATTTGCCAGGCCCCTTCGCGGGTCGTGGGAGAACTGTCGCCAGGATAAACGTACTTGATTGCCTTTTGTTCCAGCAGAAGCTTGAACTGCTGCTTCAGCGAGGACGTTATCTTCAATTTAATAATAAATTAGTCACCGCTTATTATTTACTCCAAATGAAATACTTACCAGCAGCATGACGCCATCGTAGGCCTTGTCTTTGCAAATAACCAGACGCATCACAGATCCGTTTTCGATGGCAGTGCTCGCAATCATCGGGCAGTTGGGACTCAGACCCACAAAGCAGATGGAGCCATCCGAGTAACCAATAATAGCCCTGTTCTGGCCGCTGTTTGTTTTCCACCAGACGACGGACAGCGGATAGGGGCAGGTCTTAGACGCCATAAAGGAGGTGGCCATCACCTGGCTGTTGCCGGTGGTGTCGAGTGGTTGCTGCATCTGTTGTGGCTGCCCCAACTCCTCAGTTCCGCTGTTCCTCACCAGCATGTGCTCTGGTAGATCGTGCCCCAGCGGCTCCTCCTCCTCTCCCTCAAGCATAACCTGCTCTAGATTTTCGGCTAGCTGCTCCACCGGTTCCACAGTTTCCTCGCCCAAGCCCGTAGAGTGATTGGGGCATTTTTTGGAGTTGGGGCACTCGTGGGGACCCACAAAGGGTATAATGTAGGAGGTTACCTGGGTAATGCTATACAGCGAACCGGTGGCCAAGCCATGCGACTTTTCCACCAGTGCCAAAGCGGGCACGATGTGCAGCGTGTTGTCGAAACCTGTTGATGAAACCATCGGTCAGTTGGGTGCACCATTCGATCGTTAAATCAAAGTAGAGGGCGCAACAAAAAATCAATAACCACACACGCACGCATGGGGGCAAAGTAATTTTAGCAGCACCCCCAAACCCCAAACTGGAAAGTGGGTGGTACTCACATAGCACCAGCAGCCACACGCCCGCCGGATCAAAGCAGACGTCGTGAATGACGCGGTTGCGAAACCAAGATATCATCTTGACCACCTCCTGGCCGGAGGAAGCGCTTATGTAGCGCAACAGGATCTCATTATCCTCGCTGACCAGGCAGAGAAACTGCTTTTCATCTAGGCCCGCCGTCACTGCGGACAGCTTGCAGCTGATGTTGGTGACCAGTGGACGCAGCTCAAACATGCCCAGCTCCTTGAGCTCCGCGTGCCCCGACATCTCAAGGAGATTCGCGGTCTTGGGAGCGCACAAAGCTTATTTTTATTCACAAAATCAGTGCAGTCCAAGGAGCTTTTTTCCCAATTTCCGAATGAAAACAAACTAGTGGTGCGCACGTGAGAGCTGCGACTGGTCTGGCAACGCCCTTATCACGCGAAGAGTTTCCAATTGGAACGTGATTTTTTATAGTTTCTTAAGAAAAAATCTAGGATTATGAAAAGCGCGGCCTCCCTCCGCACCGCTAATCTCGAGACAACTTAAAATATCTCTAATTTAAAACCGAAGCAAATTGCCCAATAGTCTGGCAACGTCACGCGTGCTGCGCACAAGTCTTCACTTTTTATGCTTTTAAACTCTTTCTTCCGACTTGTTCCTGCACGGCGCGATTTGTCGGTTAAAGCCACTATTTTTAACACCCTTTTGGGTGGTTTTCACTCGTAGAAATCCTGTGTTAAACACGAGTCAGTACGAAAAATCGTGCCCGATGGCCAAAGCTGCAACACTGAAAACATCTGATTGGCGAACTGGAAAGGGGAAGAGGTGGCAGCTCCGACAGTTTATGTCAAACGGTCACACCGTTCCAGAGCACCTCTGCAATCAAAAATAACGGCGGGAATTGGCGGCGTCGCTTGTCTGAATATCAACAACGCAAAATTAATTGATAAGCAATAGACAGCAGTTGTACAAAAATAATATTTTCTCTTAAATTAATTGTAAATCAGTTAGAAATGGAATCCCGGTTGCCAAAGCCGTCGGGTATTAAAAGACCCCAAGTGCCGGTAAAAACCGTACTGCCCACAGATCGAATTCGCGCAGGAGTCACTGCAGGATTGGGATTAGGAGGAGCTGGTGGAGCCAGCGCCTTCACTGCTAACCAGACCTACTGCGGAAACTTGCTGCCTCCGCTGTCAAGAGATCTTAACAATTTGCCGCAAGTCCTAGAGCGCCGAGTAGGAGGTGAGTTAAAAGAACCTCTTTAAAGGATTCCCATCAAAGCCTTCCTTTTTTTTTTTTTTTGCATAGCACGTGCCGCCTCTCCGGAGCCTATGAAGATGGCCAATCGGGCCAAGCTAAGACGAAGCCGTAGTGCCTGTGACATCAACGAACTGCGTGGAACCAAACGCACTGCTGCGGTGCCGACATTGCCTAGTATTCCCAGCAAAGTATCCCGCGTTGGCAGCACTCTTACTGCTCCTAGTCAGCGATTGGGGCGACCCCTGGCCACCGCTTCGTCAACAGCAACCACAACTGCGAAACGACCAGCAGTAACTCGTCCTCCGCCTCGAGCTGCGGCGCCAGCAGCCACAAAAGCCAAGCCAGCAGGGGGCGGAGGAGCTTCTAACGCAGGAGCAGCATCTGGAGTGCCTGCCAAGCGAATTGCACCATACGACTTCAAGGCCCGCTTCCATGATCTGCTAGAAAAGCACAAGGTGCTTAAAACCAAATATGAAAAGCAGGTAGAGGACATGGGCGAATTGGAGTCCATGCCCATGCAGTTAGAAGAGGCCCAGAACAAACTTATTGAGACGGAGACATCGTTAAAGAACACGCAGACTGACAACGAGTGCCTGCAGAGACAGGTTAAGCAGCATACTAAGAACATAGAGACCATAACCTCGACGCTGGGCAGGACCAAAGAGGAACTCTCCGAGCTGCAGGCAATCCATGAGGTACTAGGTATATTTCTTAAGCCTTAAATTCATATAATAATATTTTAAATATAATTCCGTAGAAAATAAAAACGGAGCACGCTGCTTTGACCACAGAAGTCGTGCATCTGCGCCAGCGCACTGAAGAACTTCTGCGCAGCAATGAGCAACAAGCCGCCGAACTGGAGACTTGCAAGGAGCAGCTTTTCCAGTCAAACATGGAACGCAAGGAGCTGCACAACACGGTGATGGATCTGCGCGGCAACATCCGTGTCTTTTGTCGAATACGACCGCCACTGGAGTCCGAGGAGAACCGCATGTGCTGCACTTGGACTTACCACGACGAGGCCACCGTGGAGCTGCAGAGCATTGACGGGCAGGCCCAGAAAAAGATGGGTCAGCAAATCTTCTCCTTCGACCAGGTTTTCCATCCGCTTTCCTCTCAGTCGGACATTTTTGAGATGGTTTCCCCGCTCATTCAATCGGCATTGGATGGCTATAACATTTGCATCTTTGCCTACGGACAGACCGGCAGTGGCAAGACCTACACGATGGACGGAGTAGCGGACAGTGCCGGCGTTATCCCTCGCACAGTTGATCTACTCTTCGACTCCATTCGGGGCTATCGCAATTTGGGCTGGGAATATGAGATCAAAGCCACCTTTCTAGAAATCTACAACGAAGTGCTGTACGATCTGCTGAGCAATGAGCAGAAGGACATGGAAATTCGAATGGCCAAGAACAACAAGAATGATATCTATGTTTCAAATATCACAGAAGAAACTGTCCTGGACCCCAATCATCTACGCCAGCTAATGCATACCGCTAAAATGAACCGAGCAACCGCCTCCACGGCTGGCAACGAGCGGTCCTCCCGCTCGCATGCTGTTACCAAACTGGAACTCATCGGACGTCATGCCGAAAAGCAAGAAATCTCGGTGGGATCCATAAATCTGGTGGATTTGGCAGGCTCTGAGTCTCCGAAGACAAGCACCCGCATGACCGAGACCAAGAACATCAATCGCTCGCTCTCGGAGCTCACCAACGTTATTCTGGCGCTGCTGCAAAAGCAGGATCACATCCCGTATCGGAATTCCAAATTGACACACCTTTTAATGCCCTCGCTGGGCGGCAACTCGAAGACACTTATGTTCATCAATGTCTCCCCGTTCCAAGATTGTTTCCAGGAGTCTGTCAAGTCACTGCGCTTCGCCGCCTCCGTAAACTCGTGTAAAATGACCAAGGCCAAGCGGAATCGCTATCTAAACAGCTCAGTGGCCAACAGCAGCACTCTGAGCAACAGCAACAGCAACAGCTTCGATAAATAAATAATAAACCTTGTTTCCAGTTTTAACAAATCTCAAATTTCTTAACCTGTTATTACTTAATTTATGTGTTTACTTTTAGTGCAAATAAACTAATAAAGTGCTGGAATTATTTGCTATCTTACTTGGCTCCCACTGCCGCACGCACCTCGGCGGGAATCTTCGCTACCAATTCTGCATGGTTCTGGCCCAGACTGGCCAGCACTCCTTGTCGATTTACGTGCTCTACATCCGCATTATACGCGTAGTGCTCCCCATTTATGTTTGTAAGAGTTCCGCCCTGGGCCTCCAGCACAGCCTCGGGTGCGCAGGTGTCCCATTTCTTGCATCCTGGCGTAGCGAACACGTACGCATGGGCTTTACCTTCGAGCAGCTGCAGTACCTTAAAGCCGGCTCCTCCGACTTTCAGAACCTCTGTAGATGCGTAGGCGTTAAGAGCCTGCTGGTGCAGGGCATTGGAATGCGAACGAGTGGTTGTTATGATGAATTGCCCAGCTGGCGCAGGGACCGCTGTGAATCCTCCTGTGCCCAGACCCTTGAGACCCCAAATGGTGCGACCAAGCTCACCATCGGGCTGTTTGTAGAAGGGTTGGTGGATAATGCCACCCACGGCGGAATCTTTGACTGCTATACCAATGAGTACAGTTACGTGCTCCACATGACCTACAAAAAAAACGGTGAAATTAGTTCTCACTTGTGAAGGAGATCTTTGGATCATACCCTGAGTGTACTCAGCTGTGCCGTCCAGGGGGTCCACCCATATCACAAAGTCCTCTGGCTTGGCATCCTTCCATTCCGCAGGGCAACTTTGCTGCAGGAATCCTTCATCCTGTTCGGTCACCAGCCAATCATCGCAAACATTTAGATCGGAGCCTCCTTCCTCGCCAATGATCTTTACGGTAGGAAACTTTTTAGTCAGGGAGGCAATGATGCAGCGCTGGGCAGAGCGATCCGCTTCCGTTTGGGGATCGTTCTTTCCCTTATCCACGATTCCCAGGTCGCCTTTTTTGAGCACGTCGCGGATGATTCCTCCAGCCCGCTTTGCGGTGCATATTGAGGACGCCATTACACGCATAATCACAGGAGCAGTCGCAGCCATTGCTATCTTGTTTGATTTGAGATAAGGGAGATCTTTCCTAAGATTGGAATGGGATGTTTTCGCCGATTGCAGAAAGATGATTCTGGTAAAAGTAAAGCAGCTGATAGCGGCTAGTGATGAGTGAATCCATGAACTTTATTGTGCCGGTGTATCTTTGCTACATTTTAAATAAAAGGTAACGGTGTTAAAAAAAAATACATACTAATGATATAAGCAAAATTTGTAGCTTTTAAAATTTAAAGTCGCTTAAAATATTAAATTTAATTATATTACGCGGAAATTTCTAGCTCTAAAATAGCTGGTCTAGCAATGGCGCGATCTGGCAACGATGCGGCCAACTAGACCTTTGGACCACCCGCTCCCCCGTCGCTAACAAATCAGTTCATTTCCATCTTGAAGAGGTAAGTTCCTGAATTTTATAAAAAAATTCAACAATTTATTAAATATTTAACAATTACTTGCAGAAAATGGCGCGTGTTTTGGTTGGAGTTAAGCGTGTGATTGACTACGCCGTCAAGGTTAGCCAAAAATCAGCCTGTTGCACATATTATTTCCCACTTTTTTTTATCACTTGTTGCGCTCCGTTTTGCGTAATCGCTTTAATTAATCACTTAATTAAAGTAATTTCAACCTTTCTCCCAATGTCCAGGTTCGCGTCAAGCCCGACAAAACTGGTGTAGTCACTCAGGGCGTGAAGCACTCGATGAACCCCTTCGACGAGATCGCAGTAGAGGAGGCGGTCAAGCTGAAGGAGAAGAAGCTGGCCGAGGAGGTGATCGCCGTGTCAGTGGGTCCTGCCCAGTCCCAGGAGGTCATCCGCACCGCCCTGGCTATGGGTGCCGACCGTGGTGTCCATGTGGAGATCCCAGCCGCCGAGTACGAGCTGCTGCAGCCCATCCACGTGTCCAAAATCCTGGCTAAACTCGCGCTGGACGAGAAGGCCGATTTGGTGATCCTTGGCAAGCAGGCCATCGACGATGACGCGAACCAAACGGCCCAGATGACCGCCGCCGTCCTCGACTGGCCGCAGGGCACTTTCTGCAACAAGATCGAGAAGACTGACGCCGGTCTGACCATCACTCGTGAGATCGATGGCGGTCTGGAGACAATCAAAACCAAAACGCCGGCTGTGCTCAGTGCCGATCTTCGGTTGAACACTCCTCGCTACGCCACGCTGCCCAACATCATGAAGGCCAAGAAGAAGCCGCTGAAGAAGGTCACAGCCAAGGATCTGGGCGTGGACACTTCTCCCCACATCGAGGTCATCTCCGTGGAAGATCCGCCTGTGCGCCAGGCCGGAGCCACCGTCGCTGATGTGGATGCACTGGTTGCCAAGCTGAAGGAGGGCGGCCACATCTAGATGTTCCTCAACTGGCAAATTGTGAGCGCAAATTCTACGTTTTTAATTAGTTGAAGTTATCAGAAACGTGCATTTATCCAGCCTCAGAGTCGGATCTGCTGACAGGCTTTAAAATTCTACCCATCCCCCGTGTGCTTTAAGTGAAATCTAAATTGGAATTTATTTTCGTTGTGTCCAGCTCTAAGAATAAAGTGATTGTAAGCTCTGAAATCGTACAAACAGGGTCAGCCAACGACTCGTCTCGTCTATTTTTTGTCTCTCCCGCTACCTTTTCAGGAAATCTGGCTCAACTTGACGCCCAAAAACAGGCGACGAGGTCAACACCCAATGGTCATTGATTTTCCATTGTTTTCGATCGTTTTTATTAGCGGAAAACTTGAAAGGAAAACATTTGCTAATGTGTATTATATAAGAGTACAAATTGTATAAAGAGATAGTACATGTTGTTCATAAAATTCTCAACTACAAGCTAAAATCGTTTGGATTTGTTTTGGACGATCATGACACACATGCTTAATATATAAAGATATTTATGTGTATAAACATTTAAAAAAAGAGAGTAGTCTGTTTATAGATAAGGGTGGTTCGACATTCCTGAAGAAGAACTAAAGAGGCGAAATTTATTTGCTGGGTAAATGCAAAGAATTTTGTCCTTAATAAGATTCAAATATTAATTTTGAACTTCGAGATCGATATTTTCACAACATTTTTGTCCTAAAATACTAATGGTTTAATTTTTTGATATGGCCATAGTTTAAATGCAAATTTATGCCTCTCAGGTTTTTTTTATTAATAAATCTACACACCCTAATATAAATAAAGACGGGTAAACGCGACAAGAAAAAATGACAATTGAAAAATACATTGCGCTTAAGTGAAATAAATGGACAGTAGAAGCAAGCATTTGGCCAGAGTATAAAAGTGTTTTATAAAAATATGCAGCTAGGGCCGATAGCCAATGTAGTTTTATCTTAATTGCGACTCGATTAAGAGTACCACCCCTTTCCTTCTTTATCACACACCTCGCCGCAGCCAGCGAACAAACCACTCCACTAGCCATCAAACCCGTCCAGCTGGAGCCAACTGCTTATCGCTGAAACGCAAAATGCGCGTTAACATGGTGGTTATGCAGGGGATCTGCTTTTGCTGGTGCATCTCCGGTGTGTCCGGGGTGCAGGACTCAAAGTCGACGGCCACCCGTTGGCAGACGAAGGTGAGCAGGGTCAAAATGTCTAAACGTTTTCCATTAGCTGCCAATTCGGCGCACAGGCTCTGCATGAACCAGCTTCCGCGGGTGGTGTTGCGCCACGAATAGAATCCTGGAACCGTGGAGTAGGCTATCAGGAAGTCGGCATGCACGGGAATCTTGTAACTCATTGAGGAGTCGCCATCGGTTTCCGTCTGGCTTCGCTGCATGGTCACTCCACCGTCCAATCGATCTCCCTGGCAGGCCTGGATGAAGAAGAGCTTGGGTTTTCCGGCCAAAGAAGGGCAGTGGTTGGCGGTGAAAAAGCTCCAGATGTTCTCCAGCTTGTACTGCGTGTCCTTGGCATAAATGTATCCCATCTCTCCGTGCGATAAGATGGCTACCAGAATACAATCACTGTCACCGTGATTCTGCGAAGCTGCATACTCTATTGTCCTTAGAATGTCCTTGTAACGACAGTCCTTGTAAACCGTGACCTCGAAGTCTAGCTGCTTGAGCACTCGAGTGAGATTCTCACAATCTACGTTAGTTCCTGCCCTGGATTTCAAGGTGGGTACCTCAAAGTGCTCATGGTTAAAAATCAGGGCCATTCCACGGTTCTTATGTCGCATGTTATACTCGGCAGCATGTCGATCGGTGACCATTTTTGCCACATTTTTGCGGTAGCTTGCTGAGGGAGAACTGTAACCATTGGCCAACTGCCCAATAGCTCCAGTCCCATAAAGATGTGATGATCCTGTGGCCAGTCCGCTGCTTCCTGATCCTCCAACGGAGCCTAGAGCATCGGTGTGATCATTGGGATTCTCGGTATTTTCCACCCTTATGCCAACCTGATCGCCCGATTCTCCATTGTTTGTGGCGTCCATGACGAAATTATCTCCTTGAGCCTGCGAAAACTGATGAGTCACAAACACTTCGAAACTGGTTTTTAAAGATTCTTAGAAATTACAACTGCACGACTTTGGCTAATTTTTTTAATTCTGGGGAAAGTCCGTGTTTACGTGCAACAAAGACAACTAGTGGTTAACTAATTGCAGCCAGGTAATTCTGTGGCTTTTGCTTTATTCTTAAAATCGGTATGACCGTGGTGAGCAGTTAAAAAATCCGACATAGCGCCTGAATTGGGGATGATACTCTTATGTCGTGTCACGAAACGGAAAAGTAAACAAAGGAATTCATATTGATACGATAACATAAACAAACTTAACATAAACACTTCTTAAACTTGCAAGGCCCGCAATCTATTTTTGACAAGTTCTCATCAAAGTTTATAAGCAGCTCTTGACTTTTAAGCTCAGTGCCACAAAAGCTGAAAAGAATTAGGAAATTTGATTAACTGAGCTTTAAATTAAATAAGGATTATTAAAAAGTTTCTCGCAGTGTACCGTCATTATTTTCAGGAAAATTAAGGTTTTCGTCCTTTGTTCTGTTCAAGTAAAACCGGAGCTAGATTTTCAAAAAATACCTACATTTACTGAAAAATACCGGAAAATACCGTTACCTGCGCGGCCACACTATCATTAAGGTTTGAGAGCAACTGTTAAAATTGTTGAATTGTTCCATTTTTGTTTAAAAATTAAGAAAATTGCCAATGTTCTGGACACCAGAGCATGTGGAGAGCATGCTGGATGTGCTGAAGACCTCCACGGACCGAACAGTCATTTACAAATGCCTGGTGAAGCTGCGCACCGATCTGGTGAAGGACAAAAATGGCATTGTTTTATTTCGCACTGCTGGGGGCGTTCACATCATGGTAGGTTTTGGAGTCACATCAATCATTGCTGTTTGGCAGCCATTGCCTTGCACAACACAGGATCGTGATTCAAATCGATTTTTGAATGATAACTTAATTCATTTTCCAGGTTCGCCTTATCACCAAGCTAAATGAAAAGATAATGGAAGTGGTCTTGAGTATATTGGGAAACTGCTGCACCGACGAACAGGCCTGCATTGAGGTAAAAAATTTAAAATACTAAAAAAAATGGTTTTCTAAATTTTTTATAAGGTTTTAACTTACAAACTTAATTGTTTGTTTTGTTTAATCCATTTTAATAATTAAAAAAAAAAATATTAATCGTTTTTAATGAAAACTAAATTTTTTCAGTTTTTTACATTCCTAAAAAATACTCTAATTGTTTTTGAAACCGTATTTAAACATTATATTGTATTTACAGGCCGTTGAATGCAAAGTGATTCCGCCGCTTGTGACCATTCTGAAGACCATTCCCAATCCTGTGATCCAATGTCGCGCCTGTCGAATGCTGGGTAACCTGGCCAAAAGCAAGAAGGCCTCCCAGTATCTCAACGTTCACTACGCGGCCATTGCCCCGGCCATCTGCCACATCATTGAGTCCACCAGTGCGGTGCAAACACGCATCATGGCGTTCCGGGTGTGCCGCTTCCTGTTGGCCAGCAGCCAGTTCCTCAAGCATTTCCTTATTGCCAATGGATTCCAGCAGCTGATGCGCATTTTCCTGGCCGTTATGAAGAACGATGAGGCTCCCAAAGAGCCGGTTCCGGACATCGAGGTGTCAACGCTGATTGGCTTAAAGCGAAATCAACACCGTGAAAAGTATTTCGAGGAAGTTGCCCGCAATTTGGAGGGAGTAAGGAGCGACATCTTCGACTATCAGATGCTCAAGAACTCCACTCGGAACTGCGACTATGCACTGCCCAAGGAAAATGAGACAGCCGTTGAGTTAGCTCTTGAGATATTAAAGTGTCTGGTTTTGATCTCAGCCCAGCAGATTGGCATGAAAGCTTGGGAGGTAAGTCCTTTTAGTTTCATAAAATTTAAAGATTTTTTTTAATACCTAATCCTTTCTTTAATAGTCTATTTCCCGCAATACTTCGCTGGCCTCGATTGTCTGCTTTGTGAAAGAGGACGGCGAGCAGCGCTCATCAGCTTTAAAAATCCTTTCAAACTTCTGCAAGGATCCCTGCGCCTTCTACATGCTGAGCACGGCGGATGCCATTGTGGCTGCCTGCGAGATGCTTATGGCCGTCAACATGGCAAAACCACTGAACGAAAGCGAGAGTCGGCATTGCATAAACATTATATTAACCCTTTCTACGGATGCCTGCAGTCGCTCGAAGATTAGAAGGTGTGGAGCTCTCCGCAAACTGGTTGCCATGATTAGGGATTCAAACTCACAAAGCGAGCGATCATCGGTGAGATTTATTTATACTTATATATCATAAATGAAGAACAAAACTAATAGCGATTTTATTCAATCAACAGCTATTTCACATTCTCAACAACTTTCAATATGACAACTTAAGCATGGAGCTTTTGCTTTATGAGGGTCTCGTGCCCATGTTGGTTCGGGAATTGAACGATTATCTGACCAGTGACGATGAGCATCATAAACGGCGCCGGGAAGAGAGATTGCAAGGTGGCAAAAAGAGGAAACTCACGGATCCCACAACACCAGAAACGCTAAGCAAGGTACTTATTAAAACCAACACATTTGCAATCCCAGCTAATAACTTTTTTTTCTTTTTTTTATAAAAGTTTTCAAAGACCCACGAAACTTTAGGTTCGGACTTTGACTCGCCGAGCAGTTCGCCAAGATCTTATCGCACCACCAGTCCCTGCAGTTCGCGCAGCATGTCGCCGGTCTGCAAAGAACTGCTGACAAATGATGACGACGACAACTACTCACCGGCGTGCAGTGATGACGACGAAGATGAGGATGATAGCACAAACAATAGCAATGGGGATAGCAGGGATCGCCGCATAGCCGCCAATCGCGCCCAGGCCTCAAGTGTTCTCGATATACTGAAGCTAATTGAAGAGGGCAGCGAACCCATAGATGACCCACTGTCTGACAAAGAAGATCTCGAGGAACTCAGCTCGGATGTGCCACCCAGACTAGCTCAGTTCCGAAATCAAGCAGGCGACACCATCGATATAATAGAAAATCTGATTTACCGCATCACGCTAATGGTGAACAAGCGTGTGGAGCTGGGAAAGCCGGAGACGCTGGATACGCTTATAAGAGCCATCAACTTGTTCGGGGCTAATAATAATTTCGCAAATGCCCTGACCAATATACTACTGTAAGTTTAGTTTGGCTACTAAAGAAATTAATGTATCTCAATGATGACTATTAAACTTTTCAGTGAGAGCCAGTTCTTTGCGCAGATCATCAAGCATGGTGTGGTTCATCAGCTTTATCAACTCACCAAAGTGGAGGAGGTAAAATACTATTAATTTTTATACAGTGCAAATTCTTGAGTAAACCCTTAATTCTTCCAGATGCGCAAAGATGGCTTCGCCTTTTTGGAGACGCTTACCAACGTGGGAGAATCGAATTATGGCAAGGAGGAGCTGGTGCGATTGCTGCGTTGCGACGATATGAAGGCCCAGCAGAGAGCCGCCATTTCGGTGGCCTACATCGTAAAGAGCCATCGTCTGCTCTACCAGTTCCTGTACGATGGCAACGCATTGAACCTGCTGTTTGATCTTATGCTCCGCAAAAAGAGCGACGATCACTATGCGGACGAAGCTGTGGATGCAGTGACTTCGATGGCTCGATATACCTTAGGCATTAGTTTACCAGAAGCTGAGCCTACAGAAAGCACGGCTGGGATTTGCAGCAAGAAGCTCAGTGAATCTGGTCCACTCCACGACAACTGCGACATGAGATTTTTGGTCAGCGGCGAGGAGGATTCCACCCTGACCATTGGCTTCAACAAGGAGCTGCTGTGCGAAACCAGCGAGGTGTTCAACAAGATGCTCAACAGTGATTTCCGCGAGGGTCATCATGGCGAGATTCAGCTGCACGACTACACGGCCAGTGGCCTCCGCTACTTTCTGCATTTAATCGTGTGCCAGGAACGACACCTGACGGAACCGGATTACCCCGCCCTGCTGCAGGCCTTCGAGATGTCGCGGGTGTACATTATACCCGAGATGGAGGCCGCACTGCAGCAGCGACTCATTCAGTTCCTAGACTCCCACAACTGCCTGCGCCTGCTCGAGTGGGCGCTGAAGAACTACCACGCCGAGCTCACGGAGACTGCCATCAGTTATTATCTCTGCTCCTGCCTGCCGGCGCAGGAAAAGCTCGAGCTTTTCCGGGCGGCGGAGGACTCCACCTACGCCAGCGAGTGGTTCCAGCTGCTCAACGATGCGGTATTCGAGCGGTGCCGCAGCACTGGCTACTAAACACCGCCACCCAGTTGCATTCTGTGATCGTTTTTGTTTCGTCGCTTTCCATTCCCAGGATTCAGCTCGATTTATTTGCCACAGCCCTTAGCCAAGTATTGCAATGTGCTACAATTGTATATTTTAATTGTATAGACTACGTATTATCCTACATCTGATTCTGTCTTTTTGTGGACTCGAATGTGGGCATGGCGCAGAAGCGCAGGGTGAGCCAATCCACCAAAGGAGTGGGACAGATCGCAAAGAGCCAACGGTAGAGGCAATATCGACGCGGTTCCTCGATGTACAAGTCCAAAGGTTGTGAGCTGGTCAAGGCATCCTTGAACTTGGCCAGCAGCGAGTCGTTCTTTAGTCGGTTTGGTGGCTTGAATCCACTGAGAACTTTTAGGTAACTATTGAAGGCCTCGAAGTAGGTGTCGTACAGAGCATGTTGCTCCTGGCTGAAGGCTTCCCTCATCTTCTGGGCATGTTGCTGCTGCCTGGCTGCTATGTTGCTATCGAGAACAAAGGAACCTGGTATGAAGTTTACCACCTCCATGCCGTACTGTTGCAGTTCCACCCGCAGGGCATCCGTCCAAAAGCGAAGAGCTGCTTTGGAGGCGGCATAAGGACCCAGAGCTGGAAGAGCCCGCAATCCACAGTGACTGGTCACGTTGATGATCCTGCCCCGCTGCTGGCGGAGTAGAGGCAGCAATTCCCGGGTCAATCTCATGGTGCCCAGCAGATTGCAGTTGATTTGGTTATCGATCTGCTCGGGTATCTGCCACTCGAATTCCCCAAAGCACATTACTCCCGCGTTGTTGATAAGCGCCGTTAACCTATAGCTTGTATCTTTGGCCAATATATCCTTGAGCTGCTGATGCACGCGGCGAATGGAGTCGGGCTCCAAAAGATCCAGTTCCAAGGTGTGCATCCTAGCCTGGCCATCTTTACAGGAGTTTAAGGCCTGCAGCAATTTTGCTCCCTCGGATTTGAGATTATGACAGCAGGAAACCACTGTCATCCGGAGCAAGTCATGGCAATATACGGCCAGTGAATGACTATCGAGAAGCAAAGATCATCCAGTTAGTAGCTTGCACTTGCTCCAAGTTCAGTTACCTTACCCCAATCCCGAGTCGCAGCCCGTGATGATCACCACATGTCGGCTGTCGACCTTCAGCTGTTTTCTACCCAATCCCAAAGTTCGTCCCAGGGCACGAAAAAATTGACTACCGCTCATATCGCCAGTTTTCGAGTTACTGAAACAAAGATCCGATTCGTGGATGCACCGAAAACAACAGATCCGAAAAAATGCAAAGCAAGGCAAACCCGAAAATGAATATATACATTGTGTGTACACATATGTAACCATTATCTGTGGAAAAACGGAAGAACACTGTCGCTTTTACCTGCCTTTTGGGCTGGTTCTTGAATTATTCCACAGTAGGTTTTATGGAAATAAACTAACTCTAATGAAAATAGTAAGGTTTAACTGTGTAAGAGATTTAGAAAGTTAGATTTTAGATTTAGATTTAGAAAAATTCTTGAAAAGAAAGCATAAAAAACGCTATTTCCAATATTTATCTTTAAGCCATCATATATATTTCTATGTTTGGAAGCGATCGTCCTATTTGGTCCACCCTAATTTACCTGCTCGGCTTACCTGACGATAAGCCGGAATATTTGCAAGTCAAGTGATCTGTGCTGGTGCCTCTTTTATATTATATCACCAAAACTAAAAATAAATCCACAATTTTGTTTTAGGTTTTTCGGTATTTTTATTTTATTTTATTTCATTTTTGTCAATTTTGGTGTTTTTCTGCCCTTATAAGTGCATTTAGTTTACTATCGATCGGTTTTGGTTTTGGATAAGTTGATAATTTTGAATATTCAGAGAATTTACTGTGGAGACTGGCGAGAGTTTTTGTTTTACCTGATCAGCTTTCGTTTAGATCGTAATTGGGTATACATAATACATAATTACATATTAAATAATTGCTTTGCTTTGTCATTTCTTATAAATGGTATTTGAAAATAGCGCATTTGTTGCGTTTAGTAAAAATATATTTGGGTTTTCTAATGCAGCTTACAGAGTACAATAAGTATATTTATCTCATTTCACATTTGCTTTTGCTCAATATAAAACTTGCTTTAACGCGATTATTGTTTAGGTTTAAACATACATATACATATACATATATTTATATAAAGTGTTTGCATTTCTTAATTCTCTCTCAAGGCATTGTATTTAGTTTGTATGCTGAATTTATTATATAATATATTTACGCGATTCGTTTAAATGTACAATTTTAAAACCGGCTTAGTTCCTTTCATTACACGCTTTTGTTTACTGCTCCTGTTTTCTCTTTCTACTTTTGTTTCTTTTTTTTTTATCTGGTATCTTTTGTATTCGTTTTATAATAAATATCACAACGCATCCTTCAAATCTACACTCCCTTAAATCCTTATCATTTTCCAGGCAATCAATGCATGCATCGTCGATCGTTCGCATTTGTATATTTTTTGAAAATATATAACACGCAATGAAAAGGTTTGAAAATTGCACAAAATACAAGTACATAACATATGTAGCTCGGCGTATGTAAAAGACATAGCAAAAATCATAAATTAACCATAATAAAGATAATAATACAAAAAACATTAGACTTAACGAAACGAAATAGAATATTCGCTGCGATTACAAAAAATGAAAACGTCTCTCTCCTACAAACTAGCGAAAATGTTTTGTTGGTTTCGTTCTTTCTGTTTTGTTTTTCTTCTTATCAAGTGTAAATATAATCGCTACGTTTCAATTATATAAAACTTAACTTAGTCCTGACTCGACCCCCCAGCTGGTGGGCCCTTCCCCCCTCCTATCCGCCGGCCCTGTCCCACCAAATCCTGTCCGGTTATAAGCTGACCAGCTTCGATGGCTCGGCGGTGGGCGTGGGCAGCTCCAGCGGATGCTTGTTTGTCGAGGAGCTGTTGGGCACCAGGGGACCCGACACTGGGGTCAGCCCGGTGCCGCCGTCCATCAGGGAGTCGAAGTTGAAGGTGCCCGTCGACGGTGTCTGGATGGGCACGCCCTGGATCTGCGTGGGTCCCGACCCACCCGACTTGGCCAGACTGAGCTGCATGTTCTGGCTGAGCGGCCGCTGGAAGGCCAGTGTGTTGGGCCGCTCCTTGGGCACCTTGTTCAGCGCATTAAGCGTGGGGCTGTTCAGGCTGCTCCCGTTGGAGACCACCGGAAAGGCAGAGCCAAAGCCACTGGGCGCCGTGCTCGTGATCGGCGTCTGCAGCGATCCCGACGAGGCACCGGTGGGCGTCATCAGCGTGGACATGTGGACGTGCGGCATCGTGGACATGGGCGGCAAGGCGAAGCGCTTGTTTGGCGTCGGACCGTCCTGGTCCAGGCTCGAACCGGAGTCCAGTCCGCCGTCCAGCGGCTCGTCCTTGATGTTCATCAGCAGGCTGGCGATGTTCGCCTCCGACTTGAGATCCAATGGCGAATGGCTGCGTCCGGTGGAGTTGAGCGTGGCGTCCAGTCCGGTGATCGTGCCGTTGCTGCTGTCGTTGCTGTTGTGGTTGTGGTGGCTGCTCGATCCGCTGCCACAGCTGCCGGCACTCAAGAGTCCGGCCGGAGCAATCAGACCATTGCAGGTGGTCACGCTCAGCAGATCGTTGCGGATCTTCTGGCAGGTGGGATTGTGGGCCTTCAGCAGGTACTCCAGCTGGTTCTTGCTCTTCGTCAGCTCGTCGATCTCCTTGCGCAGGTTCAGGCCCTTCTTCTCCAGCTGCTCCACCTCCTCGGTCAGCTCGTTGGTCTGGTCCACGCGCCGCTTGCGGCAACGAGCCGCTGCCTGCTTGTTTCGCTCCCGGCGCACCGCTCGCTTCTGCTCCTCCTCCGGCGTCATGTTGGTGGATCGATTCGGCCGCCGGCCGCCCTCCACGTCGCGCGGCGGGCGTGGCACTGTTTGAGGTATTCGCGTTGCTGCTGATGCCCGCCGTCGAGGATCCGCGGGCGGAATTGACGGCCGCCAGGACATTGGTGAAGTTGTTCGCACCGCCGCCGTTCGCACTGCCGCCCATTATGTGGCCATTTTGGTAAGAGGTGCTGTCCGTATGGGCACTTGCTACGGGTTCAAAGAAAACAATTCAGTTAGCAAACCCAAAATATAGTTAGTATCAAGAGTATATCCTTACAAGTATCGGTTGTGTCCTGCTCCTCGTTCATCTGCCCTTCGTTGTACTGAAACGTGCCATTGGAGTCGTCGGATTCGCTGGCAGCCACCAAGCTGACATCGAAGGGCTGCTGCTGGTTGGGAATCGTGGGTAGCTCACTGCCATTGGCCTCATTGCCGCCCGCAGCGTTCGGCAGCACCGAGGGCACCACAAATCTCGCAGATCCTCGGGGCGCATCCGTGATCAGCTGGTAGAACGAGTCCTCGATGCTGCGCGTTGTGGTCGGCGTCAACGTGGGCGTCGTCAGCGTAAGAACACTCTGAACGGTCTCAAAGTTGCCGAGCTGCAAGTAAGAATAAATATAAAATAAATTAGTTACAATTGCATTTTCTAACCAAATATAATAAAAATCTATTTCAATTGTCGCAGCATAAATCTACATTATCTAAAAAATGTTAGGCACAACCCAAAAAGAATGGCTGTCTAAATCACACATCAACAAAAAGAATGGCTGTCTAAATCACGCATACGCAGTGTTGGCCTCGCTTAAATGCAACACTTAAGCTAACCCGCTAAGTAACAAATAAATCGGTGATTTCGTTCTCCACTAAACATCAAAAGCAATTGTTAAGACTGTAAGACCTTTTGCTTATCCGTACATTTCTAGGAATTAGGGACGTGATTCTTTCGCAAAAAAAGAGTGAAGCGAAGCGAAGAAGAGAGGACCCAATCCATCACTTTGTTTATATTGCCCACCCCTTTGTTGTTCCGCATTGGTTCTATTTTGGGCGATGAATAAGTACGCACACCGTTTGCCAATTGTTTCGCGCCCAATTTCGATATAACGCCAGGCGAATTTAATCATCGATATTCGGTTGGTACCTGCTGTAGGAAAAGCTCGTTGGCGAGAAAAGTGGCGATTTCACTGGCGTCCATTGCAAAATTATCGCCATTGTCGTTGTTCGTTGAGGTTGCTGTTGTTGTTGTCGCTGACGTTGTTGTCGCTGCTGTGGCATTGCATGTTGCTGCTGTAGTTGTAGCCGTCATTGGCTGTTGTTGTTGTTGCTGCTGCTGCGGTGGCTGTTGTTGCAGTTGCAGTTGCTGCTGCTGCTGCAGTTGTTGTTGCTGATAATAATTAATAGGCAAGCCATTGTTGTACTCCTGCGGTTGCTGCTGACTAAAAAAATTCTGCATTTGGCACACGGCGGCCATGGCAGCCGCATTGTTGCTGTTGCCGGCGTAGGCGCTACTACCAGCAACATGACCATAATTGTTGCTGCTATTGCTGTTGCTGCTGCGCAGTGGAAAACCATTGTGGGCAAACGATTGCCTTAGTTGTTGTTGTTGCTGCTGTTGCTCCTGATGTTGTTGTTGTTGGTGTTGCTGGTAGGCAGTTTGCGTGGGCAGTTGCCGTTGCTGATGACGTAACAATTGCTGCTGGGGCTGCTGCTGATGTTGCTGTTGCTGCTGCAGCTGATGGTGTTGCTGCTGCAGCTGGTGATGTTGCTGTTGCAGCTGTTGATGTTGCTGCTGCTGATGCTGCTGGTGTTGCTGCTGTGCAAAGTGCAGCGATTGGTGGTAATAGGGATGGTAGCACGCATTGTGCGCCCTACCGTTGAGATTTTTCATCATCTGTTCGTTGGTTTTTGGCCTATTCTTAGCTATCTACTCTTAAATATTAAGTATACGCAGCGGTGTTGCGTATACGCACAGTTGGGCGGCTGACTAGTATTCGTTATGGGTTAAGCCTAGCTAAGCTAACACAACAAATTGGGACAACAATGATATATATATGAGTTGTATATATTCAAAATCAACAAAAACAGTTCTAAGTTCTAGCATAAATATTATATATTTGTATGTACAATTTGAGAATTCTCTTCTCTGCAAAAGTTCCCTAACAATGTGATGATCCTTTTTTGTCTTTATGTTTCCGGTTTATCGGATGTTTGTATTGTTGTTGTTGTTGTCGCAGTGTTGTTATTGTTGCTTGAAAATTCGTTCGTTTTTGGTTTTGTATTAATGCTTTTTTATATTTCGTTGTATTTCTGCGTTGGCTTTTTAAATAAGGTTCGTTTTTTTGTTCTTAGCCGCGAGCAGAGTTCGTATATATTCGTTGTTCGGTTGCTCAGTTCTTGAAGTCTTCGCTCTCCGGCGGTCTCAGGCGCTTAACGATAAGCGTTCGCTGATTTCGCAAAGGATTGAAATGTATACTCCGATCGGCGAAAGCGCTCATAATCAACGCAATATATCGTAAGTGTGCGAGGCTTAAAATCTAATGACACGTGTCCCGCGTTCAGTTCAGTTCAGTTCACTGCTCTGCCGAGGGCCGCGAAAAATAAAACACAAATTGGATTATATAATTATACAGATTTGTGGCCAGAGAGCGAGGGGTGCGGGGGGGCGGTGGAAGACTGAGGGGGAGTGGCTGAGGGCTTGAGCCTTGAGCTAGTTCAATTAATTTGCTGCTGCATTAATTTTCATGCGTATCTCTCATTTCTCATTTGGGTTTTCCTTGGCCACGGGCAACGCCTCTCAAAGCTATGCCTCCCCTTGTTCGCTTTTACTTCTAAGTTTAGCTATATACACATATAATTAAATATATATGCTTCGATCCACGCGGCATGCAACTGAGAAATGTGCGTCGTTTTTCGCGTTCCTCCTTTCCCGCGTCTATATATTTTTTACTCCTGGCTAAATTCGTTGTGGTTGCTGTTGTTTGTTGTTTGTGTTTCTTATTCTGTTTGTGATTCGTTTTGGCAATGCACGCGCGCTAAAAACAAAACGACAATTGCAATTTTCCAAATTTATTTTCGTTTCGTTGTTCGAGATTTTCGAGATTCGAGAAAAAGCGCGCGCGCGATCGCTTTTAATTGTTAGATATTTTCTAAACTTCGATGGTTCGTTGTTCGTTTGCGACTGAATCCGAATCCGAGTCCGGCGAGCGAAATTGGCAACGATCTTGAATCGAGAGATCGCTGGGGATATATGTACGTACATATGGTATCTAGAGAACCCGGAGAGCTGTCTTTTGGGTGTGTGCCTTTAGCCGCGAGCTGTTTGCTCAAATTAGAAGACAACCACTGGGAAAATCAAATAATTTTAAACGCTGCCTGCTCTTAATTGAGCGGCTGCCCACACGACGACCACGCTCGCCATACTTTTATAGCAAAAAAAAAAAAAAAAAACCAAAAAGAAACACACATATAGTGCGGCATGGGGTACTATATATATATGCATCTGCTCGCGTGTGGGTTAGTTCCGATTTGCCGATTTACAGCAGCTCTTTCCTTCCATCGAAATGCCTTTCATTCGCCCATAAATTAAAGGCCACAACAACTCAATATTTCGGCGAAATCGTTTGCCAGAAGTTGTGGTTCCGATTATACATATATATATAGTGGGTTTTATATTAATAGTGCACACCCAGTCCCATCTGACAGATGTCCACCAGAGAACAGGTGTGTGCGTTCGGGACATTAACATTAACTAACTTTTCAGACCCCCTGTCTCGCCAAGAGTGTTTATTTCCGTCGCCAGCAAGTTGGCCAATACGCTAATTGCTGGCTTTTGTTGTGGGCTAAAAAGCTACGTCTGTGTATTGCGTGCACAGAAAAAAATAGATGACATTTTTATATTTAATTAAATGTATAATTAAAGCTTAATTAGGATCAGTATTTTAAAAGGAATTTGTAGCCTTAGCTACTAAATAATATTTAACTGATGAACAAAATGCAATGTTTTCTTTATAATAATAATTATTGATTTACTTTTATATCTTTAACCGATAATAAAAAATTACAAAACCCTCATTTATATTTAATGTTTTCTTTTCGTGTGGGAGAGTTGCTGATTGTGTGCTTATTTATTTGACGATCTTATCGCAGCCGCGTTTCCCAATCCCAAAGGCCGTTCCCTTATTGACAGCAAACAATCGATTTTATTCTTTGTCGCTCTTTTATATATTTATTTTTTGGAATTTACTTTCAAGTCGCCCGACCCGAGTCTTTGGTGTTTAAACTTTAAACACCTTGGCAACATTGTTGCCGGGGACTTTCGTTTTAACCCACTTTCCATACAAGTTTGCTTTTTGAACTTGTTTCCTGCCCCTCAGCATATGAACCGCATTTAGCCGATGAATCAGTCAATTGAAGAAAAGTTCGCCTATATGCAAAACAAGTGATAATGCCAGCAACAATAACAAACCACAAATGCGAACTACTGGCAATCAAGAGCCAGTAGCCGCGAATTGAATTGTCTAAATTGGAGCCAGCTCAGTGGCAATGTCGGCTGGCGATCCCTCTTATCAGAAAAACGGGGAGAGGTCTGGGCTCCGAGTTCACATCTGGGGTCAATTATAAACCAAATGAAACCAGCGGCGAACATCGAACAGCCAGCAGTGAAAAAAAACACTGACGTAGTCAGTTGAACAAATCAAATTGCTGACTAATACCCAGACTGCAGCAAATTTGATTATGGGACCGCAAAAACTCAGCTACTAAGTATACTTTTCTGCACCAACAACAATTTCATTTAATTTTTTGAATAAATTTTTTATAAATAAATTAAGAGAATAATATCAAATGTTTCCCCTTTATTTCGAATTATGAATTCCTATACATTTTATTCCACTTAATTTCTAATCAATTCCTCGAAAATCCGTGCAACCATTTTGGTTTGCATATCAACTTTGACCTTGACTCTAATTAGTTCAAAATCGTTATTCGCCGAAAAACACAGTTTTCGAGAGAAGGGAAGTGAAGGTGCAACAAGTTGAGAGCCAAAGAAATTCTCGGGCCCGAGACTTTGCCTTCTGCCTTCTGTTTCAGCTGACGTGTTGGGCTATTTTTAAGCCAATTTTAGCCTGACAATGACGTAATGACGGCACGAAAAAAAAACTTGGCATCATCAAAAGGCAACAACAAAACGAAAACAGGCGGTGACAATTTGTATTGTTTATCTCGAAAGTGGCTAATAATTGTGAGGAGCGAGAAAAACAAAGGCTAACAGACCAAGTTAACATAGGCCTCTGTTAACTTGCAGTTGCCAACAAACTGGAAACTCGGAATTCGGAATTCCGAATTCAAGCTCGATTTTGTGCCTTTGTTTAAACGCTTTAGTTGCTGTTGTTGCGGCAGTGGCATAAATTAGTTGGCAAGCTTGTTAAGAGCTTAATAATACGAAAATTGCATGCTGAAGGTCGCCGTTTGTTTAGTTAGAAATGCGCATAATTATCAGAAAAAAATAATACAATTTTGATTTTTCAATTGGCTAAGACTTGAATAAACTGCAGCTCCAGCATTGTTTGCTCAAAGTTGCCACAATGTCACAGCGAAAAAAAGCGAGAATTGAAAAGTTGACAAGTTCAAGTGCGGCGTCTTCAGTTTGATGAAAAGTGCACAGGAAAAAATTACTAAAATAAAGTAAAGAAACAAAACAGTTCAACGATAACAAACTTGAATGAATAAGCATTTTGTGATCCATTGTGCCGTGGTATTTTATCTAAACGCTTGAGTTTTACTAGATTTAGTGTCATTAGTAAGCGGCATATATAAATTGTAGTACTATCTCCTCAACGTTTACTGCCTTTTTATTATCCTACATAAAACCTTGACTGACTTTAAATAATATTTATTCTTCGTGCACCTACAACTTTGTAATTGCAGTTGGCTATCGCACTTCCCTTGACAATAAGCATAATTCGAGATATGAATTTTTGCAAGTCTCTTGTACGAACTGCATATATAAATGCAAATTCTGCGAATAAAACAATTAACGCAAAGGAGGGGCAAAATCATATTTTCGTAGTGACACTCCGGCGATGTTTTTGCTGTTTTATTGTATTTCATGAACGTTGTTCGTTTTTTCCGCTGTTTCGCTGGCAAAAGGAGAACGTGACCGCAATGCCCAAGCGGAATGGCCGAGCGGCGTGTTGACTGTGCTAAGTGCCGGCTGGCGGTTGATAAAACCCCAATTTCCCCGCCCCTTTCCCTGGCCTTTGCCACCATCTAAAGAATTTTGGAGTGGCCCAGAGTCAACGGCCGGCGAAAAGAGTCGACAGAAGTCGCATCCACACGGCTTGGCTTGCCGGCCTTTTTTAGGCACGCAAAACAAAACAGAGAGAAGCTCCCCTTATATAACCAACATTTATGCAAAGTATATATATGAACATATATCTGCAGAAAGCAGCGCCGTCATTAAAATCACTTGACGTTTGTCCATTTTCGGAACGCCCACACAAACGAAATTGAATTAAAGTTTAACATTTCTCGCTGGCTGGCGGCTGGCAACAGCCATAATTCAAAATTTGCCAAAAAGTGCAAAAACGCAGGAGAAATAAATATTTCAAACCGCTTTCAGGATTCCCTGGCGTCGTTCGGGCTTTAAGTTCAGTGTCAAATTAATCAGACTTTTGTTCCGAGGGCGTGGACAAGGAAAAAACAAATTTGCATGAGATATTAAACAAAAAATACAAAAAATACAACAAAAATAAAAAGGAAAGAGTGAAAATATTTATGTTCTGACTTTAAGCAGGCCATTGAACCCTGGTTTTATATATTTTATTTACCTGGGTTGGGCTTCCCCTGAGAGATGGTTGCCATTAATCGATAGCACATTTGTGAATGCACTTCGGCCATTAAGCCATAATTAAGCTGATTTGGCCAACTAAAGTGGTCATTCGATATACGCGCCAACGTGCAGCTAATAAAATGACGCGACATTGGTCTGGGAATAATTTATTTAAATGCATTTCGTCGCGACAAAAAAAACGAGGAAAAGAGAGGCGAAACCCCTGAAAATGGGGGAGGACGGTTGGGTGAATTTATGGCAAAGTTTGCAGTTCGAGGAAATGGCAAACAAACGACGCGTCTTTCAGGCGCCAGAAAGGACAGCCCAACACAAAAAGGACAAAAAGGACGAATGCAACGTAGACCAGCAGACAAAATGGGAAAGGGGAGCCGCGGAAAAGAACAGACAGGACTTGCCAGCCGGAGACAGTAGTAAAAGTTGTTTTCACTTTTCATTCGATGGGTTTTGGCCAATTCCAAGAAGGACGTGACCGCAGCCATCAAAAGCCAGGACATTTGCCAAGCACGGAATTACCACTGGCAGCAACAAAATATAAAATAAAAAAAAAAACAGAGTGAAATACATGGTAAAACGACTTGGTAAGAGGACCTCAATTACAGGGAAACTCAATCGCTTTGCCTGTCAAATTATCTGCACCGAACTTTGCTGGCAGCTCGACAACCACGATACAGATAAAGTAATGCCAAACTGCATTTGATTCATTAAGAAGTAACTCAATTAAATTGACTGGAAACGCAATTAAGTGCGCTCGCAATTCGTAGACGTATTTAATATTAAATTTGATCTTAATTGAATGCAGTCTTGTGTTGCATGCTCCACGGACATGGTATGATCAGCAGATATATACGTACATATAGTACATGATAAACCCAAAAAGTGAGTAAATAAGCAATGAGATATTTTTTAGGCCAGTTCTAGAGGGTGTAGGCAGAGAAGCAGCTCTAGACAAAGGAAAGTTACTGTCTGTCCTCGAATTCCCCAAATAAACGCTTTCAAGTGATTTCTTTCATGTCAAACTCGAACCAATCGAAGACGCCCACGTTTAAAAGCCGAAAACCATTGCGAAAGTCCACGTTAACCCCCTCGAAATAAAAAACCACAGACAAATACAGCACTTCAAGACCAGACCAAGACCATATTCAGTTATTCAGTTATTCAGTTAATTAAAAGAAAGTTGGACTTTGGCTGGCATAATGTGGGGGCGCTGGTTATATAGTATTTAATGGAACCATTTCAGAGCTTAAGCCCCTCGAATGTGGCAAGTGTTTGACTTGCAGCCTGTCACTTTGAACCGCCCCAATTGCCCAGCTATATGTCATATATAGTATATATAATACGAAAAACACACACATCTGTCCCTCTATAACGTACAAAGAGTATCAAGTGTCACGCAAGTGTGTTTGAGGTTCACAAGTCAAAGGGTCACACAATCGGCGAACCCTCGTTCACTTTCTACCATTAAAAAACATAACGCCCGAATTAAGACCCCCTCTTCGGCGAAAAGCAAAAAAATAATATATGTACGTATATGGAAATAAAGAACGCAGTGCAGAAAACTTGATAAATTGTCACGAAAATCGCACGTGCGCGATATCAGCGAATGGCGCCGGTTCCATGGAGAAATAGACCCAGAAACATAACCATTACCAGACGTAGACGAAAACCCAGACCGGATCACTCGACTGTGAAATGCAATGGGCTAAAATGCTCAACAAAAAAAAAATCAACAAAAAAAAATGGTAAGAAACCGACTTTAAGCCGGAAAATGGTAACTGTTAATGGCAGCATGAAATCGCAACGTGATTCCGAATCGAGGGTGATTTTTTGGCAATAACTTTTGGGAGTTGCAGCAGGGTGCACTTGATTTAATGAAACCTTACACGCAAAAATTAATAAATTACCAGGGGAACCATAAAAAGTCCATTACAAATGAAGACTATTTCCTTTCTGTTTCCACATTAACTATGGTGAAAGATGATCTTTGGCAATAATTAATTTGTTCGAGTGCTTTTGGCGTACATGATTTTATCAACATTTTTTTCTGTAGTTCATGTTTAGGGTGTTTTTTACTTTTTTTTAATAATATTTGCAACATTTCCAGCACTTTACATTTATTGCACAAATTAAATATTCCCCAAATTGAATTTCAGCAACTATTTACATTTATAATCAGTCACGTAGCTCTCGGAAATAGAGAACGCAAAACAATAATTGAAAATTATTACGAAACCAATGATGGATGTGCCCACACGAGCCCCAAAACACTTGCCACAGCCAACAATAATTCCCTTATCGCATCGCGAATAAAATAAAACAATTCGTTTTCGGGTAATGAGCGTAAATCGGGCGATCGGGGGAATGGCTATAGTTGAGCAAATAGGAATAGGTTGGAACCCCTTATCGCTGGCAAACACAATCGCAAAACATATACTGCTGCATATTGAAATGGAATATGGAAAAAATGGGGATCTCCAATTTCCAAGAACTCAATTGGCAAACGATAAGCGCCTATCCACTGAATGTTCATGTATAGGAAAATAAATGTATATCAGTAATTCAAACATTGGAATTCTAGAAATTTCATGGCAAACACCGATAACAAAATGGCAACTAACTATGCCAAAAGAGGGCGGGAATTCAACTGATTTTATTAATATTATAGCCTTTGGTAGAGCTCTTACCACTTTTGGCAACGGCGACAGCGGCATGTTGAACAAATACTCATCATTGAAGATGTTGTAATTGTCCAGCGTCATCTTGTCGGATATCAGTAGGTCTTCCGTTTTGATATCTTTTTAAATACTAGGCTGTTTTAAATTTATTTTATGGCCGCACAAAGGCGCTAGTGACTCAAGCGATTTCTGGCGAATTTCGCCTTTGTTTTTCGCACACCGAAACACTCGCTAAATGTATCTCGCAAATGTATCTGTATCTGTAAACCGAGCGGCGCGCGATCGTGCGAATTATTTGTGTTGTCTGTTTTCAATATTTCCTAGAATTCTCGGTATGTTTTCGTTGAAATTTTCAAGCACCGCACATGCTGAGAGAATCGCAATTTTTCGCACACACTTTTTGCTTTTCGCGTAATTTTCACGATTTGTGTTGAAATGGTGAATGGAGGAATTCACTCGTTTCGGTCGCCGAAACGTTTGGCTCCGCTAACTTGTTTAGACTAAATGCGTCATCGTCGATGGCCCGCTTTTTATACGAAAAACCCAGGCAAGTCGGTTGAGTGTTTTTATCGCACTCGCCGAGCGAAAAAATCTGAATCGAAGAGAGAGCGCAGACCAAATGAGTGAGTCTAAAGCTTTGGGGCTCTGGCATTTCCTGAGCAAATTCAACCATAAAAAAAATATATTTATTTACATATATATGAGTGCTCGAAAAAAAAAGTACATATGTCTCGGGTTAAACCCGCTGCTCTGCTAGCTTTTGGATATTTCTTCAGTTTTCAGTTTTCGGCGGGGGACTCTCACGTGCCCAGTTTTTCTTTGACTACGCTTTTTGTTTACCCGATTCTTGGTCGCGATTGCCGTTTATCTTATCGCCCCGGCCAGACAATTTAGTTATGACATAAGCAACTAAATTTAAAGACCCCGGTAAGTCCCCCACCAAAGTGCAGTGAATGGTTTGCCTTTGTGGCTCGGTGGCTCTTATCGCGGAATAGCTTTTCGAAATGGGTCGCCGGCGACATCGGAGGCTCAGGTGGCTCCGGTCTCCATTCTCCGGCTGCAGGTGTTACTTCTAGGCATTTATCTATCGATATGCCAGCTTTCAATAAATATTGATGGGGCCCCCGGCTCCACTCGGCTCGGATTGGCCATGTAATTGTATGCGGACAGTAGTGGAAAAGGCCGCGATGACCTTGCGTCGCCAACTTACATGTGGTGACCCCCCTCCCTCCCTTTCCCCTTTTTACAAAAACAAAAAATGGTTTGGGGTCCGGAGGGTTGCGGAAAGTGCGGCCAGAAGTGGGTCATGTGACACTGGACATTTGTGGCTCTGCTCTACTTACCTGCAACGAGAGAACAGAATTCACAGTCAATTAGTATTAAGGATCGTACCAACTTGCCGCGAGCTAATAAATTGCCACACTGACTGACCCAAATCAATAAATAAATACGAAAATTCAAACTCAAAACAGATATTTTTGTTTTTGCAAGGGTCTATTTATAATCCCAATTGGAGTTCCTAATCTGGGTGATTCAGAAGCATGCTTAACAAGTTGTTTATTTTAATATGAATACTTACAAAATAATTGCTGATTAATTAAGATTAATGATTTTGGAATATATTCAACCAAAAATAATTCCCTTTAAATATGTTTTACTGCTGTTTGAATGATGTACTTTAGTGGCATTCCATATTCATTCTACATTCTTTATGCAACAAAACTTATTTTTTTTGCAGGAAATACGAAGAGACATTTTTAAGACCCAAGTCTTTGACGTCACTGAGAAATGATAAGAATGCTTCTTGGCACTGACGGTTCCCACTTCCAGTTAGAGATAATCGGCTAGCGGAAGCATACTCTTTTTTGGTTCCGAAATCACGAGCACTGCACTTTTTTTGCGAAAGTGATACGGACAGGAAGTCGGGACCTACGATTTCCTTCTAATTTGGCGGACATAACATCGAATAATTCAAATAGTGAATAATGGGCGATTCTGCCGAATGCGTTGCGTATTTGATAAGCCCGCGTATTTAAAGGCGTTTGCATCACTCCCTTAAGATACAGCTATCTTGGCGTTTTGTTTTCCTTTTCCCCGATAAGGAAGACTAGCCATAAGGTTGGCGATAACATTTGCAGTTCCGTAGCGCGATCCGAACTTCCGGTGATGATGGGGGTCTCGATCCCAGTCGATCCAGTCGACGAGTCCACTGTGTCGTAGGCACCGTCGAGATAAGATTGAACAATGGCCGGACCTACAATCGGGCCAACAAAGAAATCAAATCTACCTATGACAAATACCTGGTACGCAGGCCCATCCATATATAGTATGGCCGCGATTAATCAATGTTTATGGTGTAAACAGAAACCCCAGTTTGCAATTGCGTTGTGATTAAGTTTTTATAACTTTCGCTGGGATCCAATGTGCTCCAATTACGAGGAAAGTAGACAGTTTTATGGGCGAGGATCAGGCGTTATTGGTCCGACATTCTTGATATTGATCATTAGCATTGTTTACTATAGCTTTTTCAAGTATTTTGTTTCTGTTGATTTCTATCTGCTTTTCTAGAAACCCTTATCATTTCACTCACTTTTCTTGGTAAGTAATTCTTAATAACATTTTGTTTTAACTAGACCAAAACTTATATAAGCAAGTAGAAGGCTTTTTACTATATTTCTTTCATATATTTACTAGATATTCTTGGAACTATTGAACTTGGAACCAAATAAATCCAGTATTCTTTTAAATTCCAGTGCTTAGAAGAAGGAAAAGATGATGGACATCATGAGTTGCCGGCTGAAGAGATGGCCATACCTGCTGATTCGCATTGCTCAGCAGTTGAGGACTCCCCTGCAGATTGCCCGCCACTCGTACCACCAACTGAACCACTACTACTCCATCCGCTCGCTTCAATCCGGAGTATCCAGGCGATCAATCAGGGATCCCTACCTCACCAAGGTGGTCCAAGGAAGATCGAAGAAGCCGCGATACCCAGGTGATCAGCGGGCTAATCAGCGTTTCGGGGAGGACAGCTGGTTCCTCAGCTCCACGCCTCTGGCCGAGGTGATGGGCGTGGCAGACGGAGTGGGCGGCTGGCGGGACATGGGCGTGGATGCGGGACGCTTTGCCAAGGAGCTGATGTCGTGCTGTTCCGGACAGACGGAACTCCCGAGCTTCGATGGACGCAGTGCTCGGGATTTGCTCATCGCCGGCTATCGGGATTTGGTTCGGAAGGAGAATCCAGCGGTGGGAAGCAGCACCGCCTGCTTGGTGTCCATGCACCGCAAGGATTGCACCCTCTACACCGCCAATCTGGGCGACAGTGGCTTCATGGTGGTGCGAAATGGAAGGGTACTGCATCGGTCGGAGGAGCAGACCCATGACTTCAACACGCCCTATCAACTGGCAGTGCCACCAAAGGGCAAGGGTGACAACTTCTACTTCGACAAACCGGAAATGGCGGAGTCCACGAGGTACTCCCTGCAGCCAGGGGACCTGGTGCTCCTGGCCACCGACGGTTTGTTCGACAATCTGCCCGAGAGCATGCTACTCAAGATTCTAAATGGCCTCAAGGAGCGGGGGGAACAGGATCTCCAGAAGGGCGCCAATCAGGTGGTGGAAAAGGCCAGGGAATTGTCCCTGAATGCCAACTTTCAATCACCGTTCGCCATCAAGGCCAGGGAACACAATGTTCTCTACTCCGGCGGCGGAAAGCCCGATGACATCACCCTAATCCTGGCCAGCGTCGAGGTGCCGAAAGCCTAACAAACTGGGAGTCAGTCTGTCGCCAGCAGGCGTCGCCGGCAAATATTATTCCACGTCTATCAAAAGTCGGCGATAAAAATCCAAATATATATGTACTTTGTTTATAAAGAACACAGACTTGAATTAATACAGGAAATGGTATAATTATAGAAATCTCTAGGAGATAACAACGTAGAGATTCTTCAGATTCTTTAAAATGGATTTTAAATTCGGTTTAAAATTGCATCACTCATACGCAGTGTTGTCTTTGCCAACCTGAAACCTACATTTTATCCCTCCAAAAAGTTATCATAATATAATATGTAAATATTTAACAAATAATTACAAAATAAGTGCTTAACTGGTTAACTAAAAACAACAATAGATTATATTTTTATTGACTTGTTAGTGCACAACAATTGTGAAATTCCGTAATTTTGTATACTATCTCGAGCGCAGCTGTAGGTACTATATATTTGTTTATAAAGACGCCGATTCGTGAGTGCCTATATAGAGGTTCGTTCATTCAGCAAACGCGATTATGAATGGACGGGCAAAAGCTACAACCGATTCCACACACAACCTCACAACCAACCAACGCCGGGATGACTCATCGCCGTTTTAACCAGAATTCGTGCGTTTTGTTTTTTCTGTTTTCCATTTTGGCCCACTTGGTGTGGGAGAGAGGGACGTGCCACGGCCTAGGGCTCCACACTTGGCACCCACTTGCCAATGTCGTCGCAGTCAACGAAACTCGTTTTGCTCTCGCCTGCCTTTTCACTCGCCTTTCAAGTTTGAGTGAGTTGAAAGCGAGTGAGTTAACTCATGGCTCGCAAATTGGTGCACTCAGCATAAAGAGAGGAAGCCAGGCGAAATCAGGCGATGCGAGGCTATGGCGCTGGAAATCCCAATGCAGCACATTGCGAAATTCCACCCGGAGCAAAAAGGCTTCGATAAAAAGGGAAGCCCAAGCGATTCGACTAATGGTTACCATAGAAAGAAAATAGCTAATATTCCAGAGATCTAAAGAAAATTATACTTAATATGGATATGGAAAACTATAGTTTCAAAATAACAAACAATTAATGTTATGTATTCCTTGTTTACATTGTTGTAATGGAATTTTCTAGAGCCATTTTATGGGTTAAAAGTCTTATCTTGTAATTATGTGAGCAAACAAGGTTGTAGCTTTTGCAGGTACAGCAGTTCGTGGGCAGAATATTTTAGCCAAAAATGATTATACAACTTAAAGTTTTTGATTGTTACAGAATAATCGAGAAGCTTGTTTGTTGTATTTTGATTTGAATTAATTCCTCTTTCAGTTAGTTTCCTTTATTATATTTTATAATATATTTTATTTTATTTTATAATACTACGTTTCCCTGGAACCCAAAATACCCTCTGCTTGCAGTTACAATGAAAAGGAGTTGACACAATCTGGGGAGTGCTGTGTGTGCTGTTGGTCGGGCGTCAGTTCCCGATAATTTCCTTTGGCTTTATCTTTTCCCCATTTCGCACTTTTCAACGCCGTGGCGAATCGAAGTTGGCGGTGGAGTAGCTCTTCGTTTTGCGCCTGTAGAACTCCTCCCTGAACTCTGGAATTCCATCGCCCGATGCTTCGCCTCTTTCTCGGAATTTCGCGTTGGATGACGCGTCACAAAGTGCATTTTGGGATCCCGCAAACACGGGCCAACGGCAACAAGGATGCCTCGCTGCGTAAATCTTTCAGTGGCGAGTGCATTTTTAGCCACACTCCACTCCACTCCAGATGTGCTCCAATTCCGCCGGGAAATCCCATTCGAACCAACTCCACACCCGTTTCCCAATCCCATTTGCCGGCATGTGCCATTTCCGCCGGCTTTTATTCAGAAATTAGCTATATAGTGGACGTATAACTCAATTATAGAAACACTAGGCCTAATGCCAAACATCGCGCAACTAGTATTTAGCAATAAGTAGAGAGGCCACCCGCCACATTTTACTTTTCTAGTTAAGCCTTCTTCTCTAGGGAGTTCAACAAACCCAAGGAAACAAATTAATTGACGTGTTAAAACCAGTGGCGGGGTTATTTTGTGTACTTTATGAGACATTTCACACACCCAAAATACGTAATTAAATTTAATTTTATTAGTAACACAATTTTAAAAACCCTTACTAAATAAATGAACGTTCGGATTTCAGTATGTTTATTTTTTAGCTCACTGGCTTAATCAATTTCTAGATGAAAGCATGACTCTTGGTTTGCCTAGTGTCTATATAGAAAAGATAAGGCTTATCGCCACACTATCTATCCCACATCGAATCAGACTTACCCCTGATCCCCCCATATAAACAACGCCCCTGATAAACGTATTTATTTCTCTGCCTTTTTTCTCCCTTGGCGACCAAGCTTAATTCCAAGAAAATCGAAAGCTAATGCGAAAACACGCAACTTTTGACATTTTCCTTTTCTTCTTTTCATATTTCCATGTTTCTTGTGCTAGTAAATCTTAAATATACGATGACATAATTTTGTGGTTTTGGTGAAAATTTGTTTCGGAACTGAAAAGCGATTGCTTTTCTCTTTCAACTTGTGACGTCATTTGATAGAGCAACCGTGTGACCAAATTTGGCTCTCAAATGAAGCGAGTTCCAAAACCGGCTTCTCAACTTTAAAGTTGATTCGTTTTCAAAGGCCTTAGCTTTAGCCAAGTTTAAGCCATTGACGTCATAAGTTAATTTCATTAGCGTAGCGCCAAAATGCACAAGCTAAACGGTCTTTTAAATCCAGACATCCGAAATGTATTTTTTTCTGGTGATTTCCCCTAATTGCAAAAGCAAATCTCTTGAAAGAACAAAGATTAGAAACTGTGTAGATCTAGATAAGTCAAGTTATCTTAATGAAGAGGTAATATACTTAATTAAATTATCGTATAAATACCAATTTTAAGGTTTCACCAAACTCACTAATAGAAATTACTACTTACTTGAAAATAAACCTGCATCACTAATTTTCGAAGAAAGCTAAGTAAAGAGCTTTATGGTCTAGAATTGATTATTCCACCTATTTTTTCATTGAACCAGGTAAAGTTCTATTTACGTTTTCCTTCCTTATCAGCTTTAATAAAAAGTATTACAAATCATTTCCCAATAAAAAAGCCAAACGTAACTCAAAGAAATCGTTTGTTGGTAACAAGTGCCTTTACCCTCGACTACAAGTGCAAACACTTTTTCTATGCCATCTATATACATATTATAACTTTTATCTATAAACGTGCATATAGCAACGCAATCGAATTTACAAAATCCCCTGAAATTTTCCTGGAACAATCGAAAGCCATAATAATAAAGGCAAATAAAGGAAAAGAGTGCGAGGACAGGCGAACGCGAAGTGTCGTAAAAGTTTCGCCATAAAACGTATGTAGGAGTGAATAATAAGGAGAAGAAGTCAAAGTCGAGGAACTTCAACCGAAATTACAACAACACAAGAACAATAATAATTAATTGTTTGTTGTGCGCATTTATTTATTTATTTGCTGGCTAAGTGAGCGCGTTGATGGCAAAGGCTGCGGCTCTGGCGGCAAAAGCATTGGCAATTTTATATTTATTTATTTTTAGTTGATGCGCACATTAAATTGGCAATTTCTGTCGGATATCTGATCGTGATTATAAAGCTCTAAAACACGAATACACGAACGTGTGGCTGTTAAGTACAGTTGGGGTTATTTTAACGAGGGTATTGGTATTTTATTTATACTTACTTAAAAAAAAATAAATATACATATATACATTCGAAGTTGATAAAGTAGTAATATAAAAGATCATTAAAACGAACAAGAAATTAACAATTATTCAAACTGGTTAAACTAATAAAAGGAGTCTATTGTGTGCAGATGTGTAAACTACATTTAACGATCACTGGATTTCGTGATCACCATAATTTCTTTGCCATTATTCCAACTTTATTTTGTTGACCCAGGCTGTGTATACTTAAAAAAAATCTGTAAAAAGGTTATCTCCGAGGAGAGTTCGCTGCTCGTTAGCCGATTTGCTCGTGACTTTTAATGCGTTTGCTTTTAATGCATGGAATATTTATGTAGCACGCTGCATGTTTTATGCAGCGCAATGCGAAAAAGGCAATTTGAGTTGTTCAAGTGCATAGCACCGTATATGTACAGTGAACATCCCCTCGCACCAACCACCCCATCATCTCGATCGCATCCCCGTCGAATCCCAAACATTGCGACGCGTGAGTCGCTTGACATTCTAAGTGGAATAGCAGCGTGATATCGGTGGAGGGGGGTGATTGGGAGGGGGGTGGCATAAAAACAGGGGTGAGCCGCAGCCTCTGAGTGCCATTTGACCTTGGCATTGGATTTAATTTTATGGTGAAATCAACTGCAGCATAATTTCGAATGTCAGCCGGGAGAAAATCGAGGGAAAAAGGAGGAGGAGTGCACATTTGTCGTTTGTCAAGTCTGGTATTAGTAGAGGGATTTATGTACATATGTGCCGAGTAAAAGTTTATTTTCGGTATTCGAATACTTAATTTAAATTCATATGAGTTTTTGAATGTAAAAAACATTTCAAAATTTAATAGTAAATAACAACTTCATCTAAAAATGTTTTATTGCTTCCAAAAAAAGTTTTAAGGAAAGCAATCTTTATTTTATCAATTAATTTTCTTAAGAACATATTTTTCCACTAAATTTAGAAGTCCAACTTGTACCGAAATCCAGCACATATTTCAGATAAAGATGTTTAAAATACTTCTAAGATTACTGCAGACCCAGCAAAACCCAATTAGAAACGAAAGCCTTGACCTCAGAGCGGTTTCTTGGCTTATTGGCCACATTGCAGCAATATGAAAATGAAATTGGCGATGCACGTGTTGCAAACGGGAACTGAGCAAAAATAAAAACCGCACCTACGCCAAAAAAGATACAGATGCAGAGTGCACAGATAAAAGATACAAAGGGGAGGAAACAATCCAAAAGCAAAACGAAACCCGAAAATATGCCGAAATAGAGATAGAAAAATTGAAAACAAATACAAAGAGGGCAACCTTGGCTGCGACTACGAATAAAGTGCAATAGACGAATGCACAATAAACCACTCACTCTGTCTCTCATGCTGCCTCTCCCACTCAAGTT